TTTTGAGAGTTTTGAAGATAACCATAAACGTTTAATCGAAAATGTTTAACAGAAGTAATAAATGATTTGTTTTGTTTATACCGTTTTATTTCAAACACTTTTACCTTTATTCGAGTCACTAGAGTAAGGAAATTAATTTCAATTTTAGAAAAGTAAATAAATTAATATAATAAAATGAATAATAAATTATTCTAACGGTGGAAAGATTGTTTAAGTAAAGTCACAAAAAACGAGAACTACTTCTATTTCCGACAATGTCCATTTTTCACCCTCCGATTGGAACATTTTTAATGAGTTTAATTAGTACTATGTACCCTCTGAAACGCGAACTTTTGTTCAGCAGTAGTGGAAAAGTTTTCGAACAGTTTTCAAACATTACAGAAAAGCGTAAAAATGGCGGTTGTAGTGGGAATCGAGAAATATGGAGGTCTCGAAATAATAGTCGAAACTATACACGTTTGAAAATAAATTGAAAACATCAAAATAAACTCTATAAAATGTTATTCGTTTTATTTTTATAGTTCATCATCGTCCACAATCAAATTTCTTAATTTTTTTAAACTAAAAACTGAAAGATAACTAAAGAGATTTAGTGACATAAATTAAAACTTGACAACTTAAAAATGGTGGTTGTAGTGGGAATCGAGAAAGTAGAAATATGGAGGTCTCGAAATAATAGTCGAAACTATACACGTTTGAAAATAAATTGAAAACATCAAAATAAACTCTATAAAATGTTATTCGTTTTATTTTTATAGTTCATCATCGTCCACAATCAAATTTCTTAATTTTTTTAAACTAAAGACTGAAAGATAACTAAAGAGATTTAGTGACATAAATTAAAACTTGACAACTTAAAAATGGTGGTTGTAGTGGGAATCGAGAAAGTAGAAATATGGAGGCCTCGAAATAATAGTCGAAACTATACACGTTTGAAAATAAATTGAAAACATCAAAATAAACTCTATAAAATGTTATTCGTTTTATTTTTATAGTTCATCATCGTCCACAATCAAATTTCTTAATTTATTTAAACTAAAGACTGAAAGATAACTAAAGAGATTTAGTGACATAAATTAAAACTTGACAACTTAAAAATGGTGGTTGTAGTGGGAATCGAGAAAGTAGAAATATGGAGGCCTCGAAATAATAGTCGAAACTATACACGTTTGAAAATAAATTGAAAACATCAAAATAAACTCTATAAAATGTTATTCGTTTTATTTTTATAGTTCATCATCGTCCACAATCAAATTTCTTAATTTTTTTAAACTAAAAACTGAAAGATAACTAAAGAGATTTAGTGACATAAATTAAAACTTGACAACTTAAAAATGGTGGTTGTAGTGGGAATCGAGAAAGTAGAAATATGGAGGTCTCGAAATAATAGTCGAAACTATACACGTTTGAAAATAAATTGAAAACATCAAAATAAACTCTATAAAATGTTATTCGTTTTATTTTTATAGTTCATTATCGTCCACAATCAAATTTCTTAATTTTTTTAAACTAAAAACTGAAAGATAAGTAAAGAGATTTAGTGACATAAATTAAAACTTGACAACTTAAAAATGGTGGTTGTAGTGGGAATCGAGAAAGTAGAAATATGGAGGTCTCGAAATAATAGTCGAAACTATACACGTTTGAAAATAAATTGAAAACATCAAAATAAACTCTATAAAATGTTATTCGTTTTATTTTTATAGTTCATTATCGTCCACAATCAAATTTCTTAATTTTTTTAAACTAAAAACTGAAAGATAAGTAAAGAGATTTAGTGACATAAATTAAAACTTGACAACCCTATGTTAACCTTTTGCAAAGCCAATTGCAATTTTACGATGTGACTGTTAAAAATAAAAAAATATTCGTTTCTCCGCAAAAATAAGTAATTTAAATTTTATTCGTATATTTGTTTTTAATTTGTGTTATCATAAATGAAACTGGAGCCATGGTACGCATTATGTTCGTTGCTATAGTGGCGCCAGCGAAGTGCACAGGGTTGATAATAGAATACTACAATAGTGCAAGGAATTTTTTACACATTTTTATCACCAATTTACTTATAATCTGCTTGTGTTCTTCGGTACTTGCAATAATTTCACGTTAATAAAACGACTTTTTATAATGATTCAAACTTTTAAGTCCAAACATTTGTCATTATTTTTGCTGTTAACTATTTTTCTTCGACATCAGTCGATCAAAATCAATAAAATTAATAAAATTGTATTATTGAAAAGAATCAAAAAGTAAGATCGACATTCCTATCTATCAAATTAAACCTGATGCTTCCATTATATAATATGCTTGTAGTAATCATAACTAAAGGAAGCATCAGGTTTAATTTAACTGTCAGGAATGTCGATCTTATTTTTTGGTTTATTATTATTCTTTTCAATAATACAATTTTATTAACCGATTAGTTAATAACAAAAACAATGAATTAAAAAGAAATATATGGAGTTAAATTTTTAAACGTGTCACGCGGGGAAAAAAAAGTTTGAATTACATATATATAATTATGAAATATACATGAATAATACTTGGTCGCGTAAAAAGTTTTCAGGCTCGAATGGACGAGCTGAATTCATCACGGCTTTCGTTCATCGACCCGCCGCGTTTCCACCGTTAATATGCCTTTCATAAAACACATAATCGCCGTGGACTGTATTAAAAACACAAAAAAGTTTGTCCATAAAAGGAACAACCAGATTATTCGGAACAAGATTCACGATTAAACGAAGTCTCGCGTTTAGAACGTCTGGGCGTAATTTATGTAAAATTATTCAAATTTATTTATTACCGATTTCAGAACTCGGCTCTGACAAAATTATCATCTTCGTTCTCTTAAACTTTGGTAAACGGAGAACGAAATTTTAACAGGTCTTTGCATTCGAACGGAAATCATAATAGAATATTTATTATTTCTAATTATGTTTTATGAATGAAACGTATTATATTATCATTAATTGCAATGTAAAATACATTCGAAATATTGCAAGTCTTATGTATTTTATATGTATAAGTTAAATCTCAGACAAGATTACTGCTCTTAACACTAGATTTACGGAAGTCGTCAATTTCACAGATGTCAGATTCCATATTTAAAATTGCAGAACGCGTAAATATTATTTTCCAACTTCTGTTGAATTTGTTCGATGCAATGGCACTAATACATATTCTAATTAAAAGAAAAATCGTATTTTAAGGTAATGTAATCGTACTAGAAGAGATTTTTAATTTCAAAATTACTATAGCGTTTTAGGTCACATGCACCTTATTGGTTATTAGTGACCAAAATTGGGTTACCTAGTGGAACTGATCATATTTAGAGCGATTGGTATACTTTAATGTCTTTTAATAACTTTAAAACTTTTTTGCATGAGTCTATTTCTCGTGGGATCCCAAAATTACTATTGGTTTCCACATTTAGCATAATTAAAAAAAGCCTCCCCTTGATAAACACTAACACATAATAACAATAGAATTAAATGTTTCAAAATCGTCGAAACTTTTTAACGACTGCATTCAACGAAGAATTAAGGATAGTCTCTTACATTGTACAAATCAATATTTTCTTTGCGTAAGGTTATACCTGCAAAAATAAATGAAGGCCTGTTACAAAGAAATTTGGCACTTCATATGTGGGTCATGTTCACGAGAGGATTAAATACCCGTGATTTAATCTTCGATGCTCTTTATACTAATGGAAAGGGAATAGAGGGAGGATTAAAATAAAAATTGTTTTCATTATTCTGCTGGATGGATTCGATTTTAAAACCCGCCTCTAGAGTCGGGTTAGGTCTGGGTTAGGTCTGGATTAGGTCTGGATTAGGTCTGGGTTAGGTCTAGGTTAGGTCTCGACTAAGAGTCGCGTCCCCTGTTTTGAAAATCACTGCTTCGTATACTTTGTTTAAATTTTATTAAATATTTATTTTATTAATTTTATTAGATAGTTTCTCGCGACGATTCTTGTTTGCTGACTCGTTCCGTCTCCCTCAGCCAAAATCTCCACACGTATTCTAGGAATCCCACTTTTCACTTGCACTCCACTCGCTACCGATACTCCATTTTAAACATTCACTCGAATCCGTTTGCATCGCCTCAAACACTCGTTATTCACACTCAACCGTTCAATCTACACTGTACAAATATCACCCCTATAATACTATCCTAAATACAGATTCGTATCACATTAGAAAAGGTATAGCCCTATAAGGGGGTCAAATGTGACCCCAAAACCGAATTGAACGAACGATGACTCATTCGATAGCTTATCCAAAAGAAATCCTGTGTGCCAATTTTTAACTTGAAATCTCGACCGTGGGGGTAGTAATGGGGTGAAAACGAAAATCATGTTTCTGTACAATTTCTCTCGACCTATCGAGTAAAAAAATGTAAAAAAATTCAGAGACACTTGGGGCACCGGGGCACATATTTTGGCAGATTTTCAGATTTTTTGATCGATGAATTTTTTGGCTAAAATCTTGTCGTTAAATTGTTCCGTATGAGACAGTATCGAGATCTTTGACCGATCTGAGGCTCGATGGTGCGACTTGGAAAGGGTGACGATAGCGTGGATGTCTGACATCATCGAACCCACGTATCGAGGAAATCGTCGACGTTTCGGGATGGCCGTTGACGTGCGAACGTCGACGTGGACGCATTTAGACGCGCGATTACGTGTTGCTTGATACCGTCACGTGGCCGTCGTTGTAACGGGTAACGAATTTCACGTCCCCTACCGATCCCACGGGTTTATTTACGTCGTCGGCGATTTGATTATTTTCCTTTCTGCCGCGTTTCCTTCCTGCACGTCCGCCGCAGACGTCCTTCGTGGATGCACCCACCGTACAGGATGGTCCAAGGAAAAAACAAATGAGGCAGCAAATCAAAGGGGCCTCTCCTCTTTTCCCCGTCGGATTTCCCTTTTTTAACGTTGCCCTTTGAGCAGCTTTGTGCACCGATCGTCGGTTCATCTCTTTCTCTCTTTGTTGCAGACGTACCCAGCGAGCAGTCTGTTTTCATCATGCTGAACGGCGAGGAGAGCGAGCTGAGATTCCTGAACATCGCGAACCCGAAGGTGAGCGACGAGCATCCCTTAACCCTTTGCACTCCGAATTATATTCAAATTTTGTTATCAGCAGCTCCCAACGCTTTTAAGTGTTTTAACAAATAGAGGAACAAACAAATTCAATCAAATATCTGCTTAATTTACACTGATGTTGTATTTCGTAATTTTCAAGTGTATGATATCTCTTGAAACTTGTTTCGCAAAAAAAAAGATTGATTTCCCTTCCCGAAATTTTTTTCTCGAAAACGCGCAGGATTTCGAGGGTATGTCTGTTCACCAAAAATGATCGTGATTGACTCCCACGACCGAAAATAATTTTTCCAGAACGATTTGAAATTTTTTTTTCCCCGTTGAAAAATTTCACACTTTCTCGAATTTTTTTCTAAAAAGTAGGTAGGAATTCAGGGGTATGTGTATTCACCAAAAATGATTGCAATTGACCCCCGAAACCGAAAATAATTTTTTCAGAACGATTTGAAATTTTTTTTTTTCATCTAATTAGATTTTCGGTGAGGAATTTTTTTCTCGAAAATGCGTAGGATTTCGGGGGTATGTGTAATGATCAAAAATGATTGTAATTGACCCCTGTAACTAAATATAATTTTTTTAGTGTGATTTTAAATATTCTAATTTCATCTAAAAAGTTCAGTACCTACTCGAATTTTTTTCTCGAAAGTGCGTAAGATTTCGGGGGTATGTCTATTCACCAAAAACGATTGTAATTGAACCCCGCGACCGAAAATAATTTTTCCAGAACGATTTGAAATTTTTTAATTTTGTCGAAAAATTCGTCCACCTATTCGAATTTTTTTCTCGAAAGTGCGTAGGATTTTTGGGGTATTCGTATTCACCAAAAACGGTCGTATTTGACCCCAGAATCTAGAAATATTTTTTTCAGAACGATTCGAAATTTTTTTTTGCCCGAGAAATTTGTCCACACTCCTGAATTTTTTAAATTTGAATGTGTTTAACCATTACTGGTTATTTCTACTCGCGTTGCATGTTCGCGAGTATTGTGTTGCATTGGTTCTAAATAATCAGAATATAAAGTCGACGGGAAGGTGTCACAGTCAACGCTTGGACCAACGCAAGTAGAAAGAACAAGTAATGGCCAGGCACACTGGTCAAGTCATGAATCTTTTTAATTTATTTCTTCGAAAATAACGCATCGTATGAAAAACTTTCAATCTGTATTTTTGATCCACTTTCTGGTACCACTACTAAAAAATCTAAAAATTTTTCAGAGTTAACCATCATTATACAGGGGTGTTCGGCCACCCCCGGGAAAAATTTTAATGGAGGATTCTAGAAGCCAAAACAAGCCGAAAATCAAGAATACCAATTTGTTGATGGAGGCTTTGTTAAAAAGTTATTAACGTTTAAAGTTCTGTCCGTACTGAATTTTTTTCTCGAAAATGCGCAGGATTTTGGGGGTATGTCTATTCACCAAGAATGATTGTAATTGACCCCAGCAACCGAAAATAATTTTTCCAGAACGATTTGAAATGTTTGTTTTTCGTTGAAAAAGGCGGCTAATTAGATTTTCGATATGGAATTTTTTTCTCGAAAGTGCGTAGGATTTAGGGGATATGTGTAATGACCAAACATGATTGTAATTGACCCCCGCAGCCGAAAATAATTTTTCCAGAACGATTTGAAATTTTTTCTTTCCGTCGAAAAATTTCACACCTTCTCGAATTCTTTTCTAAGAAGTGGGTAGGATTTCGGGGGTATGTCTATTCACCAAAAATAATTGTAATTGACCCCCAGAACTAAAAATATTTTTTTCAGGACGATTTGAAACTTTTGAATTTAATTGTTAATAACATTTTAACGAAGTCTCCATCAACAAAGTGGTATTCTTGATTTTCGTCTTATTTTGGCCTCTAGAATCCCTCATTAAAATTTTTCCCAGGGGTCGTAGATCGATTTTGCTGGAAATGAAATAAAATTTTTAAATGAGAAATTCACTAAATCCTTTAAATAGAATCTTGTTAATTGACATATACATATAAACACATACGCGTATTGATTAAATTTTTTTTTTTGAGTAGGTATTGCTACTCTTTTTTTCAAAACGTCATCATTTGAAACGTGGTTTTCCTATATAGTTCTGTCTTTTTTAGTCTTTTCGTGGTTACCAGGTAGCAATTATTTTGCTTCAATCGTTATTTATACGTTTGTTTCAAAAAGACGGAACTGGAGAATATACATCCGGACGCCTTCATCGTTATGTACTCTGTAATCGACAAGGCGTCCTTCCAAAGGGCTGAGGAGTACCTGGAACGTCTTCACGATCAGGACCTCCTCCGAGGGAAATCAGCCATATTAGTTGGCAACAAGGTGGACTTGGTTCGGTCCAGGGTGGTCTCTTCTCAAGGTCAGTGAATTAACATGATTTTTATCTTATAAAATCACAAGCCTCAAACACCATTAACACGTTCACTGCCACATCAAAACCCTATAACATTCTGCAAAAGTAAAATGTTGATTTTGGACCATTGTAAGCTACATGACCTAAAATTTGTTTCACTACTTATTTTCGTAACCTTGTTAAAATTCAAAAATTCTATTCAAATTTATTTCTGTCAACGTCATAACTTGAGAATTAATTTTGCTAGTATCGTAATGGTAAATCCTGTCACCCATATATGGCTGACGTGGCAGTAAAAGTGTTAAGAGAATTCAACATTCTGATACTTGATAACTACATGTCACATATTTATACCGTGGATCTCTAAAATATTTTGACATATGCAAATAACATATGTGATACATGAACATTATATAAACACGTGCAGTAATACAGTAACATATGTTATAAATTTACTGATAATGTGTCATGTGTAATGGGTTCAAACTTATTAATACTAACTACTGTCATAATTGCCAATTACTGTTATAATTTATATTACAATAAACATCAAGCATTTTTTCCATATCAACCATTGACAATTGATGAGATTTATCGTCAAACAAACCATAACCACAACCAAATTGATAACTCCAATGTAAAGTGGCCATTTAAAAACATTTAATTGTTCGAAGTTCCATTTTTACAGTAAAAAATTCAGAAACGTGTACAACAAAAGGAACGGGGCTTAAACTGTAAATTACGTTTTGCCTTGAAAAAGTATTCCAGGTATTCCAATGTTGAATTCAGTTTGGGGCCATTTTTACCATGCTTGTTCATCCATGCTGTGTCCTTTGATTTCACGTTTTGTATTTATTCTTGCACGAAAAATCATTCTCTTTCCTATTTCCGCCGCATGTGATGTTCTATGTCTAATTTTTTCCACATGGTCGTCGCAGATGGGAAGTGCATGGCGTGCACCTATCGGGTGAAGTTCATCGAGATCTCGGTGGGCATAAACCACAACGTGGACGATCTCCTGGTCGGCATTTTGAATCAGATCCGGCTGAAGATCGTGCAGGGCAGCTCGGAGAACCGGACAGCGAACGGCGGGACGGAGGGTGGCGGGCATTGGTACAAATCCAGGGGCGTGGTACGCGCCAGCATGAAGGCAAGACAAATGTTGACCTGGCTGTTCGGGAAGGAGGACAGCAAGTTCAAGAACTGCGAGAACCTTCACGTCCTTTAAACGATGGATCTCCTCTGCTCGAGGGATCTCAAATCACCGAAATTCTGCAGGGTATTCCCAAGCTATCTCAGCCAACCTTCGTCCGGCATAATCTACCGTACATTCGCGAGAAACGCGAAAGATACGAAATTGTCAACTTCGTGAAAAAGAAGGAACGTTTTTCGAGTTATAAACAAATTATTTCTGTTCGAACGAAAATTTAATTTTTTTTATTTTTCTGAACAGAGAAAGATACAAATGTATCTTTACTGATCAATGTTTAATATACAATTTCCTCGTCGATGCGAATCGGTAGATTAAATTGGTACAGTTTGGTTGGACAGCGCAGGGATACCTTGTATCCTTCGAGAATTCTTGCGAGGGTGGCCAAGTTTAAGTCGGTATTTGTTCTCTGATTCTCGTGACATCATCGTGCTTCCTGTCTTTTGTTTTTTCCTCCAACATGGAACTAGAATAGAAACCGTAAAACATGGAAAATTAATGTAAATATTTGTAAAGATTTTGCAGTCTCTTCTGAATTCCTCGAACTTTGTAACAATAACCTTGATAGCTTCGAAGATTTAGAATTTCTATTGGGCAATATTAACCCCTTACTGTAAGAATTTATAAGCAAAATGTATCGTTTTTATTTTTACAATTGATATCTGTTGGGTCGAGGAAAAGAAACTTTGCGTTTTAAATTAGAACTAAACTTGTTTATTAAACTTGATTAAACTGATTGAACGATAAAAACTGTACAGATGCATATCTATATACCTAATTTCTTCGAAATCGGTGTAGCGTTGCTATTCCATGATTTGAAACTGTCGCCTCCAGCGCCACCTCTCGGGGCCCTACGCACAACGACAACATGGCGACCGATTCGTAAATTGAGAATCGCGATTTTTATAATACGATACATAGTTAATTATTGCATTGAATTGATAACAACTATCGTTTTTGTTTAAATATAAACGTTTATTTACTGCATCTTGAAACTTGATTCGTACGACGAACGCTGAAAAATGTAATAAATTTGCTTACGTAAGGGGTTAAGCTGTATAACCTATTTTGAGAAACGTTCTAAGAAGAACAGAAGAATTGTTACGATGGACAAAATTGGCCACGCCTCGTTGCAAGAATCGAAGAGAGCGGAAAATGTGAAAAGTACGAGAAAAAAGTATGGAAAAACTTGGGGTGCGATCGAAGTGCCAATTAATAAAAACGAATGCGAGCCCGTTGTTTCTTTCCGAACGATTAACTTTCGAGTAATGTTAAGACGCGCGAATCATTATCGAGAATTTCCTCGATGACTAACGTAGTACTGATAAGGATAAGTTTTGCCATGAACATCGTGAATGTTAAATGGTTCTGTGTCTATCAACGTAACATTTAAGAGGTCCAAGGCGATGATACACGATACGCGAGGCTCGATTAATCCTTTGATCGTTAAGTCTTCATCGGCTCGTCGAAGGACAAAATACACGCTCAGTTATTTTTGAAAAAAAAACATCCAATTTCCTATGGAATAATTGGATCTATCCGGCTTAAACGTTATTACCTCGAAGCTTCCAATTTCGTCCGTCGATAAAATTAAGACGGCATGATCAAAAATACGTAAACGTAGTCTTTGTTTTTACGAGATACCTTATATGAATTCGTAATAAAGGCACTATTAACAACAATTATATCAAGTTATTGAATTTTATATTTAAAAGTAAACGGTGAACTGTAAACGATACGAAGGAACGATGGTTCGAACTCGACCACGGTGGACCTTGGTTGTACTTGATAAAAATATTTGTGCGATTCTTTTTTTGATGAAAAAAAATGATGCATGCAAAATTCGGTGCAAATCGTGCCGCATAGAATTTGAAAACTTTTTATTTTTGTAATTCGTATTTTTTCCCGCTTTAAGTCACAGGTTCTATACAGTTTTGTATATTGTTGAACTCGTCTCTTTACGAAAAGAAATATACATTCGCAGTGAAAACAAAATTGTAACTTTGAAATGTCAAAAATTGACTTTGACCAAATTTTTTTTTTTTAAGAAAAGATCCTGATAAATGGATGAATACAATCAATTATTATCAAAAAACGAGAAAGCAATATATGTATATTACAAACAATTTCCTAATGTGCACAAAACGTTCCTCAATGAAAGATATCTAACTCGTATTCGGTAGAATTTATTAAAAAGATATTTTAACACAATGAGAATAATTTCATTTTTTACTCTCCTAGATATTCCTTCATTGTTTTCTTTATATTACATATTCTGCTATAAATAGTCTGTTTAAACAGAAGTACCTAAATTCTATATATGTATCGCCTCTATATGTGAATATATGAACAAATTCTTTGGACAAAATCGTACTATTCGATAAACTAAACGTAATCTTACAGAAAAAATTTGCTTTTTCAAGGTCAGTTTTAAACATTTCAAAGTCAGAATTTATTTTCACTGCAATTATACAGGGTGTTTGGCCAACCCTGGGAAAAATTTTAATGGGAGATTCTAGAGCCCAAAATAAAAAGAAAATCAAGAATATCAATTTCTTGACTGAGACTTCGTTAAAAAGTTATTAACAATTCAATTCAAAAATTTCAAATCGTTCTGGAAAAATTATTTTCAGTTGCGGGGGTCAATTACAATCATTTTTGGTCATTACACATACCCACGAATTCCTACCCACTTTCTAGAAAAAAATTCCTCACCGAAAATCTAAAGTGAGGTTAGAAATTTTTCCCTGAAATTTCATGCGAATTTTTAAAATGTCGTAACTCCTGAACGGATTGGACGATTTTAATGTTTCAAAAGGCAAACGACGCGTATTTTAATGTAGAATATGTAGATATTCCAAGAATATTCGAAAAGTTGTTTCTTCAACCCGTAAACTGCGAAAAAAACCCCATAAAAGTAGTCGAATTTTCAAACGACCATAACTCTTACAATAGTCAATGGATTTCATTGAAATTTATGTCTAAAGTAGAGTTCATGGATACCTACAAAAAAGTATTAGACAAAATTTCTGTATAGCGTCAAACAAATTGACTAAAAATGAAAAACGAGCTTCTAAGAAAAATCGACGAAGTGCCTAAACTTGGCAAAAAGAAAAATTTCGAATCGTTCTAAAAAAATTATTTCTAAGTTCTGGGGTCAAATACAACATTTCTTGTGAATACACATACCCCCAAAATTTTACGCAGTTTCGAGAAAAAAATTCAGAAATGTGTACAAATTTTTTGACGAAAAAAAAAATTCCAAATCGTTTTGGAAAAATTATTATCGGTCGCGGGGGTCAATTACAATCATTTTTTGTGAATAGACATACCCCCGAACTCCTACTCACTTTCGAGAGAAAAAATTCAGTACGGACGGAACTCCATCAACAAGTTGGTATTCTTTATTTCGCCTTATATTGGCCTCTAAAATCTTCCATTAAGATTTTTCCGAGGTATATATCGCCTCTATTTGCGAATATATTAACAAATTCATTGGACAAAATCGTATTATTCGATGAAACAAACATAACCTCAAAAAAAATTTGCTTTTTCAAGATCAATTTAAAAAAACTCAAGGTCAGAATTTCTTTTTCAATTATATGTTCTTATAGAACGTAAAAAGATGAATTCAACGATACACGAAACAAAACTGTACAGGAGCTGTGAATTAAAACGCAGAGAAACGAATTAACAAGAGTAAAAAATTTTCTAGAGAGTGTCTCAAAGAAAAATAAGGTCCACCCTGCTGTCGATGCACGAAAGCTTCATCGATACGAAGGATTTCGTCAGTGCAAAGACTAAACGCGAATCGAGTAACCGTGTTGTTGACAGAGAAGCTCGGTAATCAAAGGGGTCAGTTGAAAAGAACAGTTCCCAGATGGCGCCGGGCGAGATTAAATTAGTTAGAAAGTCGATTCTAGGACAGGTACGGAGGAATTTAAATCGGACCATGGCGTGAATTAGCGGCCACTAATACTTACGACGTTACTGTACAATAAGACCAATTTAATCTTTTTATCTGAACTGTATATACGATAAGTTTAACGATACGGATCTGTGTACCTATTGTAAAAGCGAGATACGTGTGTTACATTATACATATATACATACCCAACGTGAATGTACTCCTAATGTTCACGATCAAATAAGTGGCTAGTCTGTGTAGATGTATGTTAAAGATTGACGTGTTTCTGTATTGCGTGTTTTCCTCAAAAGAACGGAGTACCGGACGACAGCCATCAATGTCTCGCGAGGAGTATGCTCTTTTTCGAAATTTCACGGGTAAATACGAAAGAAGAAAATGAAACACAAACACATACACACACACACACACGCGTACGATTATACACTGTCTATTTTCTGCGATCTCTATGCCTGTATATCCGAATTATACTATATATACAAAACATATACATAGACGCGTATGTATATTTAATCGAGTCAAGCTGCAGCGAGGCTGGTCCGAGCGGTGCGTCTGTTTCAGGGGCCAAATCGAAGAGCTGTCAAATCAAAGAAACGCTTTGTCGCGAATTACTTTAGATCAAAGGCGGCGTCGGGCTGAGCTAAATAGTAACTCAAAGGGATCACGACGACACGGCGAAAAGGTGGCTCGTAGAGCGTAGCGAAATAGAATTCTAAGCGTAAATGGGGGCATTATGTCAAAGGTAAGCAAACTTACGGAATAGCAGGGGACAACGATCCGAGAAGCGTTCTCGAAGGAAATAGAAAATTCCAAAGAAATTTTAATCCAAACTATGGCGTTAACTTTGCAGCATGAACCACGCTGTGGAGGAGGGGGGGGGGGGGATTGGAGTCTCGAAGTGGGTACCAAGTTGATAAGACTTTTAGCCAAACTGGGGTAGTTCATAGTTTAATGACTAAGTTGAATGTGGTGTCAAATTAAAGGATACTAACTTTGACACTAAGCTGATTAAGTCTTGCAAACGGGGAGTTTGCAACAAACACCATTTAATTGACAATCTTTGATTTTAATTGACGTTTGATTCAACGTTGATTGCCATGGTGGTCACCGGTGACCGGCACTTTGAACTTACGTGTTGCGATATTCTAATGCTTGTAAAATTGTAAATAACGGTGCTTTCAATTTTTAACAAATTCACTATTGAATTATCGAATATTTCTACGTTTCGCGTTATAATTTGAACAAATGGGCATCTTTGAACATGGAAAACTGGCGTGGTAGTTAAATTACACATCGTTGAAGCTGATGTTACATTAACCTCAAAGTTGTGGTTGATACGACTAGTTATTATAGTTAAAGTCTCAGAAATTAATGAAGATATAACAAATGTTGAATATGAAGAAAGTTTGCCGAATGTTTAAATACAAATTTCGACAAGTAATATACAAATAATATATCTGTAATTTTCAATGCTTCGTCTGATAAACTTTAAGTCGAAAGTGCTGTCGAGTCGAAGAAAACTATAAACTGGACCAGTTCGCGGTTCGTCTAGGGACAAATAGACGAACTGCAACGATACGTAAACGAAATTATTCGTGTTCGAAAAAGTGACCTTGGATAGTCAGTTCATTTCGATCCAAAAAAAAATGTTTTCAATTTAAACGAACATCGGGTACTAAATTTTATTCAGACACTTAAAAGACAATATTATATTTAAAATATGAAACTCGTAAAAGCTAAATTAAATTACGTGAAATTTGGCATCGAAAAACGACACGAAAATATGAGTAGAATAATCAAAAAGATAGTTCGTAGAAATTCGAAGATCGAATCTAACCTCAATTTTATTTATTTCAATTGATATTCCAACGACGCCTTTTTCGACTCAACGTGTACCGCGAGGCCAGCTCGCTGCAGCGCCGCCATTAATAATAAAGCCGGAATAAGAATAATGGTAAATTAATGCAGCAATCCCGTATGCATAAGTGGAAATGGTTCCTTCGCCGACATTTTGCTCGCGTACCGAACCGAGAGCCGATATAACGACGTTGTCGTCGACTAATTTGTTCTAGTCCGTATTAGTTTGCGAACACACAATATTGGTTTGCGTCGTCGTCGTCGTTGTTGTTAATTTTTACATTTGAACGATCGCGAACGCAAGCAGCCTCGCAAGGATTCTGTTCAGAGAGGCGTCACATCGACGAGGACCTTAAAGAAAAAAAATATTCTTATCAAGTGCCTTTGTGTATTTTTGTAATTTAAACTAACTCGATGTAAGTCTTACAAAAATACAACCAGTGTAACCATTAATATACCCATGTCGATACACGAAACGCGGCGCGATCTTCTTCACTTTTAACGATTCGTTACCGGTACATCATCTCAACGACTACTTTCTCTTCTTTCCGTTTCGTTCACCTTCTTTTTTTTTAACGTCGATTATTTCTCGTTCCTCGTTTTGTCCAGTTAACTTCGAGAGTGAGCACATTACAGGACTCGAAATGACGTAAATGACAACGCGTCGTGTAGTTCGAACGAAGATCCTTCGGGACAAACGTTGCATCAACCGATCGACCTCCTCCCCGCGACACGTTCATTCGATGTTACCACACGGTTAACTGTTTGTCTGGAAAAATTATCGATGTATTTAAAGCTGTAATGTTATCGTGTCTGTTCGTTGTAACGTGTGACGTGACAATACTGCCATCTCTTCGGTCGACAGAGACACGAAGGGATACGCTTTGACGCGAACGAGGCATCCATGGATCCGATGAATCGCGGCCGCGTCCTCTAGCGGAATATTTTAATGTGAGATTACATCTGTCATCCAAGGAAGTCTGACGAATGGCTCTAATCCCGAGGGATTATTGTACATCGGTAATAATAAAGAAATTACATCCGAAACCATTTGGTCTCTGTATCTACCTACAACAAAAATCTACGTAAGAAATAAGGGGCACGTGTCTGGAAAGGGATTTTAAGGAGACCAGTCGGAAAATCGCGCCTAGAATGTTTAATTTCTTTATTGGGTTGATAATAACGTAGCTGTCATTGTTGTCTTCTTTTAGTGAGGAGGAATGATGTCTTTGGGGTTACCAGCGATTTTTAATGTGGCTGTGCAACTAATATTTTTCGGTCTAAGAATACTATTTATTTTGGAGAAAAGATGTTTTGGATGGTGTATGCCATATACTAGATTACGCTGCACTCGTTGTTATTTTTGTCACCTTCGACGCAGATAACAGCCCACCGTTAAAACACTACTGATTTAACCTCAAAGCATCGAAGTCCAGAGGTGCCAGAAAAGCACCGACGGTGCCCTACTCACACATGCCAGATCACGCGTACGTGAGCTCGTGGAGTTACGGAAAAGGCAAACTGACGCTTGCCCTCTTTCTCGATTCTCCGAAGCTGCCCGAAGTAATTTCGGACCGCCTCGTGGGAGTCGAGAGAGGAAGGCTCATTTGCCTTCTCGCTTTTGAACAACTGAAATTCGACCTCACTTCGACGGCATACGATTCCAAGTCTCGACTGCCCAGGTATTTTTTACTTTCCGACCTATGTATGTAGACGAACATAAGCAAGGTACTATAATGGAAAAAATTTTGTGAAATTTTTCTTACGGAAATACACGTTTTAAGGGGCCATTCTACCTTGTAGGCACGAAAAATACATGTTTTTTTGTGATTTTTTTTTGCGGACTATTAAAAAGTAATTAATTCCGTGTCTTGTAGATACATTTACTATATATTTAGCTATATTTACGAATTTTTGCTACTCATAATATCTATTGATTACGCTGTTTTTGTTGATCAACAAACAACAGTTTTTACGAACGGCGCCCGACTGCGTATGTGATATCTTGCGAACAAATTATCCGAAATCCAAAAACCAACGGTATTCTTAATATAGATGAGTGTGGATATAGCATGAACTAGGATCTTTTCAAAAGAACAAAAAATGGCAAAATGGCAGCTATTTTACGAAAAAATACTGAATATTTTCATATATTCGGCTGCCTTTTTGTTAATAAAAGAAAAAGTATTGCAGATATCGCAATTATCCTAGTTCATGCTATAGGGAGACTAGTTCTAAAGATACTGTATAAATTTCCTGTTGATATCTTGAATAGTTTTTCTGTTATCACATTCGCAGTGCCGAAAAATGTAGTTTCGAGAAAAACAGCTTTAAAGTTTCACGTCCAGTTGTTATACCTACGCGCGGTACATTTCAGCAGGTTATAACTTCGTTAGTTTTCAGAATTTCAATTTAATATTTGGTAGATATATTTTCGAGACTACATACTAAAAGACAATGCAAATAAAATTCGATTTTTTTAATCCCACAAAGTAGAAAGGCAACTTAAAGTTTTACGTCCAATTATATATCCTTACGCGCGGTACATTTCAGCAGGCTATAACTTCGTTAGTTTTCAGAATTTCAATTTAATATTTGGTAGATATATTTTCGAGACTACATACTAAAAGAAAACGTAAAAAAAATAAAATTCGGTTTTTAAAGTCCCACAAGGTAGAGAGGCCCCTTAAGGCCCCCCGATCATATTTGAATTATTGAAAAAGAATAAATTCTTTTTTATTATTCCTATGTATGGGATAATGTATAACCATTACTGCTGGCTACTGCCAGCCTCTCACAGCCTCTGCTGGCTTCTGCTGGCCTCTGCTAACCTCTGCCAGCATGTGCGGGCTTCTGCGTGCCTCTCCTGGCCCCTGCTGCCCACTGCTGACCACACCTGATACTTCCGACAACGTATAACGATTACTACTGGTTACTGCCAGCCTCCCCCAGCCTCTGTTGGCCTCTCCTGACCTCCGCTTATATTTCTGGCAACGTATAACGATTGCTACTGACTTCTACTTGAAACTCCTTGGAATTTTTGAACCAGCTGGAAAGCCCTGAAACAACTGGAAAGTCCTGGAACAGCTGGAAAGTCCTGAAACAGCTGGAAAGTCCTGAAACAACTGGGAAGCCCTGTAATTTCTTGGAAACGCCGAAAATTCTTGGAAACCCTGAATTTTTAGCAAAGTTCTGAGTTTCAGGACTTCCTAGTGGGTTCAGGGAAACCAAGGAGTTTCGGGGAGTCTTATAACTAAGGTAATGATTTGGAGAGGAAAAGAAAGGTAAAACATGATGAGAACACATAGAATTTTTTGTAATTATATCATTTATTGCCATAGATTTACATTATACAATGTTTTAATACATATATATCATGGCAGAAGTTGTTAACAAGGGTCAGCAGTGGTCAGCAGGGGTCAGCAGAGGTCAGCAGTGGTCAGCAGGGGTCAGCAGAAGCCAGCAGAGGCTGCGAGAGGCTAGCAGTAGCTAGCAGTAATGGTTATACGTTGTCAGATGTATCAGAAGTGATATCTGAAATGATATACATATGTCCGCTCATATATAGGAATAATAAAAATGAATTTATTTTTTTTCAATAATTCAAATATGATCAGGGGGTCTTAAAACGTGTATTTCCGTAAGAAAAATTTCACAAAATTTTTTCCATTATAGTACCTTGCTTATGTTCGTCTACATACGTAGGTCGGAAAGTAAAAAATACCTGGGCAGTCGAGACTTGGAATCGTATGCCGTCGACGTGAGGTCGAATTTCAGTTGTTCAAGTGAGAGAAGGCAAATAAGCCTTCCTCTCTCGACTCCCACGAGGCGGTCCGAAATTACTTCGGGCAGCTTCGGAGAATCGAGAAAGAGGGCATGCGTCAGTTTGCCTTTGTCGACTTTCTGTAACTCCACGAGCTCACGTACGCGTGATGTGGCATGTGTGAGTAGGGCACCGTCGGTGCTTTTCTGGCACCTCTGCTCGAAGCCAAGTGTTCAAACAGTTGAATCAACCGATTGTTAAACAGATGCGCCGTCTAGTGACAAAATTAGGAAGGACACGCTCTTGTGGAACTGAATGTATGTATTGTTCATCATAAATCATTTTACAAAGGCCTGTTAAAATCGAAGTCGAGCAATTGATCTTCCTTACAAGTTACACGACTTGCACAGTTAAGATTCCTTTCTCAAAGATATACTGAAACTCCAGATTATAAGGTCCATCGGAAAAACAGAGATTGTCAAGTTTTAAGATTCCTCAGGATATCAAAGTTTGCTTCGAAAAAAATGCATTCGAAAATTTTTAACGGACGTAGCTCGGATTATCTAACAGCTGAAAATTCTTTTATCATATCGAAAGAACATTTGCAACAAACACGGGGCGTAAATATACGATAATCGATAACAAAATTATGGGTCTTTGTTTTCTAGCAACCACTGCATTTAGGTAAATGATGCATTATTCTTTTTACTACAAGATATTCCATTATCCGTTGGATTAAACCTTTCAACGTAATGGAGCACCGTCGCAATACATTAAAAAACATGCCACCGAGTATGTTGACCATCCCTGAACTTTTCTAGAAACAGAAATCTCGAAAAATCTTAGAACTTGGTAATACAGTACAGCACTTTGATGCAGAGATCTCGAAATCCTTGAAAATCGACTCGAAAGTGATAAATCGATTCTCTGATTATCGGCGATCCGAGAAATCGAGTTTCCAACGATCGATTTAACGAGAACGATCGTCTTTCCTCTTTTACGACGATGCACACGATCCCAACCGCCGAGGATCTGCACTTTTTCAATTTTAATACCCATCGTAAATCTTATCGCGGCGCTTAGTTGATAAATAACCTCTCGCCAGACGCATGCGCCCTGTGCATCGATTATTTTGATTGGTGCCAGATATTACCAGGCTCCGGTCGTGGCAGTCTGCCACGAACGAAAACGAATGTCGACTTCTTGTAACCTCGAATACGGCCGGAGGGAACGATAACAAACGATATTCCACTAAATGTGAAACATATCGAGCATAAAAGGAACAGCAACGAAAATGTAACCGACCGATATGGTTGAATGTTCGACCGGATGGCGCGTGCTCAAAATCTCGTGTCGAGGAGGGTGAATAAATTTGAAATAAATACGCTTCGATTCGTCGTACATACGTGATCGTCGAGCTCCCCCCTTCGAACTAAAAAAATTCAGAATATTTCCAACAAAACAAAGTTTTATCAAATTGTGTCGTAAAATTTCTATAATTAGGTAAATAGCATTTAAATTTCTATAAAATAATGTAGAAGATTAAATTTTGATGTTCAATCTTTTCGACAAACTTTTAAATTGGATTTTAAAACCCCCATAATTTACATTTTATATTAATAAAAGTTTTTAACTTGTAACATTATTTATAATTGTTATAATTGTTATAATAACAGTTTTGGGAACACCAAATATAGGTTACAATATTTGTACGTTTACTTGGTTCGATATTTTGATAGTTCGTCCCTCCGTGATAAAGATTTTCGACGGTTCGAACATTATCGAGGAATCGATGAGGATCGAGAGCCAAGATGGCGACTGCCAAACCAACCACCTGCAAAGAAGCAATACGTCGATGGGAGGAGGAGAACGGACAGGAAGCTTCTACCGCGACAGAAGTCATCCTGAGCTTTCAATGGCCTCCCATAGAGAAGATGGACAATGCTTTGGCGACTTTGGTCAGTTGCGAGAAACTTTCTCTGTCGACAAACATGATCGAGAAAATTGCAGGTAGGTATATTACACATGCTTCTCTTCTTATATACCGTTACTGTAGTGATCGAATCTTTAATTTCATGCGGACTTAAAAATTTGTGGCGCTGCTGGCTGAGGTTAGGATCTCGTGAGATTCGTAGGAGGCGTGAAAAGGAAAGTAGGGGGCGCGTTTTGTCTTAGCCTGCTAGTGGACTGGGATATTAGGAAGCTTCTTCTTTTTTTCTTTTTTTTGTTATTTTTCATGATTGGTTACAGTACTTGGGGTTAGGGCCCTTTAATCTGCATTTAGAATGAGTGTTAGTGCCTGGGTATATTTATGTTAGTGTAAGGTTGCGGTATTTCTTGTCTTCGGGCTCGAGAAAAAACTTTCAAAAAACCTCGTTTTCATGCATCATGCGATAAGTATTGGTGATGGGGGTTGTTAGTTTAGAATGAATCTGGGTGTTTTTATTCGCGATATTAGGAAGTCGTTCGAGGAGTGTATATATAGCACCGAGGGGTTGGCCAGTGCTTGTGAGAGCGTGAGCCCTCTGGTGGCGAGCATGGGAGGCCACGCCACAATATCATTATCATTATCATTAACATTAACATTAACATTGACAAAATTCAAGTCCATGTCTTCCTCAAACTTAGCATCAACTGCCCAATTTGATAATAAAATTCTGATTTTTAGATTTCAAATTTATACTATTTAAGACGCGCATACTGGACACTTCATAAAATATAAAAATATTTAAAAAATGAGATTGTTAAACAAGAAATAATTCCATTTTTAATAATCGAGATTCTACCATTTTTTCAAGTTCAAATTTATTATATTTAGCATTAATATTCTCTTATAGAGAATTACGATTTTTCAAAAATTCAGTCGAGTAAATTTTTTACAAGTTTTATTAGAAATTACGAATTTTTCGTTGCAACATAGTCCAAAATCGGCCTATTTGTACCATCCTCCTTTGAAATTTAAAAAATGGTAGAATCTCGATTATTGAAAATGGAATTATTTCGTGCTAAACAGTCTCATTTTTTAAATATTTTTATCATTTACGAAGCATCTAGTATGCGCGTCATAAATACCATAAATTTGTCGGGGATCGCGTCGCGTTGGATACGCTGGACAGCGTCCGATCGTCGAGGTGCAGCATCATTGGGCGCGTGCAGCAGACTCAGGATGGGTGACCACGAGAAAATACCATAAATTTGAAATCTAAAAAACAATAAAATCTCGAATATTGGAAATGGGAATTATTTTTGTTTAAATTTCATTATTTAAATATTTCTATATTTCATGAAGTGTCCAGTATGCGAGTGCTAAATATTATTTTGAAATTTAAAAAATGGTAGAATCTCGATTATTGAAAATGGAATTATTTCGTGCTAAACAGTCTCATTTTTTGAACTGTCGAATTATATTAATCGTGGCGCGATTACGCATCAATTAAGGAGGTCGTTTAGCACCTGCGGCCCATTTCACGTGACCCGTGGCGTAATTCCATTTACATACATGTACATCGAATTATACGGCCTGTCGAACGCTCGTCTCGTTCATTGTTTTTGCGCGTTTTGCTCCGCTCCGTGCAAATTGGAGCATGTCTGCACCGACTACGGATTCTTCTACAACGATGCAAATTTACGCCCTATGGCCAAAACTTTTGTCACGGATACCCTACAACGCTGCGCCAAACGCTTCAAAACGCGAACGATCGATTCCAATTACACATATAATCCAACAATTTTGGTCGTGAAAGTAATCCTTTATGCGACTTTGCAAGCTCCCCGCGTTTATAAAGATTTCGAACTTGGTCGATTCATAATATTTAAACAACGCGTATTTTAGTGGAGAATATGTAGAAATTCTAACAATATTGGAAAAGTTGTTCCTTGACACAGTAAAGTGAGACAAACCCCCTAAAACTGGTCCAATTTTCAAACAGCCATAACTCCTAGAATAGTAAAGGTATGTCACTGAAATTTTTTTCTGAAACAGAGTTCATGGGTACCTACAAAAAAGTATTTGACAACTTTTCTATAGAACGTCAAACAAAATAAAACTTTCTTATAACAATTTGAAGGTTGCTCTGTATTTAAAATCGTTGAAACAAAAATGGTGCGAGTTGGTCGTAAAAAATAAACTTTTTAATACTTTCAGTTCGTAAATTTTACCCTTTAGTATTGTCTTGCGGAGTAGCTTTTATGATTTCGTGTTTGGATTGCCTCGTACGCGAAATATTACGTGTGTTACGATTACTATGTTGTTTATGGTATCTAATGTATCGTTTGAAACAGCAATGATGAATTTGTGGCCTTTTTTTTTTTTTTTGGTCCTTTTCTCTTGTGTGACTGCAGTACCTTGGGCTGCGACCTATAACCTGCACTTAGAAATGTATAGTTAATGTCTGTGTGTAATTTTGGTGGGGTGGTTTTATTGAGTTGATTTCATGTGTTAGGATCGAGGGAAAAGTTTCAAAAACCTCAATGCATTGGTATGTCGTGCGACAGTGGAGATTGGGTGTTAGATATTTGGGATGAGTTTGGGTGTTTTCATGCGGATCTTTAGTGGGAATTCTGCGCGGTTGTAATTTCCTAGGGAGGATACTAAGGGGTTTGGGTGCTGAGTGTTATTTTCCTGGGCTTTAGTGGCTAGTGTCATGATGTATTCGTGCAGGAGTTTTGTTTTTGCTTCTCTGTGGAGTAGTGCTGTGGAATAGGATCGGGGTTTGTTGAGTATAATCCTGAGGTATTTATTTTGGATTTTTTGTAGTGTAGCTATGTGTGTCCTTGCGGCGGTGCACCATACTGGTGCGCCGTAAGTTAGGATGGGGCGGATGCAGGTTTTGTAAAGTCGGATTTTTAGTGGGATAGGAAGCGGGCTGTTTCGAGCTAGGAACGGGTAGAGAATGCGGAGGATCCCTAAGCTTTTGCAGGCTCTGTCTTTGGTATTATGTTGCCATTTTAACTTGTTGTCAAACCATATTCCTAGATATTTAACTTTGGAGGACCAGTTGATAGGGTGGTTGCTTACTATTAGTTTATCTGGGTTCTTTAGCCTTTTTGGGGTGAAAATTATTGCTTCGGTTTTGGTTGGATTTAGTGCTAGTTTCCATGTGGTGGTGAATCGGAGGATGTTGTCGAGGTGGTTTTGTGTGTGTTTGGTTGCCTGTTTGATTTGCCACGAGGAGGAGTAGATGGCTGTGTCGTCTGCGTACAGGGCTAGTTTTGTGTTGGTGCTTTTGGGAATGTCGTTGATGTAGATGTTGAATAGGATGGGTCCCAGGACTGATCCCTGAGGTACCCCGGTGTGCAGGAGCCTGGGTGAGAAGATGGAACCATTGTAGGAGACTGTGGTGAGCCTGTCCGTGAGGTAATTTTGAATTATTTTGATTAGGTGGATATGGAGGTTGATGTGGTGCAGTTTGAGGAGGAGGCCATTGTGCCAGACGGTGTCGAAGGCCTTCTGGAGGTCTAGTAGAACTAGGACCACCGTCCGGTTCTTGTTCACCTCCAGAGCAATGTCCTCCTGTAGCCTTAGGGCTTGCTGGATAGTGGAGTGTTTGGCTCTGAAACCGAATTGTTCTTGTATTAGGATGTTGTTGGAGGAGAGGTGTGCGTTGACTTGGATGAGAATTATTTTTTCCAGGATTTTGCCGAGTAGGCTCAGCAAGCTGATTGGCCTGTAGTTGTTTGGGTTTAGTGCGGATTTCTTGGGTTTGGGAAAAGGTATTATGCGAGCTGTTTTCCAGGCAGTGGGAAAATAAGCTAGGTGGTATGACTGCCTGAAGATGTAGTAGAGTTGGAGGGTCATTCTGGGAGGAAGGTGTTGGATGGCTGTGATTTTGTCTGGGCCAGGGGATTTTTTGTTTTTTAAGTTCATGATCAGTCTGAGGATTAGTTGGGGGGTGATGGCTGTGGTGATTGAAGGGAGGGTGTTGGTGTTGTGTAACTTGTAGATGAAATGCTCAGTTTCCTGTTCGATGGAAGAGTTGGTGAGTGTGCTGGGTGGGAGGTGGAAAGCTCTGGCAAGTGATTCCGTTTTGTCTGCGTTGGTGTAAGCTATGGTGTTGCCGTCGTTGAGTGGTGGAATTGTGGTTTTGGTTTGTTTTAGGGATTTGTATGTCGACCAGAGCCTGTTGGGATTGTTAGCTATTTGGGAGATTTTGTGCTGCCATGCTGTGTTCTTTAGTTCGCGGGTCTTGGATTGGATTTGGCTGGTGAGAGTGTTTCGGAGATGTCTATGTAGTGGGTTGGCTGTGTTTTGGAATTTGCGTCTGTATCTGTTGCGTAGTTTTATGAGGTTCAGTAGCTCGGTGTCTGGTTTTATTGTTTTGTGGTAGGCATGCGTGGTGGTGGTTGCTCTGTTGAAGTTTTTTCTTATTGTGGTTTGAATTTTGGTGATTTCTCTGTCTATTTCCAGGGTAGAGTTTAGATGCGGGTTTATAGGGTAGTTGTTCCCCTGGGAGCGGAATAGGTGCCAGTCAGTGGTGGAGAGGGTGCAGTTTGTGAATTGGATGTGATTGTTGGTGTGCTGTAGGATTATTGGGAGGTGGTTGGAGGGTAGGTCGTGTATTGTGTGGCATTCGGAGTAGTGGGTGGAGTTGGTTAGGAAGATGTCTATGTTGGATGGTCTAGCGTGAGGCTGTTTGTGGGAGTAGGTATCACTGTTGAGGATGTGGTAGGAGTTTTTGGTCATGTGGGTGTACAGTGCTTTGCCGTTACTGTTGGTGGTGATGTTGTTCCAGCAGGGGTGCTTGGCATTGAAGTCACCCCCGATGATGAATTTTTGGTTGTGGGAGGTTAGGGTGTCCAGGTCATGCTGGGAAAAACGTTTGTCTGGGGGGAGGTAAGCTGCTCCGAGAATGATTTTAGGGTTGGTGGTGAGTTTGATGAAGATGCCCTCTACTCTGTCCAGGAAGGGTTGGGGGAGAGTGTCGTACTTGAGGTTCTGGTGGATGATGATTGCTACTCCTCCATGTGGTGTGTGTCGGTCTTTCCTAATTACATTGTATCTGGGGAAGCGGATGACATCGGTGGGTTTGAGCCAGGTTTCTGTGATTAAGGCTAATTGAATTTGTTGTTGTTCGAGGAATATTTGGAGCTCAGAGGTTTTGTTGATGATGCTGGTTGCATTCCAGAGAAGTATCTTGGGGGGTAAGTTAGCCATTTATGAGTTCGGCGGCTTCAAGGAACGCTTGAAGTTTCTGAACTTTAGAGTTACATGAGCTGAGTTTTGTGTACAGAAAGTCGAGGGCGAATTTGTGGCCTCCCATGCTCGCCACCAGATATATACCGAGGGGTCGGCGAGTTCTTGTGAGAGCGCGAGCCCTCTGGTGGCGAGCATGGGAGGCGACGCCACAGTATCATTATCATTAACATTAACATTAACAAATTCCAAGTCCATGTCTTCCTCAAACTCAGCATCAACTGTCCAATTTGATAATAAAATTCTGAACGAATATTTTTTTCATTTCAAGTAAATAATCCATCAAAAACACTTGATACAATGTTAATTGTTGTTAGGAATAAAGCACAGAGACCTATAAAGTTCTCTTATCCGATACAGGAATAGCGAGTCTGAAGAATCTAAAGATCCTAGCATTAGGTCGTAACTTGATTAAGGGTTTCACCGGTCTGGAGGCGTTGGCAGACACCCTCGAGGAGCTCTGGATTTCGTACAATCTTATCGAGAAGACGAAGGGCATCAACGTGATGAGAAATCTCCGTGTACTGTACATGTCGAACAATCTAGTGAGGGAATGGAACGAATTCAGCAGACTTCAGGAGCTCGCGAACCTTCAGGATCTCGTCTTCGTTGGAAATCCACTCAACGATAGTCTCGAGGTACGCATTACTACCTCTCAAACATTTACCAATCTGATGCATAATCCTCAAAGTAATTTTCATTTATAACAATTGTTAGACTTCCTCTAGGAATCTATGTGCCAGTTACGGATAGAGTTTCCAAAAATTATACTTCAATTCCTTGCCACAAAGAACGCAATTGTTTTATTCGAAAAGAGAATTTTTTTGTTATACAGAAAAAAAAATAAGGGAATTCCACAATTGGGAATCTTATTTTTGTATAGGAAGATCATAAATTTCTTAAATGTACGTTAATCGTTTTTTGTATTTGTTCAGTATCGTTTGCTTGAATAATATTATAATTTTATATTGTGCTTGTACATTTTTAGTTACCTTGATGAACCTATGATAAAACAACTATTTCTGTAATGATTTTTAGTTGGAACAATGGAGGTCGGAGGTGGCCAGACGCTTACCAACGTTGGAGAAATTGGATGGCGAACCGATCATTCGGACGGAAGAATATTCCTGTCCGAATCAACCACAAAAATCTGATTGTCCATTGCAACCAGAAACTACGTAACATAATGTTGCAGAACATTTATAGATATTTTTGTTAGAAACTTTTTTGAGACATTTTCATCTTCGTTGCTTTTGCAATATTTTTTTGTACGCTTATAAAATATAGTACAAACAATATTTCTTAGAATTTTACCGACGAGTAACTGTACAGAGAACAACTAAAAATAAAAATATGAATTTTTTGTCTGCTTTATATGATTTTCCGGTACCGGGAATCGAACCCGAGCCTCCTGGGTGAAAGCCAGGTATCCTAGCCACTAGACCATACCGGAATAGTTTTGTCTGTTTTATATATAATCAATATTTTTGTATATGTATAGATGATATTTGAAGGTAAAGTTTATTTTTTTTTAACGGAGTTATATTTTCCGATACACTGATCGATTCATCTCGACATTCTCTATAACAAAGTATAAAGGCAGTTGTAACGAAAAACCTTTACTTTAGTAGATATTTTAATTTAAACGTGGAGTTCTAGTTTTAATCAGAGTTTGACTGCCGTACCGACAATCTGACTGCCATACCGACCTGAAAATTCGGAGGTGACTTTAGCGACCTCTTCTCATGGATGGCGGTCAGTTGAGAAACTATTCATTGAATTAGTATTGATAGGCAAACAGTTGTCGTATTGCATAAATACGTGTGAGTTGACTATGGAAGGGATTAAAAAATTTAAAATTCATTTCTGAATCTGTTGGTAACGTTGCGAGTGATACAAAAAATGGTAATGGGGTCTCGGGAGATTTAGAAACAGATTTAGAAATTAACACAAAAGGAAGTGAGACAGAAAATGAAATTTTTTACACACGAATTTTATTTGATTCCGAGTCTCGGGACCCCATTACCATTTTCGTATCACTCGCAACGTTACCAACAGATTTAGAAATTAACACAAGAGGAAGTGAGACAGAAAATGAAATTTTTTACACGCGAATTTTATTTGATTCTGAGTGGATAACATTGGATTTAGAACTGCAATGGTAAGAAGTACGATCTCAGATGTTCGTACGTGATGCAGGCATAGATGAAATACGTAAACGACGTTGTACTTAATGCTTTTTTGTAACATGCTAATCAGAAGTACAGACAAAGTATATAATAAATGTTAGAAACAATGTTTTTTCCGTGTCACACGTTTGTAAGCCCCGTATTAATTATAGACGTTTTAAATTATGTTTTTCTTACAAGAGTAAAAGTTTTCTCTCGCCAATCAACATTTTACAAGAAATTTATACCGAAATTCTATCAAAATTAACAAAAACTTCTGACTGATTAGATTGCAATTATTCATATTATTGAATTTTAAGACGATTTAAGAGATAAATAGAATTTCCCGTTAAGGACGACGTTTACGGAGACGCCTGGCCAAATTTCATTCCAGAAGCATTATCGAAACTATTATCGAGAGCCTTTGACGGGTACGTGACACATCCCTATAGATATCGATTTTACAAACAGTCTTAGGTACACATGCAGCGAGGCTTTGTGATCCGACGTAGAGTTAATACGCGTGCAGAGTACGCCAGCGAACCAACCGTGAACGAACACTTATATACCGAATCAAACAGTACATGTGCATGAAACACGAGTACGCAAAGCGATTTGCATCATTTAGAAATGAACGTTTTCAGCCATGCGAAACAATTAAACTCTGCGTGGTGAAGACACAGACGAGATATAGGATAAACAAACAACAGGATGTATCACGCTAACTGAAATATCCATATGGTAATAAATCCGAGACGCAAGCGAGGTATTGAAACATTAAAATCCTCCAATCCGTTCAGGAGTTCTAATGTTTTAAACATACACATAAGGAGAAATGTTTCTGATCACTCATTGGATTTTTGGTGAAGAATTTTGTTCTCGAAAGTGGGTAGGATTTCGGGGTTATGTCTGTCCGCCAAAAATGCTTATAATTGACCCCTAATTTATAAAATAGAAAAGTATACGCGAGTGGTGCTTATTATTCGTAAAAATGAACCACACAGGATACCTTTATTAATTAAATCGCGTGCATATTCAATCATACGCAACACTAATTTTAATAATGATGTTGAGCTAATCCATGCTCTGTAGAATCCCAGCTTGCTTCTTGATGATCCTGAAGCAGTGGCCAGCGTTTTGGTCAGCTTTTGAGCATTGGATAGCTAATCTAATTAATAAAAGACGCGATAAGTCGAGATCGCAACGCTAATTAATAATATAAAAATTCCAAACGCGATGGGAATCAGGAGCAGTAAAACGAAAGTGCAACCAATGAAAGATGCATAACCAACGAAAAGAGTTAAAAGAATTTTCAAAAGAATTTGTCTTCAAATAAAAATAACCTGCCTAATATAATGGTTAACCAAACACCTGCCTAACTATAAATCTAAATTCGTTTATGATATCAAGAAACAATTCTAAATTCGCAGCCATTAGCTTGGTGCCATCCACGAAGAATAACTTTTCTATCGTGGGTGACACCGATTACCAAGTCTCACCACGAGGAGGTTGCTGCGAGTGGAGACCCGAAGGGAGATAGATGGAATCAAAGTTCCATCGATCTCCCTTTTACATTCTTACAAGCTAGATTACTAAACTAGGAAGATAGAAGGATGCAATGTTCCTTTGATCTTCTAGTTTAGTTGTACCAAGTAATTGTTTCGTTTAAAAAGGGATGTCGACGCGATGTCGATCAGCAGTGATCGACGCAAGGAACGAGATACGCGACACGAACCGAGTAACTGGTCAAAAGGTTCAGCTCCGTTGCCTCTTGGCAAGTCCAATCGAAGGAGAAGTGATACGACGCACCCGACACAGAGGTTCCCCATTTCCCCCAAGCATCCCGTTGGGAGCCAGCTGGACCCAACTCAAGATGACTGACAGAAAGAGGGAGCGTGTATCGGGGCTACCGTAGACAGGAACAGTCCCTGATCCCCTCTGCGGCCGAAATTCTCTTTCCCTTGGATCGTCTCGCCAGAGAACGGCAACTGACCCTTCGGACTAGCTAAACGGCCGATCACTTGCTTTCTACATTAAAGCAGTGGTGACCGGAACAAGAAACGAGAGAACGGGTGAACAAGAAGCTAGTTGGTAAAGAATTACTTGGCATATACGCAGACGCATACATGGGAATCGTCGATGCTTATATCTAATTCAAATGTACCAAGTAATTATTCTGTTTAAAAAGGGGTGAAGCTATACAACAGATCTTCGGATCGAATCAACACTGCCCTTGGTAGATTGATTTCTATTTCTAGAAATCGATCTGTCATCGGCAGACGATTAGATCTTTCGGACAAACTGGTCGGCCGATTACATGTTCCAATCGATGAAACAGCGGTGATCGAAGCGAAAAACGAGAGAACGAGTCGAGAGAAGCTACTTGTTAAATAATTACTTGGCAATTTTGGGAGACGCATACAATAGAGACTTACAATTAACGTCGAAGCTCAAGTATAGTCAAGTTGAAACTAAAATTCGGACGATAGAAGGAAACAAAGTTCCTTGGATGTTCTGACTTAGTTGTACCAAGCAATTATTTGGTTAAAAAGAGGGATGAAGTTAATTTGAGGGACACGCGACGAGACGCGACGCGACGCTGAACCGTGCAGCGGATCCGAGGATCGAACCTACTGCCCTTGCTAACTAGATCTCTATAGGATAACGGACGTTATCTGCGACTCCGAATCGAAGGTCTCCATTTCTCCAACGCAACCCGCCGGGAGCCCGAAGGACGCGACTCAAGTTGTCTGACAAAGAGAGAGTACCTGAAACAGTGTCGACTTCCGCTGGAAGGTATGCGTTTCCGCAGAATACGGAAACTCCACACCTTCCAGCAGAGTACCATTTTCCCTCGATCGAGTTACCAAGGGAAGGCGATTAGATCTTTCGGACCAGATACACGGCCGAACACATGTTTCAATCGATGAAACAGCGGTGATCGAAGCTAGGAACGAGGGAACGAGCGAGAGAGAAGCTACTTATTGAATAATTGCTTGGTAGGACGCGGTGATACGTACAATAAAGAAATCTTCAACGTTAATTTTAAGATTCGCGACGAAGCTTAAATCTAATAGGCTAAGAATTATAAGTCCCTCGGCGAATGAATCCTTCGGCGGTTGTGACGTCTTCCCTCGATGTCCTTGAAACTGATCTGTAATAAATCCAACCTATAACAAAAACACATACCTATATTAGTATCATATTAAAGAAATTAAGCAATTAGTGAACCGATGTATCGAAGAATGTAGTGGAGTAGATGAGAATCTATAAGCTGGAGAAGCTACGAAATTTAGAAATATTCATACCTATAGAAATGTACAAACTAGACACATAACGAGATAGTGAAAATGGTAATAATTCACAAATATCGACATAATAAAAATTCTGAATAATCGAAAAATAATGACGATCTACCTACGCAGTTAAAACGTCGAAACAATTTCACCAGATAACGTCAAAAAGAAAGTACCAAACAATTGAACAAAGTATCCCCGTGAAATGTTATGAGAATTCGAGTAATGACACAAAATTGAAAATCATAATCCCATCGATGTCACCAAAATTCACGAAATATTGTAGGAACAAATAGGAAAATGAACCAACACGGTAGTTCATTACCATTTTCACTTGATGTCAAAAGTTGATGTCAAAAGTCGAAAAGGACGAAAGAAACATCCATAAAAATGAATAGACAGACAAAATCCAATTGACACCGTACAATCAAATAAAAGAAACAAACAAATTTTGTATGAATACATATAAATGAGTGGAATGGACTTACTACTTGTTGACACATAGTTACACGCGGTATTTCAGCACTGGTCAGTAGTGGTCATCAGTCCCCACGAGTTGTCACGAGTGGTCAGTCTTGGTCACTAGTGGTCACTACTGGTCAGTATTGGTCCCCAGAGCTTGCCAGTGGTCAGTAGTGGTCAGTAGAAGTGGAGCGCAGACCCACGACGTTCCGCCACGTCCGCCAGCCCAGAGGAGAAAGAGAGGGAGAGAGTTCGTCACCGGCAGCTAGCCTTAGGCGGAAGAATTAAAGGGGTGGGGAAGACCGTCCTTGACGTGTTCACCAATCATCAATTAACGGTTAACCGTGCCTTTGGCCGAAAAATGAATATTCTACGCAAAATGGTATTAAAAACAATTATTAATACAACCCCCGCTGTCGAGCATTATTTTAACTATTGCCTGATGTTAATTAATAATTATTGCAACAATAGGTATGAAAATATGGACAAATTCGAGGAGACTGAAAGTTTCTTTCTGTCGAGAAACAAGGTCATACATCACGTATTCATTTCTTCGATCTCCTGTCCTTTATACGATACTTTCTTTTGTATAAGTTTCCATCTTTCATTTCTTATCAGTAAATTGTACATGCGTCACTAAAATCGCAAAACGATATGTTGCAATGCCCAACAAAACACACATTAATGCACACGAAGAGAAGTTGTGTATTTTGGATCGTAAATTTGGAAAATATTCAAGCATTGAGGGGTTTAATCTCGAAACATGCGAGAACAATTCTCGTATCGATCAATTGGAACGTTTTAAAAATATTAATCGTTCTGGAAAAATTATTTTCGGTTGCAGGGGTTAATTAGAATCATTTTTGGTAATAGACATATCCTTGAAATCCTACGCATGTTCGAGAAAAAAATTCTCGTCGAGGTTACCCCAGGTAGGAATCGCGATTGTAAAAGAAATACAACAAATATTCCAAGGTACCGTTTTTCTTTTGATGCTATGCGAAGTACACACGAGGTATACGAATAGACCGGTCACCTTATGGACTTTGATCAATCTGACTGCCATACCAAGTTATTTTTTAAATAAATAAGGATTTTCGATGTAGTTGTCAATAAGGTACATCCTTACATATTTTAATAACCTTAATCGATTGGTTATTCCAATGAAATTAATCGATTGATGCTCAATTTTGGACGGTACAGCTTTAATTCCGTTAAAAAATAATACAATTTCTGCAATTTCATTTTCTGTCTCACTTCCTCTTGGGTTCATTTCTAAATCTGTTGGTAACGTTGCGTGTGACACAGAAACGATAATGGGGTCTCGAAACCCCAGAGAGAAGGACCGAAAAAATACATTAGGTGAAAAGTCTACTCGTATACCTCGTCTGTGGTAACACCAAGCTTATGGCAGCGAATTTAGAATATGTATAAAACAACCGTATAAACAACTTTTCACCGAGTTCCCTAATAAAAAATGGTTCCTGAAATATTATTATTAACATGGACACTAATGTTAAACATATAATGATTATTTCATGTTTTAAATATAGGTATATTTACATTAGTAATTACAATGTTAATATTCTGTATACAACAATATAACTTTATTTAACATTCACAATAAAGTTTTGATATTCTCAATACCTCTTTGATGAAATAAAAAATGGCTCTGTAAGGTATAAATTAAACGCAATTCTAGTAAAACACTCCAGTTATACATTTGATTATAAAATTAAACAGATACACATGTGGAAAGGAGAAAAGGAAAAACAGATAGATGTACCAACATTTTCATTTCACTTTCTCGTGGTTAAATTTGTTTTTAGCAAGTCCAAATAACAACATTAAATGGCATATATGTAATGAAACACTACTCAAAACAGTGCTTGGGTAAGTGTTCCAACATAATTCTATTATGCCTAAAATGGTCAACTTAATAGCAGTCTTATAATTCGTACACCATGCAATATAAGGCAATGTGTGATAGTACCATATATAGAATTGATAATGCAACGATCTACTAAATACAATGCCAATAAAATTGGCAGCAAACATTGGAAGAATGAATAATTGACTTACGTTAGACATATCTAGTTCTAATTTCTTTTGTTGAGATTTGATGCCTTTTTCAATATGCTTCAAATCCCTGTACGATTTCATATACCTGATCCATGTTGGTACACAATAAAGTAAAGAGAGTATATGTAGTGATAATAATAATGCATGGAAATATGGATGAATGAAGACATGCTCTGGTAGGAATCTCCAATTTACAGTCCATTTGAATTCAAAAACTCTTCCAAAATTAAAAGCACCTTTAATATATGTAAGTGCATTATGAAGTAAAAAAGGTAAACCTAATATTAACTGAATTGAAGCACAGACGAACAAGTGAGCTATCGTTTTAAATGGTCCTAGATTATATAAATAAGCTATAAGAAGTGCAGGTGCAAATAATAGAATGTTCATTTTAACAGACACAGCAAAGCTATAAAGAATACTTCCTAGATACCATCTATTATCCAAAAATGCGTTAAGACTTGCAAATAATAATACCATTGCAATTGGGTCATTGAAAAGCCTCAAAGTAAATATAGAATGAATCCTATAAGACGTACAACACATAATGATCAGAACATAAGGTGGAACTTTTTTAGCTTTCGCATAAATTCGGAAAACTAATAAAAGTAGTATTATGTATAGAGCTGCAAAGAAGTACTGTGCTATCTTTATGTTTGTTCCATGTTCCGTGATGTAGTATAACATGGAAAATATATAAACAAATCCTGCAGGGTAGACTAACGGTCCAGTATCGCCTCTCAGTTTCGAATAGTCCAACGTTCCGTTCAAAAAGCCCTCGACTTCTTGCATATACGCATTCCAGTCGATTTCTGTGTACGGTACTCGTTCGATAACCAATATGTTTAAGATTATTTCCAAAACAATGAACACTTTCCCAATTAGGAGTAGTTTCCTTGGATCTGTGAATAAGGAAACAGCTTTCCCCCAATCTAAGTAATTTTTGTACCAATTCTTAACATTTTTCTTTGATGATTTTAATGAATTAAGGTTAGATCGATTTTCTTTGCGTGATGCCATATCGTTACACGTGCATTGCTTTGGATCACTATATCACTGTATGTTACTTCTCTGTGTATAGTCACGTGTATACTTCTTATAGCAAGTTCTGCCTGCCTGCCCACTTTTTGATGACAAGCAACCAATCGCGAAATGCTATGTTGAACGTGAGTCATAGCACGTTTGGACCAATCAGGATACGCCAGCTGGGTTTCCGGGCTTTTGACAGAATCAACGTGTATAAAACGAAGCGTGAAATAAACCGATGTAGTTACAATAAGATTCTAATTGAAATAATAGACGCATGACTTAAAACTTTTAGTGCATTCGCATTACGTGTTGACAAGAATATTTTCTACGTAATATATAAACTACTTTATTGGCGCAGCTGCATGTAAGTCGAACCTTATCGTTACTTTGTTAACCTGGTAAACATAATAGACATAAGCAGTCTTTCATTAATTCGTATCAGGTTTTAACGTACTAATACCAAGATTACTGAATTCGTTTCGTTTAAATAAGTTAATTTCTACAACTAGTATTTTGTACGAAATTCAAGTTTGGTAGAAATAATTTAACTTATTATATTTAAAGAAAAATTTGTTAATATTATGTACTTGTATTATGTTTCCGATATTTTCTTTAGATTTAAATTATATGTTGTTTTAAAACTAGTTGTACAAACGTCTACAATTCTAGATAGAATGTAATTTTATTTGATTGTTATTCCCTGAGCAGAGTATACATTCACAATGAATAGTTCGTTACTGTTAACATTGTCCATAATAATTAGTGCAATATGTGCTGCGAGTGCTTTAAAGAATGACGAATGCGAAGGTAATTAAAACCATTATGTTGCTTTCTTTATCTATCATAATGGTTTTGTTAATTTTTGTTATTCTTGTAGTATGTATATCTACTGTGGATAAATTTGTGAATACTATAAGCGATGATGTAAAAAAGGATACCAAGAAGATAGAAGCAGCATTTAGAGAATTTTGTAAGGGTACTAAATCTAAGGAAAACAGATTTGTAAGTACTTTTGACAACAATGAATAATAACTTATAATAACATTCTTAATAGATTTACATCTATAGTAATTGAACTTTCTTTTTTACAGTGTTATTATTTAGGTGGTTTAGAAGAATCTGCGACAGGTATTTTAGGCGAACTAAGTAAACCTGTATCGTGGTCTATGCCAGCAAGTAAAGTATGCGAGAAGTTGAAAAAGAAAGATGCTCAAATATGCGACTTACGATTTGGTACGTATAACTGTAATAATTTCTGCAACGACAGCTATTTCTCTTTGTTTTCCATTATTGAATAACAATGTTATTTGATTTCAGAAAAGCAAATTGATGTTAATACGGTTGATTTGAAAAAACTCAAGGTGCGCGACTTGAAAAAAATTTTGAGTGATTGGGACGAAACATGTGACGGTTGTATAGAAAAAACAGATTTTATTAAGCGAATTGAAGAACTAAAACCTATGTATTCTCATAGTTCTAAATCAGAACTCTAAAATGTGTTCAGTGATGTAGATAAATTATTGTTAGTATGGCTAAGCTTTTGGATATTCTTTTTTTTTTACAAAATGGTTAACAGTATTTAACGTACATATATTCGTGTCCGAGTATATGTATAAATATCATTTTGTAAACAATTCGATCGAGGGAATTCTTTGTGACAGATGTATGCATTTAAATTTCGGTAAGAAATATTAAACATTAATCTTTAAATTATATTAATTAAACATCTTAGGTATAGTTCGAAGTAATTAGAAATATCGAGCAATGAAGATTTGTTAATGGTTTTTAGTGTAGCCATGCTAATACATGTTGAATATCATAAAAGGTGCTCCGTTTTTATCATACCAATGTTAGAAAAGTATATGTGACTCAAATTTTTCATACCACAAATTATTTTCATGTTTTTGTCTTTCATTGCTCTTCCTCAGATATTCTGATACAGTGCGTTTTATACATACGAATTACGTACATATATATTGTATGAATCCTATTTATACCAAAATGCAGTGTACTATATCAACAGATGTGTATATGTGATGATCTATTAATAATATGTTGTTATATATATCCATTCTTTTACTTTTCTGTTACATTTAATACATACAAGTGCTACTAATTTCCGAAACATACTGTTTTGTCATAACATTTTTTCACTATTATATGTAATAATACATAACCTTTTTACATCAATAAGAAGTTTGCTTTTATCAAGTAAGACAAGTAATAAAATTGGAGATCTATCAAATGCTCAGTATTATATATTTATTAATAACTACTTGCAAGAACCATTTTCACTCGGTTTCAAAATTATATACATAAATACGTAGAATATTTTGAAAATAACGGTAAGATTCATTATTAGCAGAATTATCACGCGGACAATAATATTATTTTGTGAAAACATGCTTATGAGATGTAAAATGGGAAAGTATTATAAAATAATAAAAATTTAATAAAAAACTCAAATGATTTGCCACAATGTTCTAATTTTAAATACACATTGTTTTACAATTATATTAAGAATTCCCTTTATTGATTCTTGTCGCAAGCTGATAATTCACTCCAATGTCCATCTGCTTTGCACGTGATGAGACCTTGCTTTTTGCCATTAGGGCATACATAAGTTAATTGATCTTGATACAAGTACGAACGACCATGAACAGTAACACCGGGAGGAAGTTTTGGCTTATTACACGAGAGTTCTGTAAACATTTATAAATGGAAAAGTACAAAAGTTTTCTTACAAAATAAGCAATCCACTCGGGACTCGGGTATACTATTCAGCTTGACATAATTTTTCGAAAAAAGATAGTATATGACATGTCTTATTCTGTCACTAAACGATGTCACTACTCGTTCAACCGTAAAAATTTATAGTTTCACGGATCTGTACTCACTGGAGGAGATAGGGAGTTGCTTATTTCGAGTCAGAAAACAATTGCTTATTACCAATCAAGACTATATGTTATACGATATTATACTTACTTGAACATTTACTGTACATTCTAGACCATTTTCCATTTGCAAGGCATCGAGCATTCGGTTGCCCGAACATCAAGTATCCAGGCAGGCATTGATAAGTGACCATGTTACCAAATGAAAAATTTGTTGCATTAACATTATCTTCTTTCAACACTGCATTTATAATTGTTGGCGGTTTTCCACATGCTACAGCTAAAATTAATATTATTTACTTAATTTTTTTTATAATAGTAATTAACTATACGAATATAATAATAACATTATCCTTACGTTTGCAAGAAGGAATGGCAGACCATGTACTGTTTGGAAAACAGACCGATTCTTCGTTACCTTCAAGAATATAACCGTGGCGACATTTGAAAGTAATAGTACTGTTTATAGTTCTCGAATAATTATTGGCATTGCCAGCTATGTATCCATATTCTGAAACCTATCAGTAACTGCAGTCTTAGTTTCTTTGGTTCGTGTTCCACGTTTTTAAAAGTAGATTTATCAAAACAGTAATATATTATTAGAGACACTTATTTCACGTATATTTCATATTAATTGTTCGTTGACGAAGGTGGGTCAATTTTGACTTGGACGCGGTCTTTATCATCAGACGATTCCCAAATTGTTTAGAATATTTTTAGTCGGAATATTGAACATCGAATTTCGAGAAGAAATCAAGAAGTTGCTCTCACTTCTAGGAAAAATTTTAGTGGGAGATTCTAGAGGCCAAAATAAGACGAAAATCAAGAATACCAATTTGTTGATTAAGGCTTCGTTAAAAAGTTATTAACGTTTAAATTTCCGCCTGTAGATAGGCAACCTGCACACAGCTGCGTGCGGGCGATAGTGGTTCTCATTCAGCATGAGAAACTCTATTCAGTGACGTATCGACAGCCTCACAGTTTTCTGAGTGTGAACCACTATCACGCATGCGCAGCTGTTCGCAGATTCCCATTCTACAGGTGGAACTTTAAACGTTAATAACTTTTTAACGAAGCCTCGATCAACAAATTAGTATTCTTCATTTTCGCCTTATTTTGGCTTCTAGAATCTCCCATTAAAATTTTTCCCAAATCTTATGCAGTCGACCTGCTAAATACTTTGCGCATGAACCGTGGAAATATACAATAGAAAGTATAGTTGTGTTCGTACTGAATACTTTTTATAAATAAATGGTATAATTTTGTGGATAAATCATACATTTCTATGTGCGTGTTTTAATATAAGGGCAGAAATCTCTTAATATAATAAATTCTTAATACATTAAATTTATATAATATATTAATTTCGATTTTTATTCCCTTGAACAATTTCCATGTTTCGGCTTGTGGGACAATTTTTAATTATAATTTTGTAATTAAAAATAGATCATTTTGGGACAACCTATATACTTACTTTAGCTAAAGGGCACATCGATTCTTGACAAAAAGCGTCCATCCTATTATCGAATAAATCTTCAATTATGGTGTCGTTTAATTTCAAATGGTCGATATTCCATTTTCCATTCTCATCGCAAGACCACGTCAAATTCGAAACAGATTCGTCAGTATCTCCATCAGTCAATTTAATTCCAACATTATTCCTGCAGGTAAGAACTATTTTCTTCGTGTAAGTATAGCCTTCCAGAAAATATTGCACATTTCTATAAGAATCATTGTAATGTTTTCCATTGTCCTTTATACTTTGATTGTTCCAAGTTTTTTCTTCGTTAAGACGTCGAAAAAGTGGATGATCCAAGATAGGGCATTCACGTGGTTCACACGACGGGAACTTTGACGACCATTCTTCATTCTCTGTGCAAGTTCTAACGCCATCTCCGATTAATTTGTATCCTGCATCGCATTCTATTAAAATTTGGGATCCAAGAACGAAATGCGCTCCCAGATCTTCGTTCCCGTCGAAATCGTCTCCTTTTGCAGTTCCAATTTCTGCATTCGTAACGTTGGACGTCTGTTTCTTGGAAAGCTCTATCGTATCGTTGTTTTGTATTTTCAAAAATAGTTTGCCGTTATTTATGTTTCCGGGCCAAGGACATTTTAAGGGCACGCAATCGGGAACAAATCCAGCCCAGCTGCCATTTTCCGTGCATCGAAGTCTAAATTCGGCCAACAAATTATGGTTGCCCTGGAACTTGTATCCCGAATGGCAGGAGTATGCAACGACATCGTCAAAATAGTAGCTTCTTTCGAGAGTGTTGTTAATCGTCTCGAAGTTGAGGCTCGCCGTGGAAGCGTCGCGTAAATTGTTCGAACTAGCGAAGTTTGCGTATCCATGTTTGATCCTGCGTAAATAGCGAAACAAAATTTATTTATTCACGGTACGATATGTTCTTGATTGTAAGTTTGGGTATTGACAAAAATGATATGTTATTTTAGTTTTATTTTCTTTTGTAATAGGTTAAGGTTAACTTTAATTTTAGTTGTAAGCGACTGCTGGAAACGAGGTTAGGGTTGCAGGAGAGTTAAGAAGAGGAAAAGGAGAAGATGAGGGGGAGGAAAAGGAGTTGAAAGAATAGAAAGGAGGAGAATAACTAGGGTAAGGAACAGGAGACAGGAGGAAGTAGTAAATAGAGGATTTAAAAAGTAGATGATAAATGGTGTTATTACAAAGCCAATAGACAAAAATGATATGACCTGAACTACTTTAAGAACTAATTTAAATTATTTGGAAGCTGAACTCAGAGGATCTATTTTCTTTTTAACAATAATAAAGCAACAAACATACAGTGACGATGATCAGTTGAAATCTGATTAATAGAACTTGATTACTGTTTAAAGATTGCATAATGCCGAGCGATTAGCCTCGGCCGCAATTACCGTTAATCCTGTTAACGTACAATAACCAAGAGATTATCTCTAATTGGATTTGTATAGCGAACGGTGATTGAAAAACGTGTGTATTATTAGTTTTTCTGGCATCGGTAACGGCTCATTACCTTTCGATTCGAGTGTGCTAACGGTGTTAGTGACGTCAGTACCGTGAGAGAGTAGTGCGCCAATAATGTGACAAGGAGAGACGGCCGAAATTCAGACAGCGCCACGGAACAACCAGTAAGAGTACCGCGGCGACGTCTTCGGCTGTCAATCCGTATCATTCTTACGGCGACTTCTGACCGAGACGCATCGGCTCCCGATCATATTTCGATCAGAAGTTAATCGCGATTGAAGAGGGAAAATCCTCTTGCGAGAAAGCCATAAAGACTGCTGTTTCAAAAGGGGTAGCGAGCCTTGCTCGAAAAGGTCAGAAATTCATTCCCACCTTGCTAGCAAAACACGATTCGCATCTCGATTCGTGCAAGTTCACCTGATTCTCGTTCGAGCAAATCTCGATCGAGTTTAATTAGTTTAAATTTACTGCATATTTTGGAGGGCTCGAGAATACACCAATAGGGTGTTCGACCCCTCCTGTGCGGAATTTAAAGGTCGATTCCAACGTATACACGTTGAATCATACAGAAGTCGGCGGTACCGTCCATACTTCTGTGTGATTGCCCTTCGGCTTAGGAGACACCAAAAGGGAGGCACCTACGTGGTGTACCTCCTGGTGGGCTCACTGTAGTCAGGTCCACGTCCATTTTGGACGTGTGATTTTCGGTCTTCGCCTCCTTATTTCTACAGATCCCGCCGGTGTAACGTTTAGAGGAGCACCAGTGCGGAGAAGTAACGGAGTCGTGGGTCAGGCCCCCGCGTAGTTCAAAATACTGCAACGTATCACGTCGAGTAGTGTATTCGTGCAGTGAACAACGTGTTGTCGGGCTTCGCAGTGTAACTCTCGGCCAAATAAGTCATCTGTTGGAACGTGTTAAGAGAAGCCGCAGATTGACGGTCGTGCAGTGCATTGCAGTGCGACTCGACGCACAGACTCAGTGTGCATACTCACGGGAACAGTGCATTAGGAGCCTTACAACCTCCTCTTGCATCCCCGTCCACTGGGCAATCGACCACTGAATCGGCGAAGAAAAGAAGTTTAATTCTTTTCCTAGCCAAAATACAGTCCACTTATATTTCGTAATTTACGAAAGTTTACATTTCTCCGCTCCGATACGTTCGAATTACGAACCAAGGAGCGCGAGCAAACGAGCGCGACGAAGATACGTATAACGCGTACGTGTGTCTAACACATAGTCGTGTTTTTCTGATTACAGGAATCTTGGCCTACCTCAATCTAGCAAATTCGGCGACCCAGCCTCGAGCTAGACCAGACACGAGGCCACATTAATATATTCATTGTTCAGTCTCGTTTATTTTAATTACAATTGTTCGTTGGTTTTTCTTTGTTTCTTTATTTTTGGAATAAACGGTCGGTCTTAAAGGCCGACGAAAAGAAAACCATTTTTTGTCCGACTCACTTCCCCTATAATACTCCCACACCTCTATCCGGACTCATTCGTTAAAAGTATATATTCAATACTTTTTAACAATTACTTATTTTTTCCGATAGAATTGTTTAAAACTCCGTTCAATTATTTATATTGTTATTCAGATAAAAGCTACAAAATTATTAGTAGCTTACTCTTTCGGTGGTAGACATCCATAGACCACACACGTTGGTCTCTCGTGATTCCATATTCCCGATTCCAGGCACGTTAGAAACTGTTCTCCTACCAGACGAAATCCGCGATCGCATTTGAACTCGAGCTGCTGTCCTACCTGGAATAAAATTTAATGAAAGGTGTCGATGTTATTCGATAATGAGTATAAGTGATTCATACTTGCAAAATTGAAAGGTCGTCTCTTTCGTATTCTTCAATCACGTATTCGATATCCCCGTTTTCCGGAGCCAATAAATTTTTACACGTTCTCCCTGTTAAAACAACGGTACAAATGCCTTAATTGTTGCTCTAATAAAATATCATTATTTTGGGAGGGACATGCTTCATTTTTTAACATAATCTCCTTTGAGGCTAGACTGAGTCCTTGATAGACTTAGTCAAGCGATGCATGTATTAACACTTTACCGACCGGTACCGATTGACCCTAGATTATACATATATCTACTTTTTCTTGTACTTATAGGAATGTTAAATGAATCTTTGCGACAGTGGTTACTATATTGCTCTCTTTCTGTTATTACAGGGTAATTAAATCTAGTGATATTTTTTATTTTTATGACAACCGATTAATAAGCTACCGGTCGGTAAAGTGTTGAGCGGTAAAAAACTGATTTATCGGCTATCGGTCGGTAAAGCGTTAATCGGTAAAAAGTCGAGGCTACTGGTCGGTAAAGTGTTAATATAGTATGATTTATTCAATTCTTCAGGAGTAGCCTTAGACTATGCTCTTTATCGAACAGCATTCATAAATGTTACTTTGCTAAATTAGAATATGCCATGGCCAGAATTAAAAATCTTCACCTATGCAGATCGGAGGTCGCCCACTCCATTTCCCGTCAGCATTGCAAATTCTATGAGGATTTCCTCGAAGTTCGTAACCATCCAAACAAGAATAATGTATTTCGTCGCTAAACAAGTACGATCTCCCTTGCACGTAACCCCGTGGAAAATATCCCGGAGAGCCACATTTTCTTCCTTAAACGAAAATTAAACATGGCGTTCTAAGTTGCTCCGTAACCCTTGTAAAAGAAAAGTGGAGGTTCAATCGATAATAAAGAAACGTTAAATGTTAAATTAAAAAAATAATTCTTGAAACGATCTCTTAGGTTGATTGTATTTAGCGAAGAAAAAAATTCATTTTTTTCGAAAACGAAGCCTCCAACACAATCTCGAGCCATGAAACTTCCCTGACCCAATTAGTATCGTGCTTTTCTGATAATTCTGTACGTGAAAGTTTACAAATTTCTCAGACGTCTTACATATCTATCGTAAAGTGGACAAAAGGTTTTTCATCTTACTGACGCAAACTGGTGTGTAGTAGCCTTCCCATTGTCCTTGTTTAAGGCACTTGATTTTCAAAGATGGATGCTCGTTGCCGCGAAATCGCACCATGTAACCGGCGTCGCAGTAATAAGTAATTTCGGACGAGTCTTCGCTGACGTTTATGTTACCTTTGAACGGTACAACTGGCAAGGGACAACCGTGGCAAAACGGGCTGCTTACTATCTAAGAACGTGAAATATTTCGTGGAATATTCGTGGATGTACGAAGATACGAATTAAAAAAAAAAAATGCACAATTACCGCAACATCGCCATGCACGTGTTCTTGTACCTGAGACCATGAAATTACGTTACCGTGGTAGTTTTCACAGGTACTGAATAAATGTCTCACGTCCGCCGCTGTTAAAACTGTGCTCCAAATGTCCAGCAAAGTTAATTTACCCAGAAAGGACTCCAACTCGGAAAATCCGCCCCCAACGCGATCTTGTTCTTGCCCGATGACGAGAGTTCCGTTACCTAATTGTCAACAATATTATTCAATTGTACGATTAAAAACATTCTTGTAGCGATGTTAATGAAAGAATCGTGTTCTCAGGAATGAGAGTATTCCTTGTCTATTTTACTATCAATGAGCATCATTGTTATGGATATTATTACAACCACTTGTTAATAATATTATTACAACCACTTCCGGATATTCGAATATTTGGAATAATAATAAAATACTTCATTATGTCTTTATATTTTTTTTTTTTACCTGCGTATTATAGAGATATGTGACATATTTCGTTTGTTTATAAAAGGCAACAAACATTGTTTAAGATATGTCTTCGACTATTCAAAGTAAAAAGAAAACAAGAAATATTTTCAGTCTATCGATAATAAGTTATTACTTTGAACGTTAGTTCCTTTTGCCAAGCGAGTCCCATTGTCCTTTAAAAGACCATCCATGAATGTATTCCAAGAGCCATTTTCGTGTTCCCAAGTAACGCAAATGAAATGCCAATATCCATCGTTGACTTTAATATCAGTAACCACTTTCTGTCCATTGATGTATATCACGAGCCTACGAAATCGAGATGTCAATGAGTCATTGGTATTAATTTATAAAGTATTTAATTTTTTTCACAAGGAATATTTTGTTACCCGTTGTAGTCAGTTATGGTAAAAGCGTTGTCGTGATAACGTGTTGCGTATGACAACACCGTGCCATAATTGAACGTGTCTCGTGATTGCAGCCACATACATGCCGTTAACTGTAGATTGATATTTACGTGAAATAAGAATACATTGAAAAGATATTAAAACAAAATAATACGTAAAAAATCTTAAAACAAAATTTAATTGTCCGTACCCGTATATTTAATTGTAACCTAGTATAAAACATGATATTTTGTAAATGTAATGGCTGGATTCAGCCTGATTAGAAGTACACAATACCTAATCGATATTTAAGTTATTTCTCAACTTTAAACAAGACGACTAACGTAATATTTAACAACGATTAACACTAGAACTACCAAATCAGTCAAAATGAAAGTTTCTAATAAAACTTGTAAAAAATTTAATCGACTGAATTTTTGAAAATTTATAGTAATTTTCTATAAGAGAATATATAAACACTTATTTCCATTGCGTTATATATTTCTTCGCGTATCTATGGTTTCAATTTCTTTGGTACAAATAAACACACTATAATTGTCGGTAGTTCTAGTGTTGAAAAATAATAATCGCATAAATTATCATTCGGCTCCTGTCGCTTCGTTTCATTTATTTCTTTGTTATCATTATACCGGTTGATATGATTTACTACCTCCAAAAGATTAGTCGAAGGGCCCTTCATACTGACATAGTCTGTTGTTCCCGATTTGGTGAAGTGTATAACGTAATCGGATGACAATTCTGTAAACAAACAGTACGTCTTTGAAGAGACAAAGCATACAGAACAATACTTTCGCTTATACAAAGAGATAGAATTGATATCGAATGAAATTACATAATGATTGTTAAGACTATACTTTCCAGTTTCGCAATTTCGCCCCTTAAACGGCGCAGGGCAGACGCACGTGTAATTGCCAATCCTGTCGAGGCATTTTCCATTATTCCTACATGGAAGACTTCTACAGTGATTCACAATCATCGAACAATTCTCTCCAGCGTAGCCATCGATACATTCGCATCTAATGATCAACGAATCGTAATTTTTCCACAGAAAATATCCACTCTAAATCTATTAATCGGTAGTCACCTATAACTCAGTCGCGTTGCGTTTTCTTCTTCGACGTTCACGCAGTACGAGTTCCCATAACACGGGATCCAATCACAGGGTAAAAGATTGCAATGACGACCGAGGAAACCGGGTTTGCAAATACATTGCCAGGTTTCGTCGACAGTGCGACACGTGGATCCTTCCATGCACGGTGAAGGATTACAGTGATCCACAGCGATTTCACAAAACTCCCCTGAAGAACATGTCCTGATGAAATTCGAAATTCTTTACCCCAATCAACCCATTGCCATTATCATCGTATACTAAACACATCATTTTTCAAATATTTGCATTTAGATAGAACAAAAATATATTTTGCAATTTTTCGTACGATGCAAATGGGTTGACTGTTCGTAATACTCGTTGTATTATTAATAGATACCACCTTCAAATCCGTCCTTGCATTCGCAACTATAATCGTTTCCAGTGCTCACGCAGGCGCCATTGTTTTGACAAGGATTAACAGCGCATTCATCAATGTGTATCTACAAGTTGTCGTATCTTTTTTAGTACATCAATTGTTAGTACATTTTTGTTCGTTACGTTTGTATTACCTCACAATTCTCTCCTGTGTATCCACTTTTGCACGCACAAGTGTAATATATCGTGTTGTTTGAAAGACTCTGCAGGTTGCACGACCCTTCGTGCAGACAGGGCGAAGAATCGCAAGGATCTCGAAACGTCTCGCACTTTGAACCTAATCAGATTTATTTCGTTCTTGATTCGTTTCATGTGACTTAAATATCCAACATTTATCGCAGAATTTGGGGGCATTCACCTACTGACCAAGGACACAAAATTACAAGGGCATCGAAGGAAGATTAATGTAAAAACGAGAGAAGAGCTCTTAAAAGAAAAATAGGAACAAATTATACACACGTACAGTGCTTCCTGCAGTAATGCAATTCTTATTAAAAACATCAAGAAAAAAAATGGAAAATAAAAAATCTTAAATGTTTGGAATAGCTGAAGCCTGCTATGGAGTTTCATCAACATTAATTTGAATTTAAAATACATTACTCATCTTTCATTCTGTTTTTGTTAAAAGTGATAAAAGATCAATTCTATTTTTTTGTTTGCAATGAAATGGTTCCACCCAAAAGTCAAGTAATAAGAATTTTTTAACATTATTCGGAGGCCCAATTTTTTGTGAAGAGGTTTTCATTTGTCCTTTCACTTATAAATAAATAACACACGATCAAATGTTGTTACATTATAAAAACGATGTAATATAGTAGAGTATTGCATACTAACCGACATAGTAGTCAGGACACTCGCAACCGAAGTTGTCCTCTTCTTGTACACATTTTCCACCGTTCAAGCACGATTCTGATCGACAAACTTCAGCGTCGATCTCATACAGGGGTAGACACTTACTTATATCCTTGGATCCACGATTTTCCGTAGTAGTATTGGTTGGACATGACAGACAACGAATTTGCCCGTATTCGGGTTGATAAAATCCAATATCGCACATTAGACAAGGTTCAAGAGTCAAACGCGTGCCTCGATGGCGTTTCTTTCGAGAATAGTATCCTGGTCTACATAAACCTAAAAGAAAACGAATATTCATATAATTATTATCATTACGCTGCATTTTCTTAGAATTATCTCCCCATGTTTGTCAATCACAATGTTTTACAATTAACAGAATTTTATTTTTTATTGGAACAACAGAAGAAAAAATATTTCTATAATACTTTTCTTTTAATCTGCGATAAAACGGGGAAAAATTGTAGTAATAAGAGGAGACCTTTTTCTACAAACACATTGTAAAATAAATGGCGAAACAAATTAATTAATGTTCGTAAAGTCGTTTGAATATTTTAAAGCAGAGATTATTATTAATTCTATTCTTGAAAGTAAGAGTAACGAACTCGTAAAATTTTTGAAAAATATCTCTGTCGTATAACGTGTCTTTGCAAAGTTGAAAGATTGACAATATTTTGATCCTTCAATTTTACTGATGAGTGTATTGTATAATAAAAAACTGAATTTTGATTCGGAACGATGCTTACGTATACAATCTTGCAAAGATTTTGCATGCATCCTTTTCGTGAAAGTGTACTCGGGACAACGTTTGCATTTCAAGGAGCCACTGGTGTTCTCGTATTCCCCGAAAAGACAGGGCTGGCAATGTTCGTTCGAGGAATTGAAGAAAGTTCCCAATGGGCATTTCACTGCAATTAAAAGAAACTATCGATGGATTGTCAACGAATTATAATGACTGATCTTATTCACCACAAGTATGCTTCTTCAGAACGCTTCCTGGTTCGCAAAGTTCCTGAAAATTCTTGAAAACGAGATGTAGATTTAGCGCAAGCTTCGCGATTTCTTGGTTGGTTTTGTCGTTCAGCAAATTTAGTTTCCCAGACTTGGTCATCGATTCGATTTTCTCCCTCAGTTTTTGCACCCCCAATCGCGGGTTTTCGAAATTTTCCTCGATTATCTTTCCTACATCGAACAACAGGATCGATAAATTATTCGTGAACTTTTAGAAGTCATCAAAATGCGAATACTTACCTAGAAATTTGAACTTTATTTCAATTTTCTCTTTCTTCTTTTTCATTTTCGATTTGTTTCTATCGGTGTCGTTATTCGTTTTAACGTCCCGTTTCGATTTTGTACCGATATTTAGAAATAATTCTCTGCCAGGAACATCGCAATGTTTAAATTCCCTTCGTTTTCTTAGCAAGTTTGAGTAGGATGTGTTGGTCGGTGACACATTTTCCTCGCACTCAGGATCGAAAGTAATTAGGCTGCACTCGATATTGTTTCCGCAAATATCGAACAACGTCGATCTTAAATCGGCAGTAATATATTCGCTCAACTAATTGAAATAATAACAGAAGGCATGTTTCATGTTTTGCTGTGCATAAAAAGTGAACCGATGTTTGTCGCGGTTGATTATACAGGGTGTTCGACCACACCTGGGAAAAATTTTAATGATAAATTCTGGAGGCCAAAATAAGACGAAAATCAAGAGTACCAAATCGTTGATTGAGGTTTCGTTAAAAAGTTATTAACGTTCAAAGTTCCACTATAGCGCGCAGCTGTTCGCCGATTGTCGTTCTACAGGCGCAACTTTAAACGTTAATAACTTTCTAACGAAGCCTCAATCAACAAATTGGTATTCTTGATTTTCGTCTTATTTTGGCCTCTAGAATCTCCCATTAAAATTTTTCCCAGGGGTGGCCAAACACCCTGTATAATTATTTAAACGAGGAATCAATATTTACTTCACGGAGCGTCGTTTGGTTATTGCATACAGTCGAAACATTTCCTTCCAACACGATGCTTCCTTCTTGGGACACAGTTTGCAGTGTTGTTGATTCTTCACGGAGGCATACAACAGAACAGTTTTTCATTACTTATTGTTAGTATCTTTCTCGTCCTATAACAATCATTTTACAGCGGTTCTTACCCTGTTTTTTCCACGAACCCCTTTTAACAGTCTAATGGAATTCGTAGATCCTTTTATGCAACGTTCTTCAAAATAACGTTCTTTAATATTAGTTACGTCAATATTTTTCATCAAAATAAGATAAAAACTTATACAGATGCTCCGAGACTTTTTTAATTTCAATTCTAGCAAATTTTGTATTCCAAGATTAACGAGTTTACCATTGATCAAGTCTATCTTTGATAAAATTTTTATTAGGCGGGAAAGGATTGTGATGATAAACACTGAGATAAAAATAATTTTTAAGAGTTCTGTAGTGTTTCCAGATGTTTGGAAAATTCATTTCTTAAGGAGGATATTATTAGAGAATTATGAATTTCAATTTTGCCTTAACAAAGTACTTCTATCAGCATTTGAAAGTTTCCAAAGACAGCAGCTTAGCTGAGAAAGCTTGTAATTTCTCTGTATAAGACAAAATTCTCGCTTCAAGACCTTGAATTTAAATATTTATTTTAGTCTAATCGTATTGTCAAAGAATTGAAAGGATAAAGTTTATATTTTACTGGGCATAATGTATGCAACGAAAATAAATATTTAAAATTTTTGCGTTCAAGTTTACGGGGCACGCGAACCACAGGTTAAGAACTACTGTTATACTTCAGAATCGCCATAAGAAACGTACCCGTACAATCGGGAAAGTAACTTTCTTCGGTCCAATTTGAACTACTCGTGTCACAGTTTAATTGCAACGCGTCTTCCACGATGCGAAAATTAGGGATCACATCCGCAAATCCAAATCCTTTTTCGCACCCTATAGTGCACTCGCTCGTCTTGACCGACGACGAACAATTTGAGTAACCGTTCAGAATCTCTGGAATTTCTTGACACACGTCTGTCGATCATAAAAGTATAACAGATAAGGATTTTTAGTTTTATATCTTATTAAAATACTAATTTATTAATTATTAGATTGGCCAAAATCGTGCAGATCTTGTACATAAATTTTTCAAACCATATTCTCCAGAAAAATTTAAAACAAAATCAATTTTTTCAAAGAATTATTTTGGATTAAATAATGCAGTAGAATATCTCTTCGTTCCGATGTTTCGATTCTTAAGAGACCAATAATAAAAGTATCTGGATTAATATTTTACAGGGAAATAGGGGGATTTTCACGAACGATGAATTATAAAGCTAAAAAATTCATTATTATAAATTATTTTCTATTTACATACTATGTTGAACTTCTTGGCCAACCTAATATGATCCGAATAGCAAAATAATGAATCACTTTATTCAAGCAGTATGTTTGATACCTTTTATAGTGACGTTCAGTATGCAGCTTACTTTATTATCGTATTTATCGATAGCGTCGTATATCACTTTTGTCAATCCGATCGGGAATGTACTTTCCCCAGGATAATAATTTTGCTTCACTCGAACTGGTGCTTTTGAATTATCGTAAAAACCAGGCTCGTCCCAAGTTACGTTACTTACTCCGATTCCATTGTCAGTGAAAAACACTGGGGGATCCATGCAATTTTCGACCATTGGCGGTTCTGTGTCTGAAATAATCGCAAAAGTAGATTTACGCTATAATTGCGATGTAATTGCATTATAACAGGTATCTACGGTATTAACAATTTAGAAATAATACAAATCCAGGGTTCTATAGCGTAAAAAAAAAACTGATTTCAAAGTAAGCATCATTCGTGATATTGGTGAGATACAGCCTGATTTAAGTGCCAGAATGATAAAAAATTGAGTTTCTCCAAATTACATTATATTTCGATTAGAATGTACATCAAAATAAAACACCGAACATCAGATTATCTTTTGTAGTTTTTTTTTTATTTCAGCTCAAAATTCTATTTTATTGGGAAATCCTATACAGGGTGTTCGACAACCCTGGGAAAAATTTTAATGGCAGATTCTATAGGCCAAAATAAGACGAAAATTAAGAATACAAATTTGTTGAGTGAGACTTCGTTAAAAAGTTATTAACGTTCAAAGTTCCACTATAGCGCGGAGCTGTTCGCCGATTGCCGTTCTACGGGCGCAACTTCAAACGTTAATAACTTTTTAACGAAGCCTCAATCAACAAATTGGTATTCTTCATTTTCGTCTTATTTTGGCCTATAGAATCTGCCATTAAAATTTTTCCCAGGGGTAGCCAAATCATCCCTAAACTTCTTTATCGGATGAAATATGTTTTTATTATACAATGTACAATTTTGACTGTGACTTGTAAGAACGTAAGTAGGTTCAAAATTGCTTGACTTACCGATAACTTTGACTTTAAATTTGCATCTGGCTTTATTCCCAGTTACATCTTGCGCCACGTATATTACTGTTCGCGTACCGATTTTCACTTTCCAAGGAAACGTGATGTAAGGTTTACTCCAGATCAGAGGAAACTCATCCGCATTGTCGAATACTGTTGGTGTCGACCAATTAACGTATGCATAATTTCGTTTTGGCAAGCTCATCGTGACGATATCTGGTGGACATATTATCGAAGGTGGCGTTTTATCTACGGAGAAAATTAATCGTAAATAGAAGGCATGTTGCATGGAAAAATTGTGAGAACAATCGCGTTGAAGAATTCGAAAAACCAAAAATTCTATTTTTTATGTTTACAAGACGTATCTCGCCTTAATCGACGAGCTTGAATTTTTCTGAAACTATATCGAGATTCTGTTTTTGCTAACAAGGAATGTCCAACAATTTCAAAATTTTTAAAAACTTTGAACGCATTTAGTTTTCAAATATACCTTGATACCAAAGAGCCCAATAAAAACACGATTTCAAATTCAAGCGTGTCGATTAACACGGAACACTCTGTATATTTGAGAATAATTAGACAACCTGTGCAACGATTAATACTTCGTCGTTGTGACCAAACTCCAGAACGTCCACCACATAGTCTGGTACGTGGCCCTTCAAGCACGAAACCTTTTTTGCACATTATCGTACAGTTTGTCGCAAACGGCACCTTTTCTGGCCCAGAACAATTTCCAGGTAATATTTCCCCATTTACAATTTGCTTCAGAGGCTCACACGTTATTGCTGTAAATACAAACTAATGAGCAAGTTGTAATCATACAAATTTATTATTCATGATAAAAACTAAGCATAGCATGTCTACGTTATAGAACAAAAATATGTATATTTTCTCATTAATGTAGATTACTCTATATTAATAATTTTTTAAACAATGGCCACAAACGGTTTGTTGAAAATTATTAACGCGAATAATAAATGACAATCGTTACAAATACATCCAATAAGCTTAATGCTACAAATTTTGTGTATAATAAATATAGTTACACTCCAAGTTCTTTTTAACACTAAACCTATCAACATTTCATGTATTCGTTAAATGACCTTCCCTTTTTTCTTGCTGAAACTTCTTTGGATGCATAGAGTAAAAGCAAATTTCAAAATAAACATAGAAGACAGTAAAAATTATAATAGTCGTTATGTTCATCGGCTAGAGGATGAAGTGCCCTTTAAAATGAGTGTTCATACAAGTCGATAGCGTAGTTAGTTCCAGAGATATAAGGGTTCAAAGTGTTTGTTTACTTCTCATTGTTTACGTCGCGGAGTCAATGAACTTTCGCTACTTGGAAAGGTCGTTGACCGCCCGTGCTCGTAGTAAACAGTAAACATTACGTCACTCGTCACAGGTGTAAAAGAAAGAGGTCATAAACAAAAATCATTTCAAAGGGGGAGGTTTGCAGTTTCTAAAGATGGCGGAGTTATGTAGAAAACATTCATCCATCAATTATAGAGAAAATACCAGTAGTTTCAGAACTGCACGCATCTAAAGTTTAACTATTTTTAATACGCATTATTAAACTAAAGATTCTCTCCTTTAATCTTTGCTATACAGGGTGTTCGGCCACCTCTAGCAAAAATTTTAATGAGCGATAGTAGAGGCCAAAATAAGACAAAAATCAAGAATACTAATTTGTTGGTGAAAGCTTCGTTAAAAAGTTATTAACGTTTAAAGTGCCGCTCTTACTGAATTTTTTTCTCGAAAATGCGCAAGATTTCGGGGGTATGTCTATTCACCAAAAATGACTGTAATTGAACCCTACAACCGAAAATAATTTTTCCACAACGATTTGCAATTTTTTAATTTTCTCGAATAATTTCACACCTTCTCTATTTTTTTTCTCGAAAGTGGGCAGGATTTCGTGGGTATGTCTAATGACAAAAACTGATTGTAATTGACCCCCGCAACCGAAAATAATTTTTCCACAACGATTTGCAATTTTTTTTCTCCGTTGAAAAATTTAGGCACCTAATTGGATTTTCAGTAAGGAATTTTTTTCTCGAAAGTGCGTACGATTTCGGAGGTAAGTGTAATGATAAAAAATGATTGTAATTGATCCCCGCAACCGAAAATAATTTTTCCACAACGATTTGAAAAATTTTTTTTCGCCGAAAAATTTCAGCACCTACTCGATTTTTTTTCTCGAAAGTAGATAGGATTTCGGAGGTATGTGTACTCACCAAAAATGATTGTAGTTGACCCCCGCAACCGAAAATAATTTTTCCAGAACGATTTGAAATTTTTGAATTTAATTGTTAATAACTTTTTAACGAAGCTTCCATCAACAAATTAGTATTCTTGATTTTCGTCTTATTTTGGCCTCTACTATCGCTCATTAAAATTTTTGCTAGAGGTGGCCGAACACCCTGTATATTTCCCATTTAGTTAACCAGAATTTAATACCAAATTTTGTCCGATTTAAAACCAAAAAAAAAAATATAAATCGTTCGACTGATCATTTGAACAATCGTGGTAGGTTTAGTGTTAAAAGGTAAAGTCTATGTCCTGCTAAAATAATGAACGATCTACGATCGAATGAAACAACTTTCGATAATTTTGTTAAAGGAAAAAGTTGTTCCAAATATCGTCCTTCGAAACGTTGCCTTTCGATGAGTCAGTCATAAAAATGGCGTATATCGGTTTCGTTGAACTAGTGCCAAAATTGCAGACGTCCTTCACCTTTGCAAGTCGCTTTGAGGCCATCCCATTGCGACAAGGGCAAGCAATTACGAATTTTGCTCCCGCGAAGCTGATAACCGTTATCGCATCTGAATTGGCAACGCGCGTCGATCGGATATGCCGTGAAATTCTCCGTGATCAAATGTTGGTCCTCTTCGTTCTGACACCGCATTCGACCATGAGTCGGTGTTCGAAGCGCTGGACAAGTTTTCACTGTCCAAAAACGAGAGATATAAAATTATTAAAAGGTAACATTTTGGGAAAATTACTAGATAGATTTGTTAACACTGTGGGAGGAATTAGGTTGTCTAATAAATGAGCCCCTTTTTATTTAATAATATAACGTATACATATTTTAACACAATTCTCCCCACGTGTGCATCACGCTCTCCTCCATACAAGGGATTTCCGCGCCGTCCCTCTCGCGCACCAGCGCTGCCAACACCCATTCTCATTCATACCCCACTCACTCACCAGGCATACCACACAATAAAAATAACCCCACAAACACTAGAACTACTTATTTGCATCAAGAAAATTGAAACGATAGGTGCGCGAAGAAATGTATAATGCAATGGAAATAAGTGTTTATTCATTCTCTTATAGAAAATTACGATAAATTGGTTTGGTAGTTCTAGTGTTAAAATTACTAATGGAAATTAGGAAGGCAACAAACATGTAACAGTATGCACCGAATGTATCAAAATTAATTCTAAAAATTATCATAGCTGGATTCCTTGGAACGGTAGAGATCTGTTTAAAAAATTACGTGAAATTTTTTTTATCTGAAAGGACAAAATGTCTCAAAAAAATCGTCAGACCAAAATGTCCCGTTCTCCTGAAAAATTATTATATTTCTAATCATTCCTAAACTCGTCATATACAGGGTGTCTTAACATCTCCTCCAATTATGATAGTATAAAAAATATTTTACATATACGGTTTAAATGTTATTAAAGTTATCTTTTCGAAATTTACAAGGTCATCGATGTTTCATAAAGACATAAGAACCTTTTGTTGAATTTGCCCTCAAGAAAAATGTTTAACGTCTTTGTTCGTTAAAAAGTTGGACTTACGCAGACATTTCGGTTCATTTCCAGACCAATTGCCATTTTTCCCGCAAAGTCGAATACTATCGCCTGTAAGATAAAAACCGATTTTGCATCTTACACCGCAAGCTGCGTGGACGACGTTGCTGCATGCGCCAGCCTTTACCAAGTATCCATTCTCGGGTATCTTCAACTTGGGACATGTTATAACTGCAAAAAATCACAAAGCACGAGTAAACATTTGAAAAGGAAAGAAGATGTATTGTCACGTGTTAAAATATTTTAGAAAACATTAATTGTAACAAATAGTAATTTCAAGTACGATAATTTACTTCTTCCTTCATTACGAAAACTTCACATATTTGCATTTGAAGCCGCCATTTTTGTTGAATCATCTCTTACGTTAATTAATAACTCCTGACATTTTTCATAGATTAACGGGGACGTACCTCCCAAAGAAAATCAAACAGAGCATTGATTTCGAAAGAAATTATAGAAATGGCGCGCCATTTTTAGAAGAAGAGTATTAAGAGTATTAGTTACATTTATGCATACATTAAAATAATTGTACACTCGATATATATACGTTGTTCGTAATAGTTGAAGATTGCTATAAATTTGCTAGTGCGTTCTTTTTTTAATATAGAGAAATTTTATGCAAACTTTATGACACTGATTGACAATTTCACTTTAAACAAACACAAATTTTTTTTTTGGAAATGAAATACAGACTTTTTGAGACATCGTTGGGATTGAGAGATTTTATGGAACATAATGGACCCACGCTGCAACAAACCTCGCGATTTTGTTGCCAACTCTAGAAATTTAGCCGAGGGTGTACGTAAACAAAGGCATCTGCAGATAAAATGGTTTCAGACGTACGAATGGTTATTGGACGAACACGTGTATGTAAAAATTCTTTTTGGGTGAATAATTAGAAAAAGCAATTACAAGAAGAACCAAAACTCCTGATGGAACATTAGATACGATTCATAAAAAAATATTCATACAAAGTGTTTTATAAAACTCAATTATAAAACTCGATTCTGAAAAGGAATTTCGTGCCTTAGATTTTTTGTCAAATACGTAAAATTATTTTATAACCTAGAGTTGTGTTCATTATTTACTATTTCAAGGCAACTAACGAAAGAAAAATATAACGTTAATAAACGTTGTTCTAAAGCTTGAACTCTTATTTTAGGAACACTATGTATAATGAAAACTATAATGCTTTTTGTGTGTATTCGATAAATCACGATCGTCAAATTTAATCACAAATTTTTAAATTAAATTTTCCGAGGAACGTCGACAAAATGGTTGAAACGTAATTTGTATTTTCTTTTTTTTCCTGTTCGTACAACAGATAGATAACGATCGAAAATTGAAATTCATCGAATTTCTTTACATTTATAATTTCACGAATCGAGGATACTGATCATCGATTGATTGTGTAGAAAATTGGGAAACGAATTGAAAAAACTTTGTGAAGAAAAGCACCCGATCGTAGAGACTGAGTCATTTGTTCGAGAAGAGGGAAAAACGTGTCTACCATTTCCGGTTACTACGAGCGCTGAGGTATAATAAATAATTTTTCACTTTGATTACTTTAAGTATAAATCAAAGAACAGTATTTTTTTAAATAATACTAAAATAATTAAATGTACTTTCAGTTATCAAACGTAGAAACAATTATAAATTTCTTATTTATTTTATAATGAAATAAAATTATATTTTCGTTTCAAAAAATTAAAAGACGCATCGATGTATAAAAATAAATAAACATTAAATTTGTCTTGTGACATTTTTATCTCTAACTGTTTTAAACATAACCGATTATTATGTTCATACTATAACAATTTCAATACGATTGGTGTTAAGGGTAAAAAGAAAATATTAAATATTTCTAAAATACATTATTTCCATAGTACGGTTGGCTTGCAAGTAAACCAAAATTTCAACTGGAAAAATATGGATCTTATATGCCAGTGTACCCCGATCCTCTTCGCGACATAGTACATTTAACCGGAAATATACCTGTCCTCGCTGCTGGCAAAGGATTCCTTTGGTAACCAATAACGAATAAAATCGTCGAGAAATTAAATGAAACGATACCACAATAAACAATCAACTTTCACAACGTATTACCTTCGCATTTATTTCCGTCTGTCGTGAATCCTGATGCGCAAACACAATGCTCCACAGAAGTTGCTGGCACTTTGATAGTCACATGATTGGCATCAGGGCATGATATGCACGTGGATGTAGAATCACCAGATATTTCTTCGGAAGCGTATGTACCGTTTGGACAAGCTGGAAAAATTATGATGTACTTATTTGTAAAATTTATCAAAGAAATTAAAATTTCTCATATAGAAAAACACAGTAAATTTGTAAAAATCCAATCAAGTGTAATAGTTTTTCATTTTGACCAGTTCGGTAGTTCTAGTGTTAAATCACCGATGTCCGAATGCAATTTGTAATTTTTAACTATAGTTGATTCAAATTGGATCCGACGAGTTAAAGAATGGCGCAGGTTCAAAACCAGCCATTTTCAAATGATCTCAACACTAAACATAAATCGCACAGAGCTACACTTTGGGACCCAGAACGGTGCAAAAGATATATTTAGAAATACACAGAGTTATAGAAGGTTAAATTCTAATTACATAGATAAACTCACGTTGACAGGATCCTTTGAAACCGGAGCCAAAGTATCCAGTGGGGCAGATGCAAACGTAATGGCCGGTTGCAATCCCGCAGGCGCACGTCGCGGAATTGTCGCAACAATTTTGGTCGTTCTCGATCTCGCTAATATTTCGACACAAGAGACCACAATTGTCTGGTATCGTCACGGGTACATATTTCCCAGATCCCAAATCTGTCAACATTGAGACGAGACAAATTTATATTCGATAAAGGAGACTTTTTGTTTCATTTATTAAAATAAACTTTCAAGTTACGGCCTTGCATATTTGTAGTTGTGTATATGGAACGCGGATAAGTTTACTTATGAAATCAGATTTCCAGGTTCTTTGCAAATAACGCTTTATCGAACTAAACTCCGCGCTATTGAACTAAACTTCAAGTGTACTTTTTCGTGTCTGCGCATGCGCCATTAGCGCGGGTATTATAAACGTATCTCCCTATAACAGTAGCGAATGTTTATTTTCTAAGGCTGAATACATACTTTGTAAGAAGTCCATTACAAAATATACAGAAATCTTATTTGTAATCAGCTCAAATCAAAATTAATAGTATTAATAATTTGCATTATAATTACATTACATTTAAATCCGATTCCTTGAATCTTTATAATTACGTTACATTTTAGTTCAATTCCTTTTGCGTCTATTAACATTCCTATATTATCGATATTTATCAATATCTGTATTAATATCCCTCTAAGAATTTCGCTCTAATTTCAACGTAATTCTCTACCTAATATTTATTTATTTATTTACGAGTTTATACACCCTTTGATACAATACAGTTGCATAATGTATGTAAAAGTCTCGTTAATTGCGTATGTTATAAGATACAGCGCGTATAATGTAGGGTTAGTTTTATTAGTTGTATGCCTGGTGAGTGAATGGTAGTGTAAAGTAGGCTTAATGTTGGCAGCATTGGCACGCGAGGGGTTCCACTGTCTTGTGAGAGTTGTGTACAGCAGAAAATTTATGTTACCTATATATTAAATATATATTTCATTATTATCAAAAATAACAACATTGGATTACACATAATTGACCTCATTCCTTCCATATACAACACTAGCGCCACGCTTTTTAAAGGAATACAGAGAAGTCCAGACGCTGACTAAACTGGTTAGCTTGGGCAAGGATATAATTAATACAATTATTGTATGTATAATGTCGTTTAAATGTTGAAATATAGAATAATTCCATATTTCTAGTAATTCTTGCCGGAGCATTAAATTCAACTAATTGTAAAATTTCAGAACAATTTACATAGTTATTGATGATTTTATAAGCAAACAACATATCGTATACATATAGTTCTACGTTGTTCAAGCGTAAGAAACCCTAATCCCGACAAAATTCTGGCATAGTGGTGACCAGTAACTGGAATAGGACTGCCCAGCTTATAGGAGACGATGCGTAGGAATTTGTGGTGAATTCTTTCAATGCAATCGATGGGGATAGGGGAACGATATTCAAGGTTTGGATGAACTAGAGCGTTAAAGAGGATATTTAATGTGTTAGGGTTCTTGAAATGTGTTGGCAATCTTTCAATGAAGTCAAGAGACCTGGAAGCTGATAATGTAATTATGAAGTCTGAAGTGAATGTAACTCCAAGATCTTTTATACTAGTGAAATATTCCAAAAAAGTCCCATTAATTGAGTAACGGTACATAACAGGGGTTTTCTTAGGATGAAAACGCAGAATTTTACATTTCTGTATATTCAAAAGCAAATGATTGGTCCCGTTGTTGAGATTTGTAACGTCTTGCTGCAGTTTGATTGCATCATCGGGAGGAATTGATATTAAGAAACATTTTAACGTCATCCGAAAAAATAGTAGAAAACGACAATGTTTTACGTTGAAGGGAAGCATCCGTAAAGTAAGGGTTATAACTAAAAATGTGCAAAACTACGTAAACTCACCACGGTGCAGCGCACGTCGTGCAAGGGCTTCAAATTCGGCGAAACTGTCGAGAAAATAACTGTGCGTGTATTCCGGAAGGCTGGCTATATCGTGAAGCTCCTGCACGTTCCCCGTTCGTATTCCGAACGTGAATATTGTCGCACCAACACTTTTCAACAGATTCGCTGCCGGTCGCGGATCGCCGCCATTGCTGAACCCGTCCGTTATAAGAAACACTGCCTTCTCCGCGTTCTGTCGGCCTTTCTCAAGAATTCTCTAACAAATAGTTTTTGAAACGCTTCGAAAATTAGATCGAAACGCAGTTTAACCAACAGTAATTAACGAAAGGAATATTTTATCATCAGTGTAGAGCTATTAGGTGTACAACTTTGCTCCCGCCATTTTTCAATAGCTGGATTTAGCGGTAAGTAGTGGTCGAAATAAATAGGTCATAGATGTCATTCAATTAACTTGGTCAACATACCTCCATAGTCGATTTGTGTCTGCATGATAAAGTTATTCTCGATTGAAAATGTAAATTTACGAGCCAAATTCTCGTCATTTGCGGGAGGCTTTAATTTTCTGCTTCAATATGAAGAAATCTGACTGAGGCTCATCAACTACTCTCAAGTGTTTATGGTGAGGCCACTATTAGTGAAAGAATGTGTCGTGAGTGGTTTCGACGCTTCAAGAACAGTGATTTTAACATTGTGGACCAGCATTACGGTGGAAAAGAGAATTGGAGGCATTACTTGATCACGACTCGTGTCAAACTCAAGAAGAATTGATTCAGAAGCAATATAATTGGGTGACGTACGAGTTGGAGCCGAGAAATTTCGGGGAAAAACAGCAGAAGCTAAGTTGTACACCTAATATAAAAGTGAAAAAACGCTTACAAGAGCTTCTATAAGAGCGCCACGTGTATACGTTCCACCACCAGTGTAGCTAATGTTGTTTAATTGTTTATTTAACAGAAAGCACTTGTGATCATTGTCACCGGTACGAGATATCTGATCAACGTTGCGTCTGATGTTCCTTTTCCCGCCGAATGTTATGATCGCAACTCTGGCGGCCGAGGGTTCCACGACAAAGTCGGACAGAAGGTTTTTCACGAAATTCAATTCGCTTTGGAAATTTTTCAAACCCACGGATCCCGAGGCATCGACGAGGAATATCAATTCGACCTGATAAATATTTCACATACGATTTCAATCGTTCAGCATCGCTCGTGAACAATCTCGCTAAAATTAATGGCGTCTACCGTGAAACTTAACGGGGCTACTCTAGTCTGATACTTTGGAAAAATCGGTTTCCTTTACGTTTCATTTTTTCGTACAATTTTTTAAATATACATAAAATATAGTAAAATTTGTTGAAAGTAAAAGTATATGTTGAAGGAAAACTGTATTACAGACGAAGAACGTACCAGTGTCATAATTAGATACATTTGTAATAATAAATTACGAACTGAAGCGAATGATAGAATAATTTTGAAACTATCAGGTCTGTCCACTAATAAAAATATTTACAGAATCATACCATATTGTTTGATTAGATTTTTTAAATATTACATACAAGATGCTCGGCCAAACCTGGGAAAAATTTTAATGCGAGATTCTATAGGCCAAAATAAGACGAAAATCAAGAATACTAATTTGTTGATGGAGGCTTCGTTAAGAAGTTATTAACGTTTACAGTTCCGTCCGTACTGAATTTTTTTCTCGAAAATGCACAGGATTTCTGAGGTATGTCTATTCACTAAAAATGATTGTAATCGACCCTCACGACTAAAAATATTTTTTTCAGGACGATTTGAAATTTTTTAACTTTGTCGAAAAATTTCACACCTTCTCGAATTTTTTTCTAGAAACTGAGTAGGAATCCGTGGGTATGTCTACTGACCAAAAATGATTGTAATCGACTCCCACAACTAAAAATATTTTTTCCAGGACGATTTGAAATTTTTTAATTTTGTCCAAAAGTTTCACACCTCTTCGAATTTTTTTCTAGAAAGTGGGTAGGATTTCGGGGGTATGGCTGTTCACAAAAAATACTTATAATTGATCCCAGCAACCAAAAATAATTTTTTCAGAATGATTTGAAGTTTTGTGATTTAATTTTTTAATAACTTTTTAACGAAGCATCAATCAAGAAATTGATATTCTTCATTTTCGTCTTATTCTGGCCTCTAGAATCTCTCATTAAAATTTTTCCCAGAGGTGTGACTGTTCTGCGAATATGACGTTATCAGTATTAAATTCTTTCAATTAGTCGTTGCTATAAATATAAAAAAACAAGTTTTAACAAATAATTTTGTGCGACGAAGAAATTATTATCGAGCATATTTAAATGAAATGTGAAAGAAACGGACATAAATTTCGAGGAAAAAATAATTCAGTATCAAACGAGTTAAGAAAATCTAACAGCATGAAGTTAACGATTACCTGGTCGGTTTGACTCTTCAAACGATCGATATGAATTTTGAAAATGCGCGACAAAGTGTCTGCCTTGTTTTTGAACATTCTTCTGGCATTCCCGAAACTCGCGGTCAGCTCGCGCCAATTTGTGTTCCTTTTCTCACCGAAATTGAGAAAGAACGACGCAGTCGTATTTTCTTCGTTCGGTTCGACGTTCAAACCCATGTTGAATCGAACAACATCGTTGATAGATACGATCGATATAAACATACGGGACAACAGTCCAATTAATATGCATTTCTTGGCGATCGGACCGATCATGCTTGCAATTCGTATTTACGATTCGAGAAATACTTTCAGGGCATAATTCCGCACCAATGAGCACAGCGATTCAAACGCAACTCGTCTGCAGTATTTTTTATGTCGACGCTTACACATATCATTGATTGTTTACAGAAATTCCATGCATTTCTTTCGAATTTATGAGATATCGTCGGCTGTGAGGCGGATTTTTAAATCGGTCTCGTGACATCAACGCCTCGCGGAACACAACGAAGAACAGACAGAGCCGTGTGCAACGAAGTCAACAACTCGTTTCGTTAAATGTTTCGAAGAAGGCACTATTTAGAGAACGACTGTCAATACATCGAGACAAACTGCTACTGCTTCGCGGAGGATCGTGTAAAGCTACATCCATACCGCTGAAAAGTTCAGAACAAGGGACTCTCTGTTCCATCTGTACTGCGCGCACGTGTTCATCCTCATCGACCGATCTCCGGTCGAGATCATTTTTTCAGCGTATTCCAATATACGCGCTAGGGTGGTCCTCGGCTGTAGTGGGTCGAAATTTTTGCTTGAATTTTTTTTTAAATCATCACCTTTGATAAAAGAAAGAACTTTCGATTCAAGTCCTATTTTCCTATCTGTTTTTCCATGAGCGCATTCATTTACGTAAACATCTGCAATCTACTCGTTACGGATGATATCGTGATAGGATGTACGACCATCGAACTTTTGGACTGTGCATCACCATAGCTTGCTTGGCTAGTCGCGTCAGAGGTCCTCCGATAAAGATCCAGTGTCGACGCGATTTTCAACGGTGGTAAATATATATTTCATTATTATCAAAAATAACAACATTGGATTACACATAATTGACCTCATTCCTTCCATATACAACACTAGCGCCACGCTTTTTAAAGGAATACAGAGAAGTCCAGACGCTGACTAAACTGGTTAGCTTGGGCAAGGATATAATTAATACAATTATTGTATGTATAATGTCGTTTAAATGTTGAAATATAGAATAATTCCATATTTCTAGTAATTCTTGCCGGAGCATTAAATTCAACTAATTGTAAAATTTCAGGACAATTTACATAGTTGTTGATGATTTTATAAGCAAACAACATATCGTATATAGTTCTACGTTGTTCAAGCGTAAGAAACCCTAATCCCGACAAAATTCTGGCATAGTGATTACAAATAACTGGAATAGGACTGCCCAGCTTATAGGAGACGATGCGTAGGAATTTGTGGTGAATTCTTTCAATGCAATCTATGTAGATAGGGGCTCCAAATAGAGACTAGAGCGTTAAAGAGGATGTTTAATGTGTTAGGGTTCTTGAAATGTGTTGACAATCTTTCAATGAAGTCAAGAGACCTGGAAGCTAATAATGTAATCATGAAGTCTGAAGTGAACACCAAGATCTCTTATGCTAGTGGAATCTTCCAAAAAGGTACCATTAATTGAGTAACGGTATATAACGAGGGTTTTCTTAGGATGAAAACGTAGAATTTGACATTTCTGTATATTCAAACGCAAATGATTGGTCCCGCTGTTGAGATTTGTAACGTCTTGCTGCAGTCTGATTGCATCATCGAAGGATTTGATATTAAGAAACACTTTAACGTCATTCGAAAAAATAGTTTAATAGCCTGTTACGCGGAAACGACCATCGAACTTTTGGACTATGCATCACCATAGCTTGCTTCCAGTGTCGACGCGATTTTCAACGCTAACTAACCTGAGAGAAAGACCTTTGTTGAAGAAAAGAGGCAGATAAATAGACGCTAGGCTCACTATTATGTCAAAGTTCTATTATTGTAATCTGTAACTTAAAGTAAAACTGAAGTCGTGCATAAGAGGATTCGGGGATTCCAAGCTCGTTGCACAGCTTGCAAACGCATGTAGAATAGCGTTCGAGAAAGAGGGGTGTCGTGTTTACGTTGAGCGTGGGAGGGATATTGAACCGAGTGCAGCGAGAATAAGAGGTCAGAAAAATACTAGCACATTCCTTGTGACCCGCGCGGATATCGCATCGATCCGACGTAAATTGATTTTTCTATTTAGATATCGGCGGGGCACGCGCGCGCATCACCCGCCCACGATTACACGATGATCTAGAGCGTTCTCGGTCCTCCACGGTCTTCGTTCTTGCCTTTTCTAACCAGTTTATCGGCTCTCCGGTCCAGATAACGCTCGTCGAAGTTTAATCCGGGTTCGGTTGTGTCGCGAAGTGGCAAGATTCTGGAAACTGACAGAAAAGATTTCATTCTTCCCTACGAGAGCGTCATTGATTGTACTTTTTTTGTTGTTCGTTAACGAAAGAGTGAGAGAATCATGTTGATCTCGACAGCGATACTGATGACTATGCTGGTCTATGGAAGTTTTGCTGACCAAGAAGAAGAACAGTCTTCGCGTGCATCGCGAATCATTCCTTATTTACATGGATTGAAAGTAGCCCAGGACGGTGGTGGATACGAACTATGTCGTCCCTCGAAATTTTGGAAGGAGGACCAGTTGGGGCACGTAAACGTGTTCGCGTTCTTAGATCCTTCGTGGCACTACAGCTATAGGCAAGCAATCATGTGAGTTGCTTCGCTCCCGCTGCGACAAGTGGGTACGAAAATCGTAAACAAAATATTAATATATGCTGAGAAATAATACGTTCTTAATATTTAAAGAAATTGATGTGTTCGTCGTACCTCGACAGTGAAAATTTTTAAGATTGGAACAGCACATTTTTTAAAACCAATCTGTTGTGTGAATCGTAGTGTATTTGTTAGTTAAAACGTACAGTTTAAAAATTTAATTTTTCTACTATTTATGAACAAATTAATGTACAATTTTATTCTAATAATGGCAGGTAAGTACATATCTATATACTTGCATATAAACACTTGCATCGTTATACTATGTATTCATCCTCAGAAGGGAACATCGCGAACTGATACACTACGATTTTGATGAAACTTTGCATAAACATGTATTAGACCTATCTAGGAAGACAGGTGTAATTCGTTCGTGTCTGTTTTGCACTTTGAGAGAGATATCAACCCTTTTATCCCAACCGCCCTTTCTATGTACATACGTGCTTATAAGTCGTAAACAACAAAAGATATACAAAAATAGTTGAAATAGAAGTTATACCGTTTCTTGAGATCTATAAAGCTGCGTGTAAATTTTGTTGAAAAAATCATTTTTTTTGCAAAATTGAATTCCCCCCTCCACCTACTTCGAAAAAATATTGCTCTCTCTGATCGATAAAAGAGTCTATTTATGGCGGATTCAGCGATGTATTGTAATATATAATTATTTTAATTATTCCGTCGCAATTTAAATATTGTTATCTTCCTGTATCGACTGTTCATTCGACCTATACTTGCGACGTTGATACGACCTTTGATAAGTACCATTTCTCCGTTCGTTTTACATGTCATTTACATAATTGTAAGATCAATTTCGTCATCATACGATGAAGTTCATTTATTTTGTAGAATTTCTACAATTTCCGGACCAGGAGTACAATCGAAAAGGCGATTAATGTACATACAAAAATAAGCTGAAAATATGGAATAATAGTTTCTTCATATTCAAAAACCAAAAACATCAAGAGGCTGTAATCTTCCAGTCGATGTTTTTCGGTATCGTCAGAAAAAGTACTTCCTTCCCTTCAGGAACAAGGTGTGCCTAACTATAAATCAAAATTGGTTTATTATATCAAGAAACAATTCTAAATTCGCAGCCATTAGCTCGGTGTCACCTACAATAGAAAATATTTTTTATCGTGAGTAACACCGATTACCAAGATTGCCTCTTGGCAAGTCCAATCGAAGGAGAAGTGATACGATGCACCCGACACAGAGGTTCCCCATTTCCCCCTAGCATCCCGTTGGGAGCCAGCTGGACCCAACTCAAGATGACTGACAGAGAGAGGGAGCGTGTATCGGGGCTACCGTAGACAGGAACAGTCCGTGATCCCCTCTGCGGCCGAAATACTCTTTCCCTTGGATCGTCTCGCCAGAGGACGGCAACTGACCCTTCGGACTAGCTAAGCGGCCGATCACTTGCTTTCTACATTAAAGCAGTGGTGACCGGAACAAGAACCAAGAGAACGGGTGAACGAGAAGCTAGTTGGTAAAGAATTACTTGGCATATACGCAGACGCATACATGGGAGTTGTCGATGCTTATATCTAATTCAAATGTACCAAGTAATTATTCTGTTTAAAAAGGGGTGAAGCTATATCGTGGGATACGCGACGCGACGCGATGCTGACCCGTACAACAGATCTTCGGATCGAATCGACACTGCCCTTGGTAGATTGATTTCTATTTCTAGAAATCGATCTGTCATGGGCAGACGATTAGATCTTTCGGACAAACTGGACGGCCGACCACATGTTCCAATCGATGAAACAGCGGTGATCGAAGCGAAAAACGAGAGAACGAGTCGAGAGAAGCTACTTGTTAAATAATTACTTGGCAATTTTGGGAGACGCATACAATAGAGACTTAAAATTAACGTCGAAGCTCAAGTATAGTCAAGTTGAAACTAAAATTCGGACGATAGAAGGAAACAAAGTTCCTTGGATGTTCTGACTTAGTTGTACCAAGCAATTATTTGGTTAAAAAGAGGGATGAAGTTAATTTGAGGGACACGCGACGAGACGCGACGCGACGCTGAACCGTGCAGCGGATCCGAGGATCGAACCTACTGCCCTTGCTAACTAGATCTCTATAAGATAACGGACGTTATCTGCGACTCCGAATCGAAGGTCTCCATTTCTCCAACGCAACCCGCCGGGAGCCCGAAGGACCCGACTCAAGTTTTCTGACAAAGAGAGAGTACCTGAAACAGTGTCGACTTCCGCTGGAAGGTATGCGTTTCCGCAGAATACGGAAACTCCACACCTTCCAGCAGAGTACCATTTTCCCTCGATCGAGTTACCAAGGGAAGGCGATTAGATCTTTCGGACCAGATACACGGCCGAACACATGTTTCAATCGATGAAATAGCAGTGATCGAAGCTAGAAACGAGGGAACGAGCGAGAGAGAAGCTACTTATTGAATAATTGCTTGGTAGGACGCAGAGACACGTACAATAAAGAAATTTTCGACGTTAATTTTAAAACTCACGACGAAGCTTAAATCTAATAGACTAAGAATTATATGTCCCTCGGCGGTTGTGATGTCTTCCCTCGATGTCCTTGCAATTGATTTGTAATAGATTCAACCTAAAACAAAAACGCATACCTATATTAGTATCATATTAAAGAAACTAAGCGATTAGTGAACCGATGTATCGAAGAATGTAGTGGAGTAGATGAGAATTTATAACCTGGAGAAGCTACGAAATTTAGAAATATTCATACCTAGAGAAATGTACAAAATAGACACAACGAGACAGTGAAAATGGTAATAATTCACAAATATAGACATAATAAAAATTCTGAATAATCGAAAAATAATGACGATCTACCCATGTAGTTAAAACGTCGAAACAATTTCACAGATAACGTCAAAAAGAAAGTACCAAACAATTGAACAAAGTATCCCCGTGAAATGTTATGAGAATTCGAGTAATGACACAAAATTGAAAATCATAATCCCATCGATGTCACCAAAATTCACGAAATATTATAGGAACAAATAGGAAAATGAACCAACACGGTAGTTAATTACCATTTTCACTAGATGTCAAAAGTTGATGTCAAAAGTCGAAAAGGACGAAAGAAACATCCATAAAAATAAATAGACAAACAAAATCCAATTGACACCGTACAATCAAATAAAAGAAACAAACAAATTTTGTACGAATACATATAAATGAGTGGAATGGACTTACTACTTGTTGACACATAGTTACACGCGGTATTTCAGCACTGGTCAGTAGTGGTCAGTAGTGGTCAACAGTTCCCGCGAGTGGTCAGTCTTGGTCACTAGTGGTCACTACTGGTCAGTATTGGTCCCCAGAGCTCGCCAGTAATCGGTAGCGGTCAGTAGAAGCGGAGCGCAGACCCAGGACGTTCCGCCACGTCCGCCAGCCCAGAGGAGAAAGAGAGGGAGAGAGCTCGTCACCGGCAGCTAGCCTCAGGCGGAAGAGTTGAAGGGGTGGGGAAGACCGTCCTTGGCGTGTTTACCAATCAATTAACGGTTAACCGTGCCTTTGACCGAAAAATGAATATTCTACGCAAAATGTTATTAAAAACAATTATTAATACAATCCCCGCTATCGAGCATTATTTAACTATTGCCTGATGTTAATTAATAATTATTGCAAATAATAGGTATGAAAATATGGAGAAATTCGAGGAGACTGAAAGTTTCTTTGAATTTCTGTCGAGAACCAAGGTCGTACATCACGTATTCATTTCTTCGATCTTCTGTCCTTTATACGATACTTTCTTTTGTATAAGTTTCCATCTTTCATTTCTTATCATTAAATTGTACATGCGTCACTAAAATCGCAAAACGATATGTTGCAACGCCCAACAGAACACACATTAATGCACACGAAGAGAAGTTGTAAAGTTTCATCAAAATCGAAGTGTATCAGTTCGCGATGTTCCCTCGTCAGTCTCATCTTGATTATAACAATCGTAAATAGTATCGTTACTATTTGAGCCTTCGATAGAGTGGCTCACATGCCCAGTAAATAAATAAACAAATAGAAGGGAAGAGCTTGACGAAATGAATCGTTTCATAGTTTTTCTCTGCAAGGTTGGAATTGCTGAAGAACCGATTAGAGAAGTCCAACTTTTCCAACATTTTGTTCTTCGTCGTGGCACCGCCACTGGAATTACCGGAAGATGACTTGGAGATGAAAACGTGGAAGGACATATCTAAGAAGAACCTCGTGGAATCTGAATTATTTTGGGCCGCGAAGGAAACACAGTCCGACGATCTTGGTGAAAACAACGGGAAGGGCTCAAAAATCATCTTCCTTCAGGACAATCGCGAGTTGGGCATTTGGGAAAATTTTCATGCCTACAAGGACGAAGTGGCAGTCCTCGATCGGTGAGTCGTCCTCGACGCTTTTTATACCTCAAACAAGCAATCAATTTTAGTTCAGCGATTGTTAAGTATAGAAATGTAGAAATATTTAAAAATGTATGTCAAGTCTATGGAAAGTTTAACAACAGAAACAGACGATAGATGTTTACAATTATCGTCAAATACGTAAAGGCAATTATTCTTAGGTATTAAATATTTTTGAATAGAGAAAAGAAATGTTTTAGATTCGAAGTGGCCAGTTAATTTTGATACAACGCGAAATACCGATGTTTCAGCTGTGGCAGACTGACGTATCAAGTTATAATACCTTGGAGTATATTATACTTTCCTTACGTTAAAGCTGCTATTCTTTCTACGTACAAAGAGGAACCCTGCGGTCCGTGCAATGTAAGCTCCAAGCATGTCTATATAACCAGTATAATAATGCAAAAAATTATTAAACAGAGAATGTAAAATTTGTTTGTACGATGTACAGGAGCAACCACCATTAATACGTAATCTAATGGATTATGAAAAGTACCGTTTCCGGAATATAAATCCAAATTACAAAGAAAAAGACGAAAACTCCAAATCGTACACGAAGCAAACACTTGGTAACTTAGAATCGGAGAGCGTCACTGCGTTTTCGGAGGAATCGAAAAGAACGGAAGACGATAAAAATGCAAGCACCGTTATTCCTATTAATTTCAATTTAAATACAAATGATGTAACGATTACCGATATCGCGATAACAGACATACCATCTGTGGCAGCAGAAGCGTCTCGAACATTTAATGGGACAGAGCATAACAATGGAAAAGGCGATGGTACTTTTGCTGGCAACAGAAGTGAATCGACAACAGAAACTTCGTTCATAACCTCAAACTTAAAGACAATTAAAGATTATAGTAAAATACAGGATCATACTTCTATGAACGAACACACAACTACAAATAATAACACGATTAATGGTACAAATACAGATACTAAAAGAAATGACTTTCGTCAGGATGCCATTAACGAGAGTTTGAAAAATGGCGATGAAAAAGAAGAGATTTCTTCGACTGGTAGTAACGATAATAATTTTCTTTATACAGGGTGCTCGGCCATCTTGAGAAAAATTTTAATGGGAGATTCTGGAGGCCAAAATAAGACGAAAATCAAGAATATCAATTTCTTAACTTAGGCTTCATTACAAAGTTATTAAAAAATTTCAAATCATTCTGAAAAAATTATATTTAGTTACAGGGCTCAATTAGAAGCATTTTTGGTGAATAGACATACCCCTGAAATCCTACCCACTTTCGAGAAAAAAATTCGAGTCGGTGCAAAAATTCTTCGACGAAATTAAAGAATTCCAAATCACACTAAGAAAATTATATTTAGTTACAGGGTTCAATTAGAAGCATTTTTGGTGAATAGACATACCCCTGAATTCCCACTCACTTTCGAGAAAAAAATTCGAGTAGATGCAAAAATTCTTCGACGAAATTAAAAAATTTCAAATCATTCTGGAAAAATTATTTTTGGTTGCGGGGGTCAATGATAATAATTTTTGGTGAATAGACATACCCCCGAAATCCTACCCATTTTCGAGAAAAAAATTCGAGTAGGTGCAAAAATTCTTCGACGAAATTAAAGAATTCCAAATCACACTAAGAAAATTATATTTAGTTACAGGGCTCAATTAGAAGCATTTTTGGTGAATAGACATACCCCTGAATTCCTACTCACTTTCGAGAAAAAAATTCGAGTAGGTGCAAAAATTCTTCGACGAAATTAAAAAATTTCAAATCATTCTGGAAAAATTATTTTTGGTTGCGGGGGTCAATTGCAATAATTTTTGGCGAATAGATATACCCCCGAAATCCTACCCACTTTCGAGAAAAAAATTCGAGTAGGTGCAAAAATTCTTCGACGAAATTAAAGAATTCCAAATCACACTAAGAAAATTATATTTAGTTACAGGGCTCAATTAGAAGCATTTTTGGTGAATAGACATACCCCTGAATTCCTACTCACTTTCGAGAAAAAAATTCGAGTAGGTGCAAAAATTCTTCGACGAAATTAAAAAATTTCAAATCATTCTGGAAAAATTATTTTTGGTTGCGGGGGTCAATGATAATAATTTTTGGTGAATAGACATACCCCCGAAATCCTACCCACTTTCGAGAAAAAAATTCGAGTAGGTGCAAAAATTCTTCGACGAAATTAAAGAATTCCAAATCACACTAAGAAAATTATATTCAGTTACAGGGCTCAATTAGAAGCATTTTTGGTGAATAGACATACCCCTGAATTCCTACTCACTTTCGAGAAAAAAATTCGAGTAGGTGCAAAAATTCTTCGACGAAATTAAAAAATTTCAAATCATTCTGGAAAAATTATTTTTGGTTGCGGGGGTCAATGATAATAATTTTTGGTGAATAGACATACCCCCGAAATCCTACCCACTTTCGAGAAAAAAATTCGAGTAGGTGCAAAAATTCTTCGACGAAATTAAAGAATTCCAAATCACACTAAGAAAATTATATTCAGTTACAGGGCTCAATTAGAAGCATTTTTGGTGAATAGACATACCCCTGAATTCCTACTCACTTTCGAGAAAAAAATTCGAGTAGGTGCAAAAATTCTTCGACGAAATTAAAAAATTTCAAATCATTCTGGAAAAATTATTTTTGGTTGCGGGGGTCAATGATAATAATTTTTGGTGAATAGACATACCCCCGAAATCCTACCCACTTTCGAGAAAAAAATTCGAGTAGGTGCAAAAATTCTTCGACGAAATTAAAGAATTCCAAATCACACTAAGAAAATTATATTTAGTTACAGGGCTCAATTAGAAGCATTTTTGGTGAATAGACATACCCCTGAATTCCTACTCACTATCGAGAAAAAAATTCGAGTAGGTGCAAAAATTCTTCGACGAAATTAAAAAATTTCAAATCATTCTGGAAAAATTATTTTTGGTTGCGGGGGTCAATGATAACAATTTTTGGTGAATAGACATACCCCCGAAATCCTACCCACTTTCGAGAAAAAAATTCGAGTAGGTGCAAAAATTCTTCGACGAAATTAAAGAATTCCAAATCACACTAAGAAAATTATATTCAGTTACAGGGCTCAATTAGAAGCATTTTTGGTGAATAGACATACCCCTGAATTCCTACTCACTTTCGAGAAAAAAATTCGAGTAGGTGCAAAAATTCTTCGACGAAATTAAAAAATTTCAAATCATTCTGGAAAAATTATTTTTGGTTGCGGGGGTCAATGATAATAATTTTTGGTGAATAGACATACCCCCGAAATCCTACCCACTTTCTAGAAAAAAATTCGAGTAGGTGAAAAAATTCTTCGACGAAATTGACAAATTTCAAATCATTCTGGAAGAATTATTTTCGGTTTGCGGGGGTAAATTGCAATAATTTTTGGTCATTAGACATACCCCCGAAATCCTACCCACTTTCGAGAAAAAAATTCGAGTAGATATGAAATTTTTCGACGAAATTAAAAAATTTCAAATCATTCTGGAAAAATTATTTTCGGTTGCGGGGGTCAATTGCAATAATTTTTGGCGAATAGATATACCCCCGAAATCCTACCCACTTTCGAGAAAAAAATTCAATACCGACGGAATTTTAAACGTTAATAACTTTTTAACGAAGCTTCCCAAGAGTAGCCGAACGCCCTGTATATGTATAAATAATAGATATGTATGCTAAGAATACATTACAAAGAAATACTTTCTTTTTCAGATTATAAGACCTCAACTGCAAATATCGAGAACAAAGAAATACAAGTACAAAAAGACAAGGATTTGCCATTACGTATAATAATGTATGCTCCACATTTACACCAGGAGGATCAAACAATAAAACGATACTCACACTTGGTACTAAAAATAGGAACTCCTGATTATCACGAACACGTTTATAACATAAACAAAGATCACAATCAACCGGTAATATACTTTCATTAAATGTAATAAATTGTTTTAAATGACTTATTATTTATAATTATTAAAAAATATAAGCCATTGGCATCAGAAAAATCAGCTGTAACATTAGAAGATAAAAAGTTACGTAAACTTGTGAGCGGTACGAACGAAAGTCCAGGAGTATATGGAGAAATTTCGGATTATTGGAGAATTACCGAAGATGACGAGTTCAATGACAGAAGCGAAAATTTAGCATATTCGGAACAAGATGATGCCACGGTAACAATTTTTGAAATACCTTCATGAAAATCGAGGCTTCCAATTACAATTAGGAATGTAATTAATGTCTCCATAAATAATTTTTAGACCGAAGACACAAAGACTAACATTGACAATACTTTCGATACTAAAACTAGCACATTGGAACCAAGTACTCTAGATATAACAGATTCCGATACAAACATTGAAAGTAGCGCCGATTCAGATGATTTTATGGAACGTAAATTGATCGACCATTACAGTAAACTGGTGCCATGGATCTACCATATTCTTTAACAAGTGAATCATATTTATTTGAAAAGTGTGTTTTATCGAAAATATACTATACACGCTGTACATGTTTACACGGATAACTGTAAGAATCACATACAATATATAATTATAAAATGGACACAAAACAGCATCTTATTCATACATTATTTAAACGAATCAATAGGAAGTTAATTACAAAAATGGAATCGTATAATTGTAAATTTTATAACTACTTTCATACATCTGTATATGTAAGTACAAATATTTATATGGACATATAAGGTACAATTATAAATGTTTACTTGTACATTGTAAGTAAATAGAACCGTCTTAAAAATATTTTTTTAGAGATAATTGTTGGTAATAAATCTTTATCAACAAAAACACACAAAAAGTTTTAGAATTTTACACTTAATGGTTAAACATTAAATCACACCTTTTTTATTCACTCTGGTTCACTTACATCGTCAGAATCTAAATGACTACTATTGCTCGTAGTACTGCTGGTACTCGAGGTACTACTTTCCGAATTGGTCTCCGAATCCGAATCGCTGCTGTCGCTAGAACTTGAGCTACTCGATAACCTGCGTAAGACATTATTTATTTATAAATTATAAACCCCAAACATTCTTTCTTGTGCATCTTTTGCCATGCATGATGTGCAAACATAATGGCAGATTGTTATTGCTATGTATCATTTAAGATGGATTTACAAATTGATATTTACATGAATCGTCAAAGAGAAGTGCATTTTAGTTAGTGTATTACAGTAGCATTTCTCAAATAAAGGTTTATAATGCGTATACACATTTATTTATCCAGTAAAAAGTAAACGTTTAAGTCTTGTTAAGTAACGGGGTCATTAATATTCATAACAATTCTATTTAAATACTTACAAATACTTTAAAGAATGTTTGTCATGAATGTAGTATATAGTCTTTAGCCTTTAAAATAAAATCATAAAACGTAAAGACATGTAATATTCTTGAATGAGACCTTGAATTTAAAAAATTTACATAGAACTTTACGCGTTACACTTACTTATCCTTGTCATTGTCGTTAACAGTTAATTCATCCATCTGATCGACCATATCATGAACGGAGTTTTCTATAATGAGATCTTCCGTAATCGAGTAAGCTGCTTGTTCTAACTCTACTAAATCAAATCCCATTTCTTCCTTGTTTGGTTGAATCTTGGAAAAAAAAAATGCACATCTTAGTATTGCGTCAAATTTTTTTTGTTAATAATTATATACTTACATCAGTTATCAGTAACTCCAGCGATTCTATCAAAGTTTCGTGAATTTGTTGTAACCAAACTAAATAATCTTTTATATACAACTGGTTTAATATATACCGTGGTTCGCACGAATTGTTAAACAAACTATGTATTTCACAGAAACGTTTAATGATATATTTTTTACCTATTAACAAAGTACATTAAACTTAAAATAAAGGAGATAATTTTACTAATAAGGAACATCCGCGAAATGTCCCATGATTTGTTGAGTAATGGTCAGTCAAACAAAAACTACGTACTTACCTAATTTAATAACTTTCGTCACATCTTCGAGGACTTTTACAGAAAGATCCCAATTTCTGTAAAGTGGGTAACATAAAGATCGTCTGAAACATGCTTTTATAACTTCCTTAGAGTCTGAGAAATCCTAAAAATGTTATTACAAGCACATAAAATTATATAATTAAAATTAATGTCGAGAATTTTCTAAAAAGAATTTTGTGTACCTCAAACCAAGACAAAGTAGAACTTAATTTAGCAATAGTCCAACTGCTTTCAACTGTATTTTCTCCCAATGTTGTCCTATGATTGTAACAACTACCAAATAAAATATCAACTAAACTTAAAAGCAACCTATGTATTTCTTCATTGTTTAACAAGTATTCTTTGTTCGGAAGTTCTTTCAATAGATCTACTTCTGTTTCATTCAATGAAACGGTACTCTTTTCCAAAGTATCCCACTCTGCTTCAAATGATATATACGGTTTTATATACTCTGGTTGCATAAGATCTGCTAAGTAATGCTCTTCATTAAAGTCTGAAAGTTCACATTTTTCTCGTAAACATTTCCGTTTAGATTGAGGCGTTGTATCGGGCATTGGAAGATCTATTATTTCCTTAATCCATGCTGACTGTAATTTAAAACATGAAAAATATAAATCATGAGCGATTTACATAGAATAAAATGATATACAGTTAATCCTTAACACGTTGAATGCCACATCAGTCACTGGTAACTGACAGTGTAAAATATGATATAAAACTAAAAAATTTACATTGTTTTAAGTAATTACTGAACTCAACTTACTTTACCTCAAAGGTTAACTGTATAATCATTATATATTTAAATTATATACCTCAAAAGCCACTAAAGCTCCGGATATTTTATTTGCAAAACCATATTTTGGGAAATTCGATAAAAGAGATATAGTTTCTGTAGGATTATTTTGGTGTATATACCACTCATCCCCATCTGTGTTTTTATCATCTGTGGAATTATGCTCGTTCAATGTTTCATTAATATCTTCTGAATTAGCTGATGGATTTCCTATAAGATCAAAAATATATAATTATCATCAAAGTAAAATTAAAAAAGTAAATAAGTAACTGCATTGTAATATTTACCAATTACTTCAATATTGGAAGTGAGCATATTCTTCTTCTTCTTTGGTGGTGCTAATAATGTAGTTATCATGTCTAAATTTTCAAAATATTCTCCTTTTGTTACTTTTGAAAATTGTAAATCGAAATTCCCTTTTTCACAATCGTATGATCCAAACGAGTGGTCATTTTCCTCTATTTGGCCAGGAAGTTTTAACCTAAAATGAGAGGCAGTAGTAAAAATAATTCGTAGTTTCTTGAGGTAAACATTTTACCTCAAATAGTATGGTGTGGAGTAAAATCTAAAATCAGTTCCATCAACATAAACTTCTGTGTCCTTCACATTGGCATATGGTGCCTGAATTAGTATTAAAACCTCCGTATCGGTTTGAGTTATTTTAAATCTGGGAGTTAACATCCTTGCAAAAATTTGTTACAAGCTCTATTTGTGCCGTGTAAAGTAATATTTTATACTTTTGCAAAAGCAAAATGTTCGATGGACATTAAATAAGATATCGATACAGACATTGGGATGTGATATATATTAATATATGTTCTGCGTTTATTTATATATCATAGAGCATGAAAGTTGTTTAAATCTCAATTCTTCAAAAACTATATTTATAATTTTATCGCAATAATTAAACAAAACTTCCAGAACATTGCACGTTTAACTTCGTATACTGCATTTCAATATTCTAAATTCTTTTCATTCGGTTAATTCGTTATTTCTGTAATGTTAAAGAACAGTTCATCTTAAACTTATGTTCACAAAATCACGAAATTCACAAAATGTATTCAACATTCAACAATGTGTAAATATAAATCGACGTTACTATCGATTTTCGATTAGTCAAGATCGATAAATGTATAGAATATAGAACCAGTGAGTGATGGACATTCGTGGACAATCTTGGACATGCGCACTAGAATATTCCCTCGTGGGATTCCTTGTTGCGCATGCGTTAGCTTTCTACCATAGATGTATTTTTGGCGCAAAAAGAGGTGCATGTTGGAAATTCCCAAGTTTTGTACAAAATTGAACTTTCTACTTCAAATGCTCGCCAATCGCACAAAAATTAACTTATGGAAGATACCCTACGTATTTCTCTAGCTATACTCATGTAGATTAAGAGGAAATTTTTTGTTTTTCTCTCTTTCCGTGTAACTTCTTTAAATTTTGTTCCTTACTGGGATCCAACGGTACCCTAAATTCTAGTTAAGTGTATACGGCAGTGATCGTACGCTCCAGTACGCATGATCAAAATTCCCAGTGGCAGTCAGTGCGGTGACTGACCTCGAGTCGAATCGAGCATCGACTGTGCTGTTCCACTAATGGTATTATGTATGCATTTCCATTCATCCGCTGTAATTATAATATTATTGTTTAAGTTGTACTATTGAAAATAAAATGAAAACTATATTCTCTTTAAAACATGAGTTTATTCAAATTACAGTAAAATTAAATACAGTAAAATGTAATTAATAAAACGATACATCAAAATTTTTCTCGGACGAATTTTCACCCACGGTACCCATTAAAGATTAAAATGATTTTAAAACGTTTTAATACAATTAAAAACAATGTCAAATTATTCTAAAATGATCTAAAACAATTTATGTGGTTTATCTATTTCTAACTTTGTTACTGTTTGTTTTAATCTTGTTTTATTATAGAATTAATCTTCTAGTATCATAAAATTGTACTTTTTTTTATCGTTTTTCTTTTTTTATACAATTTAATTGTTTTGTATAAGTTTCAACCAATTCATAACAATTTTCATAAAATACTAGCTTCAAAAAACAGAAATATTATTTAAAAATTGTCAATTTGACCACACAATATCCCCATATATCTGAAAAATGATTTAAAAAGTCAAATAGTTATATAGGTATAGACTCTAAAACATACAAAATAATGAATTCAGAAAATTTCAGACGATATCATTATTAAAAAAATGAACGTCTGAAAATTTTTAGATAGGAATTAAAAATTACATATTTAAATATTTTTACAAACAAGACCTAAATAATACGTTGTTTCTCACTTATCAATGAACTTTTAAAATTAAATTAAAATCGATATTATAGAGTTATATGTAATAGAGAAATTTAAAAATACAGAAAACGATCGTGTAAACGAATCACTAAATTTATTTAGTATTTTTTTTGTCCTGTTTTTCTTTTAAATGGTATAATAAATCTTTCGTACCTTCTCTTTGCAAATATTAAGTTACTGTATAATAGTATTCCATATATATTTGTTTCTCGTGTATACACATATACAATTTTATATTCCATGCATGTTGAACGTGTTATACATACATATATATTAATTCGTTATGGTATTTTGTTACATTAGTTACAATACTTATTTTTTTTTTTGTACACGTACAATAAATTCATCCGTAAAACGAATTAACGAATTTCATGTTTCCAATTCTTGTTTAAAATTGAACATGTTCAATATATCACAGATATTAATTTCTTACGAGATTTATTTCTATTATCGAAAAAAAAATATACAAAGTGTTCGTCCGTGAATGTCCAACCAAATATCTTATAAACTATCGAAATTAGAAAAAAATTCAATATTAAAAATTCACCCGATTTTTAAGTCGGCTACAAGTTGTGTCTAAATTATATTTTTTCGTTCGTAATTTTTCCGAGTTACGAAGGATAACTTAGTTTTTTTCAAACGGATACACAATTTTCTCACATATCTAATTACTACAGGTGTATTGTAATAAAAATGATCTCTACGTTAAAAATTGCTATTTTGCACCGACAATCGGCATCTTAAGTATTTTAACTAAGTTTGAATTATCTTCTGACCTCTATTAATTAGATATGCAAAAGAATTATGCATAGCCGTTTTAAAAACTAAATTATAGCCGGCTTGACGTCGTCTAAATTTCTCTTATTGAATTTTTTTCTAATTTCGACCGTTCACGAGATATTTGCTTAGACATTTATGAACAGATACTCTGTATAAGTACGCTATAAACGAAATTGTTAATAACAAATACAAATACGGTTTAAAAACGTAAATAATGAGAACAACAGAGAATGTGGCGTCTATGCGACATAGTTTTGTCATTTTCGTGAAAAATTTGAGTTTTATCTTATGATATGTACAGAATTATAATAGTTTATGGCTAAGTACTTAGGTTAAAACATGAAATTGTTAATCGTTCGTCGTGTAATATACAAGATATCAGAGCTGGAGAAATCTTAATCATGAATAACGAATAAAAATTTTTGTTTGAACGTTAGTTTAAATAATCTTGTTAATGGGATATAATTTACAAATAAAATTTATTAATGAAAAACAAATGAGACTTAATTTGAAAATTAATTGGAAATTTTTATTCGTTATTTGTTAATAAAATTTGCTCAACTCTGCAGCATATTAATAGCTCGGTATGTACAATATTTATTATAGAAATTCTCAAACCTCTTAATACTTAGGCAATGTCATTAAAACATCGTAGAAAGCATCAATAAATTGCTTACGAATCGAGAACTTAATGATTTCATACACCGGGAACGTTTATAAAAGAACGGGGAATTAATTAAAAGAATATTGTAAATCGGAGAACAGTTTAAAAATTATGTTTTCTGTCAAAAGGAAAAATTTTTTAACGCTAAATCAATTAAAAAAAAAAATTCAATAGGATATATATAACTCTTTTGGCATCTGTGTTTTCATCTTATACTATTAAATTGTTTATAAATATTTCACTACGCGTAAAGGTAGAAATTTGCGTTTCTATTGATATTTTCTACGAATCTTCGCATTTCTGGCTTTAATCGCGATGATCCAATCAACAGGTACAAGTTATATCTTTGGAATGGTTAAAGATAGAAAAGAACGTGATAAGACAAAGTTAAACAACATCGAATAAATAATTTTGATTGGAATAATTAATATAGCTTATTAATCTCGATAAAAAAGTAAAAGGTACTTATGCTCTAAATTCAATAGTTCAAAAGTTATAATACTTCATAGTGAAGTAATTTAGTAAACTTCAGTGTCATCATTTTTTATCTATTTTGTTTAGGGCATAAAGACCTCAATATTTTTCGTTAAGATTAAAAAGCCAAATCGAATAGTCCCATCAAAATTATATAGTTCCATTTAAACAAAAGGACAGTTGCATTTTTTAGATGCAACGACACAAAAAAGTACACAAAATTATATTTAGATTATTTACCATTTACTATTCATTTAGATTTATCATTTCATGCTGCTTAACTTTACCTTGCATTTTCTTCTATCTGTATCCGTTTCAAAAAATATAGCCTGTCCTCGGTTGCATAGGACAATCCATATATAATAAACGAAATCGAAATTCGACGAAACCGTTATCGAAATATAACCTATTACAGAAATTTTCATATAGAATTAACAATATTTCCCCAGTATATCTCGCTTACTGTATTCATAAACTCTAAGCTGACGGGTTGTTTAGAAACATATTCGTCGTCGCTAATAATGAAAAGAAGAAACCAAAGTATAATTTTATCGGTTAATCCTCGTATTATTATATTAGAATTCGTTTTTTTTTTTTATCATTGCGTACATAGTTTTGCAATATTACATTTTAGCAAAGCAATTCTCTGTTAAGTTATTCCTGACCAAAACCTTCCGTTTCCTCGATCGCGTAATTTAACTTCTCTACCAATTGCTCGTAGCTTTTGTACGGCGGCAAATCCAATCTATTGAAGCACGTATGTGACCTTGGCAACCATGTGTCCTTACCTACTTTTTCGATACAAAACCTTTGGGGTCCATTACTCCCTGAAAAACACAAATTGTATGTAGAAGAAAAATTATATATACATATATATAATTAATATATACATATATATAATTTGACAGGTTTTATACTATAAATTCACCATTTAAAAATCATATTCACCTTCTTACACTATAAAACAGCTTTTCTGCAAGTTAAGTTTTTTTAGAAATTTGTTTTCTTAAGCCATTGATAATAAAAATAAAATTCTATATGAAGTTATTATTCCTACATAAAACTATTGCCTATATGTAATTAATAGCTAAAGAAAAAATAACAAAATTAAGATAAAATATATATTTAACACTAAAAGTATTGATTGGTCGTCTTTTGAAGTACTAAATCGCTGATTATGAATAAACTCACAAAAAAGGACAAAATTACATTGTGTTATTCTACTTTTTAGTCATTCACAAGGTGAATTTGATTTATGAAACTTGTAGAATAAATAAATACGAAACATTTTTTTTTTGCTATATTTATAAATATTATTTAGTAATTACCCATCAATTCTGCAAATCCACCGACAGGGACTCGACAAGTTCCAGTTACGAATTGCAAAAGTCTGGCTCGTTTTTCGCTATCAGTCCTCGTCACAAACTAAAGGAACGATAAATGTTATAAATGTTATGTTTCATAATTTGTGAACGAATAATATTTTAGAACATACCTGCCAGAACCATAAAATTTGTTTACTATTGCGAGTATAGTGTCTGTAAATTGTATTGCGTTGCCAGTCTTCGACATCTATTTCTTGCATACCACAGAGCATGAGTTCTAATTCACGTTCGTCGAAGTATTTTAACCATTCTAATGGGACTACGGAATTGAAACCTTCTAGAAAGGCTTTCGTTTGATCTTCTATACCTCTGGTCATCCTCCATTCCGTCATCAACCTAGCGACACAAACGATTTATAAAGACTCAAAACTATTTAAACAAATTAAAAACAATTTAAAACGAATTAAGAACATTTAAAAAGGCTTAAAATAATTTTAAACGATTTAGAAACGTTTTAAAATGTAAAATACTGCCCTAGTCGTGTTTAGATTCAAATACACGAATATTAGGATTTTTCCATCAAACGTCATCAAAAGTTTAAAAAATATTTTACAGATCTGAAACCACCATGAATTTGAAAATTGAAGTCTCTTCTTTGCAACGACCTCTTCAAAAGAGTGGTAATGTTAACAAAAGTAACTTTCCCGTTATTTAACAGTTATATATGAAAACAATATAAATAATCATACCTAATATATTCTTCCTTGTTTTCTTCAACCACCCTAATTTTGTCGCCGCCATCTTTCAATTCGTGATGTATCACTTGACCAAGAATTTCGAAGTCGACGCTATAATACAGTTCGAGGCCACATTCGTCGATATTATTTTCCTTTATCCAAACGAGAGATTTATAGAATTCCGGATCGATGGATTCTATATCTTTCATAACTAATTTTTTATTCAACATACGTTTATAAAACGGCATAGTAAATCCGCTGTAAATGAAACGTCCGTGGTACAGGGCCTGGAAATATAAATTATGTTAATTAAACCGGTTGTTTGCAATTGTTTTATACCAACAGAAAATTTCTAATTATTATACCATTGCTATGAACCTTCCAATAAATTTAAAATATTGTAAATGGTCTGGATTGACATAAGACGCTGGATTAATTTGCAAGCTATAATTACTTTTATTCGCATATTCAAATAGGCAGTACATTGGATTTAACACTTCGTGACTCAACAAGAAAAACCATTCCCTGCGAACAAAAATTTATTATTTAGTTTCTTATTCGTTAATTATTAAAGTAATTTTTCAAATCATATTTTACAATTTTCTTTTTTTTTTAGAATTTCTAAATATTTTTGTATTTTTTGCAAGTGAAATCCGTCAAAATTCAAAATTATGTTTTACACTGCTTTAAAATAAAACAGCTATCAAATAATGTATTATACATTTTTCTCAATACTTTTAACATTATAATAATCGCAACGATAATTTTAAAATACCTAAAACAGTTTAAAACGACTTAAAATAATTTGCACGATATAACAAACAAATAAAGTTTGATATTTAAAAAATATTAGAACATAAAGAGTAAATAATATTGACAATCGGAATAAGCGATCGTCACAAAAATTTCGCAACACTTACCTCGATACACCACCGTAATCTAATCCTTCCTCTCCTTTAAATATTATATATAATCTGCGTCTTAATGCGAAGGCCTCTGCGTTCATTATTTGATGATAAGAGTCTTCGAATAACGTTTGTCGATTGACATTAATTTTTATGTGATTTGGCAACGCGTTTGTTTGACACAAGAAACGGAATTGTGACAATTTCCATCGGAATGATCTTTCGTACGCTCTTGGTACACGATAAATACCTTTTGGGCTGCAATAATAACAATACAGAACATGATAGCAAAAAAAAATATATAAAAAGGTTTAGCCGATGGTCAAAAGTGCCCCTAAATCAAATTAATTAATAAAAACCTATTTGTGCCAAGTGCCAACTCTGTGTGACACAAATTGGTTTTCACTTATTAACTATCAGATGGCTCGTCACAAATTGAATTTGGTTTATGGGCACTTTTGGCCAGCTCAATCAGTTATACCTTTCATTAGAATATAGGATATTCTACGCAAGTAGATCAAGCTATATCTCTGAAAATGGTACAGATAGAAAAGAATGTGATATGCTAAAGTTAAACGGCATTGAATGGTGTACAATCTAAATACACTTGCAACTAAACAAAAATGCAATTGCATTGTTTTTTTAAACGAAAGTCTATCATTTTAATTGAATTATTCGATGCAGTTTTCTAATCTCCACACAAAAGTAATTATACTAATGTCCTAAATTTGTAAGACGCAGTTGCATTTCTCAGATGCATTAATGTACCAAAATGCTTCAAATTATATTCAAATTTTTTACCATTTGGTGCCATTTAACTTTGCTTAATCACATTCTTGCATATTTGCCAGGAATAAAGGAATAGTATAACTGTAAATCTAGTTTATTGGTAATGTAGGGTTGGTTCTTAACTGTCACCCATAGAATTATGTGCTGATGCTCAGTCTTCTGTCTGGTAGCTAGCTCAAGTGTAAAACACGTTATTTCGATACCAAATATTTCTATCTGTTTCAGTGATATAGTTTGTCCCAAGTTACGTAGAACAAACTCTATGATGAATAAATTATACGAACCCTTTAGGTGCCCCAGGCCTTGGATCTTGGAATGTAGTTGTCCTAGTATTATGATCTACGAAGTAACGTACTCCGTCTTCCGTTAATCTTATTTCCCAGCCATCTGGCAATGGTTCCTCGATCCCAGTTTCTTGCCCTTGAGTCCTAGGATCCTCCCACTGTGTGGTTCGATTCTTATGGTTCACATAATATACTCTTCCCTCAGGTTGTTTGCGCCTCTCCCACCCAGCTGGCAACGGTCCCAAAGCATCGTCGTCGTCCGCCGTTGATATCGATGGTCCTGCCACAGCTGTTTGACCCCCATGGGCCTACACACATTTAAAATAATCTTTTAAATTCAATAAATAAAAAGAAATATCGTAAATAAAAATGGTTCAGTACGACAGAATAATAATATTAATAATATCAATTATTATTATTATCATTTGAGCCGCTCATTTGCCAAATCGATTAACTTTATAAAAAAATAAAAAGGAAATGAAATTTATATAAAATAATTATACATTCTTTCTTAAGGTTCTAAGTATTTTTAAAATTTAAATTTTCGTTTGTTAATTTGTAGTGTACGATTATAATTATTAAGAAAATTTTATTTTAAATACGATGTCATCTATTGATTGAATTTGCTTTGACACTACAAATTTTAAAAAGATCAAAAAGTGGCGTTAATCAGTTCAACTAGTAAACGATTCGTATATGGTGTATCATTTATTACTTACTTGAGGATAAAGAAACCGTTGGTTACCTTGTTGCACCACGTGTTGCCTTTCACCTTGCCAATGTTGAAAATGTTGCAACCTTTCTGTATTGGGTCTCTGCCACGTTGTGCTCCTCGTGTTGTGATCCACGTAATAAATTCTGCCCCGTGGATCTCGACGTACCTCCCATCCTAATGGCAGAGGCTGTGGCCTTTCCCATGAAGTGCTTCTGGTATTATGGTCCACATAATATCTGATTAAAAACACAGAAGAGGATTTTTAAATTGTTTTTTGTCAAATTGATTAATTATACTTGATCGTTTGTCCGAAAAATTGAAGGTGAAATAAACGTTTAAAAGAATCTTGCAACTGCCCGTAACCCTTGGATTGTAAATGAAGCTTTTACTCGAACACTTTAAACAACGACCCTTTTAAAACCCAATGAAATAAATATAAAACCTTCTTCCGTAGATATCATATCTCATTTCCCATCCAGATGGCAAGGGTTCCTCCGAATGGTTTGCAGGTTCAACTTCAGCAAGAATGATAGAAGACCCAGGCTGGCTATTCTGGCCTCTAGCCATTGCCGTTTGCCCGGTAAGCGACGCCACTCGTTGCACAATTCTAGGATTTGATCTTGCAACCGTTAAAGGAGTCGTATTTTGTTCAATTCTGGCAATTCTACGGCCATCCGTCACCGGTAACACCATATTCTGCTCGGATCTTCCAATTCCACAACCATCCACTACTTCTGGTATCCCGAACGCTGAGGTTTGTTCAGTCTGACCGGTTCCTTGCCCATCACTCAACCCAGAAACTCCAGATTGATCCATTCTGGATCCCAAATCCGTCGAATTATTCATCTGATCCGGTCTGATAGTTCCAAAATTGTCGGAAATCGGTGATGGTATCATTTGTTCTTGTCTGGCGGCTCGTCCACCGGAAGTGGACTGTTCTGTTCTGTTGTGTGATCGAATTTCCGAATTTATTGCACTCAATTGATCGGATCTAACTGTTCCGAGGACGTTTGATTGATCTGGTTGGGGATTTCGTACGTCTGAGACGGAGATTTTTGAGAATTGATCTGTACAAGCTAATATTCGACCATCCACTGCTCCTGGCGTAAGTGGATGGTCTATTCGAGACGTTTGGCGATTTTCTAACAAAGATATTGCATGTCTACTGGGTAAGGAGGCTGCTGATTTGTCTACTGGAGATATTGCGTGGCCGTTGGATAAGGAATTCGATGGCGATGGCTCCGTTTGCTCTTGGTCGTCCTTATCGATGGCGGCTGAATCGTTTCCGACTGGAAAATTTGAATTGTATGTAGCCAATTCGCGGAAATTGGATGGTGCCATGTTTTCAGAGCCATAGAGTCTCATTCTGGCTCGGACGCCTCCGTTTAGGATACTTCGACTGCTGGCTTCGGTGCTGGTTAAGCCTGAAACAGAGTTTTCAGAGTGGAAACTATTTTATTTTCAAAATTGGTGCGAAGAAAGAATAATTGTTCACGTTTCAGATTTAAGGGAATATTCTAGCGTAATCAGTCAAAAAGATAGATCTTTTTTCATTTTCTTATAGTTTGGAGTTTGAAATATGTGTGTTGCGAAGTATGAAGGTGATATTCGTAACGTCCTCGATTCTTACCATCAGAAGACACGCATTGCGTTTGGCACGAAGAATCACTAATATTCAACGATGAAACATTGGGCATAGTGATTCGTAAACCATCGAATACAGTGATCAGTTCTCCGACCTTGCACAACTGCGAATCGTGTTTATTTTCGCTCATCAGGTCGAAGGTCACCTCCATATTCTCCAGCTTTCCATTATAATGCAACAACACTTGGGAGAGATTAATTCTCTTCTCTCCAATCAGTGTGTCTTTTCTAAATGTGCTATGATCCAACAAACGAAAGTGTAACTGCGAGTATGGCGTCACTAGTACAGTGAATTCCTCGTTCCATTTCGGTTGACAGGTAGATTTCGAAACTTCCGTTTTTCGAGGACTCTTGTCGTCGACGGAGAATTCGATGTAAGGATTAGGTTTTAGGAATGTTGAACTTCTCAGTATAGCACCTTCGACTAAAATAGAAGGAAACGTCATTGTAAATAATGAAAACATCTTAGTAATGTATGAGAATAATATTAATAAAATAATAATAATAATAAAACGGACTTAATACTTGAGAGCTGGAATCTACAGGCTGTTTCACACAACTGGGATAAGCTGTATTTTCAAAATGGTTAGAGATACAAAAAAATATCATAAATTAAAATTAAACAGCATTGAATATCGCACAATATAATTTTATGCTTTTTTATAAACCTGTGCATCTAAAAAATGCAACTGCATACTTTTTTTAAATGGAACTCTATAGTTTCAAACACACTGTTTGATGCAGTTTTCTGATCTCTGAAAATATCATAACTGTTCAAGTACCAAGTTTAGGGTTTAAGTACCCTGATACTTTTTTGTAGAGATTAAAAAGTCACTATCGAATAGTCCAAATAAAATTACAAAGTTCCATTTAAAGAAAGAATGCAGTTACATTTTTCAGATGCATCGATGTACAAAAATGCATAAAATTATATTCAGATTATGCACCATTCAATGCCATTTAAATTTGTCTTGTGACATCTTTTGTATCCCTTATTGTTTTAGAAATACACAAACAATTTCAACATGTTTCATTTGAAATTACTAATTTACAATACTTTTTTATATTATGCAATTCTTTGGAAAATTCAAGCCACTGAGCACAATTTGCGAGAGTTGCACATTTGCAAAAACATATTATCCCTTACTTGTGATACTCAGTTGGTGAAAACCAGACGATGCCACTTCTTCACAATGAGACATTGTGAAAATTTAATACAGTGGTTTATGAGAATTCATAATTTCATTACTCGTCTTATTATCCCCTGGAATGTTGGATTATCTATAACAAGACAAACAGAGCCAATAAAAATTGGGAAAGTGATTTCAAAAGGGAAAAATTATTTAAATCAAATTGAATACATGAATTTTAAAAATTGTTTAAACGACGTAAATAAAAAAAACAGAGTAAATAAAAATAAATAATATTGAAAAGAATTATTCAAATCAGATTGGATGCATGAATTTTGAAAATTTCTTTGGATAAATTAAACAGAGAAAATTAAGAGAAAACCTAAGAATTTAATAGTCGATGACAATCATAACGAAGAATTGAAAAATCAGAATTTCGTAAAAATAGCAATATCGCGTTCGGAATAATTGTTAACATAATTATTTCATCGAAACGGTCGGACACCGAAAAATACTCGAAGGAATAAATGTCGATACTCACGTATAGAATCAAAATGGCCCGTTTCGAACGTAATCCAGCTTCGCTGCATTGCCCAACTATCAATGTTCGAAGAATTCTTCTTCAAACATTCGCGATTACTCGTTATCACGAAACTTCATCAGTGGGTCACCATCTTTTCCATACGTCAAAGGTAGAAATCTTGCAATATGCAAATCACTAAAGAAACTAGATCGCACGAGAGTAAAGATGGCGTGCAAAATCACCAACCGTTATTTATTACAGTGATCACACAATCATGACCACTGTCGTATATCATGACGTGCTAAAGTCAACTGTGGTTATACTCTCCACCAGTGGCTACGAAAAATCACGAATCACTGTGAAAAATCATTGTGATTGGAAACAAACGTGATCGAATGACTCGTGATTCGCAAGTAGCAGTTCTAGCCATCACTGCACGAGAGTGGGAAATCTGTTTGTGAAATAATGAAGATAATTGTTTAAAAAACGAAAGGTAAACCATATTAATTCCCATTCCGAAAATCCCTAAAACTGTAATAAAATACGTTCACCACGAAATGACTTTCAGAAGATTAGAGCCACAGCCAGTGTTACCAGGTAACAAACCGGTGTCATGTAAAATGGCAACACCACAGGAGTCCGGCTTCGATATACCTAGCCCAACCTACCGTAACAGCCTCCCAGCCTCCCACTAACCACCGGCCTCTGGGCTACATAGGCTCCATCTACCGGCCTTCCGGTCTCCCGCCTATCTTTCAAATGTTTCAAATATTAATGTACTGAAGTCCATTAAATGTGAGCAACGGAGCAATAATCCAGGTGTTTCATTTATTTATATTAACTCTACAGATCCTGATTTTGGTGTGTAGCACACTTATTTAATATAATCTATAGCATTTTTGGACATTTTGTTTTATATACATTTTTTTTATAAATTTCACATATTCATTAATAATGCCACGGCGTTGCTGTGTTCCCAATTGCAAGGGAAATTATGATAGTACCTTAAAAGATAATAATTACAATTCTGTATTTTTATTCCCCAAAGATGAGAAATGGAGGGTTGCTATTCCTCGTAAGAATTGGACACAATCAAAATATTCTGCCATCTGTAGTTTGCATTTTGCAGAAACTGATATTGAAAGGTACCACGGTATTCTATCGCCCAATGGTGTACTGGAGAATGTTTTTTTGAGATGTCCAAGGCTTATAAGGAATGTAGTACCCTCCATTTTACAACCGAAAAATTAGAAAAACGATTTGGAAATTATAGACTTTTATCTGGTTGTAATTATCATGTCATATAACGAAATAATTCATGCAGAAAAAAAAATTAGATTAAAACATATATTTACAAAATCGGCAAATTCGTTTTCTCTTACTGAAATCAAAAATAAATTTCGAATTTGTGATGACAATAATAACGATCTTCATGATCTTCCCACTGATGTGACTTGTTTCTCAGGAATCTTCGATACCGAATACTTGTCCGATTGTGTTGTAGATGATTCCATTAAAATTTATATTTCTGGTTATGGGTCCCATTCTGTTGCTAAAAAATTAAATTGCAATATATGTCGTTTATTAGTTGTGAAGGATAAAGGTAAAACTGTAGGCGATGTATATTTTGATCACTTACAAAGAGGGGGCCTTTCTGTCCCCACTGAAGAAGCGATAGCCTCATTTATTCATATGTATGCAATAATGGAAGCCATAATAAATGATGGCAATTTAGAATCTCAATTTTTGCAATCTGGAAATCATAAACATGTTTTATGTAAATTAACATATATTAGCATTCAATCAGACATACATTATTTAGCATTTTCAGATACATGCGTTTGTGGTCGAGCTTACCAAAGTATTTCGTTTAAATTATTATCAATTTTTTCAAATATTTTATTAAACGATTATGTGAAAACTGTAAATAATAGTCAGTTGGAAACACGTACAGACATCACTTCTAAAAATCGTAAATTAAAAACTTTTAATAGGAACTAAATTTTCAATGATTTTTTTTAATTTCATCTTTCTTAAAACATTAATTTTTATATATATTTAACTTATTCCTTTCAATATGTTTTAATACATTAATAGAGTTTTATTTACTTGCTTAGTATATTTTTATTATGAATACTATTTCACAAGATTCAAAGTTTTATTAATTGTATTTCAAGAGAATTTCAAAGTATGTTTTGATATGTTTTGTTATTAATATTATTCAAAATTATTTATTATTATTTCAAAATGTAATACTTTATTTCTTTAAGAATACAAAAGTTATGTTTTTGTTATGTTCTATTTAAAAATATTAATTTTATTTTAGAAAATTGGATGATATGGCTATTGGCGTACCAATAATTTTGCCTATTTCAGGTCTTTATTAACTTATACATACCTTTATCAATTTTTAAATCCTTCAGTTTGGTTCAAAGATGGTTTTAACTTGTTTCACACTTCTATTTTCTTGAAATCTCTGTAAATATTTCAAATATAATGCATCACAACACCAAACTATTCCGACAGTCCACAAAATATATACCACATTTATAAATATTAATATACTTCTGTATTACTTCTACTTACTATAGTTATGATATTCATATATTCCTTATACATAATTAATAAAAAATACTCTATATTAGTATAATTTTATATCGCAAAATAACGTTAATTATAATCCTGAACACAAAACTCCACTATTGAAAATAGGACTCCCGATCCGAACATGAGCGGTGTTGCCACGTTCCATAGCACGGCTAGTACTTACTAGAGTCGGCTGTGGCAGTGTGGACCACACTGTTTGGTCAGATCGCGGAGAGTCAGTGTTACCAGACGACAGACGGTATCACGAGGAAACTACCCCTCCACTTATGCACTTCACTGATCACAGTCACGTGTATGTACGTGAGCTCCGGCGCTTCGGACAGCTTCGGAGACTCGAAAAAGAAGGCAAATGTGAGCCTTTCCTTCTCGCTCTTAAAACAGCTGAAATCCGACTTTGCGTCAATCAGCACACGATTTCAAGTCTCGACTGCCCGGGTATTTTTACTTTCTGACGTACTTATGTAGGAAGGTACAACAACCTACAAGAGCAATTATTTTTTAAAGATATGATCTAAACAGAAGAATTAATGACTAGAAAAATAGATTAATACAAACTTTCCCCGTTATCTTTTTCGATAACTGTATCGATTTATTATACAAAATCAAGTGTTATATATTCGACATAACTTTACATAAAAAAAAATAATTTTAACGATGCGTAAAATAATAATGTGCACGCTACCGGTCAATGGAAACCACAGGAAAGTGGTGGTCTTTACTATCAGGAGAGAAATGTAAAATATCGTTATTTATTTGTAATATTGCAACACGCCGTATATTAAAATATTTAAACTAATATAATGAAAAACAAACTCGTAAATGCATTAATTTTTATTAATATACACACGAGCCATAGAAAATGAAAAATTGATACAATTGTTTACATTTACATAAGGTGGGAATGGTGGGATGTTTTGCTATTAGACTGTGGTTATAGTGCATGCGTTTTCAAGCGAACTTGAGTTCGCTTGCAGACGCAGCAAGATGTGATGTAATATAACGTGTATGTAATACAAACGCTATTTTTTTTAGATATTGCTTTCTTTGTACCTACATAGGTCGGAAAGTAAAAATGCCCGGGGAGTCAAGATTCGAAATCATACGCTTATTGTCGTGAGGTCGTGTTTCAGCTTTTGCAAGAATGAGAAGGAAAAAAGCTCATATTCGCCCTCTTTTTCGATTTCTCAACGTTGTGCGCTAGTATGTATCTGCTTTCCCCACCACTCTGTTAAGCGCTAAAGAAAGTTCGTCGTTACTAGCGTTGCCGTCGATGCACTCAATTATGCTAAATCTGACCACACTAGTCTCAAGTAAGAGCATTTCGGAGTGTCGAGAAAAAGGGCGAGTGTAGCCTCTACGAACTCACGTACACATGATCGGGCATAGTGTGTGAATGTGGAACGGGAAATTCCTGGTGCCCCGGTGCACGATTTGGTAACACTGCCAACACTGTTACCGCGTCCAGTATATAAGGGATCGGTGGATATGCCTCGAGCAAAGTTTGTTTTAAAAATCGAAATGTGGACTTAGCTAATGATACGACTATCAGTCCTTTGTCGATCGAATAAGAAAACAGAACGTTAACGCTCCTTCCATTTTTACACAAAGGAATCAATCAGAACTATTATTTACGTAAGTAATAAACTTTTGTTTAATAATCCAACTTTTCAAAAAGTTGTTTATTACTTGCTTTTGGTGTCTTTTCCCCGCAAGTTGTAACAAATTTGCCTCGTCAAACTTTATTAAAATAGTTGTTTGAATTTTTCTTATTGTAAAAGTTTACAATTTTCATTGTTATCTATTAAAAATAATTCTAATTGTTTATAATGTTTTATATAATTCCGTTTATTTTGAACCTCGGTTATCTGTATCAAAATGGTGGACGATGTTTGTAATCATAACACGAAACGATTAATTTATCGACCTTACAAGAGTTTTTATTGTTTATAAATTTGATGTTCGAAACAAGTGTCATAAAATTTGAAAATACAATATAATAAATTAAAGAAAGAGACCTGTTTTGCACTAAAATTGAATGTTTATTTAACTTATGAATCCTGTTTGTAGTAAACTATATTTTAAAATTATTTTCAAGAATAAAAGAAAATGTAATAAATCGTACTAATAAGCCTATTTTGCATTAAAATTAAAATCTTTAATTTACAAACCTTATTCTTATCAAACTATGTTTTAAAATCATTTGAAACAATTTCGTTACAAAATTCCAATTTAATTCTACTAATTAGTAACATTGATTTATAAATATTTCCATCTTCCTAGAACAAATTTAATTAATTTCTTATGCCAATAATAGTTAACAAACTTGATAGAAATTTATTGCAATAAAAATGGCTCTAATCAAATAAGTCACATATTTGCAAATCTACAGATAATTCTAAATCTATGGATCAATTTTCATTTTAATAGTCATATCGTATATTAGACTAAAATATATTTGTTTCAATTTGTTCAAACAAGAAACAACCGAATAAATATTATCTATATCAAGTTTCAATCGTCTAAAAGGAATGTCTATATGATAATATTTTTTTATTGCCATAATTTATCAACAAAGATGCTTTTACTCATCGAAGAGTCATCGGCTGACCTCTTAGCTCCTTATCTCATTAACACTATATTCAATTAATCATGCAATGGAAGTATTAAAACTTCTTTAAAAGACACAGTGTCTACTTTGGCAGTTTCAAAGTCAATTATAGTTATTGATTGGTTTAAAGGTAAACCTAAATAAGGAACATCATGGAATAATATTATTCCTTTGTTTCAGATAATAGATAGTCAAAAGTGTTGAAAAGATGAAGTATATTTTGATAGTACTTTTACAATTACTTTGTATCAATCTTGATAGTGCAAGAGAAATTACGTAAGTTCTACTATTTTCTTTTTAAATTAGGGATGGGTTAGAGAAGGAATTAAGTTTATTTTTAGACATGAAGATATTAAAGAAGCTATGTTGAGTCTGGTGCACATGATGCGAGAGAATACTGAGAAGCTGGAGAGGCACGAGGCCAGGGAACGCCAACTTGGCGAACAGTTGAAGAAAACTCTTACAGTTTTGACCAAACGCATGTTGACGATCAATACTTTGCAAATGCAATTTACAAAACTGGATGAAAAAGTTAATGGAATTGAACAGTTAATTTCCCAGGTATTTTAATTACTCTTTGAAACGAAATGTTAAATGAAACTATTCTAATATTTTTAAAACTGTTTACAATATTAAAATATATTTCGAACAAAAGTTGAATGATTTCAGAGAATGTGTATGTAGTGTAATGTGAGTATCATTTTCCAAAAATACTAAACTACTTATGATGAAAAAGCAGTAGTTAAGAAGATATTTTAATTTCAATATTGTGGATGGCATCACAAGTATTGAATTTAAAATATCTTCTAAACTAATGATTCTTCGCCGTAAATAGTTCAGTACTTTTATGTAGAGAATAACTAGTTGCACTGAATGATTTCATTAAAGAATATATGACTCCATTTAAAAAAATAAAGTTGACTATTGCATGCCCTCTATGCTTCTATGTATGAAAAGCTTACTCGCATCAGATTATGTAGCCTCTGAAACAATTCAAGTTTTACCTGAAACATTTTTTGATAACATCAACAGTTTTGAAGATATTCAAGTGGGTCGATTTAGCCTAGAGTCACACGAGCAGTGCATTGCCGTTGGGTTTGTATATTTTCCCTTGTCTTGCAATTGAAAACAACCAAGACAGATATAGGAACGCCGATTTTGTCAAGCCATGAAAAACATAGAAACGCAACGGCAACGCAACGCTCGTGTAACTCTAGCCTTAAATTGGTTACACTGCATATACATAACATAGGTGTCCTATGCAATTAGGGCAAGCTATATCTAAAACGGTTAAAGATATAAAAAGATGTCCTGAGACAAAGTTAAACAGTATCAAATGGTGTACACAATGTGAACATAATTTCTTTTATTCTTGTGTATCGATTGCATCTAAAGTATGCAACAGCATTTTATCAATGTACATAAAGATTTACAGATAATCATAATAACGAAATACAGAGGATTTTAAAGAATTATTCTTGCATTCATTCAATTATGTCCATAACTGTACTCCCAATCGCAACAAATTCAATTTACTATTTGTAATGTTTCTTTTTCTTCAAATTACTATTTTTCTTTAGAGAGATGAACGAGAAAGAATACAAATGCAGAAAACCGTCGATACTTTGGAAAATTTAGAAAGTCGACTAGAAGGATGGCTCACGGATATTGAAAGCAAAGTATCTGAAGTAAATAATCAATCTACAGTAACAGCTCCATCTGTTAATAACGATTCTTCAGTAATTTCAAAATTGAATGATACAGAAACATTATTAATTGAAAAAATATCCAAAGCTGAGTCAGTTTTCAAATCCGAGGCGACGAAATTGAAAGAAACTACCAACATTCAAACTAGAATAACTGAAGGTTTAATAACCAAGGTAATTAATTCGTTATAAAGTATTAAAAAATATATATTAAAATTAAATACTTTCTAGATCCAGGATATCGATTCGAGATTCAGGGATCTGGAAATCTTATTGGAGAAAGTTAGGGAACACTCGCAAAATATTAAAAAGAAATTGCAAGAACCACAGTTCGACATGATTTCTAATATCAATGAGCATGTTCAAACTTTTTCGCCTATGAAAAAGGTTTTGGAAAATACTTACGATCAAATTAAAGAATTACCAAGGTACATCCATGTTTTAAACAATTTTAACCAGCTTATAATTTTTTTCAAATTAAAAAATCGTGAGTTTGAAGACAATATTTAAATTATAGATCCATGGCTCGGATAGAAATTGTTTGCAAATTAAGAAATAAATCTACATCAAACGTTAGAATTTTAAGCTCTAAAACAATATTTAAATTATAAATTTATGGCAAAGATTTATTTGTAAATAAGAAATAAGAATTTGTTAATTTTTATTGTTTAGAGTTGACAAGTTAGAAATTCTTCATAATGAAACTCAAATACTTTTGCAAGAAACGAAGCATGCTTTGAAAGAAATTGTTGCAAGGAGCACCAACGACATTGAAAGCAAGCTAGCAGAGACCAAAGACGAAACTAAAGACACTATAGAAACTCTTAGGTAACATTATTATACAATTCTGTATTTTTAACAACAAATGAAACCGTGGAATAATTCCAAAATTACAACGAAAAATTAATTTATTATGCAACTTATTATATGTAGTTTCGACATAAATTGCTAGAAACTATAATTATCTATAAAAGAAATGGAAAGTTTCTAATAACAATTCTTAATCTAAAGATCGAAAATTTCAGAATGGACTTGGCGAAAAATTCTGAACACGTGAACGAGGAATTAAATGACCTAGAAAAGGGACAATCAGTGATGGTTTCGATGGCAGATCATGTTTTAGATACTAAAAAACGAGTAGAATACGGAGTCCATCAAATCCTTTTAGAAGTAGGCGATTTAGTGAAGTCACAAAGTTTAAATATAAATAATACCTTAAACCAAAGATTCGATGGAATATCCCAAGACATAATGGACAATCAAAATGGTGCTCTGGCCAATCTGACCACAAAAATGGAACAAGAGATGAATCAGGTAATCTCTAAACATCAACTTTTAATATTAATAACTAATTTATAAAAATTTATAAAAGGTTTGGAGACAAATAAATGTGATGTATCAACAAATGACGGAAAGTGCAAGAGCTTTGGATAAATTGCACAAACAAAATGAGAAATATGTTAATGGTACCATTTCCACCATGGGTGGAATGGACAATAAGGTGATTATTAAACTTCTAATGAACTTCAAAGCACAAATACAATTGTTTATTATGAATATTTAATCGTTTAGGTGGGAGAAATAACTGAAAGAATGACTGAAGTTGATAAAAATTTGAATTATCTTTTGGGAAGACTTTCATTGGTTACTCAAGAATTCAATCAAATAAAAATAGGATTAGGAACGGCTTTGGATAATATTAAAGCTTCGTTTAAAGAGGTTCAAGACAAAGCTAATGATTTAAGATTTCCTGGACCACATCCAATTCCAGAAAATTGTAAAGATTGCAACGAATCCGATAGCAAACCGGATGGTAAGCCACTGCCAGAAATTGTTAATCACATCATTAAACCTGCAATTAACTAAATCTTTCATTTTTATGTAGTGCCTTGAAACAGTAGAAAGTTTTAATCTGACAAAATTTTATTAACATCGGTAAAATTGAGTATTTTTTTAAAAATAATTAATTTTATATAGAAAAAGACAATTTCAAATTAAAATTATAAAGGTATTTTTCGACAATTCGAATGCAAATTGTGGAAATAAACACAAAATATGTTAAAGAAACATATTTATTGGAAAAAAAGATCCAACTAAATTAATTTAATAATTAGTATAAGAAAAGTTGAAAAATCAATTGGAAAAAAAATAATTAAATTTGGGAAATAATTGAAAATTAAAATTGTAAAAAATTTGCATTTATATACAAATATATATATTTTTAATATTATATTTTGAACGAAAAACGATTAAACTTCAAAAATAATTTCAAGTAAGAATTAAAAATTTTAATGTTATTAGGAATAGTGTTAATAAAAATATATTTGCAAAAACATTTTTAATTGACTCAAAATTCGCGATACTAGTTTTGAAAAAAATATTTGTTCAATTGTAGAAACAAAGTAAGACAATCTTTATCATTAAATTACACATGTACATTTACTACTTTTTTGTTTCATAACAGATATATTTGTTCAATTTTTTTTATTTTATGATAAATATTTGTTTAACAATGGATAATATACATATACAGTGAGTATCAATATAAAGTTGACACTTGAGATTTTCAACTTCTCTTTAAAATAACTTAAAAAATATGAAAAAAAAAACAAGAAAAGGGTGTATAATACTGAAAATTTAATTTGTCTTTTACATACTAATAGATTTTTTTAAATTATAAATGAGCAATAAACAAATTAATAATGCAACCAACAAAACAAGTTAACACCTATAAGTATTAATAGCTTTATTATTATTAACTCTTAATAATACATGAGAACACATCATATATACATAAATGATACTATTTAATTTTAGTGAAATAACACATAATTTTTTTACTGCTCACGTGCTTTGTATAACGCACATAGGATTAACAGACTGCGACTGACAAACAAAAGAAATCTCGAACGGGGTGCGTTGCATGACTCTATGACGTGTGCTATTTATCGCGAATTGTATCTCATGTAGTTGGAGGTCTATGTTGTCCGCAATTGTGATTATGTAGTTCTGATATATACCCTCTTACTCTGGCAATTTTATTTCCATTGCTTTATTTTCTCTGTCAATTTCTAATAGACAATGAAATTTGTCTTCTTTTTGAAGGCATGGTATGTATAATGTCTTTTGCATCGTGTCACTTTTCCTTGGCATCTCTTTTATATAAATAGTGACTCCATTCCCCATCGTTTCACAGTGTAGGGATAACAAATTTTCTCATTAACTTAAGGTTGATGAGGAACATCATGTTTTGTGGTGCCAATATCTCTTTAATTTAAAAAGAGTCTGTTTTTATCTCGCGACATTCTCGTCCCGAATTTTCCTCTGTCGATTTTCCCGTTCGCAACAGTATCCACGACACACACCTGTTCGAACCCTCGTTTATTAAATACGCAAGAAAACTATTCCGTACCACTACGCCAAACACTCCTCACTAAACGGTAATTTCGCCACGCGGTTCACGACTTCACGAGCCACCGTATGTCACAATTACTTTGCACGCACACAATATTATAGTACTTAATGTTACGGATATCTAATCCCACTTCTGAGCTTGTTGTAAAATTTATGGTGGGTATAGGCTCGAGCGACCACACCTCAAATTTCTCTTTAAATTCGCTTCAATACTTCGACACACTTTATTTCTATTCGCTTTACACTTATTCTGCCTGCCGCTCAGCACTTCACCTGTTTATACATATACACATTCTCTCTCTCTCTCTCTCTCTCTCTCGTTCACACTCGTTTCATTCGCTCAGCTTCGCATTCGTACAATTTCGCGGCTATTTCAAACGATCCACAAACTTTTCCCGGTAAGATGAAGTAAAATCAGATTGAAGTTCAGTTTTTAAACCTGTGTACATGAGAAGATAGTGAGACAGAGTTGAATAAGTCACTCTCTGCTACATGTACTCGCAACAACAGTACTGTAACTACTAAATAATATACGATTTGCCATAGAAATCAGTTATCCGATACAACGCTATTTTTAAACGTTACATACACGATCAAAGTGTTGATTACTACTGTTTAATATAGAGTCGATAAACAAACTTATACCAAGTGATAGACAACCCGAAAACACTAACTGAAATTTCAGAGCATTTAAAAAATTTCCTTTACTTTAATTTAAAATAAAACAATTTTTCACCCATTCAGAAAGAAGGTGACAATTTCATCTCATTAACAACCATTCTTGTACAACGTAAGATGCGTGTTTACATCCCCACTCTTGCTGCAGTCCGCTGATTGGCTGTCACCGATCTTTGTCACCGTTCTCGACCAATACCTGTGAGTCAGTGGACTGCAACAGAAGTGAGGATGTAAACACGCTGCGCCTTCTTCTCGAGGAAGAATGGTATATAGGCGGTATTTGTAACTTTTCAGCCGATTGTTATAAGTTTGTTTTTAAAATATTTAAGTATTTCATTTTATCCATGGTACCGTCAATAGATTCTATATTCCCGGTACCATTTTGAGCTATACAACAACCCCATAACATCACCGAGCCTCCTCAGTGTTCGACTATCGAACAGGTATTGCGAACGTGATGTTCTGTATTGGACTCCCTCCATACAATTTGTTTTTTTCCATCATGTCCAAATAAGTTTATTTTAGTTTCATCAGAAACTGTAACATTTTTCCAAAAGTTTTCGTCACAATTAACAAAGGTTTTAGCGAATTGTAAACACTTTTCCCTATTCTTCTTTGAGATATAAGGTTTCTTCCATTCTTCCGTTGTACCCTTTGTTCTTCGAATTGTTTCCACCGATATACTTTTTGTAATTCGAGTTAATACCTCGTTCGTTAAATTTCTCAGATTTATTCTTGGATTTCTTTTGACTTGTTGGCAGATAAATCGGTTATCGATAATTGTTTATAATTTTCTGTATTGTACAATAGTTCGGCCAACAATTTTACCCACTTTTCAAGTGATCAAGTGGTGTATACTCAATTTTATGAGCAACTGTATGTTTAGTGTCGCACTCGCTCCAAACCTAACCTAATATCTTTGAAACTATTAAATTCCCAAAGATAAAATGTTATCTATATTTAATATCAATTTCCCTTCCCTTCCCTTCCAACCCTTTCAAAATTCATGTTGATTGGTCGTGAGTGTTATTCGAGAGAACAACCCTCTTTTTCTTTCATACTTTTTAAATTATTTCAAAGAAAAATTGAAAATTATGAATGTTAACATTATATTAACGCTCACTGTATTATATATATTGGTCCAAATTACTCTGTGTTTTAAGTAAGTTGCAATTGTTTTAAACTTTAAGGTTATAAAATAACGAAAGTTTACCATAAATGAAAATGATTAAAATATAGTAGGTTTGGATCGATATATTTTTATATTATTAAATTTTTTCAATAAAAAAAGAAAATTTGAAAAAATATACATATAAATAATATATCAGACCTGATATATTATATTTTCAGACCTGATTATAGCATATAATTATTATTATAAGACAAGGAATTAATTTGATGCTATATGAACCGTATTAAAGATCCATTTAATGTTAATTAAAATACTAATCGAAATATATAAGTGCAATATTTTGATAAGCTACCTATATATACGTTGAAAAAATGTATTATATTCATAACTTTTTGTAAAAGGTATATTATTTAAGTACTATACTGTGGACGAATGTTTAAGGCTTGGAAATAACATTTTAATAAAGAATTTTAAATACAAAAATCACATTGTCGTGATAGTAATGGTGCTGACACCAAATTTGTAATATTAATGTAACAATATTCTTAAATAGTGATCTTTTCTATTCACATTTAATGAAATAACTTTACGAATCATTACTAAATAATTATTACCATTTAAATAAAGAATGGTAATTAATTGTAAATTGGTAAAACTCTGATTCCTCGTGTTTAATTGAGCAAGTTCTTAAAAAGATATTTAATAAAATAAAACTTTTGTTTATGAAAAAATTTTAAATCTGTAGTATTCAAGTGGGAACCAAACATTAAGAATATAACATATAGAATAGTACACAAATTCAAAACCATTAAAAAGGTAATTTTACAATAAATTTTATTTTGGAAACTTTGAAAATTGTGAAACTCTATTATGCGACTCTTATCGCATTGCAAATCATGTGAAAGCAAAAAAACAACAAAAAATAAAGTAATTTCGTTAGTAAAATTTAGCTTTCTATTTTGTTAATAATCTTTTTAAAATAAGTAACAAACAATTTCCCCTACAAAACTTCTTTCCTTTTTCCTATAAAATAATAATCTGCAAATATATATAAATGTAGGTTTCCATTTTAACATACAATGTTGATCTTCAAATAACCTTGAAATCGATCAACAAATAAAAAATAAATGTTACAGTTATATTCCCCCCTTGAAATTGAAAAACTTTTTTGTTTAATGTTTTTCTCGACAATGCATTTTTTAGGTTTACATTTGAAATTTCCAAATGTATAACCTATATGATTTAATTTTAAAATAATGTATTGTTTGATTTATTTAATTTCTAATTTTGTGATAAAATTTTACTATCATATTCTAATGTAATGGTATGCAAATTTACTGATTACTAAGATTTACAAAGAATTAAAAGACAAAAATATATAAAATTTCTTAAATAAAAAGAAATTAAAGTCGTGGTTAGTGATCAGATAGCATAATCGTATATTTTATTAATTTTGTATCACGCAGATTCCTTTTGAAGTAATATAATTATGTCTAACCATGGTTCTTATTTTATACAAACAATTGTTTATTCATCTATAGTTTAAAGAATAATATACAACATTTGCAATTAAATTTTCAATTCACGCTATAGCTCGTAATTATGATATTTTAGTTTGTTCATTTAAGTATCATTTTTTTATATATATATACAATTAGTAACATTAATACGTTCGTTTCTATCGTTAATTTTTTAATTAATTTTTAATGATGCAGGTCCACTATATCCAGCTAAATAAAAACTAATGGAATCTTATTTAGAAAAATTTGTATAATTATTTAATAACTTAACAAATAAATTAGAAATTGGTTTGTTTGAACGTCAGTTATTCTTAGTTACAAATATGTCCAATTAATTGTCATTAACTTATACCGAGTTATTAATAATCGGGCTTTATAAAATAAAAAACAAGATTTCGTAATTTTCTAAATAAATAGTAAAATACTATTAAAAATTTAAAATTGTGAAATATTTTCGTATAAAACTGCCAGTTTACATCTCTAATAAAGGTTTTGCCAAATGAAAAAGGATTTCATAATTCTTCTACATGAATAACAAAGTATTATTAAAAATAAAAAATTTGTAAAATATTTTTGCACAAAACTGTTAATTTTCATTTTTAATAAAGAAGGTTTTATAAAATAAAAAATGGGATTTCGTCATTCTTCTGAATAAATAGTAAAATATTGAAAATTAAAAATTATGAAATATTTTTGTACAGAACTGACGGATTTCAATTCAATATTTTTTCCCATTAATAATTAATATAATTTTAATCTTACGTTGAACGTGGGATAAAATATGGATATTGTCAAAAGACACTAGAGTAATTAGTATAGCGTTTGATATTACTATCTTTTTTTTGTTTTTGTTGTTGTTGTTGTTTATATAGATAGGAAAAAGACTGAGAAACATTGGAACAACTTTGCAGATTGTACACACAATTATATTACATCAACGTCTTTTTAACATCATTTTATCGGAATAAGAAAATTTGTTGTTTTTTTTTTTCTCAAAAAATGAGAAACCATACCCAAATTAGTATGCCGTATAAATAAAATAATAAACATTATAAATGTCACTTACAATTTACCTTATGCTTCGTACAGAAGACTTAGATTAATTGCCAGTATACGTTATCAATTTCTTACAAATTCGCATGATTAATACGAGGCTTTTCAATTTTATTTGTTTTTTTCCTTCGTTCAACGAATCGAATTTCTTACTTTTAGTTTATATAATCATAACAAACGCGATAATCGTCGACCATGCATTTTATGTGAAGTTGAAAAATTGTCTTTGCGAGCTCACAAAATGATAAATTTATATATTGTTTGTGGAAATCATCTGTGAGGAAGGTTTTCAGTTTGAAAATTCAGGGAAAGAAATACTAGTTGAATTTGAAATCAATTTAGATGGGTTTCGAGTCAGGTTTGGGTCGTGGAACCTGAATCTTGTAACCTTTAATAGGATCTGACAATTTTCATTGTTTGTGCGTTGGAAAAAGTTATAATTACTAATAAAAAAATGTATAAATATACCTTTGAATTATTATAGTAAACAGTTTTATAGTTTCTTCATAAAAAAATTACCAACAAATTGTAAGAAAAAAATTAAACCTCCTATACAACAGATTATTAATTGTTTCATTTTTTAAATTTAAATTCTCTTCCATATAGTGGAAAAACGATTAGAAATTTAAAAAACATTAGTCTAAAATCCCATGTGAGTACCCATATTTAGCATATTTTTGGATTCCCTGAACCAGAACTCCTAAAACTAAGAAATAATCATAAAATTCCCGAAAGAAAGCTTAAAAACCCCAACTAAAAAAACAGAAAGACGAGATTTAATGAAATTGCAAATCTGAAAATCTAAAAACCCACAAATCTTCGGGTTCTTAGACTTAAATCTGACTCAGAACCCCAAAAAACCAAGAAATAATTCTAAAAATAAGACTCAGAAAGCTCACCTAAAAAACAAAAACATGAGTTCTAATGAATTGCAAATGTTGAAGATGAGATTAAATATATATTTACGTATCGTTAAATTGTAAAATGTATTGTAATAGTGTTTCACAGTAATTGGCTTGCAAAGATACGATTACCAATTCGCCTACAATTTATAAAACGAAGTATGCAAGTTCCAGTCACATACACGTATATAATAATTAACTTTCCCTTTCCCAATCGTCGTAATTACCTTCGGGAATCTAAAATTCGCTTCGTTTCTCCGAAATTGTGGCAATTCGGTTTCCACGAAAAGATAATGATTTGCTAGATGTTGGTAATCCTCGATTAATTATAACTTTTGAGCCCGTTAATGATTTAATTAAGCTACTTTGCATCGGATTTACATTATAAGCACGCCCGTCAGTTAATTAAACGGACGACCGGTTTTTATTCTACTTACGAAGGAAGATTAACAACTAACATCGACTGTTTACTTAACAGTGTTACGAGATACGATTCAACAAGCTCCCCACGACAAGCTTTTTTTCAGTTAATTTGGTAACTTTATAAATAATCTGTATAACACGAGATTTCTTTGCAGTGCTAGATCCTCCGGAAATCTTTTCGATTACGGTTTAGATCGGTCCTTTCTATATTACATTTTCAAGTTATAATAATTCTAGACTCGTCGTTTCCATGTTTTCGAGCTTTTCAAAACACCGATTTTCTAGATTACGTTTAGCACAGCAAAGAAGAGTCGATGGTAACCTATTTACACCCCCGATGCGATGGGAAAGGTCATCAAAAAATGATCCTATGACAAGCAGTGAGATTTCAAGAGAGTTGTTAACGAATTGCACGCACTCTAGCCTGGAGAATATTTCCTTACGTATCCGTAAAAAATAACGCAACGTCTCGTTTTTTTACCTTTTTCGCTCTTTACAAAAAGGGATCTCTTAAATAAAGCTATATCAATTTAAATTCGGAGTATTGGACGCATTTTTCGTCGGAATGCATTAAGTATCGATTCTAAGAGTGCTGGATACTTGTACTCGTCTTTTGGAATTTAATTATACGATAAATCGATTCTATTGAAATAACCTGGTTTCTTTTATTTTTAACAATAAATATTGTCGGTATAGGTTCTGTTTGGTTACCCTCCAAAAAATTCCCCATCAATCGATTAAACTTTCATAACAGAAAGGAATCGTAATTAGGTCGATGAATAATGAGTAATCTTTCTTAAGAAAGATTTATATTTTTTTTTGTTCACTTCTTAAGGTTTGAAAGTATCCATACACTCTTTGTTTGTTTCCATCGTTTTTTATAATTAGACTCTTAGAATATTGCTAAAATTAAGCGGCTGCTAGCTCGAATACTTGGATGCGGATATGCCCAGTTGACGGTTGCCACGCCGTTGGGGGTGTGAGTGGTCCTAGCTGCTAGTCGAAGCGATGGGGCTAACAGGACTCAATGGGCTGCTCGCTGAACCCCTCAGGCAACCGGTCAACGTTATGGCGACCTTGCGACTTCCGGCGTCGTTGCGGTGCTCGCATAGCCAGATCCCTTGCCACGTTCCCAACGTCAACTTCCCATCGGTTATCGGAATGCTCAACGAAGAGCCCAGGAAACATGCCTTTACGTGCGCTGGCTAAAAGAAATACAACTATCAAAATACTGCGGAACCTCACAGATTATTAAAAATACATCAAAGTTCATTTTATTCATCATACGTATGTTTCTCCATATACTAAGCCTAAAATTTCAATTTTAGTTTAATATAAATTAATAAAAAATGCTAAGTTATGTTGTTCAAGGGAAAAAAGGTTATTTTTTCTACTACAATTTTAACTAGCTAACATTTCTGGAACCAGAAATCGAAATTGGATCTGAGTTAAAACCACTCATAATGTAAACTTCTTTTAATTTTTAATTATATAGTTCGCAATATCATAGTACAACCAACAAGGAGGTGATTCCTCGCATAAAACTGAGTGGAAAATCTAGAATCAAGTTTTTTCATTCGGAGATTCATTTTCGACAAAATCGAATTTGTAAATTCGCTCGATACGCGTGTATTTAAACACAGTCCGTTTCGTTTGCCTGGTCTGATTTACAACCCCCACTGCTATTTTTGTTTATAAACAATATCGAAGGTTCTAGACCTAAAGTTATCTTATTTCATTACAGTCAAGGGCTGATTGTAGATTTGAACTCCTAGTATTTCTGGAGCTATCGTAATGGTAAGGTATACCAATTGTAAATACATGAATATGATCTGTACATTAGAAGCTTGCGCTGGTAATACTTCTGCAGCAACTGGTTATTACAACTATTTATTATTAATTATTAAAATTATATCACATCTCGATTAATATTGTTTATAAGTACAAGCAGCAATGTGATCAAACGAAATAGACTCTATTGAAGTGCATGTATATTTAATAAATTTACAAACTCGATTTTCTCGAAAATAAAAACTTGTATGAAAAAAAATTTTTTTTTACATTTTCGGCCGTTTAATGTGAAAAATCACATCCTTGCCAGTACCATAATTTTGCGAATACTCTGTATCAACAAATTAGTAATAACGAATAAATTAAATTAAATTAATATTATATTATGAATTTCATACAACAAACTTTCAGATCCTAATCCAAACCTGAAATGTCAGATACTTGAACATCCCTATTATTCGGTTACCAAAATTAAAATATATATGTACAATCTTCTTTTTAATAAATTATCTTCCTTTGTTATCCATTTGCATTATCAAAAATTAAATAATAATATCCTTAATCTTAAGTTAATATTAACCCATTAACTGCCAACTACTTTCTGAAATTTTCATAGATTTCTACAGGTTCTATGGTTGTTCTTCAATGAATTTACTCAAAATAACAGTAATATATATTATGTTAAAATGTACACCGTAAGGAATATATATAGAAAATGATAACTACATTTATTTTTTTCTTGTACCTGCCTGCCTATATTAAAAACACATTCTGTAATCTCACCATATCGTCTGGTCCTTCGCAACTATGTCGATAGGCCAATCCCTCAGGAATTATTTTATTAAGCATCATTTCTACATCATCTCTAACATCCGGATCCCAATTTTCGTTTAATGCTAAACTTGCAGATGTGTGAAGTACTGAAAATTATAAACAGCTTTTTCATTTATGCCTTGCCAACAATCTAAACAGAATTCATTGTCGCACAGAAATTCTAATACTTTATCTGTTATGTGGTCAAATTTCCAGACTCTAATTAACACTCAAACTCAATAGCAATGACAAAAAATATTTGCTACTGAACTTAATAAAGTACAATATTACAGATCTATACACAATATAGTCACATGGTGACTATACAGACTACTACAGAAATTCGACCAAATAAAAGTCAAACAACAAGTGTTTGAAGCTTGTGATATTTAGTTTGTGTGTTTGTGTTAAATAAACCAACAAAATTGGAATTACCAAAAATAAAATTGAATCATCCAATTTCACTACATAGGCCTAGTAATATTATTTTGGAATATTGTTTCGTAACGTGGCTTACTTTGTATGTGACATATTCCGACGGAGAATTCGCAGAGTTCCGGGATTCTTCTCAATATTTCCTCGGTGACGTGATGGATGCCTCGACGCTGCGGTCTTAGGTTAATTTTCGTTTGAAACCAAGCCGAGCCGATTTGAATTTTTTTGTTTGACGAGGCCATGATATGATAAACCGTAGAGAATACACGCTCGACTAGAAGTTTGGATATATAAAAAAAAAAAAAATTTTTTCACGTGATCGTGGACACGACGAAAAATCTATTTCGATCAGAGGGGGGCGGGAGGGGTTAAAAAATCAAGAGAAAACGGTCCACTCCATCGGATAATAATGTTGGGGGGGGATTTTACTGTTGTCTCGCCTCTTACCCGGCTACAAGACGTTGGGATTTAGCCACATCTTTAAAGATTGTCTAATTCGCATCCGGCGTGCTCCGTAATCGGTAAAAAAGGTTATGAGAAATATAATGATTCGACTCAACGTGCACGTATGTATCGGAGCTTTCCATACATGCACGCTCACCTTCATCTACACGAAATATGTGTTCACTATTAGTATCACGTACGCGTACTAATAGTGAGAGGACGTGATAAAATAATTTTAAACCAAATCATCGTTATCACTTTCGGTATTCGGATTGGTTCTTCTACGATCGACGGTTCTACTTTGGTAGAATTTTAACGATAGCCTGTCATATTGTTCAGAGATATTTAATTACGGAGAACGAATAACTCGAATAGTAATCCAAACAATAATGTGAGCTTTTTCGATGACGGACGCATGGACGAAGGATAACTGATGTAGAAGGCATAGCTATTGGATTTTTTTTTATCGTTACAGAAACGCCTCTAGTGTCGTATCTCAAAACTAAACGGGGCGACACTGTGTTAATATTGTTGCGTGGATTTTCAGTAAAGTTTAGAGCAAAACTTAATAAATTTAAAGAAAATAAAACAAAAATAAAAACTTAGACGGGACAAACATTGGACAGGCCTTTACTGAACGGATTCTGGTTAAAAAGTACAACGACGTACTGATTTTCAGTTTTACATTGCTAACATAAATAATACAATTTTGTTTTATATTGAGTGCATAATTACATGGGTTTGGATATTGTTAATTATATAATAAAACTATGTCACACGTACGTGAAATGTTCTCGGATTTCCTTTTCCCTCCAGAATTAAGCATGAACATGGTTGCGCGATTTAACCTAACTATATTCACATAGGAACAAGGTCGGAGTTTAGGGACATAGTTGGGAGTCATAATACGTACTATAGTAAAAACGAGAATCGCAACAATACATACATTTTAATTTCTGTTTCTGTGATTTTATTAATTATTCATAACTCTGTCAGAGTTTTATATTAACTGAATTATAGAGGCGAATTTTCATGTAGCAATTGAAGTCTAGTAACTTATTTAGTTTCTATTGGTTACTTTTCAATCTTCGATGATCACATTCTTGATAAAAGATAATACAAATGTAAATAATAGGTTATTAAATGTAAAAATACTAAAAATGACGAATTAATGTATACACAAATATAAATTATTGTGTTAAACAAGGGACTTTTTACAACTTCCAAGTGCGTACTAGCACAGCCGACTCTAGTACTTACTAGCCGTGCTATGAAACGTGGCAACACCGCTCATGTGCGGATCGGGAGTCCTATTTTCAATAGTGGAGTTTTGTGTTCAGGATTATAATTAACGTTATTTTGCGATATAAAATTATACTAATATAGAGTATTTTTTATTAATTATGTATAAGGAATATATGAATATCATAACTATAGTAAGTAGAAGTAATACAGAAGTATATTAATATTTATAAATGTGGTATATATTTTGTGGACTGTCGGAATAGTTTGGTGTTGTGATGCATTATATTTGAAATATTTACAGAGATTTCAAGAAAATAGAAGTGTGAAACAAGTTAAAACCATCTTTGAACCAAACTGAAGGATTTAAAAATTGATAAAGGTATGTATAAGTTAATAGAGACCTGAAATAGGCAAAATTATTGGTACGAAGCCAAACAGGTTAAGTGCCCGTGGAAAAGAGGTTAGCATAATTAGCTATTGAAAGGAACAATTATGGAGTTAATTATAAAATCGTGTTAGAGGACAGTATGATAATTTTGAAAAATTTCCTCACCACCCTAGGGGTATTTACCATGGCGCGTTACCTTTTTTTTCTATTATAATGGGTGGTTCGCCAATAGCCATATCATCCCATTTTCAAAAATAAAATTAATATTTTTAAATAGAACATAACAAAAACATAACTTTTGTATTCTTAAAGAAATAAAGTATTACATTTTGAAATAATAATAAATAATTTTGAATAATATTAATAACAAAACATATCAAAACATACTTTGAAATTCTCTTGAAATACAACTAATAAAACTTTGAATCTTGTGAAATAGTATTCATAATAAAAATATACTAAGCAAGTAAATAAAACTCTATTAATGTATTAAAACATATTGAAAGGAATAAGTTAAATATATATAAAAATTAATGTTTTAAGAAAGATGAAATTAAAAAAAATCATTGAAAATTTAGTTCCTATTAAAAGTTTTTAATTTACGATTTTTAGAAGCGATGTCTGTACGTGTTTCCAACTGACTATTATTTACAGTTTTCACATAATCGTTTAATAAAATATTTGAAAAAATTGATAATAATTTAAACGAAATACTTTGGTAAGCTCGACCACAAACGCATGTATCTGAAAATGCTAAATAATGTATGTCTGATTGAATGCTAATATATGTTAATTTACATAAAATATGTTTATGATTTCCAGATTGCAAAAATTGAGATTCTAAATTGCCATCATTTATTATGGCTTCCATTATTGCATACATATGAATAAATGAGGCTATCGCTTCTTCAGTGGGGACAGAAAGGCCCCCTCTTTGTAAGTGATCAAAATATACATCGCCTACAGTTTTACCTTTATCCTCCACAACTAATAAACGACATATATTGCAATTTAATTTTTTAGCAACAGAATGGGACCCATAACCAGAAATATAAATTTTAATGGAATCATCTACAACACAATCGGACAAGTATTCGGTATCGAAGATTCCTGAGAAACAAGTCACATCAGTGGGAAGATTATGAAGATCGTTATTATTGTCATCACAAATTCGAAATTTATTTTTGATTTCAATAAGAGAAAACGAATTTGCCGATTTTGTAAATATATGTTTTAATCTAATTTTTTTTTCTGCATGAATTATTTCGTTATATGACACATGATAATTACAACCAGATAAAAGTCTATAATTTCCAAATCGTTTTTCTAATTTTTCGGTTGTAAAATGGAGGGTACTACATTCCTTATAAGCCTTGGACATCTCAACAAAACATTCTCCAGTACACCATTGGGCGATAGAATACCATGGTACCTTTCAATATCAGTTTCTGCAAAATGCAAACTACAGACGGTAGAATATTTTGATGGTGTCCAATTCTTACGAGGAATAGCAACCCTCCATTTCTCCCGCAATTTCTCATCTTTGGCGAATAAAAATATAGAATTGTAATTATTATCTTTTAAGGTACTATCATAATTTCCCTTGCAATTGGGAACACAGCAACGTCGTGGCATTATTAATGAATATGTGAAATTTATAAAAAAAATGTCCAAAAATGCTATAGATTATATTAAATAAGTGTGCTACACACCAAAATCAGGATCTGTAGAGTTAATATAAATAAATGAAACACCTGGATTATTGCTCCGTTGCTCACATTTAATGGACTTCGGTACATTAATATTTGAAACATTTGAAAGATAGGCGGGAGACCGGAAGGCCGGTAGATGGAGCCTATGTAGCCCAGAGGCCGGTGGTTAGTGGGAGGCTGGGAGGCTGTTACGGTAGGTTGGGCTAGGTATATCGAAGCCGGACTCCCGCGGTGTTGCTATTTTACCTTCAGCACGGTTAGTACTAGAGTCGGCTGTGGTACCACTGTAGAAGGCAAGTTTGATCATAGAACAATTCTTGAGCGCGTAGCATTACTTTCCGCGTACCTACCCCAACGCATAGCGAAGACCTCCATCCTCCATCCGAGGACCGGATGTTGACGTTAATCATTACCTGCGTTCACTATCCCTTACGAGACTGAAGTTTTACACATAGATCATCGCTCCCACTACCTTCCAATAATTTTTACAAATATCTCAAAAACTGAGACCGAGCGACAATTATTGTTCAAATAAAAGTTGTTCACGATCTCGTCATTTATAACATATACTATATTATAGTTTCTTAACATTTTGTTTTTTTGTGAAACACGTGCAAACGCGCATTACTTTTTCAACCTCCCCCCACCTATATTTCTTTTCAATACTGAAGTACTATACAGTAATGACTTGATGGCTAGGCACGCCGATTGGCCGTAGCTTAATAGCAACGCCTGCTCTCACACGCATTGTTATTATTGGCTGAGTCGCTCACAACTACAATTCCATCGCGTGACAAAGGACGCGAACAAAATGTATAGGGACAGAGTAAGATAGGACAACACTGAGAGACATTGGCGTAACCGTACGCTCAAAATACTAACCATGAATAGAACAAAAGTGTATCTCTCGTGGTTATGGAGACCCTACTACCATGTAGTGTGACGTCAGAGCGGACCTCTATGGTGGGAATAAGGCGGCGCGTAGACCTCTCCTTGCCCTTGCCCCGTTTAGTTTGTTGGTGCGTAGCCAACAAGTCATCTCTGGATAGTATAGTCTTTTGTGAAAAAACCATAACAAAATATACAGATTCAAGACAAAGCCACTAAAGTAAACATTTACCGTATCAAAGTACATATCATAGTATCAGAGTATGCCCGAAGACTGCGAAGTTATGCAAAAAACTGGAGCTATAAGGTTAAGGTAGAAAACTAGTTTTGATGATCCGTAGTTCCTTATATCGCATTATCGGAACATTGTTCAGTGCTCTGGAATTCTACGTGTTGTTGGATATGTTAGCCTGTCTTAACTCGGAGAATAAGGTTCATTGGACAGATCGCCTGGAAGATCCTGATTCAGCAGGCAGGGTCCACTGGTGATGAGACCGGCTGCAGGACATCTCTGAGATTGAAGGTAGTATGTAAGTGTGTACCAGGTGTGATCATTGTAACATCAATACCTGTCTTGTGTGTCTGGATCTGTTTAGAATCGCTCCTGAGATCTAATTTTGATTTCTTTTCAACTAATTAAATTTGTCCAATATTAAGTCTGAATCCCAAACACTAAAAGTGCTAAACTAAATTCGAACTCCAGTGTGAACCGATAACATTGGAAGTGACACGGAAATGACAAGGGGGCGCGCTAACCTCTCCCCCCCACCCACCCACACTCACAATTCGTGTGACAGAAAAAAGTATTGCATACACATCTATTCTATACCTCGTCTGTGCTGTACTTCTTTAGAACTCAGTGGGGGGAGGGGGTAGAACTCGTGACTTACACATTATACATAGAACAATTATTTATCGGATGGTATGACTTCGTGACTTGTCGAGTTCAATCGAGGTTTGTTTTCATAGGTTATGCATATGTTTATAATGGATCAAGGTTATCATAAACGTGCAATATTGTAACAACTAAATGATTAATCACGTCTATCAGATCCATACAGAATTACGGAAAAAAAATCGATTTCCCTTTTACTTATTCTTCAACGATCGTATGTAGAGTTAATTGTGATAGAATTCTGTGAACGAAAAACTCTTTTGACTAACACGGTAAAATTCGGTGGTCGATTATCGTTCACAGATGTTCGTCGATCGTACTAAATAGAAATCCTTTTTATTTCTCAAGAAACAAAACGATCCAAGCATGTCTGCATCACCGATTGCTAGGCAAGCTACACAAAGCCAAAGTATTCCTTCGAAGAAAGTCGTCTTCAACGATCCCAGTCAGTTGCCTGTCGATTATTCCTCCACTCCTGGTGGAACGCTATTCTCAACTACACCTGGAGGTCAGTGGTTTCTTTTCAATAATATTATTTACCATGCCTAAATCAGCATGAAATTTTACTTACCGTAGCCAATAATCAACGATTACTTATTTAAAACATCAATAGTACTAGTACAATAGATATCTGTAAATCAGATTTTCCAAAAGCTACAATTTCTTAGTTATTTTGTACAAAATTGACAAACCTAACTGTTTAACAATATTTCCTGTAATATAACATAACTTTCCCAATGCATTGTTTTCACAAACATTAAATGTAAATTCTCCTTCTAAAAATAATAAAATATAATTTATTTACGCAGAAAACTAATTTTATTAATCTGTTCGTAAGTTCAGACAACACAATCAGAAGTTTATTAATGTAATTATGGAGTAAAATGACTCTCAATTCGTTTAATCTTTGTTTTCGCTGTTTAACAGCATTAATTTCCTTGATAATGTTTACTTGAATGTAATATCTAGTCTGCAGATTATTGTAACATCTTGTGAAATAACTATTAAAGAGGAAATTTATTTTATTCAAAGATAAAATTAGAATTTTAAATCGATCGGAAGGTAAAGGAAAATCCTTTTTCTTAGGAAAATTGTTCAACTGAAACAAGATTAGAAAATAAGCAAATATGTTACAGGGGTGTTCTACAATTGAATACAAAATTAACACAAAGTATTTATTGAAAATTAAATAATGATATGTTTGTATTATTTGCGTTATTTTTTTATTGCTGAGTTTAGTTTTGTTTAAAAGAATTTCATTTGATGATATTCAAAGAATTTTGTATCAGTTATATAGTTAAAAAGATAGAATTTGATGCTGATTAATTATTGTTTATATAGAAACACAACTTTTACACACAACAATAATATAAGAGATAATCTAATTTAAATTGCCTGTGATTTTCTTTAACAATAATTTATAAATAATATAACAATTTCTTAAGTGATCAAATGTTTAATCAATCAAATAATATCTAACACATTCAAGTTAATTTATTTTTGCACCAAAAGTGGCATATTGAAATTGTATGTTTCTTTATTAAATTAATAGCACAGAGAAAAGAAATTTAGAATATCATATATTAATAACATAGTTATCAGAATCCTTTCTTCGAAAGAAAATTATATTGACTCAGTCGTAATCAATTTTTGAAAGTTTATGTTAAATAATTACAATAAGATAGATTGATAAAAGAATTACAATTGTTAATTACGAATTGCAAGGAATAAGAAAATTGAATTATGTCTTCCAGTAACTGTAAGATATCGGTCACGTATTTTATAATTACTGTTACGATAATTTCATAAAACCTGCAGACAAAAGGAGATAAGGAAACTTCTAATGAAATCGCATATTGATTTATGTTGGTAAGTACATGCTCCAGATTTAAATGTAGGTATGTTAATAAAGGAATGCACTCGTTTAGATTTCTGTGCACGTCTCTAATTAGTCATTTTTCTTCAATTATAAAACGTTAATAAAGTCATTTCAAACACAGTCCAACAATTAATGCTACTTCCAGTTTCTTTGAAAAATCACAGCTCAAGTACATTTTATAATTAAATACTAATTAAGACTATAAACGCGAAATCCCCAGCGAGATTTCCATTCTTCTAGTCTGCTTTATTTCACTTGTTTTACAAGTTGAAATTTTTCCAATTCTACTATAAAATTTATGTTAGATCTAAAATAGTGGTTCTTAATTACTATTTTGTCTACAGATTATGGTAGGTTTAGTCAAACTATGTGAAACCCTGGAAAAAGTTTTAATGGGAGATTCTAGAGGCCAAAATAAGACGAGAATCAAGAATATCAATTTCTTGACTGAGGCTTCGTTAAAAAATTATTAAAAAATTAAATTAAAAATATTTCAAATCATTCTGAAAAAATTATTTTTGGTTGCAGGGGTCAATTACAATCATTTTTGGTCAATAGACATACTCCCGAAATCCTGCGCATTTTTGAGAAAAAAATTCAATACGGGCGGAACTTTAAATGTTAGTAACTTTTTAACAAAGCCTCCATCAACAAATTGGTATTCTTGATTTTCGTCCTAAGACTCGTAATATTATTCGAAAACATAAATGCTATTATTATCGATAAGATAATAACTAAAGACTTTGGTAAAAGAATAATAATCTGTAATGATTTTTCTTAAATAGATGTTATTGTCGATAGGTGGTTGTGGAATTTGAAAAAATAATATTAAGATATTTCTGATAGTCATGTAGAGAAATTGTATTATCGTAGGAAGAAATGGATTACCAATTTACATAAATTATACAGGTACCCGCATAGTTTATGAACGAGATTTTTTGATGAATTTACAAAATTCGCCCATATCTCGAACACCACCGCAAAACATATCGTCTATACCAACGGAATTATTGAAGAACACCACAGTTAGCTCACCGACTGGGAAAAATCAAACTAATAGAGGTCAGTGTCTATGTCATCAACAATAATTCTTCAAATTGATATTGTAACGCTTAAGTGATTAAATTTAAATTCCCTTGCTTTTATTTCTTGGAAGGATATTAAAAGATATATTTCAACATGTTCGTTGTTATGTTGGTTACCGATTTTGATAAATCATCTTGAAAATATATTGTTGCTTGTCTCTATTAAATTTGAAACGTAATGAACTACGAAAAGAGTATTTATATTTATTTTCTTCAATTTAAAAATTGTTGATAAAATTAGTGCTTGATATTTTTATACAATAAAATGGCTAAATGCATAAATATTGTGATAAATATGATTTAAAAAAGGACAGAGGAATTTGGTGTGTCATAAAAAATAAAAAATATAAACAATTGACAGTAACTGTGTTGATGAAAAGTTGTACCTACATTTACATTTTCTTTGGTGTGAATACATTACAGATACTCCAATAATCGAGGAATCTGCGGAACAGTTTGAGATGGATATGTAAAAGAATTTGTGATGATACATTTGCGTTGGATCTACCATTTGTACGAATAGTAATCAATCGATATAACACAGGGGAGAACGTATTAGCAACGTATCTTTTTTGTATAAATAAATATTGTCTGAGATCCTTGCAGATATAAGTCTTTGTACAATTTCATTCAGAGATGTTAAATATAACGATACAATTGTATTCATTCGTTGCATTTATTTACTTAATTTAGAATTGGGCAAGATTTATTCACAAACAATAAATGAAAATTTTAGATTATTTGTAAACCAATTTTTGCTTACAATTTTGTTAGTCGAAAAATCCGATGATGTATTCTAATTTACCAATAAATCTATGAACAAAACGTAAATGTTTATAAATGGATCCGAAATTTTTATTCATTATTTGTAAATGAAATTTGCCCAACGATGACTTGATTTTCTATTTATTAAGATAGTTATAGTATTCTTTGGACGAACAAAAATTTATATCAAATATTTGAATTTTAATGTGTCAAGAATGCTGGTCTATAAATATATTGTATAGAATCCATAATACATTGAAAATTGTAGTATTACGTATTTCTTATCATGATTGTCGGAGAAATAAATAATAAATATAGAAAAAATTTATAATAGACTACTATGTATAAGGAATGACTGAATTAGAAAATTGAGTAGTTTAATCAGGGATTTGTATTAGTTCTAAACTTCTTGGACTTAGAAGTGTATGAAAAATGTTTATTTTATATTATTTATACATTATTCAACCTTAGAATTAGAAATCCTGTTCCAAATAATTTTGGCAACATTAACTTTATTATTTTTATCATCATAGTCATCGTAATAAATTAATTCGCATAGCTCGGAACATTCTGGGTCATTATCTAACAATTCTTTAAGTTTATCATGAAAATTTTTCACGATATTTTTATAAAATTTCCGATACAATTTCGTTTCGGGGTGATTGTGTTTTTGAACCTCGAAGAAAGTCAACAGAGGCGTGGCGCCTTCTACAATCACGTACAGAGGTTCCGAAGTAAATCTTTCCCCATTGAAATAAATTTTGTAAACATTGTTGTGATATTGTCGTCTTTTGGTTCCCGCTCGATCACGAATTTCTGCTTCCAAATCGATTGCACTTTCCATCCATCGATTCGAGATATCTTTCAAATCTGGCGGAATATACAACGATGAAGGAATCAAAATTAACAGTTTATGAACAGCTATGGTTATATTATGTTGGTCTTCGATGTTTTCTATTTTCTCGATGAGACCCTTGCTTTGGGTTCCCGTCGAGGGAAGCACAAGTTTCAAATATCCGTAATAATAACTGTACGCCATTGCTGTTCCATAATCCAAACCTTGCATTGAATTAATAGCAGAATATTCATTGTCGGGATTATTTAAATCGACCATTTTCGTGAACGTCCATGATAGAAAGATCCAAGGAACACATGTTACCATATCGATAATGCGAAAATTAACCTCCAAACTTTCAGGATCGACGATAATTAGGCATATTATGATTGTTAAGTTAATAACGAAAGCTAATAAGATTGTACAGAAATTGAGGTCGACTCTTGTGGCAGTTCTGTTATAAAAATTCTTGAGTAGTAAACTTATACTGTGATCGAAGAATTGTATTAAAATGTTCAGAATCAAAAACCATATATTGAAACAAAGTGTGATAAAAAACAAGCGCCTCAGAGAGGTTGAATCGTTTCTAATCACTTGCATGCATATTATTAAAGTGTTTACGATAACGATACAAGAAATTACGAGTAACCTTACTTTCGTTTCGATATAATGGGTATCCATTTTTTTTGTGTGAAAATTGATAAATATTTATGTTATCTTTTTATATTTCGATCCAGAAATTGAATAATAATAGTATTTGCGGTAATTGTGGTCTCAATGTTTGATCAGACAAAAAGTAAATAGACTTAAAGATACACCGAAGATAAACATTTATAATGCTCACACTAATGCTATCACAATATGCTATGACTTAGAATATCTGTTTTGAGATTATTGAAAGTATTATATTTCTTTGCAATCTTTTAAGTAAATATTTCGAAATTCAACAATTACTAATGGTAGTATTATCAAAAATTACGTTCATAATATTTGATCGAGCTTACAATTAAATACAGATTTAAGTTTTAAAGGTACACTGAATGTAAACGTTGGCATTCAGAAAGAAGTAGTAGTAGTAGTAGTGCTAAAGAGAGATATCGAATATTGCCAGGGTCAGTGCGGTGTCAAACGAGTCGATCGACCAACGGTCGCAATCGATAGTCTCCAATCTGCACTTATCTCATTGTCAAAAATTTATTCCTTCATCAAAAACCATATAAAAGTGTAAGGTTTGTTAAAAGCGTTGACGCGGCGGAAATATTTCGAGCAGGTGATTCCAGCCGCTGATTAGGCGCCATGTTCACTGACGGACCAATCAGCTGCTCGGTGAACTGCCGTAGAACCTCGAATCTGTCCGCGGACGAATGACAACAAAAGAGTCTGATAGAAGTCGCGCGCGAGACGGTGGATTTTTTCGCGAGCACGGTGAATATTTGCGGTTTGTTTCCATTCTGTCGTACGCCGCGGATAACGTAAGACTTTTATCGCGGCGAAAGTGTTAAGGAATATGAAGAGAAGAAATGTTGAGTGCGGTAAGTTTCGGAGGCCCTTGAAACGCAACAAGCTCACCGAGGGAATCTACGGGAGGTAAATTTCTTCGCCGCCATATGTCTCTATTGCGAACGATTTATTTCAAAATCAACAAATATTCAACGAACCTTGCCCATCGAACATTTTCAATTCACATTTCTGTTTTCCAAATTTATTCTTTGTCAGAGTTAGTATGTCCGCTTCGACCAGCTTGCGTCGATATAGCTTTGACGTTTACCATAAACTTCGACCATGCGTGCCAGTTTTCACTGAAATGTGCGTCGAATTGTAGTTTTTGTAACCTTCGGTGCAACAAACCAGTTGAAGTTCTAAACAGTTTCACAGAACAATAGAGTTTTACAAATAGACTATTTCGTTTTTGGTTTTCAAGTTTAATTACTGGTTTGCAATGTATAATTATGTAATTTCAATTTTAATCAGTGTTACTTTATTGTTTGGTCTGTTATTATTATTTGGGTTTTGTTTTTCTCTGGTCTATTTATGAGACACGAACTGTGCTGTGCATTTTTGTAGAACCTAAATTTTCTCTTGTTTTAGACCCACAAATAGGAATATGAGCTCAAAAAGTATGATAAATAATGACTTTTGTATGAATTTTGTTGAAGTTACTTTGCTAATGAAATGTCAAGCAACTGGAAAAACAATTTTCAGTTGTTGCGTAACTATAGCACCGTTGAGAAGTCAATTCATTGGGTTTAGAGCTGCAAGATGAAATCATTAAATTTTTGTATAGTTTCATTCAATTTTGCATTTAAATATATGTACATTTTTATTGCGTACCAAATAAAAAGATTCAATTTTAGAATATAAAATCCTCTAAAATCTAAAAAAAATTGAATTTATTATTCTGTTCTACTCCGATCCACATCATATTTTAGATGTGCAATGAAGTTCAAGATGAAATCTTTCATAAACTAATCAACAGTTTGTTTGAAATTATATATTTGAATTAATAATAAATAAAAGAGGTCTTTTAGAGTATTAATGAATTAAAATATATTAGAACCTTCGATAGCTCAGTTGGTAGAGCGGTGGACTGTAGTAGGCACGTTTGAATTAAAATATGTTATTATTGTATTTTATGCAATATATTCTGCATATTCTGTATCGTGTATTCTATAAAGGTGGCTAGTATGTTAATATCACAATTACATTAAAATGTAGTATGTGTGACTGATTTGTATGCGAAAAAACATTGTACAAATAACATAACACAAACTTTCATATTTATAAGCACTGATGAAGATATGTAAATATTTGTACAGTATATATACAAAAATTGTAAAAATAAATGTATTTATATCTCCTACAATGTTTAACTTATATATTTAAATAGATATTTTCTATGTATTTGGCACACAAGTTAAAGTTTAATAATATCAACACCATGTGTATGAAGCATACAGCACGCCTGCTCGTGTTACAAAAAGAGACGCGCCTGCAGGAGCTTTTATGATTGATTTTTCTTGCATTTCTACTCAGAAATACCAAAACAGTTAGTAATATAGGTCTTATAATTATGAATTCTATATCAACTTTTAAATATTTAAAGTTTCATATTTATTTTCCTTAAATATAGAAGTTCTACTTAACAATATGTTGACACAGCGACGATACATTGTTTTCGGTTTCAGTACTTTGGTTTATCTGAAGTTTCTGTTGCTATGGGCTATGGTAATCCTGGCGGACTTCATTCTAGAGTTCCGTTTTGAATTCTTATGGCCATTCTGGTTGCTTCTTAGAAGTGTTTACGATTCGTGCAAGTATCAAGGCTTGGTAAGTAATGTGCAACCTTTTCCTAAAACAAATTTTCCTGCAGCAAATGATGGTTCTGCCCTAATTAATGCAAAGTATTATTCTTTCAGGCCTTTTCAGTGTTCTTTATTTGTATTGCCCTCACATCTGATATGATTTGCTTCTTCTTTATTCCGGTGCATTGGTTGTTTTTTGCAGCCAGTACCTATGTTTGGGTACAATACGTTTGGTACACAGGTAAATATGGAACTTCTTAAATAGACATATCAATGGTCATTTGTAAATTTTTTTACAATTGTCAATCGATGTGTTAATTTGATTTCTGGTTTGAACAACACAAGTAATGTGTAATAATATTGCTATTGAACAGACAAAGGCGTGTGCCTACCAACTGTGATGCTATGGTTATTATTTCTATACATAGAGGCAGCAGTACGATTAAGAGATTTACGACACATGCCATTTCACTTGGATCTCTGTCGACCGTTTGCAGCGCATTGGTATATATTTCGTCTTTCTACGAATATTAATAAGTGAAACTAGCAAAAGAAGAAGTCTATGAAAAGTAACACTAGTGAAGAATCGTTTTTCTTTTCTGTTTAAGAGATATAGTAATGTAAACAGCGATGATATTGTTTCCTTTCAGCATCGGTTACCCTGTAGTTACGTTAGGTTTTGGTTTTAAGAGCTACATCGGCTATAGAATGAGACAGGTAAGTTTAAAAGTGTTTTAAAATTCTTCGAACAAGGTTTGTTAAATTTTTATATATAAATGAATTTTTTTTCTCAACAGAGAAAGCAGAAAGATGTAGCAAAAGAAAATGAATTCTATCTACAGTTATTGCAGCAAGCACTGCCTCTTGAACAACAAACGACAGTGCAACAGATTCAGCAATCACAGGTACACGTTACTCCGTCGTTGGAGCAGCACGTGAAAACACAATCGAATAAATTGTGTCCGCAGTACAATCCTAGCCCTGAGAAGAGCAGAGGTAGTTTGTATTTATTTTTATCCTAAGATGGTACTTTTTGTATCTGTAGGATGGAGAGGGCAATGTTAGGTACACAGGATATTTTGGGTTTCCATCGAGTATTTTTCTTGGGTTCGAGTTCCGGGTACTGGAACCTGACAGTTTGTGATATTCGGATACTTGAAAGTTTGTAAATTGGGTATTCAAATGATCGGGATACTCGGATACCTGAAATATCGTGTACCCTTACACCCCTAACTACGTATCATAACCTAATAATCTGAACTTATTGCAGGAAGCAGTAATAACTCTGCGGAAGTAGGTATACAAAATGGTAGTTTGCACATAGGTACACAAATTACGTCGCAGTCGCAGAATGTAACGACGAAAAACAATCACAGAAAGTCCTTGGACAAAGGTGAGAAACAAGAGGAACAGCACGTTAAACATAATCTGACGAACGTTTCGCAGCCAGAGAAAAACGAAAAGAGGTTTATACATACAAATGGGAGCACGGTTACTCACAATGATATACAATTCATCGAGAGGATCGGGTAAGTAAAAAGCGCCGTGCAGCAAAAATTTTTATTCGAGGCGTTCGGAGATATTTTACTAAATTTTACGAAATGTGACACATCCAGATCTGTGAATGATTTTGATGCAAATGAAATAGAGAAAGACAAATTTACGAAGGGCGGGAACTGTGGCCCGGCGAAAATGCAGACTAACGGTTCCGTAACAGGGAAGTGGAACAATATTAAAGACAGTCGAGAATCCACATCCGCCGTTAATAATCAACGTGAACGGAAAACACGACAGATTAAAACCACGCTCGACAGTATAAGCGAACAACCGAAACAGCAAGACGATTATTGTCAAAGGTACATTAGTTTGTTATTTTATTGAACGAGAGAAAAATTGTTACTGATTTCGTTATCTGTATAGGTTTTGCACTATCAATTAACAATTTTGCAGATTATATTCATTTTTTTGCAAATCAAATTCAGCACTTTAAAGTTTACTAAACTATTTTACTTTGAAGTGGTATAACTCTTGAATTATTAGGTTAAAAAAACTACATCGAATAGACCCGCAAAAATTATAGAGTTCCATTTAAAAAAAGGATCTGCAACCATATGAGAGATATAACTTTTTGTTAGTTATAATAGGACACCCTTAAAAAAGACGCTATATTTAATAAAATTCCAAAGTTAAAATTTGTCTATTTTCCAACGAGTTCTCGATCTAATACTTTTCTATTTTTCGTATCGCTAATTTCTACATGGATGTAATTTTTCTCTATTTTTTGTAACATAAGAAAATATAAGGTTCTTTTTCTATTGTCAGATTTCTCTTTAGTGTAATTCGATATCATTCAAATAGGTTACTGGTGTGTCGCAGGCTCGAGGCTGACATTAAACGCTTGAAGTCAGACTTGCAATCCAGTCGACAGCTAGAGCAAGAGCTTCGTTCACAGATAAATACTTTGCAGAACGGGGAACGCCAAGCCAAAGGCGACATACAACAACTCCAACACGACAATGATCAGTTGCAAAGCAAGTAAGTTACTTATCTAGCTTCGCAATTTCATGAAGTTTCATTTTAGAAACAAAAATCAATAATAATTCTTTATTTCGCTGGTTGATTCCCTATTGTGTACATTTAAAGATGGATTAATACAGTATTAACTTGTAATTTAATGATTGCAAAACTAATTTGCTCGAATCGTGCAATTAACAGTTCTCACTTAAGTTTCCTTATCTTCTTTGATTGAAAACTCTAAAAAAGATCAGAAATATTTTAGTTATCGGAATACACTTTCGTGAACTTTTTCAGAATTTTTCACTTCAGAATCGAATCTCAAATAGAAAAAGTTTTGACAAGCCGATTTCCTACAGAAGTTATGAAACGACCACGTATATAAACTCTCGTTAAACTGGGACTAATCGAAAAAAAAAATAAAAGAACAGTTTCATTTAAAAAATTCTCATGCTAATATTTTGTTTATTTTTTAATAGATTGCATGGATTGGTAACGGCTCGTCAATTGGACAAGCAAACCATGTCCTCGTTGGAAAAACGAATCGCTGAAGAAAGGAAACAGCGTACCGCGTGCGAAGCATCGTTGGTTTCCGAAAGACGAGCCCGACGAGCCGCGGAGGAGGCTCGTTCCGCGATTCCACCACCCCCGCCTCCACTTATCAGACAAGAATGCACGGACACGTGCAAGACTCGCAGAACACAAATGGAACAAGATTTAAAAAATCTGCGACGGGAAGTGAAAACGAAAGAGGAAAGGTAAAGTTTTCTCCAGTCGACGATCCAACACGTTATTATGATTTTTTTTTCTATCCAAAGAATATGAATTATATACCTTTTTTCTATTCAAAAGATATGAATTAAACTTGTTCTATTAATTAAATGTTCACTGTAAATAGATGACATTTAATTATTCCTAGTTTGGTTCAATATATCATATAAGATGATCCATTTAAATATAGATAATAGAAGGTTAATGAAGAGTACAAGTACAGGAATATGGGGTCCAGGACTGTAATTACGATAGAATAATACATATTTGAAAAGTAGAATAGGGTAAATCAAGTCACTTTTCTTGGTCGAGGAGGTTGAAAATTAAGTCTATATATATATTTTTTTAAATGTATCAATCGATGCATTTTGTCATTCTCTGTAGAAAAGTACTGAACTACTTGTGGCAAAAAATTATTAGTTTAGAAGATATTTCTATTTTAATAATATCTGAAATCAATCAATTGTCGTCTGAAACATTTTTTGCTATTATCGATTTAAATATGTCACCCTCTATAAAAGTGAATTATGGTTTCGAAATTAGGTGCAGCGCGTTAGAAAAGGATGTGACGCGGTGCAAGGAGAACCACAAAGAGTCCGAGATCCTGCTGGGAGCACTTAACGCGTTGCAAGACAAAACAGCTCATTTAGAAGATAGTTTAAGTGCCGAAACTCGTATAAAGCTCGATTTGTTCTCCGCGCTTGGCGAGGCGAAACGACAATTGGAAATCAGAGAAAGTAAGTAAAACTTGTTCTATATAATTTACGAGTAATTGGGGAGCACGGGCACCCAAGAATATTTCGTGTTTGGGTATTTTATCAAGTTCAGAACCTAATTTCGCTTAAATGTTGCCAACACAAGTGAATAAATTTGTAACATTTGTTGAAGATATTACCAACTGCTTTACGTAAATGAGACGAAATATAAACCTATGCGCACGCAACTATTGCAATATTTTGTATACTATTGCATTACGGCGTATCAAAAAGGTGGGACACTTTTAATCCTAGCGTGCCCCAAAGAGTTAACTGAATATTTACTACGTTTCATGAAGATTGAAATTATTATATCAGAGTTATTAGTCACTGGATTTTCTTAATATTTGCTATAAATATAGTTCATAAGTGTGTCATTTATGATAAAAATTGTATTGCAATATTTAAAAAAAGTGATGAAGATATGAATAATTACTCGTTCGTGATACAAAATTCATTGGAAAACTTCAATTTTATGTTAAAAAATAAATAAGAACCCGCATTTAAATTCACCGATTCCTAAAAAAATATAGGTTACATCGTTTAAATTTTGTCATTTTGTATTTTAACAGACTTAATCAGATCTCAAGAGAAGGAAATCGAGACGTTGAAGGCGAAAATAGCCCAGGACTTGGCCGTGATGCCACAAGACACATTCGGTCCAGCGCCGACCTGCGCAACGTCTAAACTTCGTTTAAACAACGAAGTCCGCGTTTCAGGTACAAAAATACGTTCCAACGAAAGTCCATGCCCCGGAGGTTGCACCGTGTCGAATTTGGATCCAAACGCCACCGCGTACACTCCCAAAAACTCCCTAATAGCGTCTACCGAAGCTTAAAAGTTGCAAAATTATTTGCCACCATTTTAAGGTTCATTTATTACAACAAATATGTTTCGAGTTTGTTTCTCGATTAATATTCAAATAATGGCATCTCCAATCCTTTAAAAGCCTCTAAAATATTTTTTCAACAGAAACGAAAAAAGAAAATATTTGTCGTTGAAACTATTTCTATCAAAGTTTTAAAATTCCAACTTGGAATTATTTTTTCGATTTTTCTAATAATAAGTTGATTTAGCAGTGCCTTTTTCTTCTATCAAATATTCTTTTTTAATAATTATTTCCACAATTTTCATTTAAATTGTTAAAAGACACTTTTTACGATTTAAATTTGAATTTATTTCCCGAAGTTTAATCATTTTTCCGTAACTAACTTTATAAAAATATTTTTCTTTTTTTTTTTTTTGAATAATTTTTACAGGAATTTGCATGCAAATTAAGTTTTTATGGTAGAAATAGTGTCAACAACGAATAAAAATTTTTAAAAATAAATTAAAACTTCAAATCTCTATGGAATAAAAATATTTTAACTCAAATTAACCCTTTCAAAATTCCAATTTATTCAATTATTAAATATTCTCTCTTGGAAATCCGTGAAAATTTTTCAAATTTGGCTCAGAAAAATGTTTCAATTTTCTTAGAGAAACTTCTAGAAACATGTTTCCCAATTTATCACCTAAATTAACTACGTACAACTATAGGGCGCGACTACCAATTTGTTTAAACAATATTTAAAAACATAGTCGCGTCCTGTAAAACATGCTGTAGGTCGATCTTGTCTTAGTTGATGAATATTAGAAAAGTTTCGAATAATTGATAAAAATTTTATTTAATTTAGTTTCTCCATTTTTCTAAATTAAAAATTTAACTAAATAATTGTTGAAAAAGTTTATTTGTTAAATATTTCGTTACGTAATTTTTGCAAATTAAAAATTTAATTAAGAAACAAACCGAAATTTTGTTTATTAATTATTTTAAGTGTTAAATAAATATAATAATATAATCGTTAAATATAAAATATAAATTTCCTTCCAAGATAGTTTCTTTGTTAAAAATTGTTTAGAAAGCTAATTTTTTTTTTATTCTGATTTATAATTTAATTTGAATTAAAATTAAGTATACTGGATCCTCCTACAGCATAGCCTAAATGATCAACGACTTGCTATAGGCAGAAATGTTACACGAGTCGTAATACGAAGCTAGTCCAGCATACAAAACTGTATTTAACGTCTTTGGCGAGTGAAGCCATTTTTAAGTCATATGTGATCATCCAAAACCAGCCATTAATATAAACATTGAATAAAAATCTGCCGTTCGGTCGTTTTTAAGATTTATGGAAACGATCGAGCCAAAATTCATCTTCAAAAAACGGTCATTCTATCGATATACTCTCACCCTCTTTACGTTTTTTATATTTTTAAATGCTTGTAATTTGTTAGCTTAGTGATACGTTTGAGTATTGGCTTTTGAACCGGGTTAAAATAACTTAAATATTTTGTAAATTGTTTTTTTATACTTGTATAGTTTTATATATTTTAAGTTAAATTAATTCTAATTAAATTGATCTGTTTGAATTCCAAGATGGTTGAATTAATTCTAAAATTTTTAATTCTGTAATGGCTACGAATTTAATACAAAGAAACTATTTTTTCAAATTACAAATTTAATGAAAGATTTAGACAAAAAATTTATTTGTAAAACGATTCGTCGTCTTTTCAGAAACTGATTTTATTTTTTTTTTTTTCGAAGTTTAAGTTTAACATCTTCAATATTTGACACATTTGTACAATAATTAATATCGTTATTATTAATTATTTTTTTGGCAAAAGTGTTGGACTTTGCTTTTCTTTCTGCCATAGTTTCAAAAGTTTAACCATAATGAACATAAATTACTGCTTTGTTCTTCAAAATCAAAAGTAAATTTAATTTTTTATGTAATAAATATTTAAAGAAAATTTATGCAGCAAAATATGACATTCATAATATTTATGTTATGAAAACAAAATGTTTTTAATCCGGGGGAAAGCCAGTACTTATTTCAATGAACAATTAACGACTGGTTGAAATCATAAAAAAAATCATTCTTCCATGGTTGTATATATAAGGCACTGTCATGACAATTAAATAGCATAGTGGATCATGACCAACTAGTCAAATGGATTTCTATAAGCACAAATATTTATTAGATATCTAATATTCGTTTGATATCCCTCCCCCTTTTAAACGGAAAAGCAATAACAATTAATTATATTTACAAAGGATACACACAATTGTTTACGATTATTCGTTTTATTTCACATTTCTTGGATGATCTACATACTAACTGTAATTGCACAATGAATACTTTGGCGTTTTTCAATTTACACGATTCGTTTGTGGTCGAAGAGCAATTTTTTCTTTACCTTTACGAACAATATAGTTTTTTTTTTATTTTTGAAAAATTTTAAAATTGATTACCTACAAAGGTCGTGTAAGTTTGAGGAAACCTTCGTTACTTTTTTTTTTATAACTGTTTAACAGTAGTTAGTTTGAGCGCGAACAAATATATATTTAAAAATTGAACAATTCACTGATGTTGGTAAATTAAACTGTCGAAAAATTTTAATGCGCTTACTTTGATATTATAGTGCACGTTAATAATAATTTTTAACGAGAGAGGGAGAAAAGAATAATTAATCGTACGAGACTGTTCCCCCTAATCGATTTATTGTCCCGACCGGAAATTAGTTTAATTAATTTTTAGTCGAAGTCGAACTCGCATAATTGTATTCATAAGTCCTTAAAATGTAACGAAACAATGTAAATAATTACTTAAAATAGACCAAACACGATGAAAAAAAAGAATATTACTGGAAATTGTTTGGGCAATTGCATTAGCACAGTCAAAGTGCTATAAAAAAAAGTTAATTCAACAGGGAGACTGTTTTGTTTTATTTTAAACTCGATTTAAAATTTGTTGACTTTTCGTATAAAGTAATTTTAATTTTTTAAACGCGATCTTGCTTAGTCTTGGTTAGAATTTTTATGGAAACTCATATAATATTTAAGTCCAAGACTGACCAGTTTGAAAATTATAGTGCTATTTTGAAATAATTATGGAAATGGATAACAGTATTATAATGAGAATGGAAAACCTAAATTTACGTCATTGCATTATACTTCTGTCGAATTAAATATGGTGGCTTGCAATGAATATAGAATTTGGAAGAGACGTCATCTGGAAGAAAATGTTCTGTTTGTGACAAACGAGATAACGTGTGCGACGATTTAAAAATTTGTTTAATTACATTAGTTACCATTAGGAGTGTGCCGGGTACCCGAAATTAAAGGGTTCGACGTGACTTGGTTCGGGGCACGAAGATTGTGGTTATTAGGGTACCCAAAGAAATGTAAGAAATCTAAACACTAAAGTACTCGAGTCTTACACGTCTTACGGGTCAAACGATTTTTCAATCGAATTTTACTACAGACTTGTAGATACCCGAAAGTTTGCGATACTCGGATACTCGAAAATTTCTGGTAATTTGGTACCTGAAAGCCTGAAGTGGCCGCGTACCCGAATATTGTCTCGCGGGTCGAGTGATATTACAATCGGATTTTATTAAGGTCGTACGAGTTCCTAAGCTGCAACCCAGGATCCGAAAGTTTATAATACTCGGGTACCTGATGATTTGTAATATTTGGGTACCCGAATTTTATTTCATGGGTCGGTCGATTTGTCAATTTGAGGTTAACAAAGCTTTCTTGGTGTCCGAGTTTCTTTGTATCTTGTCGCGTTGAGACCAGAAAGTTTCTGATATTTGTGTACTTGAGAAATTTCACCGCAAGTTTCGAGTACGTGCGCTCTCTTAGTGATATTCGATAAAAAAATCATCGCCCAGTCCTTGACATAACATTCAGGTTCCCGAACGTTACAAACTTCCGTCTTCGATTTCGGGTACTCGAACGCCCCTAGTTACCATCCACTGTTTTCTGTAATTATACATACGGTGGATTATAACGTGTATCGTAAGAAAAGAAATTAAACGATATTTTGGAACGCGGGAAATACAAATAAGTTAATTTAACGGAAAACGAGAACGTATATGTGTATAAAGATATTACTTTGAAACGAATGCTTTCTTCCTAAAGTATCGTGTTATCAAGTGCACGTTCAGTACCTGATTAGGGGACGTCGTATTGTTTGCGGCTAATACAGGGTGGTTCACAAAAAACAAAATCTAGAACATTTAAATAACTCTTAACAATTTTGAAGATACGAAAAAAAATGTTTTGTAATTCGAATTGTTTTATAGAACAAATATTTTAACGCACAAAGAATTTCGAAATAATTTATTTCCGCAACTTCCAAACGATGTTAAAATGATTCTATGGATGCATTATGTCATTTTTTTTTAAATAACCTTGAGTTTTGAAACTTAAAATTCCAGGATATTTCTTTAGATTCCTGGTCGATTTACTTCACCTTTGCGAATACAAACAAATCTGTTTCATGCGTCGTTTACTTCATTATTTCTGCAAAGTTTCCTTGGAAACGAATTCAATATCTGACATTGTCAACTTGGTTTTCTTATAACCTGTTACTCGATATAAGAAAACAGTAATATAGAAAACAAAGTTCTGGAAACTAGAACCACTCACGAATAAAATAATTGTGCAATTCAAGAAAAATATTCTATATGTCATATTTCTTTTTTAAAACGAATTAAATTATATCCGACTTAATTTTTCGTATCTATAAAACCTAAAAAAATATTCTATATAGCATATTTGCTGCTCAGAATGAATTACGTTATATCTGAATTAATTTTTCGTATCTGCATAAAAGTACGAATTATCTGGATGTTATCCTCCCCAAATGGACTACCCTATATACTTATCTTGGATTAAATTCCATTGTAAGGCTGGTTTCACAAACAATTTTACTATTTAATTAATTCGTATTGTTTATATTTAATTGATGTGATGTACACAGATTTAGGTACATATACGCACACACTCGCACTGTATATGTTTACCTAATTTCTAGAATATACACACGTACAACTAATTCTTTACAAGAACAATCTGGAATAGGTATTTACTTTCGATTGTATAATAAAAATTATACGAGACGGTGCTTTTTATATTTGTAACATGGATTGCATTGCAATTATGCCATAGAATCTAACTAAAATTAGTATTTTAATTGTTAATTGTCGGAATTGTATCGGAAGGCATACTAGAATAATAACGATTATTATTTTTTTTTGTTACAGAATAAAATATATTTGTTACGAATACCAGAAACGATCGGTTAAAAAAACAATATTTTTTCACAAATAAACGAGAAAGAGAATTTATTTTTTATTTGTCCAACGAAAATTTAAAAAATTGTATCAAACTACAAGCTAGTTAATAGTTTTCTTTCAAAACATTCTTTCGAGATAATAAATAAGATGTACAAAAGGGCACGATGTTAATTTTAGGTGGATAATATTGTTTTTTCATTATACATACTTGTATATGTTTATAACTCAAAGTTCTGTAAAAAATTATGCATTGGAATAATCCAGACGTGTGTATAACTCGTCTAAAAATATCAATGTTCAAGAATACATGTATACAGTGTTGTATCCTTTTTTTTTCTGTTGTCAAATGATAAGAAAATATTATCGAAACAGATAACGAAACCGGGGAGTCGGTTATGTATCGTCGTTAATACGAATATAATTTTTATAATGTAATTAAAAGTGCACGGAGTTATTCGAATCTTTATTTTAATTCGATGTACTTTGATACACACTCATATACAAGGTGATTCACAAATTAGTCCTCGCGAATAAATCCCGATGATCTGACAAAACAATGTTTCGTATTAAAGTTAATCAGTATTTAACCGACAAGAAATTGCAATTGTTTAAATTTAAAAACAAATTGATTTTTTATTAAAAATCAAGGTCACCGGTAGCTGAAAAAATTTTGACTACCCCGTACACTCTTGATATTATACAGGGTGTTTCACACAACTGGCAAAAGCAATATCTCTAAAACGGTTAGAGATACAAACAAATATAAGGCAAAATTAAACCACATCAAATGATGCACAAACTTAGTATAATTTTATACATTTTTATGCATTGATGCATCTGAGAAATGCAACTACGTCTTTTTTTTAAATGAAAACTCTATAATTTTGATCACACCAATTACTGGATGCAATTTTGTAATCTTTATAAACAAACATTAAGACATTTATGCCTTAAATTTAATAATTTAAGAGTCGTACCATTTTAAAGCGTACCAAACTATTTAGATGTACTTTACAGATGCGAAAAACATTTTTTCATTCTTTTCTTTACACTACTTACTGTTTTGTATATTAGTCTTGAATACTAGCAATAGGATGCGAATCAACAAGAGAGTTAATCTTAAAGTGATTGATATTAAACTCATGACTACAAGCGAGAAGGTTTTAACTAAAATAAATAGAAGTAAATTGAAATAATTTAAAAAACATTAAAGGGTTATAATTATTGAACTATGAAGTTTAGGAGATAAGTACCTTAATATCTTTTTATAGAGATTAAGAAACTATATCAAGTAAGTAGTGTGATCAAAATTGTAGAATTACGTTTCTTAGATACATCAATGCATAAAAATGCATTAAATTGTATTCAATTTGTGCATCATTTAAGACTGCTTAATTTTGCTTTGTAACATTTGTTTGTATCTGTAACCGTTTTAGAGATATAGATCTTCTCTATATCTTACTTCGCTAATTACTGTGGTTTTTCAAAATGTACATTAACGTATTTCTATAGTCAGTATTTATCATAATAGTATCATACGATTTTTCTTATAATGAATTCATAACTTTATCAAGGAATGTTGTAACAGTCAAAGTATTATAGAAAAGTAGTCGTTCAAGGATTTAAGTTTTCCCATTTTCAATTTATCAATATGAAATACTTAATGTCAACGTTAAACAAGATTCAATTTATTTGACAAAATTATTTATTTCTCACTTACTAACTAATTGTTAATATGGCGTAGTATACCGAAGGATACTAAGAAATTTTTTCAATGCCCAAAGAAAGAAATGTTTAATTATAAAAATACACGATGAGAATTTTATAACAGATTGCAACCTTGTTAAACAATATAATTTCGAAAATTCTCGAAAATATGCACAAATACTTTTTTTTGCAATTGTTATCGTATCATTGCGAAGGAAATATTCAAAATTATTTCATGGGTGGTCGGAATAAACCAGTAACAAATTTTTTGCAAGCGTTTAATATGTTCAAATTTACAATTTTCAGTGTAAAAGTATTCTTAGAATTACAAACATACGAAGGCATATTCTTTTTCTTTTTTATACACATCTTGTTTGTATATACTTTATATGTATATTTATCTTAGAAGTAAATAATCGATGGAGTTTCGATTCGAAACATTAGCCGCCTTCGATCGACTGAACGTACGTTTCAACGTTTTTATTTTAAGATATATCTATACAGGGTGTCCGTTTTATCTGGAACTCCAAAATATCTCAGAAACGACGAAATATAATGAAAGAATGTTTAACCAAAAATTGTTTGGCACGAAGAGAGGCATAACTTGAGATAAACTGTTTTCTTGAACTATTTTGAAAACCTAGCGTGATTGTGAAATTTCCGCCATTTTTTCACCGACAAGAAAACTGTTTATATCAAGTTGTGCCCCCCATCATACCAAACAATTTTTGATAAAATATTGTTTCATTATTTTTCGTCGTTTCTAAGATATTCTGGATTTCCAGATAAAACGGATATCCTGTATATTTTGTAACAATTACTCTCTGTTACTTTACGGATCTAACGTTAATCGAACGGTTTACAAGTCAAGTCGATTAACTTCACCTTAAAAATTTTTTGAAATTTTACTATTAAAGTATTCGATCGACTTACGATTTTATACTTAAAATAAATTTGTTTAATAATTAACTTTAAGACTACCGAATGACCATGTCTTTTTGACCTGTGAATAATAAATAATTTATTTCAGAAGACAATTTCTTATTTAAGCAACTATCTTATACTATCTTGTGCGTTTTATATGTACGTCGTTAGACGAAATCTATACTTGTAATAATACGTTCTATAATGTTTATTGGAAATTATATTTTAAAAGAAATTTTAAAAAACCATGTATACTATTTTCTCGTTTTTTCATTTGTGGAATTGATCGATTTGGCTTGGTTTTTTTTATTTAATATTAACAGCTAACAGTATAGAAACTTAATATTTTTGATCTCGAAGTCTGATGACAATGCACGCACATGCCCTGATTTTCTTTCTCCCGAATTTAATATTATGTTCTAGAGTTAAAAATTCAAATTCGTTAAGAAATTTTAATATTTTGTGCCTGGGTTTTCTGTCTGACACGTTAAGCGCCATCTTGCTTTCCGTTCAGCCAGAAATACTGACGGTCGGAGACCTGTTTAGATTGTGATAAAGCTGAATATTTATATTAGAATATATTTACTATGTGAATATTTATTATTTATCGCAATCTGCACAATGTATTAAAGTTTACTAATAAGTTGTAACATTTTGTAAAATCTGCAAAGGACAACCATTTTTATGTTTACCATGTTTCGGTAGAACTGATTAAAACTTTTTTTTGTAAGTAATACTTAGGTACATTTATGATATGATCTCGAAATTATTTAAAATTTATTAATAGAATGTAATTTTTTAAATTTTATATGGTCAATCAACATATGTTTATCGTATTAAAATCATAACATCGCCAATCGTCGTTGGTTTTGCTATAGTTTCGTGTAAGTAAACGCGAAATCATTCACCTATGTCGTGTCGTTAACCCTAACTTCTGTAAAACATTTTCATTCGAATAAAACCCCTAACTTTCGCTTTCATAGATTCAAACTTATTTATTCGATCGTTAAAGTGAAAATATTGTAAAACAAATTGATTTTTACCGTATCAGTGAATTGTAACGTGTGTTTATGGTTACTCTATTAAAATTCCTTTATTCAAAGGAAAGTATCCGAATATTATTATTTTTCAGAGTTTGTTAAAATCGTGGAAGTGAAGTTTCTTTTATGCGAGCCGTTAAACACTTCATCGTGTGCTGCATGTGAAAGCGTATGTGTGTAACAAAAATTTAAACACAGAAATTGCGAACAGATTGTTAAGCATTGTTTGAAAGAAAGTTTTTTTCCGTTTATTCGAGCAACTTTTTATGGGAAATATCAAGATCCAGTATTCATTGATCAATCAGCAGGAAGCTAAAAAGCAAGAAAATTTCGTACAAAATATAATTTTAAATGTGAAACTCGATTTATTTAATGCATCATTCTTATACATATACGTGTAAATACATATATTAATTTAATCGTTTCATTATTTCTAAGGAATTCTTTTGTCCTGATCTCTGGAAATATTTATAGCAGACATTTTGTACATCTTTTGTCTTTCCTAACACTATGAATAAAATTTTATTTTCACGTTAAAGAAGCGTGTACATATGACATTTCGATGGCATTATTTGATTTACTGCGTTGTGGGGAAGTTACGAGGTCACTGGATCATAATATATTTTTAATACGTTAATTGAGGTTTTAAATAGCAGTTTCTTTACTCTAAATTATAAATTATTCTCAAAATAACAAACGATGTACTGCCCTCCGCTGACTTGAAGTAGAAGGGATACACCTATTCCCACGTACCCATTGAACTCTGGTTCGCTATTCGTCGCGGCAGTTATACACACATCTGGATTGCCTGAGAGCAAGGGAGCAAGATAGATAAATTGACGCTCCGACGCTCCGACTCTTCTTGCCCCTGTGCCGTCCCGCGGGACTTCAAGTCAGCGGACCAGAGTATTAATATATGTATATTTGTGCTGTTAAATTCAGAAACGTTACTTTAATTTAAGTTGATTCCTTTTCTTTGATTTTCACACCTTACGAGAAAAGGTTTGGGTTAGAAACTAAATTGTGTCTAAATTTTATCATATTTCTATCAAATGAAAGAATTAAGTTCCTCCGATAGAGCCTTGTCGTAGTTATGACGTTTTGGTTTACACGTGCTTTTCTTTACTTCGTACAAACATATATCAGACCAATCGAAGAATTTTCTATTGAAAAATTGTTCAGAAAGTTTCAAAAATTGATAATAACTAATAACACTGCTACTTATAATAATAATTCGTCCAAATTCTACCAAATGAAAGAAATGCCTGGGCTCCTGGGCAGTCGAGATTTCAAACAGCTACACGCCACACCGCCACACTGCTTTAGCGTTACCAGAGTTTTGTTGTTTTGTTGAAAAAAATGTATGGAAAGAGTCACAGGAGGTTAGTAATGTTATTAATTTAAATTCAGCAATTAATCTTCTGTTAAATTAATCGAAATATTAAAATTCGAACTTAATCTTCGGAGATCTTTAAAGGTTAAAATTTTTTGAAACGTTGTTTGAAGGCTAAAATTTTTACAAACCAGTATCACTAGAAATATGAAAAAAAAAAATCTATAAAACGTATACGATTATAATTTCATTTTACATTTTACTAATTTTAAAAAAATTACAGATTTAATGTAAAAAATTGATATTCATATTTGACACAAATTTATTTAATTTCTTTTTCATAAAATGCGATTTTAATATTTTCAGAATGAGATGATAATTATTCGTTTCGGTTGTTTTTAATAGACTTAAATTGTCACGTTGTGGCAATTTGACTTTTCACAAAAGGCTAAATTGCAGACTTTAAGAATCATTTTCTTAACTTCAGCTTTTTCCTGTCTTCTGAAGAATGCATTTCTTTGTTCTTGCAATATTTCCTTCAGTTTCTTTATATCCAAAAATGGACAATCTAACATTTTACTATCCATTGCATATTTGTTATGTTCATGCTATGGTAACCTAAAATTAGGGCTAAGAAAGACAAAATAAAGGAAGATGAGAAGAACGAGGAGTATTTGGAGGATATTATAGATATAGAAGAGAACGTTACCAAGGATTTTGAATTTCTAATAAATACACCGATCATTGAAGACAACTTCCTTGTTCTGAAGTCGGACGAAAGCTGGAACACTGATGTTTCCAGATACATGGAATACTTTATGATTGATCTTGCAGTCTTGTCCGCAGTCGTTGAATCGGTTCCGTTTAATGAAAATGTTAAAATTGACAACAAATATTTCACCGTGAGCATATTGACCGATTGAATTTGTTTTTCTACGTTGCAAAGTTATAAGTTAATATAATTACTCAACTGACACATTTTAGAATGACCAGTTGACAAACATTTATAACAAAGCAAAACTGGGTAAAGAGAACTATAATAAAATTCTGAGTAGATTAGAAGAGCAAGTTATTACAGATAGAAAAGATTTAGAAGAAAGTCAAGGTTCGGTAGAAGATGTGTGCGAAGACTTAGATTTTTTATTGTCGTTAGAAACACCAGCGGACGAGGCTTCAACAAGCAGGAAATCTTTAGGTGTATCTCATAATGCCGGTACAAATTTTCAGAAATCTATAACGAAACTGTTTGAAAGATTATTCTTATATTTAATGAGCATCTTTTACAGATAAAAAAATAACAGCTAAGTCTGGGGCGTCTGTAAAGTCTATGGACCTGGAAAAGTGGTTGGATTCCATATTAGATGATTAAATGTAAATTCTGTTACTACAGTAGTACCCACATAAGTGATCAAGCTCGGGACCGGCCTCGGTCATTTATGTGGGCATGGTTAGTTCTCAGAATTCAACGGAGATAAGGAAAGAGGATAAGTGCGAGTGAGATATAATAACTTGCATCCGAAACCACATAAGTATACAATGTATCGATAACGATCGGCGTCAAGTTACACTCGACACGCTCGATGTTCGAAGCCGCTTGGCTTCACGGATTAGTGGAGATAAATCTGGTCAATTATGTGGGCAAAAATCCGGTCACTTATGTGGGCACTACTGTATTTGTTTAGTTCTTTCATATTCGCAGTTCTGAATTTCCATAGATTTTGTTAAAAATCGTTTTCCTTCTTTTTGTTTGATTCATCAAATATGTTTTGGGATACATCAAATTTTGGACCATTGAAATTATCCTTGGGACTTTAATTACCAGTCACTCTAGGTTTTGTTATTTGAAGTTCTTTTTTTAATGACGAACAATAGGTTAAAAAATAAGTAATCATAGATGTTTAAAGGACTTGTTTCGGTATCCCGCAATTGTTTATAGTTTATAAATGTAAAATACCGGGGAATACAAAAAAAGTAATAGAAAAAGGTGACACTATAATAAATTGTATTCATTCTTGTTTCAAAGTATCATATCCAATGTAATTATTAAAATATTAATTATATTATTGAATATTTGACAAATATTGAGTTTTTACCATGTGCCTATTTACTGAATTGTAAATAAAATTCTTAACCCTTTGGCTGCCAGGCCCATCCATGAAGTATATGCGAAGATTGTCAAAATTATCTTATAAGAAGAAAATATCCATTTTCGGGGGGGAAAGTTTTAGTATTTATTCTTTCCAAATTTAAAGGATATGGAATACAATTGTAGTGTAATAAAATATTTAGTAATTAATAATGTAATTTTTTATATTTAGATTATATACATTATGCATGAAAAATTATTTTCTATAGAAATATGTCTCACATTAGTTAGTAACAATTGTATATTAATCATTCGGATACCGAACTGATCAAGTCCACTTTTTGAAAATTTCTCAATTTAATTACCCGAAAATGCAGTTAGTGTTTAACTTTTCAAAAAACATAATAATACGCTGTTTTAATTTTATTTACTATGGATAACTTTTAGACCAAAGAAAAATACAATACTACACGTTAGAGGTAATGACTAAGCATGAGTGAAAGCGATTTAATTCATTGGAGCGATGACCTGAATGTAAATGCTCGAGGCTGTTGCTTCCAGACTCATAGCAATTCTCGCGTAGGTACCAAACGTCGGTAGATTGGTCCGCTGACAGCCAAAAGATTAAGTGAGTAAATAAATAAATAGACAGTATGTTCAACAAACATATGTATTGTAATGTACATTATCTAATTATTGTCATTAAACGATGTAAATTTCTATCGCTAGTAAATATTGAACGCGTGCACACGAGTTTTGAGACGTTTTCTTCATGAATTGCAATGCTTAAAATCAAATTGAATTTCGAATGGAAATAGTTTGACAAAGAAGGGGTTTTAAAGCAATTTGTTGACAGTGTTTGTAAATAAATGCATTGGTCAGTCTTTATTAAAATTTGAAACTTCAATCAGTGAATGACCCCATTACTTAAATAGTATTTCATGTGCTCGTAAACTATGAGCATTATTGCACCTCCTGGACCTAATCGTAATATTTTCGGAACTAATCCTTTGTACAAGGCTTTGAATCTGGAATTAATATGATTATTAATTGATAATTAAGTCATTCAAGACTGAAATCGTATAAAATATATGACATCCATCTTGAATAAATTAACATAGCATAGCATAACAGGGAATTCCTTATTCTGTCAATTAAAATTCCATAGTTATGCTGGTTTAAGTCTAATGGAAATAAACGAAAAATGTTTAACTAAAATTTGATAGAAATAAATAGAGAATTCCCCATTTATTCCAATCAAAATGTAATAATAATGAACATAAAATTCCTTGTTTATTTCCGATCACATTGATCGAAATAAACGGTGCTGTTATAGCACTACTATACCGCGTTATAAGAGAATTGCAACTGTACACCATAAAGAATATACTTCCTCAATAATGAGGTAAAAACTAAACTAAGGAATATTGCAGCGATTATGTATTAAAACGAGAATTGCAAAGAATTTTAGCTTGAACGCTTGTAAAATTATAGTTTAATTGACCGAAGAAAGAAGATAATTATCTTTAGCCTTGAAGGTAGTAATTTATATTCTGTTTTGTACCCTTCTCTGTGATAGACTAAGTAGATAGTTTGTAGTGTGTCTTTGTACAAAATTTCACCCTGAGGTCCTTGAATGCGACTCTTGGCGACATCAAAAGGTATATTCATGCAGGATGCCACTGTCCCTGACAAGAAACCTACGACAAACTGAAAAGAACATTAATGAACTTTGTATTTTTTCTGGAAATCAACCTACAAAAAATCGTTTGCTAAATTGTTCCAGTTGCATGAGATATCATGTATATATTGTATGGTCGTAGGATATACCTTAAGAAATAATTCTGGGAAGTGATCCTTTTGTTTGAGCAAATGGGGAACTACAGAATTGTAGATCCCAAGGTAAAAGGTATTAAAAATGCCATTTCTCATTATTGTCGCGGATAGACCTTTGTTGAGACCTTTTAGACCAAAGCCATGCTCTGTGAGGATACGTCGAGTCACAGCAAATGTAGATGGACTATGGCTTATGTGTTTACGATTGGATTGCATTTGAACTTTAACCACTTCAAACGGATTCACCAAAATGGCTTCCGTTACACCAGTCAGGAAGCCAGCATAATAATATGTCTGAAATAGAAGATTATCCTAACAGTAATAGACAGGTTTAAGTCACCAGATATTATCAGCTCGATATTCATCATTATTATTACAAATTCAATGGTTTTTCTAGGCTTGATTTTTTCTATTATTAAAGAGGTTTGTAGAGAACATAAAAAGATCGTTAATGGTTTTCTTATTGATTCAATTAATGTGTCTTAACATTCTCTATGGAAAATATGAACCTATTTAAGTCCAAAAGTCATTAGTTTGTAAGATATTTTAATTTTAGTGTTGTTACAAGATTATCAATTTCTTGTTAGTGTTGTAATTATTTTATTTGCAGGGAAGGCTTGATCCAAACGATTATTTAGGTCATGACGTTCTCTGAATGGAGAAGATAATAACTCTGATATTATTTTATTACTTTCAATGACAATATCAATCATAATACCATATAAGAGTAAAAATGTCTCCTAAACTCAATTTTCAGACATAAATAATACTCTTTTAGGGAATATCAAACTCCTGTTTAGAAAAATAATAATATTCGTATCTCCTCTGTCTACCTTTAAAAGAATTAATAATATTAAAATGGTGCCATCCTCAATACCATTCTCTTTTTCCTATTTATTTTTTATTATTCAAAATTTTTAATTTACGCTCAGACGTAGAACCGTGCCCCCTTCGTGTCTTCTGTTTTACTTTATATGTTTGTCATCGTTTCAATGAACGCATTGACAAGAAAGAAAGATTACTTTTGTATTAACCGTGATGGCTGTTTTCTCTAGGCGGGAAAAAATTCCTCGTCCTTATCTTAAGTTACCAGGAATTTTGTTAAACATTCAAAGGTTAATGAAAAGACATTGAAAATTTTGTCTTTATGCTAACGATCGTCTCAAATGTTTCTGTAAAATCTGTAAACTAAGTTTGTACAACATATTTACGTCAGTATGATTAAAATAGAAGTACAGGATGTTAGATAAATTTTTAATCCGTACCATTGTCTTGGGCGTGTTGCTGCTAAATAACTTCTTATACTGTTCAAAGGAGAAAAACTGAAAGAAAAAAAAAAGAAGAAGAGTTTTCAGTTATGTTTGTTACAAGAACCAACGATGATCCTTAAACTTTGTATCTTCGTAGCATTTTACTTTCGTTAACGTTGTAACTAATTAAAATACAAAAAGACTATTTGTTAGGAAACAAAACGCACGTTACATACTTTTACAGCTCTTTTCGGAGTTTCCATAATAACCGGTGGCAATATACCTTTCCAAAATGCTGCGAGTCCTTCGTTTATATACATTTTTCTCATACAGTCACGGATCCCTGCGATATTAGAAATATTAACAAAGAAATTACATCGATTAAAATTAAAAGCACGGATTAAGGGGGTTCATTTCTTTCGAATAATAAAAAAAATATTTCCAAACGCTCTTAGAACTAATTATTTTTTATTCATCAATGTTTTCTCAATGATTGTTTTTGTAAAATAGAACGAAACAATATTTAAAAACAACGTTTTCCCTTTTAAATTTCTACCAGTCCCATTGGTCCCCGTTTGTCCCCATTTTTCGTATTAAGGGGGCCTAAAGTCATTTTTTCGACCTGAAATGAAACCTATTAACACGGTTAACTTCAAATTTGAATATATCATAGATTAGTAAAAAAGTTGTTCTTCAGAAAGTCGCCATTTGTTTAATTTTTTAAACGAATGAAAAATTTTGAACTATATTGTTGGAATGCCAGCTGATAAAGTTTTATTAAATGTGTTGATAGAACAAATTATACAACTCCACCATTTTGGAAGTTAAAATAACAAATCTTGCACAAAACTAAAGTTAAAATATTGCTTAAAATATGCTGCAAAATCTCGCGGTGGCATTTAATAGTTACCTCAGGAAATAAATTTTAAATTCACTTGTTCAGTCAGCACCATTTAAGATTATAAAATTACCCCCTTTATCGTGCCTTGAATTCGTTGAAAATTTTAGAAAACAATTCTTTTAAAAATAAAGATATGAAGAAGTAAAAAATACAATGCCTGTATAATAAAGTGCATCCTGTGTTGCGACTTTAACTTGCAGTTGGAAACGTGTTTTAATAAGATCCATGGGGTGCATTATGCAAGCTTCTACAAAACCTGCACAACCTCCTGCGCCAATCTGAATTGCAGCCTCTTTAAGAAGACTAGGTTTACTCTGTACAATTTCTCTGTGAGACATATTATCTCATACAACTGCTATCGAGTATCTCTTGCCAACAAATTGTGGTACTCCTTTGAGAAACCCTCGATTTTGTTTATAGGAAATAAAACATCATTTCTTTCACAGCCTCTCTAATTTCAGTGCGATACCTAAAACGAACGTAGCCTTAATTTCATGACAAGACTAAAATTTTTGTATTGTTCGTGCAAGAACTCTCGGACTTTTTAATTATTCTGACTACATTTTTTTTAATAGTTTCGTACATGAACTCTCATTTCGATTTTCGGTTTAAACGATTAATAATTTTTTTTCGGGGTAAATTAATAGCGTAGGATGATGATTTGTTTAAAGGTTTAGGAATATGTAGTGCGAAGAAAAGCAGTTTTATTAAGATAATAAAGCAGGATACAAAGTAATTATATCTTTTTATGTATAGTTTATTGTCTAACAATTAGTTTTGGTAAACGTATGTCAATTAAAATTACGTAAAACCGTTAATTTGATACATCAGTATCTTAACGTATCGTGATTGTTAAAATAATTAAAATAATTTGCATGACGTTCATTTCATATTGGTTATATTTAATATATTTATATTGGTCCATATTTAAATAGTATGAACGTATGTCGACTTTAAACTTTATTTTTAGCTTGAAATTTCGAACCTTTGCGCACAAATTTCGTAAATATTTTTAAAGAATTCGAATGTTCGAATTTCAAAATGGAAAAAATTGTTAACTTTGTTAAATATTTTTTTAATACGAAGCGTGATAAGAAAAAACGTCCCATACAAAATTTATTTTTTTTCTTCCGTAAAATAAGAATCCATAAAAAAAATATAGCTCTCGTCGAGCAAGTTTTGATGTGCCTTTCTAGATTTTCATAAGACAGGTTAAACTTCGACTTAACGTGTTTGCATTTCCATGAGTCGACACAAAAATGTATCCAAGGCTGTCGATATGTCAGTAAGTAGTTTCTCATGCTGAATGAGAACCACTAGGACCGACCTACAGACCGATCTTTAAATGTTAATAACTTTTAAACGAAAGTCTCTATAAGCAAATTACTATTTTTGATTTTGGTCTTATTTTGCCCTCTAGAATCACTCCTTAAAATTTTTACATATGGTCGCCGAATACCAGTAAGTTTTTGCAAACTATTAATTACTCAAAGCCGAGATTTTAGATATCGGTCCTCTTCTTCCTCTCCCCTACCCCTTCAAAATTCGTAACTGTCGGTCACTGAGGCCTTTCGGAACTTTATCAAAAAATATACGTTTTTGTTTGAAAGAAAAAATTGACCTTCAAGTTATCTTAAAAATACAAAATGAATAAAAAACGAATAGTAGATAAACTTGTCAATGAATCGTCCAATTTAAATTTCAATGATTTTATTTGTTATAGAAATCGACATTTTGAACTTTGCCCTCTTCGATTTTTAGTTTCCAAGATTTTTCCTAGAAAAAAATCGATACTACTGCACTGAATATTGCTGTTTGACTACTATGTATTCAGTATACTTGCTTTGTTGCGATGATCGGCATCTTTTACGTTTATATAACAGGTGAACCTAACAATCAGATTTAATTTTTTTACGCATTATCCAAGCTGGCGTGATGTCGCTAGTTTTGCTCGGCGACGAACATAATTAACCCAAACTCACCCAATTACACAAAAACTCAAACTACTATACTGATTAGTCTGTTAAAATCCCGTGATTAGTATTATAAAATGTATTGGTACTATAATTTTTATTAATCGACAAATTTATCAAATGACATAGTTGTATTTACCTCTTTGACTATATAACTATAGGCTGCTAATGGTTAAGTTCAATGTGTCTGTTAACATCTCAGTTTTGTTGCACACAACTCAATATAGTTATAGAATGTGTCGTGGGTTATGTTGAACTAAAAGTACTATGACAGATTCACTGTAAAACATGCGTAAGACTGAATAGCGAACAATGTGTCACTGTTTCTTATATTTACATTTATAAAAAAAAAGTTTGGTACAGTTACAATATTCCAAAAAAGATAATGTATGCATATTATCAGTGACAGAGTAAATCATTAACTTGTACAGAATTAAAAATAAATTACAAAGAAACTATGTATCAACATATAGTTACAAGTACATTTTGCAACATTAATATAGGTGATATATTTACCCCTATCAATACGCACATCAAAGATTGCGATGTAATTTAAAATGATAAGTACTATTTACTTAGATTACTCGTCAAATTTTCTACAAAAGTAAAATTGCATTTCATTGAGAAACATGTAATACAAAATTTACAGACAGACTTTGTATGTCAAAAGTAACCAAAACCATTTTATTTTAAGGTTTAATATTTCTTTCATTATTATTATCTTGTTTTCTCTGCCAAAGATGGTTTTATAATGCCAAATGGAGACTTTGTTTCTCTATTGTTCTTTTGCAAATATGCATTTTATATTAGACAAAAACTGAAGAGTTTTCTAGTCAAAGTTTCTGCCTTGAAACATACAAATTTTGTATGGAACATTTTATTCTAAAATGCACTGTTTTTAAAATATATTGACTGTAACTTTCCAAATTTCGATTATTAGATATCCTTAAAAAAGATCATTATTTTTTGTGAAACCGCAAATTTCAGTAATTATACAAAAGCCATTATGTTAAAAATATAAATGCCACAGTGAAATTACAAAGTAGCCCAATATCTCTAGTTATATCAATAAAACGATAATTAAAAGCAAAAGTGATTTGAAACATTAACTGTAAATTCAATATTTACCATTTAAATTCAGTAATTGCCATACGTTCCAAAACCATAATAGTAATACAATGGTTAATTGTTGTTAATCTATAAAATACGCACAAATATCATCATATAAAATTCAATTTAAGAAAATAATTCTACAAATTCGAATTACAAAACAATTTCAATTGTAGATAATATTTCTACGATAAACAATATTCTCGTGAGAAGAAATTATTTATTTATTTCGACGCACACTACGTGGACCACGTTTTCGCTAGTTTCAATCAGCTTTTGGGAGTCTATTCGAAGGTTAAACAATCAAAGAAAACAAAATAGTTAAATGTCACGAACATTAATAAAATTCACAGGTTTGTGTTAATTGTATTAATTATTCAGCGAACAATAATATTAGTCACAACACTTTCGATAAGTATTTTTCGATCGAATCAATAAAGCAAAACGATAATTGTATCGGTTAGAGAAACAAGTGCAGATAACAAGGAATTCTTTGTTCACCTTCGCAATATTCTAACCGTACTCGAAACCTTGAATCGTTATCGCCGCCATTTTGTTATTTGATATTCGAAATCTTTTCAATTTCAAGTCTCAGTTGTATTGCCGATAGTCAAGCTAGCACGAAGCGTCGTTTTATTTTTCTTTACTCATTTTAATTTTTATTACGACTGAAATTTTCACATGGAGGTTAAGCGTAGAAAGGTTTGTTTCCACAACTTTAGTAATATTCATTCATAAGACCATTAAAATAGTTTTCACGAGACGCGTGATCACGTCCTCCTATTGCATAAACGATAAATGATTAGTCAATATAACCTATATTTAATAAAACACAATTCCCAATTCGGAGAATTTAATTTAACTAAAATTTTTGTATGAATTCGAAACATTTCCACTGTTATTATCCACTAGTTTAGATTTTATTAATAATCACTTTGGAAATCTTAGATCCTTTAATAACACACAAATATTTAATTACAGCGGGTGTAAAAAGTATTTGTGTAGTGATTAATTACGATTAAAATTTTAAATAATAATATTATTTAAATAAACATGATAGAAGATAAAGATCTACGGTACAAAAAATAATTGATAGATACAGAAAAACATTGCAAAATCGTGTAAGAAATGGACGGCCGCGAAAAATTTCTGAACGTAATGTTCGTACTAAAGATCGCAAAAGAGCTTAAAAATAATTTAACACATTCACGAGGGGCTGAACCACCGGTGGTACATTGTACATTGTACAAATTCAGGCCCGTCGCGTACGTGTTAAACATATTATACATTATCTCTTGCAAAATTAAGGTTATCATTCTAGAACAGCTCGATGAAAATATTACATGAATAAAAGATGAGATTAGAGTTTACGCAATGTTACGTAAAAACAATAATGGTGTTTTAGAAATAGGGTCATCATCATGGATAAGAGCAAATTTAACATTTTTGACCCTGATGGACACTTCTTGGTGTGAAGAAAAGAAAATGAAGAGTATAAACTTCAGAACTTACAACTGATAATGAAACATGGTGGTGATTTCATATTTGTTTGAGGCTGCATGAGTGCCGCAGGTGTGGGTGAATTAAATATCATAAATAATGGATCATAAGATGTATATAAATATTTTAAAAATGCCTCTTTGTTCAAGTGTTGAGAGAATGAATATTGAAAATGATTTTCTGTTCATACAAAGTAACGAGCCTAAGTATATTGCTTACAATATAAGAATGCGAATTGCATATAATATTCTAGCACATTTAAAAACACCCTTGCAATCACCAGATATTACTTCTATCGAGCATGTGTGAGATTACCAGAAACAAGCAATTCGAAAACAGACTTAAAAAATACCGTAACGAATGAATGGAATTATATCATTAATTCAATTACTAATTTAATTAGTTCAATAGCTAGATAAGTAGCTGTAATAATAAAATCAAAGGGAAACCCTACCAAATACTAATTATAAATATTAATTTTACAATTATTTGTTGCTTTTATTATACATTATTAAATTACTTGTACACTTCATAATGGTTACAGAGCTGTACAAATACTTATAACGCGTTCGTTTTTGCCATTTTTTCAATTTTTATTCATATTTATATGAACAATATGAATATTTTTTTATTTACTTGACATTGTTGTTCTGCAGGCTTTGAAAAATGCATGTAATGTGTTTATTTAAAACATATTGTTTAATAAACATTATTATTCAGAATTTTGGTCGTAATTAATTATTGTACGAATACTTTTTACACCCATTGTACGTAATTTTTTCTCTAAAAACAACGACTTCGATATTTAAATTAAGGTTTTGCGAATGTAATAGCGGCTATTTTCGAACTTCCGAGCTCAAGGAACTTTATTAATCGAAAGAAGGGTATTTTATCATGTTGGCAAGACGTTTGCCAAAACGTTAATTTATAATAATGATTAATCAATATAACCTATAATTATGAAAACACAATTCCCAATTTAGGGAATTTAATTCAACCAAAGTATTTTTACGTGCTGGAAACATTTCCATTATTATTATTCACTGATTTAGGTTTTAATAATAATTAGTTTGAAAGGACCCCACACAGATCTTATGGAAAATGGCCCCCGGTTAAATTAGCTAAACTTTTGATATGATGTAGGTCATGACAAAATAAAAAAACGCCAAAAAAGATAAAAAATGGTTTTCTTTTCTATTGTACAAACATGAAGCACCGTCGACATTAGCATTACTCGTATTTAAAAGATTGCCATTCGATTATTTGGCATGCCTTTGATGACGAGAAAATCCTAAAAACCTCAAAACACTTGCAATATGTGTGCATGTACCCAATGTTTTGGCACCGGATTGACAGATGCAGTGGTAACCATTTATTACTTCCTCTTCTAGTTCCAGTCCATTTTTGGGAATGTGAGAAATAAGAACTTGATGTTAGGTACGGTTCCGAAATCGTGAATAAACTTTTAGTCTTCTAAAGCTGTTATCTACCAACGAAGTGTCAATCTGCGCTAATAGAGGGCATCAAGAAAATATGAATATTGAAATTGTTATGGACAAATAGAGAGAACTATAAAAACGGTCCTCTTCAGGGCCATATGGTGTGCAAAATCCGATCGAACAATCTCCTCGTGGTGCACACTGGGTAATGCTAATGTCGACGGTGCTTCGTGTTTGTACAATGAAAAAAAGAACCATTTTGTACCTTTTTGGCGGTTTTTTGTTTTGACTCCTGAAGGGCAGTCAGAGGGTCAGGGGGTCAAGGGGGTAATATTTAAGGGCCCACAGGGTCACAACAGTGCTTCTTACACTCAAATATGCTCAAACGTGGTGGTCTAGAATAAGACGCACTATTATTGTCTGTTGATCCCCCGTATTTCGGAAACTGTTTAATTTACGAGCTTGGACCCATTGGAACTTTTCATCAAGCCATCATGAACTACATCGTATCAAAAGTTCAGCTAATTTAACCGGGGGCCATTTTCCATAAGATCTGTGCGGGGTCCTTTTCGGAGATCCTTTGACAAACACTGATTTAATTACGTAATTACTCTTAGAAAAATTGAACAGTCACTTCGATATCTAAATTTACTCTGCGAGTGCAATGGCGGTTACTTTTGAACTTTTGAATTAGAGGAATTTGCTGATAGTCAATTTTAAATTGCAAGGAGAAGGGAATTTCATTACGTTGGCAGCATGTTCATCATTTTATTCGAAATTAGTGTTTAATCTGTAATAGAAAAATTCAAATCGTAATCGTTTTATGATAATAACTTATGATTTTATTTAGGATTAAATATTCTATTGCTTCAAATTCCATTTTTGGATGATAATTTTATCTACAAATTATATAAATATTTATACACGAATATTTTTAAATAATTAGTATGTGTAAGTTCCAATTTAATAAAATTTTGAACGAAAGAAACAGAAAATCAAAAATTTTGTTGAAGTGATTGGAATTTCAAAATTAATGAGTTTATTTTAAATATATGTATTATAATTTTAGTACTTTTTATTAATCGATATTGATTTTTCATAATATTCTCAATATAAATAATAATAATATTTATGTATTTAATTATACATATAAATACTGTATCGAAAGTTCAGTATACTTGTTATGTTAATTCTGTTATAGATTCGCTCTCCTCTAAAGTGTGTGATGTTATTGTTTATATTCTTTAGCATTTTTACGAGAAAATCAAGTCGTAGTTTGTAACAGCAATTTGTTTTATAATTTAGATGCGATATATTCCAGTAAGTTGAAAATACAACCTATTTTGTATATCGAATCAAATAATTTTAAATATTTTATAATTTTATAATTTGAGGTTATCTAAATTTTATCAATATTTATTCCCATCACATAGTAATACATTGAACCAAACTATAAATGGCATAAATATTTCGGTAGTTCAGAAATTATTTAACAATGAAAATAAACAATCTAAAAGTTAATACTTTCGATGATATTTTGAGATTAGCAGTGAAAATTATTTCTGTGAAAGAATTCACATTTAAGTATTTCGTTTATCAAATGTTTTTCAAGTGTCATAATTGCATTTTTAGTTGCAAGGAAACAATGAAAATCTCCATAAAGAAGACCACAGGTTGCGTTCAAAGAAAGGTCATCCGGGCAGAAAATACCTTATGGTCGTTGCCTTGCTGGGATTTCTCGTTTTGGGCCACATAGCAATAGCGTATGGATTTACATTTATCTATATTTACTTTTTTATCCAGTCACTAACTACTTTGTAGTCTTTTTCACATATTAAACAAAGTTTGTTATACATTAGTCCATGAAACTTTGATGAAACAATTTGCTAAAGCCAGAAATATTCAATATTTCAATATCACTTGTCAGTTTTTATTTGGCAAGGTTAATCAAATGAAAAATTGAAAATGTTTTATCATTTGTTGTTGAAAGAATTATCTTGTACAGTACTGTGAGTAGACCAAACATTGTTCAAAGGCTATTGGAGATTATGTAAGCACTTACTAGTTTAAAAGTGTTCGTAAAAGTTTATTTCTGATGAAAAGACATGTCACACATGTCAAGATGATTTTGTTTCAAATTCTTCAGTTTTTCAGCATAGAAGAACATTTCTTCTTGCAAAATGCAAAACTTCCATAAGATTAGCATTGACGATTTTTTCAATTTCAGGTACGATCTACAGCCAATTCGTCTGGGTAGTAAGGCAATTGACACACTGGCTTCATCCTTCAACCTGCATAAGCCATTTTATGTTGTTGTGATCGATGCAGGGTCAACTGGGAGTCGTGCATTAGCCTTTACTTTCCACGAATCAATTCTTGGTGGTAATTTGGTACTGGACGATGAATTGTACACAGAAACCAAACCAGGCCTCAGTGCGTACACAGGGAATCCCAAAGATGCTGCAAAGTCCTTAACAGTGTTATTGGACAAAGTCAAATCTGTTATTCCGCGTTCAGAATGGCAGCATACTCCTCTCAGCATGAGAGCCACTGCTGGGTTGAGGCTTCTTCCTGGACACGAAGCTCAAGACATACTCCAGGAATGCAGGAAGTTGTTCGAGGACTCTAATTTCCAAGTATGTTGACAATAACACGTTCCTAGTATCGTTCGACGCAGCGTTATTTCGGTTTAGGTTTCGAAGAACTCAATTTCGATAATGGATGGAAAGGATGAGGGCATTTTTTCTTGGTTCACCGTCAATTTTTTGTTGGAACGGTTCAATACGCACAATTCTGGTAATACGGTCGCTGCTCTGGACCTTGGAGGAGGCTCCACGCAAGTCACTTTCTCTCCCGATGCCACGCAGGTTCGAATTATTTAATAGTAAACAAAATAGTAGAGTGGAGTCGTGTTGTATCGTCGTTAACGGGTCTAAAAGAGAGTTAAATTCATAGAAATAACGATATACTGAAAGTTTAATAGGAAAATTCCATAACACTGTGGATGAAGGAGAGAAAATATGTATCTACGTGAAAATGCGATTAGAATTTGTTCAAATTTGAAATTCACGTTTAAATTTGTATAAAATTGCAAGATTCAAGTTTCTACGACCCAGGCTCGTTACGTTTCCACGTGGATTCTATCACAGTAGTTGGGAAATAATTCACAATCACTGTCTAATCTATCATTAATATTTAATGTACATTTATCCACAGTGTCGTGTATTGTTAATATTTAACGTACATCTATCTACAGTATTCTACTCATTGGCGCCCTTCGAAAGAGTGTCCATGTCTTATTAAAAAATAGGAATGCGATAGTTTTTACGCTATAAAACCGTAAATACGTAAAAATCTGTTGCAACGATTGAACAAATTACTTATAGGAGAAGCAGTTGGACGGGCAGATATATCACGTAAACATCTTTAATCATAACATGAGTGTTTACACGCACAGTTACTTGGGTATGGGCTTAATGGCTGCCAGAAAAGAGATCCTGACCCACGGGATGAACCTGGACAATGTGAATCCGAAAGAAAAGATCGAAGTACGATCAGAGTGTATAAACCCTATCATAGTTGATACAAAGTGGAATTACGGAGGCCGCACTTATTCAATCAACGGTCCCGTCAATGAGATGCATAAATTGGTGAAGACACAAAATTTTGCCGGCGGGGAAGCTGATAGGCCAATCGTTAACTTCTCAGAATGCTTAAAAATTGTTGAGAAATACGTCGGTAGGATTAAAAAAAATAAACCTGTGGGTTTGAAGGACCACGAAATCTTTGCGTTCTCATACTACTTCGATCGTGCCACTGAGGTAAATCATTAACACTATATTTAATAACTTAAGAGTAAATGTATTACAGTTCGAATATTTTTTTAGTAAACTAAATATATTTCAGAATTTACACGTTGTATAAATTATCTGGTTTAGTTAGAAGCAAATTCTCATAAAGGAAACACAATTTTGTATTATAGTACTTGTCTTTTTTAAAAACAAGGCACTTTAATCACTCTATCAGAAGTAGATAGATGCTAGTTAGTGGTTTCAGTATTAATAATAGTTTTCTAACTACTTATTTACTAGTTCTAGTGTATACTATTGACGTAAAATAACGAACGGAAGATTAGACGATACCAAGTGACGAATGATTTCAGGTTGGTCTAGTCGATCCTTTCAAAGGAGGAGTGATCCAAGTGAGCGCGTTTCTGAAACAGGTGAAAGATGCCTGCGATTATCCAAACACCGATCAGCCCTTCGTTTGTCTGGATTTAACATTCATTTATGTTTTGCTTCATAACGGATTTGACTTGGAACCTACTACAAAGCTATATGTAAGATTATACTACATTTATTCATTTATAGTAGTTTATAGAATTCTGGTTGCCATTGTTACAGTATACTTTATTAAAACAGTTAATAATTAGAAAGGGGTCATTGAAAATATTGGGTCAATAAGAAAGTCTTGCAACAGTTACAACCGATTGGGTTGAAACTTTTATTGTTTATTGTGCCGCTAATTCGCGAAATCGATTAACTTCACAAAAGGAAAAGTTAAGAATTTGATCCCCGGATTATACAAATTCCTGATCATAAGATAAACAACTCATTTATTGCAATAGTGATACAACTCAAAAAGATGCAGCTTTGTAAATTTAAACTGTTTACTAACTTGCTTTATGGCCGTTAATGAGTGTTACAAACAGTAAAAAATTTTTTAACGATGAGAGATAAGTAAAAATTATACATTATTAGAAATTGAGGAATAGGAAAACTTTAATCAGATATATACTGAGTCACTCTCAACGTTAGTTGTAATTGCACTACCAAAAATTAAATCTAGGAGGGAGTAGGAATGATGAGCTTGTCTGTAATAATTACTTGAATAAAAAATAGACGATCGAGCTCTCCAATCGCAATCTAACACATTGCAAGATTCTCTTTAACGACCCAATATTTTAATTCAATTCTGAATTTAAACTGTCTCTTACTCTCCAGAATAATACTTTGTTTATTTTGTTCAATAGCTTTATAAAAGAATTAATGGACACGAGCTGAGTTGGGCCCTTGGCGCAGCCTTCAGCATTATCCAAAACGGTCTTTAACCCTCCCGAATTATAGATAAACGAATTACAAATATTTTTACACAATATTGGAGGAACTGTTAAAATTTACTATTTTACTATAAAATCATTTAGCTGGAAACTGTTGATTTGTTAACAAGTTCATTGTTCTTAGTGCAACATTGCCCATTTGCTCAATTATTAAATGCCATCTCGTTTAATTTACGTTAGTTCAAACGTGGTATTTTCAGCAATGGAATAATTAAAAACGATTAATATATTCAAAACTTCCTAATTAGAGATTCTTATGATTCTTAATTGAACAATGTTCTTGGTTGTATAGAATACAATACATATGTGTGTACAAATACCGGGATTAGTCATATCTCTTTTGTGATAGAAAGTAGGATAAAATGATATTCGTGGAAAACAAAATCGAATTATTTAGGGCCGTTTTGAAACTATTTTACGTACAATCATAAGCAACTCACTCGACGGCAGTAAGTTAATTTTGAACAGATTTTGTTCAAATATCTTTGCAAAGTAAAGTTCATGGGGTCATATTTTAAAGCTAAGACAAATACTTTGTTTATGCCTTACACAAAAATTCTAAATCTTATTTTTTTTAAATCGATTCCCGATCAAATATTTTTGATTCCAAAACAACCATGTTTTTAAATGTAGGTAGTTTTCTATTTAAAGATTTATAGGAAGCAATTGTTTATTTTTAAAAAGGACTTTATTTAGTATATTCAGAATTTTCGATGTTTTTATAAGATTTAGAATGTCGTAACGAAGAAGTACAGTGTTCTCTCGTTAAATATACGAAGGCACCTTACGTTAAATGTACAAATTTTATCTCCACTACTAGAGGGATCCTCCTTAGAGACACTGAAGCGATTAATACGACAGCACCGATGCTCTCGGTCGCCGAATAATGTAACACGATCAGGTGTCGAGTATCTGCGAGACAATATTAAAAAAAGCAACGTTTCTTTATTTTTCATTTTCTTATCGTTACAATTTTTTTTAACATATTCATGGCATTTATGTTATTAAAATGATACGAAACTCGTCAAACCCAAGATTTACGAAGAACAGACGTAGTCATTTCGAACGTTCCAAAATACATTCTTATTTTTATTCTTTTAACTGAAAATGAAATTCGTCTCTGCATTACGATAAATATAATTAAAAACAATACTGTCGTTGGCTTTAAATCGTATTACACTATTCGAGGCCGAGTTCGATCCTTAGTGTCTTTTCGTCTTTCGCTTTCTCTCTCTTTCCGTGTTCTCCTAAATGTGCCTCTTTAGTTCCAAGTAACGCATATTTAACGCGGGAACACTGTATATTTCTTTAACATGTAATTTTTGTAAATTACTATTCTTCGTTTAGTAAATGAAACATAATGTCTCGTGTTTCTTGATAAGAAATTGATTTGTGTCAACATTTTATACTCGAACATTGTAATTCTGGATTGTTAGCAAAACGTTTGCCTAAATATATTTGTATCATAATTATTACATCTTATATATTTTTACATTAAAATATAAGTAGTACGATGTGCTGTCATTTAATGCGGTGTCAACATTTTCCTATTGTATGCTCCTGAATTTTCCTTTCCACCATCCGATGATAGTCATACTGCCATTTAACGCAGACTTATTGCGACAAAATTGATTGCAGCATGATTCTATCATTGGGTCGCTTTTGGCTTTGCTGTTTAAAATTTTATAGATCAGGTATTTAGGCACAAAGAGTGCCTAAACCCTTTACTATATGTATGTATCAACTAACAGGGATAATAATTTAAGACGTTCACCGCCAGATCAAACTCGTATAATATTCTGCACAAGTAAAATTTTGATTTTAGACCATTGTAAACTACATAACCTAAAATTTGTTTCAGTACTTATTTTCGTAACCTTTATGTTTGATCTAAAATAGCATACGTAGCCATGTATCAATCGGATTATAATTCGTGCAGGTAATTAATTATTAGAAACACTATGGAACTCTGATTTAATTTTATTTAAATTATGATTTTTCAGGCGCTTCCAATAATCCGATGATAAAATGTTCTCGACAAAAGTTGCTCAGTTTTTACTTGGTTACAAATTCTAATGTAAGAAATTTCAATAGCAATATTTTTTCGCTGAAGGTCAAGGTCACCTTGACTTGTTTTAAACGGTACTCTATATTTTTGATTTCGTAACGCTGTTACTATACCGTGGCCTTAAGGTAACCTTGATTTCAGAAATTTAGGTTTAATCAACAAAAATGTTAACATGGACGAGCAAAGACTTCTATATCCTAGAATTTCTTTTATAATTTGATTAAGTAGACCAACATTCGTATGAAGTATAGTATATTTGACGTAGACGAGATGAATAGAGAAACTGTGCCATGATTAAGGAATCATTTCATTCATTACAACCTGCCTAATAATGTTTAAAACAATGCGGAATAATTCACGGATTTATTCACTGTGTACTCATTGACTATTGAAATTAATTAAGAATTATCTTTGTTTCATATACGAGTTTCTCTTTACAGGATCGTAGTAATAAACTGTTCACTAATATTCTAAATATATTATTTTAACTTATAGTAAATTAAAGGCTGAATTTTAAGTAAATCCAATTTAAAATTGAATTCCTAAATCTCGAAAGTGAATTCGAAACCGGACACGTTCGTAATTAGACTTAGAAATAATTAATCGATTGGAATTCGATCGAACTAATCGATATTCTATCCGATCGCGCAATTACACGCGATCCTCCTGTTTGTAAATGGCGGTTAAGAAAAAGGAAAGTAGTGAAACGCAATTGGTATTTTGCTATTATGCAGCTTATCGGCTCGTTCGGGAACGTTTATTGGCCTTTTGACCTTAGCTTTCACTCGATTAGGTCCTTTTCTTCCTTGTTTCACTGCTCACGCATACAAGTCGCATCCAACCACGCCAACTCTCTCGCCTTTGATCATTCTTATCGATTTCGTATCTATCATTTATTCTTATTATATTATTGCACAACAAACCGTCATTATACAACCGGTTATCCAACAAACTATTAAATCGAGTAATAAGTTCGTTCAATTTTTCAGCAGAACACCATTATATAAATATACACATACATATACATATAGTATATATTGTAAATGAATGGTGCAAAAATAACTACCCTTGTTAATTTATTATTTAATTAGGAATTATGTACTGTAGTGTTTTTCTATATATATTATAAAATTTGTATATGCACAATTTTAAATAACTATCGTACAAAAAATATTTTTTAATTTTGATCTTCAGAAAATGAAACATAAAGCATTGACGAAACGATATTTATAATTAATAAACAATTATAACAATTTTATCAACCAGAGTTCCAAACTTGTCCGCAAGATGGCACTTGTGTCTCTTTTATGTTTATTACATTTAAAAAACAGACCCATTTGAATTATTAATGAATTTAGAATATTTAGAAAGTAACTTTTGATAAATATGTTTCTTAGAACCTATTTTTTTCCTTGTATTACTAGTTTAGTAAGTGATTTGTTTATAAGTTCATTAATAGTTTTTAGTTTCTGAAAAATGTAGACGTTTCGTTTTTATAGCTAGTTTAATATAAGCAATAATTATGAGAGGAGAAATTACACACTATATATAAAAAAAAAATTGTTTCTAATAATCCGACTTCCAATTATTAATTCTGCAGGTTCGAAATCAAACTTCTTTATTTTGTTATAACATGTATTTGATGCATATTGTCGATATATGTAGAACGAATTTTTATTAATTTTCATTTTTGAACTTTTCTTTTGATTTATATTTTGAACTTGTATTTTGATTTATAAATTCAAAGGCTTGTGTCGTATTTTTTGCGCGCGGAAACAATTGGTACAAAATAGTCAAGGTCAAAGTAACGTATCGTGAAAGAAGATAGCTGCCTCGCAGAACAAGGAACGAAAGAACGAAATTTGTTCCGATTTTTGGAAGGAGGTCGTTGAATGACCTTTCCAGAGGCGCAGTAGCAGGAAGACGAAAAGGGTGTTCGCGTGAAAGTTGCCTCTTGGCAGACGTTCTCTCCTCCCCCTCCCTTCTCCTAGTTTTCCAGGGTTTCTCAGGCAAGATTTCTTACGAGAGCATCTCAGCTACGTAAGAACGTGAGAGAGAGCTCGCTTTCGTTTCCTTCTTCTTCCTTTCCCGCTTTCCCCTCGATTCATACTCCCCCCAGCGATCCTTTTTCCACCATCTTCTTTTATTCACCGATTATTGTAACACTGACCAATTTTCTTTCGTCGATTTAACGCTCTGTTACCCTAAAGTGAGGTTAAGGGACACTAGGGACAGTTTATCACAAATATGGTACACAATGTTTATGTTCTTTCAAGCTTTTTTTGGGGGGGAATATAAAAATTGATGGACTATATCTAAATGGAATTATGAACTTGTAAACGTCAGGTTTGTTTTTTTTCTATAACTTTGTGAGATATTTAGGGTTAGAATAGGTTAGGAAGATAGTGAATGGGCTCTCTGTATAAAATTTGTGAAAATGAAGAAGACGATAAGTGTAACGCATCGTTGAATCGGACAACGTGCAGACGGGTTGCGGAAAAGATCGATCGTCCGTGTAAGAGGAAGGCGTCGATTTCCGCGTCGTCTTCGGGAAAGGTGTCGTGACGCAAGCCAAACTTTCACTATTCTCGAGTAGTCACTAATCAAGATGAAGACGATTGCTAGATACTTCTTCGCTGAGAAACCTCACAAACAACGTCCTCGAGGTCGAGTCTCCGTCATTTCCTCATCTGGATATCAACACTTTTGTCAGTTATCCTTTTATCAATTGCCGTTTCACCGATTACAGCTCGTGCACGCGTCCTATCGATACGTTGTCGTTGCCTGCCATACAAAACGCGTAAAATTTTACTGTGAGACTAAATTTGATTTATAGGTAATTGTGAATTACATTATCTAAAATTTGTCCTAGTACTTACTATTGTAGCATGATTAAAATTCATGAATTTTGTTTACATAAATATTTCTTTTAATGTCGAATAGGTAGACAAATATTTCAGTGAAATTAAAATATTTCAAATCATTCTGGAAAAATTATTTTCGGTTGCGGGGGTCAATTACAATCATTTTTGGTCAATAGACATATTCCCGAAATCCAACGTGCTTTCGAGAAAAAAATTCGAACAGGTAGACAAATTTTTCAGCGAAATTAAAATATTTCAAATCATTCTAGAAAAATTATTTTCGGTTGCGGGGGTCAATTACAATGATTTTTGGTCAACAGACATACCCCCGAAATCCTACGCACTTTCGAGAAAAAAATTCGAATAGGTAGACAAATTTTTCGGCGAAATTAAAATATTTGAAATCATTCTGAAAAAATTATTTCCGGTTGCGGGGGTCGATTACAATCATTTTTGGTCAATAGACATATCCCCGAAATCCTACGCACTTTCGAGAAAAAAATTCAGGAAGATGCAGACATTTTTCAGCGAAATTAAAATATTTCAAATCATTCTGGAAAAATTATTTCCGGTTGCGGGGGTCAATTACAATCATTTTTGGTCAATAGACATACCCCCGAAATCCTACGCACTTTCGAGAAAAAAATTCTTTTCCGAAAATATAATGTGAGGTTAGAAATGTTTCCCTGAAAGATCATGCGTATGTTTAAAACATCATAACTTCTGGACGAATTGAAGGGTTTTGAATGTTTCAAAATGCAAATAATGCGTATTAATGGGGCTTTAGAGCCTCAGAAAAATGGTCCGAAAAGATACATTGGATGTAAGGTCTGTTCGTATATCTCGTCTGTGGTCCTCGCTTACAAAACTGTAAGAGTGTCGATACGTAAGTAGAGTTTCTCATGTTGAATGAGAACCACTATCGTGCGCACACAGCTGTTCGCAGATTGCCGTTCTACAAACGGAACTTTAAACGTTAATAACTTTTCAACGAAGCCTTTATCAACAAATTGGTATTCATGATTTACGTCTTATTTTGGCTTCTAGAATCTCCCATTAAAATTTTTCCGTAAGATGGCCGAACACCCTGCATAATTAAATGTATTTTTTTTTTTGGTTAAATTTTCAATTTTTGTATCTAGCGATAAGTTCTGGATTTTTTTTACGTATAATGATAAATATTAATAATAATATATCGGGTGTCCTGTACTTTAACGGCGACATTTTAATAACTATATGACGTTTGCTTGTAAGTAATGTATTACAAACTTATAGGCAAAAACGTACATGACATTCCATAATATGTGAACATTTTTAATCATTTTTATATGTTTTAAAAATGATCACTTCCTATATTCTTCATTAACAATATTCTCAGCATTTTAATATTATTATATGCGGCTACGATAATCGAAAAGCGACTGCTGTGGTCAGAATGAATTAATGGCAGACAAGAAATATCGTGAAAGTAGAAACAAAATAAACACGGGTAACTTTTCATATTATGAAACTTCGAATATGATTCTATATACATACATATTCAGGCTACACTAAATATTTGTCTACAACTTGATAATAAAACATTTACAAATAAACTTCATGTAACATTGTTTTCTTATTTTTAGTTCTGGATTACTCTCCCAAAATAGTGCCGTTAAAGTATTTTTATATCATTCTTTTATGTACTAACTAAAATTATTTTATGTAAAAGTCAACATGCGTTTTCACATTTAAGATCTAATTGGTTTAAATAGATTAAAAAAAAGAAAAATTTGAAACTGTTTTAATATAATGATGAAACATTAATTATAAATATCTAAAAACCCATTCAATTTTTGCCCTTATGATACTATATTTTCATAAACAGTAGGATCAAAATCTGCCAAAATTGCCATTAAAGTCTTGTGCTCTCGTTAGAAACAGTTTCTTTGGAATACGTTGTAGGAAGGGGTGAAAGAGAAGTAGACCATAATTTTATGTAAAAATACATAAAAAAAGCTTTATTTCGCCACCGTTTTCTTGCAAAAAATAACGTATAAAAAAACTTTTAATCCTAGTCGTCGTCGTCGTCGTCTTATTCCTAACAACCGTTGGAATCATCATTATCATCATCATCATCATCATCATGATCATCATAGTCGTGGTCGTCGTCACGTTCATCCATGTGATCGTGGCTGTTCTCACGTAAGTCGTAATAATCGCGCAACTCCAAATCGCGAGCAGGACCGGCGTCGTCCCATTTGGCGTCGGGACCGTCGCGGCGCCCGTAATCCTGCTCGTCGCCACGGTCGTCGTTCGCGTAGGATCACAGAAAATGGCGTCCAATTGGATCGCCGTTGAGCCATGGCCGGAGCCGTGGCCGAAGCCGTGATTGCGTGTGTGTCGCAGAATGTGGAAGTGGGGCCGATTGCGGGTAAAGAAGGCTCTGTGGGGTTTCGACGGGCAGTTTGTGTGACTAGTAAGGCCCTGACCCACCGGGTGGTCCGTAGTTTGAGCTGGGTCCGCTCGGTCCGCTGCCTCCAATGCCGATTCCGCCGCCACCGTGCCCATCCAGACCGCCGCCATGTCCTCCACCCACGCCTCCACCGATTCCACCTCCGAGTCCTCCGCCGGTTCCTCCGCCGATTCCACCTCCGATTCCACCTCCGATTCCTCCACCGATTCCTCCGCCGATTCCTCCGCCGATTCCTCCACCGATTCCTCCGCCTCCGGACGTGACTTCCTTCTGCAATTTGTAAATAGGAAATGATTAGGGGTATGATAAAGTAAATTTGAACTAATTATTTTTAGATTCATTCGAGTTAACTACGGGGAACAATCTTTTAGGATTACTATTTCGGAAAATGTCTAGAGATGCCCACTGTGTTTAGACATTTGTAGTTTTGAAGTTTCGATAACGATGGCTTGGAATGATTCAATTTTTGTCAATTATGTATGATTTGTAGAACCATTCTTTATAGTCTCAGGCAACAGTAGTTCTAAAGTAAGGATCCTAGCTTCCTTGCAATAGTGATTTTAAAATATGAATCCTTCAATGTTTTTTCATTACTGTGGGACTTATCCTGCATCTATTATTATCGGCAATGCTCTCTACACGAAGCTAAAGGTTAATTAAAATATCTAACAGCTATTGAGAGCACCGGAATCATAATTTAAACAACTATGTCGTTATTAAGTCCAAACCTTACTATACTACTTTATGACACTAGTTAGGTCATTTATTAGCTATTAAGAGCATCGGGGTCATATTTTAAAGGAGTGTGTCATTATTAAATCAACGCTTACAGTTACTATACTACTATAAGAGTTTAGTTAGGACATCCGTCGGTTATTATGGGCATTAGAACCACATGATTCTAACCCGCCACAGTCAATAACGTACCTCCTATCGTACAACAGATCCATTGTAATTAACCGAACTTTCTTAGACTACAGAATACTAAAATCCATTTAGCACTGAATCGTCAATAGAAAACCATATCTACTCGCGATTTCGTGTGGCGCGACAATGCAACACTAAGGTTTCCCGACGATGATTTTAATTTTTCTTGCAACAAGTAACAGTACAATTTTACTAACAAAACTAAAAAGTTCCCTTCTTATCCTAATATTCTCGTCAAAGCATAGTGCAAATAGTTAATCTAAGTCAAAGGTTTCTAGTGTTACTAATTTCCTATTAACTGGTCAAGACTAACTATATCCTCTGTTTTTCACCAGATATAAAAACAATGAAGATTTTCTGCACGTTGAATAGCACACAATTCTAAGTCAAAAGGTTCAGTGTCTTCTATGGGGAATTTTTTTCCTTCGGTGTGTCGATTTGGAACCCTCCTTTGATATTGTATCAACAATGGGTCACCGATGGCGCTAATGTAGAGCCTGTGGCATAGTCGATTCTAGTATGAGCCATATTGAGAGAGAGGCAATAAATCTGTGAGAATCTGATTTTGCACTGCATAGATAAAGACGCACAAATGCTGCGAACTCTTCCTGGAAAGAGCAAAATCAAACACTTGCGGTTTTATTATTTCTCATTCTTTTATGGTGTAATCTATCGATCTGTTCTATAATATAAAGCTTCACTCTCCTCATAGGTGGCGCTGCGATTCGTTCTTTGGGATACCTCCCTGCGCGCGTTACGTTATCGTAGAGGTTAAAGTAAATAAAAATGTCACGCTACATCGGATCCTCCTCTAAGAAAAAGACTTGGAGGGGGAACAGAGAGATACTGCGATATGTTCTTTATGACGCTAGCCACCGGTTTATAAAAGAAAAAGTAAGTAGAGTTTTCCCCAAGAATCACGTACCTGCGTCTTGTATTTGATAAAGTAAACTTCCGGTTTGCTGGGTTGCGTGGGCGCTATGGTTGGGAGACTGATCTCTGGCGCTTCTTCAGGCTTCTTGACCAGCACGTAGATCAGGGTCTTCTGCTCGTCCTGTTGAGGAAGTGCAGGGATCACTGGGGCGGTGGGGGTGGGTGGAGTGGGCGCTTTGATGAAAATAATCTTGTAGTGCTTCTGGGCAGGCGCGGGCGGTGCTATGGGTCTCAGAGGCCTGTCTTCCGGCGCCTCTGGAGGCGGCACGTGGACGTAGATGTGCTTCTGAATGAGGGATCCGCCGCCTCCGAAGCCGCCTCCGCCACCGCCACCGCCCCCGGCTCCGCCACCGAAGCCTCCACCGAAGCCTCCGCCGAATCCTCCACCCAGTCCTCCGCCCAATCCTCCGCCAAGACCACCACCGAGTCCTCCACCGAGTCCTCCACCCAGGCCTCCACCTAGGCCACCACCGAGTCCTCCGCCAAGACCTCCGCCATGTCCTCCGCCAAGTCCTCCGCCGAGTCCTCCGCCGAGTCCACCTCCACCGGTTCCCCCAGGCGCTCCGTAACTAGAGCTGGGCTGGGAGTAAGAGTATCCGGCTTCTGGTCGCGCCATTGCTGAGGCGGCGAGCACCACGATCTTCAAACAGAAAGAGAGGGGAAGCATGTAGTTTTGAACATTATTATATTAACAGAAACATTATTTGATAACGGGATGGAGGATGTTAGGTAGATGCCTCTTCTAACACGTTCACTACCAGATGAAAACTGTATAATATTCTGCAAGATTAAAATTTTGATTTCACACCATTGTAAACTACATAACCTAAAATGGTTCCAGTACTTATTTTCGTAACCTTATTAAAAGTCACAAATTCTATTCAAATTTATTCCCCTCAACATCTTAACTTGAGAATTCATTTTTCTAGTATAATAATGGTAAGTCCTGACACCCATATATGGGTGATGTGGCAGTCAAAGTGTGAAGCTTGGCAGGCGTTAGAAAATGGTCATCAACAGATTGGAGGAGTAGAAAATCAAAACCTTTTGAGACATTCGCTTTTCAGAGTCTCTATGTAAGTAATAATAATGTAATAATTTTGCAGTGCAATGAATAATGACAATGATATATTAAAGAAAAATAACAAATATAGTATAATGTTATTAACATTGCAATGCAATATAAATTTCGTAATAATGTAATCGTATAATTATTTGACCAATATAGGAAAGGAAACCCTTCCAAAAGTCAGAAACGACGAAATTTGGGAAGATTGGATAAAATGGCTGGTAGGAACCCCCCAAGTCGAAATTTAATTTTCGAACAATGTTTAATGGGAGAAGGTAGTCAGAATTGTCCAGGAAAATTTAATTCGTTTTCAGTGATTTAAGTCGGTCGTTCGTAATAGTGTACGGCAATACGGTAATCAGGTGCATTGGCACGATCGTATAATTGCATCTGTTTCTTCCTCCGGGTCGTCATCGGACCCCACTCTCTCCACTTTCTCCAGTATCATCTCCCTTTCCATTCTTTCCTTCGCTCCCTCGAGCCACGCTGTAAACACTCGGAGCTTTCACACGGTCACCATTACTCTGCTATTTTTAATCTCGAACCGTTCGACGATCAACACAATCTTCAAAGAACCCCAAAGATCGAATCACTGTTAAATGAATCCTTGCAATTCGGGACAAGCTTCGAACCAACGTTTCGTTTAACGATTTTAAAACTAAAACAGGCGGTGTTGTAAATTTTATATTTGGAAAAACTAAATTTTTTCGAAGTATCCAATCCATTGTTTTGAAGCCATTTCACAGTATTTAAATGCAAAATTTGAAAGATTCTAGTCTTATCCAAAAGTTAATCTTTGAATTACAATGGCGCCAAAGGAATCACTGAGTCTAACAGAAAATTCTATCAAACGTAAAAAACCGTTCGCGAAAACGCGAAACAGCTTTGAAATAAAAAATTAGGAAACTAAGTTTTGAAAAGTTTCTCGTCAAAGAAAAGTCAAAGACCCCCGGTGCAGCGATCGAAGAACCATAAAACATCCGCACTGACTCAACCACGAGGATTTGCCAACGAAACGAAAGTAGTGAGATCGAAGGAGAAAGGAATTGTCGAGATTCGGGGGCCTACGGGGTCATCCTCGGCGTGGGTAGGAAGAAATAGGAAAGCAGGATGAAAGTTGGTCGAGTTGGATGGCTCGGTTGGCACCGGTAACACGGAAAGGAAAAGTTGCAGATCGGAGGAAAGGGAATAGCTTCAAAGACGAGAGATGTGTTTTCAAACTCACCATGAATGCCCTCATGGTTACTGCTGATCCTGGATTTGAGGACTGATGCTCCGCGGATGCCACGATGCCCCTTTTATAGCAGGCATAGCCCCACTCGCATCTCGACCCATCACCTATGCTGATGAGACCGCGTTGCGAATCTCTTTCTCTCCCTCCTCTGCCTCCGCCATCGTCTATTCTTCGTCCTTTTCATTTTTGCTCCTTTCAACCAACCACCGAACTTGACTCACAACCCTTTCGATACCAGGAAGTGTCGTCCCTGAACCGTACACTCCACCCTCGAGGAAATGCAACACGACGAAAGACGATAATCGATACAACTTTTCGACAATCGATGACTTTCTAAAACTGTCCGATATACCTTGCAACGGAGCCTCGCTATTCTGACGTGCCGGAGACACGAATTTACGCGTTTGCGCAACACCTAACACCGCCATTATGATTTTTCTAGACCCAACAGCGGTGTTCATTCAATTTTGTTCGCCTGGAACATAAAATTAGAGAACTTTGAAATTCTTCGAGGGCCATCTTCTTGTTCAAATCGCTCTGGTGTCGCCATTTCTAAGAGTTTCTTGACTCCAGGGCCACCATTTCTAATTAATAAACAGACGATGGCCGTGCAAATACTTATAGAAGACAAATACTTCTAGAAATTCTTATAGAAGATTGGTACCTGGATTGGAATTTCGTTATGGAGGATTCTAATACGAATTTAAATGTTTGGGTATTACATAGGACTGCTGTTACAACTTACAATAACTTACAATAAATTTAACATTTCAGGAACGACGTCCACACCATCTACCAATCCACAAACCTTCATTAGTTGTTAAGACTTAACCGTATCTTTTTATTAATTAAATTTTCTCTAATACTAAAAAATTCTCCTTAAAAAATCACTAAAATTTAAATGACAGCCTTTATCGTATCACTTGTCATGCCATACCGGAGGAGTTAATTCGCCTAAGAGTCAAACAACGAAAGAAATTATTTTGGATCATCTTCTTGCCCCCTCTGAACTCCAAAGCCGTCATTTCTATTTTGATAAATAGGCTAATGGCTGTGAAAATATATTTTTTATACAAGATTGTTAATTTCCTTCGTTCGTAAAATTTTTACGACACTTTTTATCCATAATTCAATTGAATAATTAAATTTTAATTTTTGCAAATTTAACAAGTGTTGATCTTATTATCTAGAGCACACTCAATTCAAAATGGAATAACATTGTGCAAAAAAAACGATATAAATTTTGGAAGATTTTGGGGCCGATTTGAATTATTTTTATATTTAAGGAAAAACTGTTTTCACTTTTTTCCAAGTGGAAAAGACCATTTAAGAAAATTCAATCCTCGAGTGCGATAGCATAAACTTAGACCTTTAAAATGACACCCTAAAGGTTATTGTACGATCGTTTTTAATGAAGTTTCAAGTGTCTTAATAATACTTATGATTGGTAGTTACAGGGGAAATAATACGGTTCGTGTGAAATTAATATGTGGCGGTTCTTAACTTGCATACCTCACACTTTAATCATTTCGAATTACTATGAAACTGAAAAGGTTTTATTTTTAGAAAATGACGTTGGATACAATTCGTAAATTTAAATGAAACTACAAAACTAAATATAAAGACAAATTTCAGGTTAGAATAGATTATTTATAACTGTCTGAAATCGAAGTTTAAGTCGGTCAGTCAATGATTTTGAAAAAAAAAACAATTAAATCATGGCATAAATCCGAAATTAAAATTCGACAAGTTGTGATAAACAAATGGCGATGGAATAAGGTATTACTTGCAAAATTAATGAAAATGCATTGAAAATTCAATAAAATTTATAAACAATAGGTTTATAGTACTAGAAAATTATAGAAAATAATTAATATATGGATGATTTCTGTTACAATGAATTTGTAATTTTATAAATTAATTCCAAACTTCTTTTATTCATATCGTGTATTTATTTATCGACTATAACCTCAACAAAGGATTCTACACACTGGAATAATGGAATTACACACAAACATAAGTTCTATTTGAACTTATTTTAAAATCCTACATTTTTTTTGCATTTCAATTCCACAAAAAATTATTGTCAAAATGTGAAATGTATAGTTTAAAAATTATCCGAATGGAATTGAAGCACCTTTAATCGTCCAATTTCTGAGCCAAGTCTCCATTTTTTGCTTTTAATAGAAATACAATACAAACGAGTTACAAAAACTCGAAGAAAAAGATAAAAATAATATTTGGCCGTTTTCAGGTGGAATCGATAATAATAAAAAAAAAAAATGGCGACTTAGAATTTGAGATAGTAGGATTAAGGTCGTTGGGAATATAATCGCAAACGAAAAGGAAAAAGAAAGTGGCGCATAAGCGTAGCCACGAAAAAAGAATGATTTAGGTCAAATTCATTTTCGAGGCTTCCTTTCTCCGATGGAGGACGAAACTTCCTCGCAGGAAGTGGAAGACTTTCAGTTTCACAATTTACAGATGCGCGCAGATACCCTTCTCTCAACAACCGAGCAAACTATACCCAAACACTATTGATTTTTTCTATTTTCAACTCACTCGATTACGAAACGAAACAGTGGCAGTCATTGCAATTTTTTTAATAAGACAATCACAAGCAGTTTCTAATTTTAAATAATAAAAATCATTCATTTATACCACGATAGTGCGAATACGTACAAAATTCTACTGGGGGGAAGTTCTCATATTGGCAAATATTAGAAGTTTTTCAAATAAATGGGAGAAAAAAGAAAACCAATATTATTTTCACCATCGACTTAAATTAACAATATTCTTTGGTAGATGATTTTCAACTTACTCGGAGACAAAATACAATTGTACTTAATTCGAAGTTTACTGAAAAATATTTTTGTCATATTTAATTTAAATAAATCAATTCAGTTTACAAATGTAATTTCTTGTGTTACTTTTTACAATATATTTTAGAATTAAGAACTCATTTAAACAAATATATATTAAATAAAAGGGAAAGCACTCTTGCTTTAAATTATCAAAATAACATATTTTATGAATGGTTCTGTGTCACACACAACCCCTCTCCGTCGGTTACTATCTATTTTGAAAGTATGATTTAATACATAAATAGTCCACCTCGAGAGTTTCGAGTTTGACGACCTCAGAAACGCCTTAAAAGAAGAAACTCGAAGTTAGAAAAATTTTTTACTATTAAAGAAACAAAATTGTATTCGAATTACTCAACTTTAAAGGCCAAATTTCAATTTAACATTACATTTACAGGCTACACATGTTTTTATTAAAACTTAGTTACACTAACATGCAATTTTTCTTTTAATCAGAATATATGTATATTGTATCAAATTCAACATGAATTACTAATAAATAATATTTAATAGATCCCTAACCTTAAATATGCATTTTGAAATTCTGAGATTCGAAAATCAACGGGGTATCAGTGAATTTAGTATTAAAGTCGTTGTTGCTCGAAGGCAACGATTCTAAAGAAAATGGAGGCATTCTTACATATTCTTTACAAACTGAAAATAACACACAAGATTTGCTATAAAATCGAATCACTTTTTTATTATAATATATTTCAATTATTCTATCCTTTCTTGCACGTTTGAGTAATAATAAATAAAAAATTTTCAATAGTTACAATAAGATCCTGTACTTTCCTCGTTCTGAAAGATACTTTATCGAATTTACATCATTTATGCAAGAATTCTTCGATACTCGAAACTACGCTACCTAACCTAACCTAACCTAACCTTAAATTAAATTAAATTATCTATATCCATCTAATTATCTAGTGTAGAGTTGTTATTGGCGATGGTAGCGGTGTCTGTTGTAGATTTCACAAAAATAAAAAATCTATTAATGTATTTCAATTATTCTATCCTTTCTTGCACGTTTGAGTAATAATAAATAACAATTTTACAATAGTTATAATAAGATCCTGTACTTTCTTCGTTCTGAAAGATACTTTATCGAATTTGCATCATTTACGCAAGAATTCTTCGATACTCGAAACTACGCTACCTAACCTAACCTAACCTTAAATTGAATTAAATTATCTATATCTATCTAATTATCTAGCGTGGAGTTGTTATTTGTATTAATTGGTGATGGTAGCGATGTCTGTTTTAGATTCCACAAAATTCCATTCCGAACGGGCAATCAAGTTTTACTCTGTTTAAGATTCTGCTCCCATGTTCCGAATGGCCGTTCCGCGTTTCGGTCGGACGAAAGAATCCAGTGAACCTTTCTACCTCGAAGCGGTCGATCCGTTCTCCTAGTGGGACGTCCGGCGTGTTGAGTGATACTACACACACTCGAAACTTCTCCTTTTTCCCATTCACCAGAGACTTACGCGGTTGGTTACGTGCTCGGTCGTTGTTACTCTACGCCGTATCTGTTCGCGACGTCCCATCCTAGAGCTGCGGTTAAATCGTCCACTCTTCCTTGCGATTCCTCGTTACCAGGGCTTCTCAAACCTATACTATCTCCATTTTCCTTCCAATCCATGCTCTCGAACTACAATCACTTTAACACGCGATTCATTGAAATCCCGTTGACTTTTAAATCTTAAAAACCAGAATTCTACTCGTAATTATTGTCAAACTTTCGTTCAATTAAATTTGAAGAGATTTTTCGATGAATTAATAATTTCGAGTATAAAATAGAGTACTTTTTCTGTGTTTGATAAGTACTTGTTTAAAAGAGTACTTAATTTGAATAAATATAAGTTGTGAAAAGAATAAGAAAATGAATAGTGAAAAAGGAAGAAATTTTATTCAAATTAATAATTGACTAGCTTCACGATATTAATATGAAAGTATTGTTAAATGTTGTATTAGACTTTAGAGACTGAGAAGAATTTTCTTTAGGAGTAGTTTGAAAATTGTATTTTAGAGAATTGATAATTGAAAATTTGTTAAAAATGTCGAAAATTGTTAAAACGAGATTCTCGAACATAGTTAGTAGTTATGACAAAGCAGAAGCTTTTTATCGTCGGATCTATGTGTGAAACGGTCATGGGAAAACGGAGCAGAATCTCATATACCGGTGAACCTTACAAAAGGCACTCTAAGCGCGTTAGAAAGGAGGTTTTATAGAAATGGAACTCGGGACATATTTGCTTGGAAAAGATTGGGAAAAATAAAACTTCTTTTCCATTTACCAGGGCCATCCTGTATATACATATATTTTTTTCATAATTTTCAATGTTTTTAGATTTATTTGAAAATATCCTAAAATCCTACTTTGAAAACTCTTTATTTTTTCGACCATTACTGGAAAATACTTCAACATATTTGGATAAAATGTTGTACTAAAATCATTACACTGAACATTTTTTTTATTGTTATACATATAAAAATTTAATTTTAATACAAATTTTTAAAATGTTAGAAAGCTAGTATTTTAATAACAACCAAATGTTATTAATTTAATGTTCTTTTGGTTATGTTCATTTTGTTTTGTTCGTGTTTTAAATGGACAGAAAATTCTACATAATACAAACTTCAAAAAATTAAAAATCGAAATGCATATTAATTAATATTCATTTAGCAACCCATCTAGTAGAAATTTTCCTTAAAAAAAATTACATTTTAAAAATCATTGTTAAAATAAAAAATTTACCAAAAATAACATTGTAAATCAAATATGGAAAGCCATTAACCTCAAACTGACTATACCAAACACCACTAACTAAGTATATACCGATTAACATAAATCAACACTGCAAGTATCAATTAATAAATTACTATTATAAAACGATGTATATTAAAACTAATAAAAACTATTATAAAACGATGGGAAGCTAAAGACTGTAATGATTCAGAGCTCTAACGTAACCCCTTATATCAATTCGTAGAAACAGTGTTCATGGCACTCGAATTAATAAAAATAGAGGCAAACGATGAAAATGAATTAGATCATTTAGTTTGAAGAATTGAATTTCAATTTCTCTGATTGCAACAATCACGCGATCGTCTCACCGTATGAAGAAATCTTCGAGGATCTATTTTTCCTTTAATGGACATAGTAATCGGGAGTTTTACCGTTTATGAACGATGCTAGTTACGACATCCATAAAAAGAATCCTAATTTCCTACAAGCTTGTTAGATAAGTAATTCCTAATACAGAGGATTCGATTCGTTCATATATGGATCATTCCATACCAAATCGATCATTTTTCTCCGATCCAAAATACGTATAGGTGGTTAAATTACTATAGTCGACTCGATATTATCAGTTGTTTCACATTGAAACGTGAATAGAATTGAAAATGCATTTAAAATAAAATATAAAATAACAGAGTTTCAACAAGCCCTTTCAATAACCAACTATGAAATAAACATATTGGAATTTTAGTAGAAAATAAAAAAATGTATTTTAATGTTATTTCCTATTTCAGTATACATAAATAAATAAGAAAATATAGACCTTACAGTAATTGTCAATTTCTTTCGTCGCTATCAAATTTGAACTTTCTATAGTATTATTAACATCTAACAGTCGAATGAACGTTTGTTTTATTAACAACGACAACTTGTAAAAAGGATATGTTAAAATAGACTGCAATATCGTCGGCATATTGCAGAATTAGCATCTCCGGTGGTAAGATGGTAGTGATTTCAGCGATATAGATTGAATATAAGAGACAGACGAGGTGTACAAGTAGACCTTTCACCTTATGGACTTTCGCGGCCGAATCTGACTGCCATACCGACCTGAAAATTCGGAGCTGATTTTAGCGGCCTCTTCTCATGGATGGCGGTCAGTTGAGAAACTAGGCACTGAATTAGTATTAATGGGCAGCCAGCTGAATGTGTGCGTAAATACATGTGAGTTGACTATGGAGGGATTGTAAAAGCAGTGCAGTATTATCAGACGGCAGGCCCGTGTCGAAAGGAAACTGCCCCTCCACTTACGCACCCTAATGTGCACCCGACGAGATTATCACAGAGAGAACGAATGCCACCTCGAATACACAATAGTATGCCCAAAAATTATCCACACGCGAGCATGCACGCCTACGATGTGTTCACAGCTGTTCGCAGATTGCCGTTCTACAGGCGGATCTTTAAATGTTAATAACTTTTAAACGAAGCCTCGATTAACATATTTACTACTCTTGATTTTCGCCTTATCTTAACCTCTAGAATCGCCCCTTAAGTTTTTGACACGAATACCCTTATACATAGTGTTCATTATTAAACAGAGTTACTCAATTCTTAAACCCATCGCTATATTAAGCGATTATAGTTAAACGATCCCACAGTAATATAATTTTACTGCTCGAATTATATTACATTTTTAACCTAAAGTTACGAGGCCAACTAACTTCGCATCAGGTTCGTCCATCATTTTCCAAATATCCAACTACAAGTTCATGTTACCTAGTGACTCCCCAATTTCGCATCGGGTTCGTCCGTGTACCTTACGCACAGACTGATATCATATTCCACTGGAAATATTTCTCTTTCTCGCCGTACCCGCCCACCCCTGATAGTAATGAGTCGAGTTGTTTCCCATCACTTCTTAGAATTCCTTGCTCGAGTCGAACCTCGGCGTTATCTACAATCTGTATCAACAGACGGATTTATTTACGTATGATAGCGTGAACTACAGCTGGCCAATTTTTGGAATAAACTTCCCATTTCAATATCCATGTTCAGTCTGGGACATTTAAACGAACACTATCGTACATCGCTCGTACGATAAAAATATATAATTGTAAAATTCTTATATGACTAGGTTGCAACGATCGTAAATAATACCTATTTTCTTCTATCTTTAAAATGTTAATATATACTGCACGTAATGTATTTACTTCCATATATTAACGTATATAAAATATAGCGTTCTAATACATTTTCTAGTACCATTTTTAATCCTCTACGGATTCAGACTTTACTTCGGTCAAAACTCCCTCCTTTTGAAACTTAATACACAGAGGATCTCCGGCAGCGACCACAAACGAAAGAACAGCTTTTTTATAATAATCCGACATCAATTCAAGGTTTCTTATCACAACAGATAAAAGGTGCGCCTTTTCTGCATAAATACCTGCACAAAAAAAATTATTTAAAATGTGAATATTCTTACAAGACACATGAAATAAACACGGTGGCCAAAACAAAAAAAGAACAAAGAAAATTAAACTTTTCATAAGATATTGATATTCTTTGTATTTTTTTGCAAAACAAATATTCAATATTAAAACAATAGATCGAATAGCGGTTTTTGGTACAAACATTTTAAATATACAAGAATTTTCTCATACACTAAATAATTCAGAAGCTGTTCAAGTTATGCAAGTTTTGTGAAACCACCTTGTATAATTGAACGCATTTCATATTTACCTGGAGTTTCGAACATGAGGTATGCAAAATGTACATGAAGATAGTAATAGGATGGTTGGTAGTGTAAATATATCCTAAGTTGAGAAGCAGATACATTGAATTTCTTTGAAATTTCCTTCACTGCAGAATCCCTTATGTTTTTTAACAATGGAATATGGGAGGCATTCAACTCTCTTATGCATCGAATCTTTTGGAAAGGAAGTGCTAATAATTTCAATGTGTTCAGTTCTCCATTCCATTTCAAATCGTTCACCAAAACAAATCCAATGTTTTTATCTCTATCTTCGTACACAACTTGATTTTGTTCTGCTTTTTGCTCTAAAATATTGTATATCCACTAAGAGAAAATTATAAAATACAAAATGATCAATGTATGAAGCTAAAAGAGTGTGATTAAATTACAATAAATCGACTTTAAATCTGTACTCAATTTTTCATTAGTTTTCTAACTGTAAATTGCAATATTTTAAAGTTTATTTGTATATGTATTTAGTTTTATGTGAATTACAATTGAGCATCTATGCTCTGAGAATGAATATAATTGTTCTGAAACAATTCTAAGTAAATTGTAAGTACCTGTAAAGAAAAGCTGCTGGATTCTATATGCGGAAGAGTAATTTTCTTATAAAGTTCATAAGTTTCATCCACAATATACAATTCCTTTCTTTTGAACTTTTCGATATGTTTAGGTGTTGCAGGATGTATAACCATCACATTTATCTCTAAAATCACATGAAAACGATCGATTATCTAATGAGCAAAACTAGCAATGTGATGGTTTAATTAATTAATTAATTAATTAATCACAACTTACCATTATATTCTTTGCTTAGGGAACAATGGTAATTTCCGTAAACATCGTTGGTATAAAGTTTCCGTAATATTGTGTCCTTATTAAATAGTTCCTTTTTCAACGATAGTACATCGTCAGAGAAATTCTGCCTCTCGAATAAAATAACACTAGACCTTTCATGTCCTTTAAATACACCTTCCACGCATACTTGCTTTCTTAAGCAATTGTTTTGTAGAATTTTATTTATTTCAAACGTGGACAAACAAATCTCGGTATCGTGTATATTGTCAACAGTTTCGGACGAATTTTCTGCATCTACTTTTATTTTCTTCGTCGGAGGACATTCCTCCCCATCGTTGTTTAAGGATACTTCCGCCATCTTTAATGGCGTTCTCTGATCAATCACTGATCATCAATGTGGGCTGTGGATAGTGTGGGCACCACACTGTGTGACCAGATTTGGCAATAGTCTCGCCACAACTTGTTACAATTTACGATTCTTGTCTTTACTATAGTATATCTTCGATCTTGTACTTGTGTGAACATAGCTAGATTAAAGTGTGCAACTATGTTCATTCTTAATTTTGGAGGGAAAATGAAAGCTGAGAACACTTCATGTAATTGCAATATTGTTTTGTTATAAAATCAATAATATTCAAATCCATGTAACTGTGCGCCCGATATAAAACATTATTTATATTAATAATATAGAACTGAGAATCAGCACGCGATTATACTTTTTAAGTAGAGTTCGTTTGGTAAACAGTAAACACCTATTTAATTTTCATCTGATCTAAATTTTGTTTTTGAGTTCAATTACTTTGAAATTTTTGATTTTTATCATAAACTTTAATTTACTGATAACCTTCGCGATAAACTAAAGAAAACTTTTCGAATTATTAATGAATTTACAAACTTTCTATTAATATATTTCTTGAAGCCCGTTCTTTTTTTTGACATCAAAATACTGGATAGTCCACGCAACATGTGCATCTCAATACCAAAATATGGGAGAATATCAAATTCTAAGTAAAAAAGTGTTGATTTGTATTGGCCCGAAACCTAACAACTAACGAGTAATTTCATTTTATTTCTTGAACATTTCCACTGTTCTACAAAAATCTGTTAAGGCTGAATCTCCAATTTGATATTACACGAAGGAAATTTTCAAGAAATAAAATGAAATTCTCGTATACACGCATACATATACAGCCATTCAAGAAATTGCAGGATCCTCAGGTTGAGTACGACTGTTAAATATAGCTATAAGCGAAATCCAAACACCGTGGCTCGGATCCAAAATTTCTATTCGTAACCTTTAGTGAAATTACAAAAGACGACATTCAAAAGACAAGTTTTAGTGGTCTGTGGGACTAATAACAATGCTGCAAGAGGATGACAGAAAGGTAAAAGCATTGAACATTGTCGTGTCTCCACCATTTTATCCTTAAACATTAGTCGAAACCATCGATATTCCAAATCTTGTTCGTTGGTCAGTTTCGGTATTTCCCAAATTTATATTAAATACTGACAAGGTTAGGATTAATCGAGTTTCTAGTGTCATAAAATTCATTTTTTCCCACATTTTGAGGTTATTTACTGTTTCATGTACAATATTGCACGCCTCTACGAAGAATTTCTCGTTCGAAACGATTAGCGTCCGTCATTGTTTCCTTGAAGTATCTTACCGCAACCTTTAGTTTGGTAAAATGGACGATTATATAATTATTGAACACAGTTCCTTGCTAAAATCCTCGCGTTGAGTATTATATATACAGTGAATTAAATTAATATTTGGATACTAAAAATTTTTACTTTATCACACTGTAATTTTATTTATGATTATAAATATAAATATTTTTTTTATATATTACATTAATATACAGTATCTAGTTAACAAAAGTATAAAAATTATTTGCGTATGTCGTAGTATTTGCTGTAGTATGTGTTCTAAATAAAAGTTCAAATTAATTGTAGGACACTTAAAAAAATCGATTTTTCCACTAAATTCTAAACTAATTTAATACATTGTACGGTGTCCTTTTTGTTATATAACCTTTCTTAAACGTTGAGGCATGTTACACATTATTTTTTTCAAATAATCTGTCTATATTGTTCCATTCTTATTTTAGTCTTTGTTTTAAATGTTCCTTTCATACATTTTCAATAGGGTTTAGGTCTGGGGACTGGGGAGGTGTTTGCAATAATTTCAGATAATTATACAGTAAATATTCTTGTACAATTCATGCTCTTATCGCAGAACATTATATCATTCTACCATGTACTTTTGTTTTTTTAAAATAAACTCTTTAGCAAAATATAATCTCTTCTTCCTATTCTTTTCATTTACATATGGTTTTTTCCTTGCAACTTTTCCATTATAACCAGTTTCTTTTAATAAATTTCATATTGTTTGAGGAGTTACTTTCTTTCCACTCTCTTTCCACTCTCTTTCAAGAGTTCACTAATCAATTGCAGTGCATTTAACGTAGGAACCTTCTTCATTTTTCTAATAATTTTACACCTATCCTGCATGTTTAACTTTCTAGGTTGACCTTTTTGCAGTATAAATTGTATGTGATCTTCGCATTTATATCTATTAACAATGTCACTGACTGTATTTGTAGACGATTTTTCTTTTGTGTTGTGAAAAATCATAATTTATACAATTAATTGTGGTGTATTTATTAATTAGATACTTTATGTTGATATAATATATTTTTTGTTCATATAATTTCCATCCTTATGTAATTATTTCTCTTAGTGACTATTAGTATAAATAATACATAATATTTACCAAAATAAAATTATTCATTCAAAAGTTATAGTAAGATTTTCTTATTATTTCTTCACTCTACGAATAGTTTTGTTCGCTACTGTATATAATAATCTTAAAATAGACAGTTATGTGTAACTATCGCGATATTCTGCAATCGATTCTACTTAATACTGCGATAGAATTAAATATTCTTCAAATTGTATATAATGCATAATAGTTTTAATACATTAAAACATTAAAACTATTATTCTATATAATTCGACGAATTTTTATAAGTTCCCCTTTTATAACCTTATTTTACCGACTATAGTGTTTCAAGATCCTTTCGAGCCTACGTTTTCCATTATCGATAATTTATATTGCCATCACTTTTAATTTAAGTTTCAATAGTATACGGTAGAATTTTGTACATTATATTAATTATTCGTCGTTATCGCCAAGGTTATTTAAGTTTTATCGATGCTATAAGTTCCGTGAATTCGAATGTTTCCATTGTACTTTAAATTGGTACGAAATATTTTCTGTTGAAACGTGTTATAAATATTATTCAGTTGTTTGTGATTCTGCTTTTATAAACTTATCTTACGATTTTATAGAGTTCAAAGATTCGTTTGAGCCTCCATTCTCTATTATCGATTATTTCTATCGTTATCACTGTGGTATGGAATTGTATTACGAAATATAGACTATCAACTTTTTCTGTTACTTAGTTTCTACGTTGAAAGAGTAAACATTGTACGGAAAATTACCACCGGATTACATTTTAATATCATTTTACAATCTTTATTATTTTAAGTTCGTTTTCAATTTAAATATTACATCGTATAATTCACAATTATTGAGGACAATATAAAAAATTTGTTAAACTGAAAATTAGTTTCGTATTGAAAGATTGTACTGAATTTCTATTGTATCGATGAAGCAAGAATAAGAATAATAGGAAGGTATTTGTTTAACGAAATTTATTTTCGTTGTTTCTACAACAGAAAATGGCACGTTCCAAAGCCGCGAACGTGATAAATGAATATTTTTCCTCATAGTACGTTTATTAATTTATTGCGTAAGATTAGACGAACGCGTAACCTGCGGTTACGATTCGTTTGTCCGTCCAAGCTGAGAAGCTTACGTTGCAAGCACTAGTATGACGTACATATGTTTCTATCTATTGTTCGCGTAACGTTTAGGTTAAAGATGAGAGATAGGAGGAAATAATTAGAAAACGACAACAGTGAATCAAGATGGCGGTATTATATAAAGCATTTAACTCGATCGCACTAGTAAGACTAGAAAAGAATTTTAGTATAACATATTTAATGATTATTGAAATAACCAGTTTTATTGACTTGCAATTTTATTTAGAACCTTAATATGGAATTCTTTTTCTGATCGTGTTTGGTAGGGTATTTAATTTTGTGTCCCAAAATATTTTTAGATGCCCAAATATGGCAAACTTGCGGGGTATCCAAGTATCATAAATTTTCTTTGAAAAGACGTTGATTTGGGGCACCCAAGATTTCCGAAATCACAAAAGTTTTGAGTATCAGTAAGTTTGGAATGTTCGGATCTGAATATATTGGGTACTTGAAACTTTGTAATATTTCGGGACTCTGAGCTCACAATTCATCGCAACGCATCGAACATACCAACCTTGTGGAAAGTTTGTGAAAACTATAGTGTTACAATCGGGTATAATTTGTTGAAAATAATACAAGAAATAAGTCTATACGGGCTATAGTGACGCAGAATGTTCTTCCGAAATGCCTCAGTGGCCGATTGGTACCAAATTTTTGTTGGGCGAGGGAAGGGGGAGATAAGGATTTTAAATTAAAAATTTTAGTTTCAAGTATTCAATAGTTTCCGAGATTTTCAGAAAAATCTTTCACTCTACACAATTGAATTCTATTTGTACGTACACGTTTTCAACAGTGTATGTGTGAAACATAGACTTCACTAACACGATTGTTTTTTTCTGCAGTATGGTATTTTATGTCATATTTTACTCTGCAATATTTTAATCCAACCGAAATGAAAAATAGCCAAACCTAACCTAATATCTCGAAAACTATTAACTTCCAGAAGCTAAAATTTTATATTTAGAATGCACAGCCCCTTTCCCTCATCCTCAATTATTTTCATTTCCATCGGAGAGGTATGCCGTTCGGAAGTACAGTCTATACTACGCTAGTCGAAATGCATAATTGTTGAAATCGGTTAAGTTGGTACTTCAGATTCACGCCGTTTTAACAGTTGATATTTGGCCGTCGCGATGACAGTCGTTGTGAAAATCTCAGAAACTGTTAAATACCCGAAGCTAAGATTTGTAATTTCAAATCCGTACTACCTCTTCCCCTCCCCCTCCCTCTCCTTCGAATCTCATGTCGAATCAGCCACCAAAGTTTTTCGGAAATACAGTCATGATGCACGCCAAATTTTAGGTTAACCCAAGTAGATTTTATGATATTTTGGTAAAACCAGTTGAAAACGTTATGAGAAAATCGCATTAAAAGTTTATTATTTTCCTGGCTTAATCGTCAGTCTATGTGGGGAAATCAAATCCGTACTACCTCTCCTCCTCCCTCTCCTTCAAATCTCATGTCGAATCAGCCACTGGAGTTTTTTGAAAGTACGTCATGATGCACGCCAAATTTTAGGTTAGCTCAAGTAGATTTTATGATATTTTGATAAAACTAGTTGAAAACTTTATGAGAAAATCGCATTAAAAGTTTATTATTTTCCTGGCTTAATCGTCAGTCTATGTGGGGAAATCAAATCCGTACTACCTCTCCTCCTCCCTCTCCTTCAAATCTCATGTCGAATCAGCCACTGGAGTTTTTTGAAAGTACGTCATGATGCACGCCAAATTTTAGGTTAGCTCAAGTAGATTTTATGATATTTTGATAAAACTAGTTGAAAACTTTATGAGAAAATCGCATTAAAAGTTTATTATTTTCCTGGCTTGATCGTCAGTCTATGTGGGAAAGAAACTATTCTTTAAGAAACAGTAAAGAAAACTTGATAACGTATATATTTGAAAGACTCGTATTCACAGAGGAAGACTACCGACACTGATTGTCGAACAGTAATTATCAGCTTGGGCTCCGTGAGCCGTCCAATAAGACGCCGAAACGGTTCGTCGAGAAACAGAGCACGATAAGAAATTCTAATGTCGATGCTGCGCGTGACCTCGTCGAACACAGTCGGAGACGCTTCACGAATCGTCCGATAATAATTGGAGACCGCGATCACGGAGTTGCAGAGTCACGTTGCCTGGCTGCGTTATGATAAAAAGTCGCGTCCCGAAGGTCGGTCTGATAAATACGAAAAATATCGGTATTATTCTACACATATTTAAGGCGATTCGTTTCGATAGTGCTGCGCTGATAGCGGTTTCTGTTCCGAAGTCGTCGCTGATTTGTGTGACAATATAGTCGAGCGTTGTCGTGTCACGTGCCCACGTCGTGTTGTGTTTATTCGCCGTTCTGTTGCAACCGTTTTGATCGGAGAATCTTTGAACGAACGAGTCTCGCGCGCTCTCGGGAAGTGCTCGCCGAAAGTGAATAGGCATAACTTTTGTATCGTAAGTGACTGGTGTCCGGTTTTTAGAGCAAAAATACAGAACGATCAGTTGTACAAGCGTCGTGAATATTTTCGTGTCCGAAGAATAGACGTTTTCGAGATTTTCAATTTTATAGACGAAAATAAATTTTTTAATAAAATTATAGGGAAAATAAATTTTAATAAAACCGATTTTCATACACGTTTCTGATTCTTGTATTTTTTTTTTCTTCTAACTAGTTTCTATATTTGGCTTATATCCAAACATAAATTCGGTAGGTGATATTTTGCTTTATTCGATAATTGCCCGATTAAGACTCGTAGGGGTTTCGATTAGAATACAGTAGAATTTCGATTATCTGGCATAATCGGACTGTGGCAATGCCGGATAATCAGACATATCGAATTCATATACCTACATACGAAGAAGAATATAATTTAAAATACAACCGTGGGTAATGTACAATAGCGATTTACAATATGAATAAAAAGTAAAATATATAGGTGAATGTATAACATGTATAAAATATATATTATAATATAAATCTATAAGTATGTACATAGACGCGTATACATTTCCTTATCTAAACATTATTGACAATGATGCAGTGAAACAGAGAGTACTTCACGACAGCTTTTTAAACAATATCCATACGTCGGTTTGCTTCATTATTTTTTACCTTTCGTTAAATAATTAATTTCAAAAAATATGCAGGTTTATTATTTTCGTAATGTTATAATATATATTACACTCTGTAAACGTGATAAATAGTATATTGAATGCATTGTCAGTGTCATGTCAAAAGGTGTTAGTTGTATTATTTTTATCTTGGCCACTGTTCATTTTTTCTAACACCTGCTGATGTATTGTGCTTTGGATCATTGTATTCTCATTCGCTTCTTCTACAACTGGTTCATTTTTAATTTTTTCAATTCATTCAACGATTTGATGCGTGAAATATAATCCGTAAGACTTATCGGATAATCGAAACTGTACTGTATTTGATTCTTGTTGTTCTTCTTCTTATTATTATTAATGACAGCCCAAGCCAATCTAGCGTATATGTTCCTGCAAATATTACGAAAAAATATACCACATATATAAACATTACAGTGTTTCGTGTTACAATTACATACAAATCGAAAAAATTTTAGTCTTCTTTAGTATTCATATAAATACAATTTAAAGAAATCGATGATAATAATGATGATAACACTAACAGCTTAGTTGTTTTGTTATAAGTTTTATTATTTTAAACGACTAAGTGTATAATGTTTCATTATTTATATTGAGTACTTGATCTAGATTCGGCTGTACTTCCGAAAAACTCCAGCGGTTGATCGACGTGAAATTTGGAGGAGTGGGGAGGGAGAGAGGTACAAATTTGAAATTAAAAATTTTAGCTTTGGGAATTTAATAGTTTCCGAAATAGATTAGGTTTGGTTATTTTTCATTTAGAAGAGATCACTCATCGCTACACATATTTAGGTTAGATTAGAATAGTATATCGCAAAGTAATAAGACGGAAATCAAGAGTATCAATTTCTTGATTGAAGTTTCGTTAAAAAGTTATTAAAAAATTAAATTAAAAAATTTCAAATAGTTTTGGAAAAATTATTTTTGGTTGCGGGGATCAATTACGATCATTTTTGGTGAATAGACATACCCCCGAAATCCTACGCACTTTTGAGAAAAAAATTCTTTACCGAAAATATACTGTGTAGCCAGAAATGTTTCCTCGAAATTTCATGCGTATGTTTAAAAAATTATAATTTCTGGACGGATTGAAGGTTTTTAATGATTCAAAATTCAAACAGTGCTTATTAATGGAGTTCTAGAGCACCAGAATAATGGGCCGAAAAAATACATTGAATGTAAGGTCCATTCGTATACCTCGCCTGTGGTGAGAACTACTGTCATGTGCACGCAGCTGTTCGCAGATTGTCGTTCTACAGGTGGAACTTTAAACGTTAATAACTTTTTAACGAAGTCTCAATCAACAAATTAGTATTCTTGATTTTTGTCTTATTTTGGTCTCTAGAATCTCCTATTAAAATTTTGCCCAGGTGTGGCCGAACACCCTGTATATGTAAAAATTATAAAATTAATTATTAAATGTCCGGATACGTGTTTTTTTATTTTCTTTTTAGAGTCGCTGACTTGTGAAACGGTGAAGATACGTAATCACAAGCGCAATGAATGTAATTCAAATAAGTAGCATTTAAGATTCTTTGTCATTTCTCTTTTATACATAATTAAGCATCTTGATTAAAACGACTGTTCTCTTATAAAACTACAGTTAAATGCCGCATGCTTGTGTAACATAATAATACATATAATAACCATGACCAACATATTTTTATTCACCTAACAGCGTAAAGGAAAGACCAGAGTTATTATTACAATAATCGAATCATAAGTATGAAATAAAATTACTTTTTATGTTTCATAAGCGTCGTAAAATGTAGTGGTGCAGATGATTCGATAAATTTTGTTTAATATTCAGGTGTCAGTAGCTGATTCAATATTTTCAATTACCATAATGCCACTACCACCAATGTGGATTATGGTATCGCCATAATAGGGAACGTACATAACCTATAATTCGACTTATTTAATCTGAGATTTTCATTAAACATTCATGTAAGTGCCTATCTATAAAAGTACAAACAAAAGAATGTCTTAATTAACGAAAGTTACGTAAATCGTATTAATTTCTAAGCAATTATTGTGTAAAAAGTAATTAATCCTCGACTGGTTTCGAAAACACTGACTGACTGTTTCTTTTTGTTAGTCAACAACTTTGATAAAACTAAAAAAAAAACATTGCATGCTCTGTATCATCGTTCATATTAATCATGACCAGCATTTTCTATTCACTTAGAGTGTTATATTTATAAATGTGTCCGCTTGCATCATCATGATGTAATCGAGTATGTTCAATGACATCTACTATGTACAATGACAGTTACTGGAATTAATATATACTATTATTCGAAACACTTATTTTAGTTAGATTTTTATTTTATTATTTACTTTAGTACAATCTATCAAATAATGGCATTCAGTACTTATTTTAACAGTTTGTGAATCTAAAGTACCAACTCAACTGATTTCAGTGATTATAAATTTCGACTAATGTAGTAGATTGTACTTCCGAATGGCACACCTCTCTGATCGACATACAATTTATAGGGAACGAGGGAAAGCAGGTTTGTATTCTAAATACAAAATTTTAGCTCCGGAAATTTAATAGTTTCCGAGATATTAGGTTAGGTTTGGTTACTTTTCACTTCGAAAAAATCACTCGTCACTACACATATTTAGATTGCATTAGGATTAGTATATTGCAGAGTAAAATTTGACATAAAAACCCATTTTTTGTGGTACACTTTATAGCACAATTTATTCAAGGAATGGTAACGATGGTGTTATTATTATAAATGATTAACTCAATCATTTTTGATCACCGAAATTAAAATGTAATGCAGCTTGACAAAAAGACTGAGTAAATTATAAGTGGGACGCTCTATAGAGGTTGAAAAAATAAAAAAAAATTAACTCCCATTTTTACAAATGATATCTTTCTTGTTTTTACAATTATAAGTGGATGACTCGATATCAGAAAACGATAAGTAGAAATTGTAGATATAATGTTGAAAAATACAAGTGTCATGTGTTTGATATTTCCCGGAACAAAACAAAATAACCGTTATTGTAATGTTTTTAAAATAGTTGTAACGCGATCGATTTATTAATTATTCAATGCAAAAAAAGATATTGTAAAGGGATATTTCTTTGTACAACTGGTCGCCTAATTGTTTTTTGCTCGATTAAAAAAGTTTTTTGTCCGTTGGACGCGTTTTAAGAAAGGAAACGATTTGAATCATGCACGGTTTCTCGAAATTGGATGCTGGCGATGGAGAAGTGAAATTATCCGGAAAAAGGAAAGGTATTTATCGTTTAGCTATTTTATTGGGTCGTTCGTGAACGAATCCACAGGCACGTGGTCATCAACGCAGTCCCTCAGATGCGCAGGCATTTCGTGAGAGGACCAAACGCGATGCCCTGATCGAGCTTCAAAGGGAATTGGATAGACTAGAGTCGACAGCGACTGCGGATGCAAAAGACGAAGTTCAACGACATTTTGCTGGCTTTACACACCTCTTCAAAAGATTTCTTGAAAACGACGGGCCGTCGCTAGAATGGGAACGTATACAAAAACTTCCAGACGACGCGGTAATGTTTACCATTTTTTTTACCAATCTTTAACATTTTACTCTAGTTAGAGCTGAATGAAATGTAGGGGTATATACGTCATTCGATTCGTCTAATTCAGTACATTATTAATATGCATTTCATTATTTGCGGAAATTCGTTATTTTTGTTTAAACTTGTCGGAAAGTTGCAATAAAGAAGTAAGGTTAAGTATATTTTGATAGGTTCAAACAGCCAATCGACCATTATTTGTCCTATAAAATAAGACCATTGCAAAACAGTATTTATATTTAATTTTAGTTATATAATAATACGACATTGCTCGTAATTGTATGTATGTTAAAAAGCATCTATAGCTGAGTTAGGTCTGGGTTAGGTTAGAAGACCGGGGCAATATTTTGTACTGTTGCTGCACATACTGTCTACCTGGCCTACTCCTGCATAGTATGTGCATAAAAAAAATGACTTTTATGCATACATGTTTAACAAATTAGCATTTGACTACCTGACATTTATAATTTACACCATGAACACAGTAACGACAGTCATTTGTTTCTATCTGTGACCCTGTTAAGATATACTTAACCTTACGTTTTTACTGCAACTTTACGACAAGTTTAAACAAAAATAACAAATTTCCGCAAATAATGAAATGCATATGAATAATGTACTGAATTAGACGAATCAAATGACGTATAACTCACCTCGATCGGTGAATGATCCGTTTCCTAGGAATGTTCCAATTTAGATAAACGTTAACTTTAGTGGCTTTGCCCTAAATCTGTTTATTCTTTTCGGATTTTTCACAAAAGACTAATTTTTCTAATTTTTATAAAGAAATATAATTGGGGTCTGCAAAGGGTTGCCCATGTCTTCTGTTCATATCAGAACGACCGATAGGCGAGCATATACATATAACGGGTGGGCAAAAAATTCAATTTAACCAATTTCAATAATATACTAGTCTAACCTAACTTATATATGCATGTACAATATAAAATATAGCTAAATCTAATCTGATCACTAAAACTAATTAATTAATTTGATCAATACTCCTACAATTAGTGACTAAGTTAGATTTTGCTATATTTTATATGGTCTATACATATTATGCATCTATGTTTCTTTTCGATACTGAAATATAATCTTTTTTAAAGAAAACAAAAGAATAAACAGATTTCGGGCAAAACTATTAAAACAATCATTTACCGAAACTTAAAAAAAAAATATTTTATGCTCAGTTTAAACCGTGAAATAAAACTCTTTAGGCTTCAAATAAAATAATATTTCGAAAAATCGTCGATCTTCTTTATTATTATCTACTATTTTCTTATTTTCAGATAAAAGATTACAATTCATTGCCAATACCGGAAGGAGAAGAAATCAGACGCCTTTTAAATAAATTAGTGGTTATTAAATTAAATGGCGGACTTGGGACTAGCATGGGATGCCATGGACCGAAGTCTGTAATTGCAGTTCGTAATGGACTCACGTTTCTTGATCTCACAGTTCAGCAAATTGAGGTAAAGCACGCGCGTGCGCGCGTGTGTGTGTGCAATCGTACATACACACATATACAGGGGTTTTCACCTAAACCTGGCCACCTAAATATCTCCATTGATCTTCATAATACAAGAAATATTTCATACACAGTTTTAATCCAATTAAAAGACCAATACGTTGCAAAACAAACAACATTTTTTAAGCTTTTAAGGTCATCAATATTTTTTACACAGAAATACATATTTTGTTTTGTTAGATCGTGTATCTGAAAAACGCATCCAGATATGTATATGATAATAACCTTGGAAATGACCATTGACTCTGAAAATTTAAATGGAACGTAATATTTTTGTCTATCTAATTTCCAAACTTTAGAGACGATCTTGCGAAAAAGGGGGTTTGCAACGTATTGGTCTCTTCGTACCATTCAAATTAGTTGTAAAATATTTTTTATATTATTATCAGTGCAAATATATAAATGCTGGGAAAAATTTTAATGGAAGATTCTAGAGGCCAAAATAAAACGAAAATTAAGAATACCAATTTGTTGATCGAGGCTTCGTTAAAAAGTTATTAACGTTTAATGTTCCGCCTGTAGGACGGCAATCTGCGAACAGCTGCGTACGCGTGATAGTGGTTCTCACTCAGAAAACTGTGAGGCTGTCAATACGTCACTAAGTAGAGTTTCTTATGCTGAGTGAGAACCACTGTCGTACGCACGCAGCTGTATGCAGGTTGCCCATCTACAGGCGGAAATTTAAACGTTAATAACTTTTTAACGAAGCGTCGATCAATAAATTGGTATTCTTCATTTTGGTCTTATTTTGGCCTCTAGAATCTTCCATTAAAATTTTTCCCAGGGGTGGCCGAACACCCTGTATACATATTATATATAATTTCTCTTTACGACTAGTATTTAAATAAAACATACGCTGCAAACGTCCCATTGATTTTGATGAATTCTTTCAACACGGACGACGATACCCAACGAATAATCAGAAAATACAAAGGTATCGACGTCGATATTCAAACGTTTAATCAAAGTTGCCATCCTCGTATCAACAGAGATTCTTTGCTTCCAATCGCCAAACACTGCGATGTTCCCAACGACATTGAAGCGTAAGATTAACTGCAATTTATTTCTGCATCTTTGACCCTCGAATAGCGGACTTCCGGATCTATTTCGATCCGAATTTACACATTATTATTTTACATTCTAGTACGAGGCTTTTGATCGCGTTATCGTATTTTTAAATTCTTTATTTATTAATCTCGTTAATTTAACGAGCTTAATTAGAGTCAATGTTATTATGATTTATTTATTAAAAACCAGAACTTGACGACTCTGAAATGGACCGGGAGTCTGCCGAGTTAATATAAAATTCTACGCGTAATCCATTTATCAATTATTGTGCCTAGGTGGTATCCTCCAGGTCATGGAGATTTTTACGAAAGTTTCCGGAATTCAGGTTTACTGGACAAGCTTCTAAAACAAGTATATTTTATCATCTAAAGTATTAATAAAAATAGCCATTTACATTATTATTATTATTATTAATTTGTAATAAATGTTATGTTTATAAATTGTAGGGTCGCGAGTATTGTTTCATTTCAAACATCGATAACTTGGGCGCAACTGTAGATTTCAAAATTTTGAAGTTGTTATTAGACAAACGTGATTGTGCCCCTCCTCTTGAGTTCCTAATGGAAGTTACTGACAAAACAAGAGCAGATGTTAAGGTAAGAGAACTGTTTTCATTTTTCAGAACAGTACTTAATTTACAACTTTTATACATGAATAAAATTTTATGGATTGCTATAGGGAGGAACGTTAATTCAATACGAAAATAAGCTTCGACTTCTGGAAATTGCTCAAGTTCCAAAAGACCACGTAGATGACTTCAAGTCTGTAAAGACATTCAAGTTCTTCAATACAAATAATTTGTGGATAAAACTCAGCGGTATGTGTTTGAGTCGATTAATTTTATAATTTCAAGAGGGGGGTACATGAACCCGATATTTCCGGTTCCAGTACGTTTCTTTTATTCGGATCCGGGACACGAGAGTTTTATTCAGGTTCTAAATAGATTATGACACTCGGCTATTTGACAATTCCAAAAGTTTGTAATAGTTGGATACCCGAAAATTTCGAATTTTACACTCATTGTTCCAGATTTGTAAATCTTTCTATTTCGATAATTATCCGTTTCTAATCGTAAAGTTTCTCGACTGTTCTTTCAGATTTATAAGTTTTCCTATTTCAAAATTATCGTTTCATAGTCGTAACGTTTCTTAATTATTCTTTCAGCCGTCGAAAGACTACTTGAATCAAATTCCTTGAATATGGAAATAATCGTTAATAACAAGACTTTTTCCAATGGTTTGAACATTATTCAATTGGAAACGGCCGTGGGGGCGGCAATGAAATTGTTCGAAGGATGTATTGGTAAGAAAAATGCACTTCGTGTACTTGGCATACTTTGTAGAGTTTTTATTTAGAAGTAATGCTAAAACTGTATTGTAGGTATAAACGTGCCACGTAGCAGATTTTTGCCAGTAAAAAAGACTTCAGATTTAATGCTTGTTATGAGTAATTTGTATACTCTGCGTAATGGTTTCTTATCGATGAGCCCACAACGTATGTTCCCCACAACGCCTCTCATAAAATTAGGCGATAATCATTTTTCAAAGGTTATTATTTTAATCGTTTGCTCTTTTAATTTTCCAAGTCGATTAACTCCACAAAAGGAAAAAGAAAGAAATTGATAAAAGAATACAAATTTCCTCTTAAGGTTTTAGATACTTTAAAAATTTCAATTTCTTTTTGTTAATTTATGTTATTGAATATAATTATTCAGGAAATTTATATTATGTAATAAAAGTTATGTGTCAATCGTGTACTTTGATATTAAAATTTTATAAAGATTAAAAAAGTGGAGTTAATCACTGTGGCTTGTAAACGGCTTTTATATAAATAATTTTCGTTTTAGGTCAAAGAGTTTTTGACCAGATTTCCTACGATACCGGACCTTTTGGAATTAGATCACTTGACAGTGTCCGGTGACGTAACTTTTGGAAAAGAAGTGACACTTAAAGGAACTGTCATTATTATCGCCAATCACGGAGAGCGCATTGATCTTCCGTCCGGCACAATTTTAGAAAATAAAATAGTTTCCGGTAATCTACGTATTTTGGATCATTGAATGGTCCATTGTAGGAAAGAATTTAATGTTTTTGGTCGTTATGAATTAATATAATTTACTATATGTATATATATATACATATTTTAATCATATATATATATATATATACATATATATTTCAAGTGTACAAGGAAAAAGAGAAAACTAAGTATAAATTAAAGGCATTAAATTAATATTAAATTTATTTAGTGAGATATAATATACGTTTATAAACGCGAAATAAATAAATCCTATTTTGATAGCGATGTACAAAAGATTGTATAGTTAAATGTATATTTGTTATTTCTATTCAGTTTTACGTGTATCTATCAAAGAGACACCTACCATGTAGTGGGACTTTGTAACACAGGAACTGAATTACTGACCTAGCGAAAAATTAGTTTCAGCACAAACGAGGTAGAGCCCCATTATCATTTTTGTGCCACTCGCAACGTTGTCAAGAGGTCATAGAAATGAATACAGGAAGAAATGAGATAGAAAATTAAATTTCAGGAATTCTTTTGTATTTTAACGGAATGAAAGCTGTATCGTCCAGAATTCGGCATCAATCAATCAATTTCATTGGGGTAATCAATTAACAAATGCAATTAAAAATTTAGTTATCAGAAGTAAGTTCTATTAGTCGATTAATGTAATTATACAGGTGTCTAACAAAATTGCTAGTAACTTGTCAATGAGGTGTACATCCTCACGAATTTGAACAGGCTTGAAACATGTATGTCGTTAAGGGTATTATTTTGAACAATTTATTCTCCAAAATAATGCTCTTAATAGCATATTTCAAGATTATTAAAATCCGTAAGGATGTATATTATAGGAGTACCGGGAACTGGGGGCACGAGGAACTCCTCATTTCACTCTAGCACACTATGCCTGATCGTGAATACGTGAGCTCGTAGAGTTTCAGAGAGTCGAGGAAGACAAACTGGCGCTTACCCTCTTTCTCGAATCGCCAAGGCTTTTTGTTTTTAAACCCTGTTAAAACTTCTACGACGACCTTTCGCGCGCGTTGTTTATGGGGGCAGTAGGAACGCTTTTGCACAACATTCACTGCCCCTACGTGTTGCGCTTTCAGCGCCCATCCTGAAGAGGTGAGTACAACATCCCCCACCCCTCCCTTCCGCCGATCTTTTCTGTTTCTATTTCTACTTGGTGATGAAACAAAATCACGCTACTGCTGTTTCGATTACTGCAATTTAAGAGCAACTTCGAACGAGTCGCAAGGCTCACCTTTATTTTGTTAGGGAGGCTAGACTCCACGAGCCCGTCACTATTAGTCAACCCTGTGTCTACGAGCAGAGATGCTAGACGAAGCCTCGGATGCACCGGGGGTATCTTTCACAGTATGCCAGATCACGCGTACGTGAACTTGTAGAGTTCGGAGAGTTGACAAAGGCAAACTGACCCTCTTTCTCAATTCTCCGAAGCTGCCCGAAGTAATTTCGGATCGTCTCGTGGGAGTCGAGAGAGAAAGGCTCACATTTGCCTTCTCGCTCTTGAACAACTGAAATCCGACCTCACGTCAACAGCATAGGATTTGGAATACCTAGTAAACAGTAGTACTTATATTGTACATGGCAGTATATGCTGGATTAGCTGGATATGGTATATGGCATGGCTGCTTTCTCCCCACTCCGTTAGACGCTAAGGAAGTTTGTCGTTACTAGTGTCGTCGTTGATGCATTCAATTATGCCAAATCTGGCCACACTGACTGGTGTCGCTTTCGATGCACTTAATTCTGGCAAATCTTAGCCACACTGATCGACGGATTCGACGGTCTTCTGTAATGGTTTTTCATGGTCACCGATTACAGCTGATTGGTGTTTGGTATTCCGGCATTCCGTTTCTTTTTGCCTAAATACGTTTCATCAACGTTCCTTGATTCGGGTTTAGGTTTGATATGTCTAACGTCGTCCAATACGATTCTTTTCGTTTCCACATTCGCGTTCCCTTTTAGGTTTCGCCGTAAAATGTCGAAAATGAGCTCGAAAGACAAAGACAACAAAACTTTGCACGACAAACTGAGACAATTCTTTCGCATCAACAAAGGTGATTTTTTTTTCTCAGTTATTCCACAACTAATTGCCGTAAATGTGCTTACAACAGTTGCGATTTTTTTAATTATCCGATAATTGAATTAACAATTTACACTATTTTCGAATATAATTTCACAATGATCCAAAACTGTTTCCTTAATCACTGGCCTTTCTTCAGGAAATTACAAGAGTCGTGAAGACTTTACATTGACGTACGAACTCGAGAAGGAAATTAGTCCTGATAGTCCTGTACATCATCGTACCAAAGCAATCAAAGACCTCTGCGATGCTGTGCTTAATCAACAATGGGAAGATGTATGTAGATTTGTTAATCCATTGTCATTGTTGAAAAACTATTAATATAGTTTATATTAGGATATATTAGAACTTTCACCTTCCAGAAAGCAGCAGAACGATTGTGGTACTTGGTGCAGGATCTTTTAGGAAAGGACATTCCACGTGAGCACAGACATGTCACGTTAAACTTTCTGCGTTGCTTGGTACAAGGCCAATATTCCAAACTGTCTTCGCTTATGAGAGTAAAGTTCTTCATGGTCGTCAAGGAACACAATATTCCTGAAGACATTGGTCCTAGGTATTGCAATTACTAAAACGTGTATTGAACTACCCTTACTTAATTATATTACAAGTTAACTAAATACTATTATGGTAGATTGGAACTGTTGCAAAGTTTGACAGAGAATGGGAAAGATATAGTCCATTTAGAAGAGCGAATGGGACCTTTTTTGCTAGATTGGATGCCTGTTGTGACTGCAGGCGATGGCAAGAGAGGCTCAGAATTTTTGTCTCTGCTTGTCAATGTTATAAAGTTCAATTCTGCCTATATAGATGAAGACATTATATCAGGCCTCGTTCAGTAAATATTTTAAGATTCATTATTGTAATTTAACAATCTGTTGTAAAATTATATTCAATAAATTTCGTACTTTTAGGTATATTTGTCATCTGTGTTATTATAGCAATAGCACTGAAGTTGTTTCTGGGTGCTTGGAAGCTCTGGATGCTATTGTATGTTACAGCAATTTACAGTCTGACTCGTTGCAAACTTTTATCATTGCTCTCTGTGGAAGCGTGAATGTCGAAACATACTGTCAGATAAGCTGGAAGGTAAGTTGTACACATTCTGTTAGATCAAATTATACAGTTGAATTTAGAAGAATCATACGAATAGAATAAGCAATTTATTCTTCATTGCAGCACATAAGAAAATCGATTGCATTTATCTAATCTGTGTCATTATATATTCTTTATTGTTTAAAAGAAATTGCACATCATATTTCATGCCATACTCTGCGTGATTACAAACTTGACATCATTTGACAATTGAATTTATTGCTCTACGAAGTTCTTTAATATTTTCCGAAGTTTTGATAGTTGTGATTTCAATTCTATATATTCTATCTATATATATACATGATATTTGTAAATGTCAACATTATTTATTGTTTTATTTTTCGGTTTGTTGTGGCTACTTGTTTTTTATTTTTCGCGTTTACAATGGGTCCAAACGGACCCAAACATCGTCATCCGAGTGTCCAAGAAACTGGAATTTTTAGTATATCCTATCTTGTGTTAGTATTACCTGAACGGAATATCGAAATAATACCGGTATTTATTTTGGTATTTGGTAATAGTATATCGGTTTTGGTATAGCTTTGCTGGAATAATTCCGATATAAAATCTCTGATTAGAGAACGACGCTTCAATTCTAAATACAAATACGTTCTTCTAGATAATGCGTAATTTATTAGGAACACACATGGGTCACTCTGCACTCTATACTATGTGTCGTTTATTGCAAGATGCAAATTTTCAACGAGACGTACGCTTACTCAGGGGTGCAGTGTTTTATGTAAATATGGGTCTTTGGGGTACACATCGAATCCCAAAACTAGAGTGTACTCCAACATCTGTTTTACCTTCTTTCTATCAAGTAGGTATTAACATTTCCAAATATTTAATAGTTTATGTCAACGTTCGATTTTAATCTATACTTTCTCAAGGCTTTAAAATGTAATCATCCAATTGTTATGTATGAAGTTACGCTATCAATTCAAAGACTAGTGAATAAATATGGTGCTGAGTTGTGGGATCCTACGTGGAGCATTATTCTCGATATTATCCGGGAAGTTATTTCTCATACAGGTAAATCTCACATTTACAAATTACATTTGTATGAAATATACAATTAGTTGTGGTTTGTATTACTTTCTTTCTCTCTCTCTTTCTTTCTTTCTCTCTCTTTCCCTCTCTTTCTCTCTCTCTCTCTCTTTTTTTCAGAAACAAGCAATCAGCCTGCGACCAAACAAGTTTCTATGAGTTTGCACGAAACAATAAATAGCATTGAGAATTTATTGGACAACAATCACTATAATGGTTGTGTGTCACGATTTTACGATCTTGTCGAACGATGCAGCGATACTCGACCTGTAATTACTATATTTGCAATATTGTAGTTCTGGCACTGTTAGGAGTTTTGAGTCTGGTGATTTTTTCTAATCGAATTATAAACATTTTTCGCTCAGATTTCTAATTATTTTTCAGTTCTATACATATAACTGAAATCGGATTAGAAAAATTCTAAATTATGGTTTTTCCGTACCAATTTAATATAAAAGATTTTTTTTTATAATATTTCACTTTGTTTCGATACGAAAACATTCACAATTCTGAAAGAATGAGTGTAAAATTCGATTGGAATAATCGTTCGACCCAAAATGGAGGATTCTGGAACCCGAATGTTCCAAATTTTCTCAACCCGAATCCGACCCGAATCCGAGCCGAATCACGAGTTCCTTAAGTACACAACATGTAGAATTAACTCTTTTCGTAACCACGTGCAATTGAATATATTTTTTTTTTTAGGAAGGATCCGTTTTGAAACTGATCGAGTATCGAGCGCGAACTATAGGACCAACTCACTATCATTGGCAGTCGAGATTAGCTAATTTGATGGAACGTTATTACAAAATCGAAACGCGTACCAATGTTAGAATGAAGGTTCTTGACGTTTTCACGAACGTGATTCAAATTAACAGGTATCATCGAACAATATAGTTTCCAAATAAACAGTCTATAACTTTGTTTTTTTCTTTTTTAATTAGATCCAGGTACGAGGATGAATTGATAGAACGAATTGTTGTGCCATATTTTCAACATGTAGACATGGATTCTGATATTGCAATTCGTAACGGTGTTGCCCATTTGCTTATCGATCTTTGCCTGGAATGCGATACGAAACGATGTTTGGAACTCTTGGACATGTTGGAAAAGGTACTACATTTTTTATATTTGGAAGAAACGTTCTTGAAGCGTCCGCTTGTGTGATTTTTAAGAAATATCGTAGGTTTTTGGAGTAGCCAAAAATAAAGAATAAGTATTTCTTTTAGCTGCAACGAGTCAAGTTTAAAAAATAAAACTATATATAGAATATTTCTAAAATAGTAAATAACTAATATTGTTTTTTTTTTTTGTTTTAGTTGATTAACAAGCCTTTCTATTCCGACAGTCCAATAATAAAGGACGTGGACATCAAAGACGCGAAAACTGCAGTTGTGGGCATAATAAAGATATTGACGTTAAAAATATACTATTTACCATCGAGCCATGCGATACGTGCTTACAAAATTTTAGTGAATCATCTGGAACAGCACTACAAAGATCCGTCTGTCTTTCACGATGTTCCCACGATTAGATATCTGGTAATATATAAATTTAAGGCCAGGTTTGCCCTTTGTTTTTTTTCAAAAAATTAATTTTTTTTCTTATATATTCTTGAAATATGAAGTTTATAGAATAATTCCTGAAAAATTGATTTAAAAAATTAAAAGAGGGAAATCTGATCTTAATTCAAACTTGGATTTAAAATATAAAATTCAATTTTAACTACTAACATTCCGTTCTAGATTTTCGAATGTTTTTTGAAGATCAGGGCAAATACACTTTACCATCTTGGATTTCCCGACGAAAAAAATACATCCGTGACACGTTTCAGTTCTTATTTAGTTTTAGAACATGCCGCGACTGAACGGATGAATAGCGGGGGTGGTAATAGTCCTCCGCCAGCAAGTCCAGCTCCATTGCAACATTTATCTTGTCAAATTACTCATATGTCATTGGCACACGCGTGCAAAGCCGTCATCTCTTGTATTAAATTAGAGAAAGGTTCATATTCATATTTATTACCATATCGTTGAAATTGCCCACGTAATGAATTAGGATTTTTTTTATATTTTTCTAGATTGGAAAGTTTTGCAGTTCGTGTTAAAAGAGTTGCCTCAAGTAATGCAAAACAGAGCGTTGGTATTGTCAAGGCATACTAACGATATTGATTATTTTGCAGCTGCACTTTGTTCGATGGTATGTCGCTATATATGAGCTATCCATTTGCCAAATTGATTAACTATCCTTCCTTTGAAAATTTGAATTTGTAATATTGAGCATAATTATTAAGGAAATATTATTTTAAATATAAAAATGATGTATCAATCAAGTTCTTTGACACTCAAATTTTAGAAAGTTCAAATATATGGTTAATCACTTTGACTCGTAAGCGGTTCATGTATATCATCTTCAATCTTTCAAACATTCACATAAAATTTATTTAACATGTCTTGATAGGTCAGTGATAAGAGCTTAAGACTTCCAGAATCATTGTACAATGTTCCTCCAAAATTCACTCTTTCTGAGTTTCGCGTTCATGTTTTTCCAGTATTAGCGTCGTTAGCTTCGTATCATGCGCACCTGGAACCTAATTTGCAACAACGTCTGATCAAATGTTTAGAGGTAAAGGTAAAGGTTTTTTTATTTAAAAGCATAGTTTCGTGTTATAAATACTGAAATCTTGATGTTTAGGTGGGTTTGACAGCGAAATGTGCGAGTCAGTGTGTCACTAGTCTCACAACTTGCATTTTAGAAATGCGAGACGCGATGAACAAACTTTTGTCAGAAGTTCTGTTGAACTTGTCGAAAATTTCGGCGACGGTACACATAGCTATACCAATTTTGGAATTCTTATCCAGTAAGTATAATGTGTTTGAACGGCTAGTAAGTATACGGTTATTCAGATTAAGTGTCGCATCAATAATGTAAATTTATTGTTAAAATATTCCAACTTTTACTGTATATGATATAAAGATATACTGTAATGATTCTCAAAATGAGCTCCAGACGTGATTCGTAAGTTGAACATTTCTGCTAACTCCACAAAGATATTCTTAAAAATATGCTATTTACCACGTTAAATTATATAATAATTTAATAATAGTATGCGATGAATGTGTATTGTCAGATGCATTAAATTCTGACTAAATTAAAATAATTAGAATAAACTTGCCTCAGTGTTGTATAATCCATAAAGTTTTACGAATACATATTTACGGATTTTCCGAAAAGAAATATTGTTTTAATCCTTTTAAGAAGGAATGTAAGGAAACATGGTAACAGCTCAGAAGCCGAGGAGGTCGTTAAAATGATATTTTCACAATTGCTGTAATGAAGTAGACTTTATATTAAAGTAAAGAAACCCGAAATATTTTTAATAGTTTGTGGTTTATGCCAGTTCAAAGATATGACACTCAATGTGGATAATCCTATACATGTATGTATATAAAAGTCTTGTATCGGTTCGGACGTAAACGATATTTCTTTTTTACTGCAGCCCTTACTAGACTTCCAAAAGTATTCGCAAGTTTTATCGGTGACCAGTACATGTCCGTCTTTGCTATCCTATTACCATATACAAATCCATTCAAGTATGACCATTATACAGTATCGTTGGCGCACCATGTAATCGCTGTATGGTTTTTGAAGTGTCGATTACCATTTCGAAGAGACTTTGTTAGATTTATTACTACAGTATGTATATATATATTATTAAATTTTCAATATAAATCAGGCATAACGTTTAGGTAAGTTTCCTTACGGTGATCTTTCTCTCGCCACAGGGTCTGAAGGCTAATGTAATAGTACCTTTCGAGGAGGGGCACCTAATGAAGTCGGATTTCAATTTTGTAAACGAAGATTCGTCGAACAGAAAACGTAGTTCGAGTTTAACGGAACAGGTGCAAATTAATTAACATGATTCTGGTATGCTTTTCGTCATATTCACCTTTTTGCAAATCAAGTTCTTCTAAAAATTTGTTTTCTTAAGCCGTTGTAATAAAGATACAATCCGATGTGAAGTTATTATTCTTAAATAAAAATAGTGCCGCACGTGTGTAATAATACTTGACCATAAAATTAACATAAAAATTTTATTTAACATTAGAAGTATCAATTAGTCGTCCTTTGAGTGCTAGAGTTCGCTAATTACGAAAGAGGTACACAAGAAACGACAAAATTACATTGTATCACTTCGCTTTTCGGTCACCCACAAGATGAGTTTGATTTGCACGAAGGGGAATTTGATTTTAAAAACCTATATCGTGTTTTTAAATTTAGGGCAGCAGAGGCAGGAGAGAGAGACCAATTATGGCCAATCGCATTATAGGCGACGGGAAAGTTTCAGATTTGAAACCTCCGATAGACGAAGCTTTAATGACCTTTCACGTGGAACTCACAGAAACTTGCATCGACCTTATGGCTCGTTACACATTTTCAACATACTCTGCACGACCCAAAAGGTAAACTTCTAACACCGTTGATTGCCAATTCAAAAAACGTAAAATTGTTCTACCGTAACCAAATTGTTGATTTAGTTTATCATTGTATAATTAAAAATTTGAATTTCATTCGACCAGCAATGAACGAAACATTTATTTCTTGTTCGTTGTTAGAGAATTCTATTATGTAAATTGTAAAAGATTACTATGTATTTATTTTTGTTTTAGACTTCCAACTGCTGACTTTCTGCTCAAGGAAGGCCAATCGATGACGTGGCTACTCGGTAATAAACTTATTACTGTTACGACGAGCGGTTGCAGTAACAAAGCAATGAGAGGAGGACTTTGTGATAATTGTTGGGTTGCTTGCAAACCTGGAACCCAGACGCCAGAACATGCTAGAACGTCTCAGTTGAATTTAAGACGAGCTTCGAGTACAGAGGTACTAATATCAAAGATTTTATAACCGAATTTTTCATTCATTCTTTCCCAATTTAACGAAGCCTCCATCAACAAATTGGTATTCTTGATTTTCGTCTTATTTTCACCTCTAGAATCTCCCATTAAAATTTTTCCCAGGGTTGGTCGATCATCCTGTATAGAGTGGTCCACTTAAATTACTTGAAAACCGTTTGTCATATGAAAAAAATGTTTGAAATAAAAGTTGTAGGGTATAAAGTTTTTCACAACTTTTGTTTCAAATATTTTACATATATAATATTATAGTAAAAAGAACAACCGCATACACGCATTGTAATTTTAATATAAATAATATTTTATTCAATGTTTGGGCATAGGAACGTAAAACTATAAAATACTAAATGTGAAATCCAATTTGCTATTGTTACATCTTTTTCCTAATTTACTAAATGGTTGGTTCGTAGACAGCAAAGGAGGAAAAATTATCCAGACAGTCTTCTGGGGGCCACGGAAGCTCCACTGGGAACACAGCTGCAAATTCTCCGACGGAAGAATTGAAAAAGGTCTCCGAGGATTTGGATGCAACAAAAAGGGATTATTCTGTAGAAAAAGCTGACAAGGAACAAGTTGAATCGTCAAAATTGGAACAAATACTCAACAGCGAGAAACAGGAAGAACATATTCTGTGCGCTTGCTGGTGTCAAGGCTGGGCTGAAATATATGTGCGCAGGCCTACGGGAGACATGTCTTGGATAATGAGGATTCAGAATTCTATGCAATTCGAAACTCACGTAGATTTCCCTGTGTACGACATAATGGCCTTGTACAGGCCAAACCAAGATTTATTGCAAAAACAGCAAGAATCTACGTCAGAATACTCGGGAGACGAGGCAGAGGTAACTTAAAAATATTCGAAGAATAACATATGGTAGTTTCCAAAAGGCGATTTCTTTTGGGAAATATCAGAAAATTCTTTTATTTTTGAAGAATGGGCAACGTTATTAAATGTTTAGTCATTCTAGTCGAGAACGAATAATTTTGTAACTTAATGATGAATGTGTTTCGTCATTATTCACCAGAGTAGGAAGAAACATTCTGAATTAAAATTTTCTTTCTTGGATTGATGGTCGAAGAGAGAATTGCCTGTTTTTCAAGATTACTAGACCTTATAGCCTTCGATTTTTATTTATGAAGTTGTACGAAGAAATTTTTTTCTAAAATTTTATTTATGGAATCATATTAAGGAAATTAGTGATATTTGTGAAAATTTAAAAAAAATCCGGGACTTTGCATCTTCATAACTAATCCTATAATCGAAAAATGTTCTTCTTTTCCCTGTATTTTTATTCAATCTTACCCTATACACAAATATCATTGGACGTCTTACTATCACGATATTTTATAAGATTTTTTCTTCTAGGATACTGCAGACAAGAATGCAGACCAAGTGCAAAGCGACCATAGCAGTATTATGAAATCTGTGACATCGTCTTCCGTATCGTCGGGTCCAATCGCTATACCGGGTTCACCAGCACGACCGAATCCTTCGAGGCAAAGTTCACGCGATAGTTTAGAAAGTTTGGAAGATGGCGAAGATGGTACGATCGAGTATTATTTTAACTATGAAGGAGTATTCAAAGAGAAACGTAAAATGTAAGAATTATTGATAGATTTACGGCGTTCGCGAAATCCAGTGCGGAGATCGAATTCCAGCCCAGAGATGAGTGCCAATTGGAAAAATCCATTTTTAAACAAGGAGAAACTAAATTTGCAACAAGTAGATCGTGAACTATCGTCTGCAGACGTGGAAATTAAAACTGATGCAGAATTGAAGAAACATGCGAAAACCACGTATGCTAAAGACATGAGGTACGTTACTACTTTCTTCTGTAAGAAGAACATGCAAGTAATCTATAAGTTATTTCTTCCTTCTACATACATATACATATAATATTTATCGAATAATATTACCGATTATCTTCTAAGCGATGCATAATAATAGTAATTTTTAACAAGACATCACTTTGATTACAAATGACCTCTACGTGTTCATTTTAAAAAATTAGAATGACCTTCGTAACTAAGAAAGATCAGGAATTAAAAAAAAAATAATTCATGTGCACCTTATAACTGATTTGAAGTTGTGTAAATCTCTTTTATCGAACTTTTTTCTAATTTCAATCGTTTACGAGATATTTGCTTAGATACTTATGGACGGACACCTTGTATATAAAGATAAAATTGATAAATACAGAGTGAGTTGCGAGGCTATACCGGAGGAAATATTTGGCATGGGTACAACACCACCGTCGTCAGAAAATACGTCAGAACATCCGACTGCATTAAAATCACAACGTTCTTATCCAGGAGCAACGCAAGTCACCCAAGTTCTTACAACTACTAGCAATACCGTTCCACCATCGCCGACCACTATACAGGTTCAGAATTCAAACAAATCAGATTTCTAATATATTTAAAAGCTCCAGTACAAAAAACCTTCATATGCTTTCCTTCTAGGTACAAGGAAACTTCTTGGGTGTACAAGCGCGCGCTTCCCAAATACAATCGTCTACCACAAAACCTCCACAATCGCCCACCCAAATTTATCCCCGTTTATCTAGTCTCGATTCCGGTCAAAAACTATCAACATTAGGCGCGGAGAGTAAACCTCCCATCGGACGAAATCATCTCGCAGATAAAGTATCGTAACATATATAATTATAATTAACCAATCAATATTTTTGTTTCTATTAAAGTTTAAGTATTCGAATTTTTTTTAGCAAAAGGATGAACGACCCGATCCTTCTATGCTGCCCCCTTTGCCTTTACCATTTCGTGATAGGGGGCACACGATTTCCGTCATGAGTCCGGTGAAAAAATCTCGCGCGGAATGGGATAATATTCGTAGAGGGAATTCACCGCGTGTAAAAGACCCACCTAAAACCGGTATTAATCCTAGGTAACCGAATAGCATTTTCTAAATATAGGACACAACGAATTTAAATGCATGTATGTTTTTATTATACATTATAGTTTCGTGTTTTTACAACTATATCATACTGCACATTTTGGCTCTCCCTCGGAGAAACCTTTGCTGGTTCCACAAACAACGGCTGTGCAAAGAGCAGTAACGAATTTAGATAGAATACAACCGTACGAAACCCATAAAATCGGAGTTCTTTATGTTGGCCCTGGTCAAGCTTCCAACGAAACTGAAATTTTAGCCAATCAGCATGGATCTCTTCGATACACTGAATTCTTACAACGATTGGGAACGTTGGTCCGATTAAAAGACGTCGATGAAAGCGTATTTTTGGGAGGCTTGGATCGTAATGGCGAAAATGGAAACTTTGCATATATTTGGCAAGACGATGTCACGCAGGTTTCTACCAGTCATTAATACTTTCATACTATTTTATATATATATATATATATATATTGTGTTTACTTATTAATATAAATACATACATTATAATTTAATCGAATGAAAGATCTGAATTACAAATTACGACGTGATTGCATTATAATAGAATATAATCCTTTTAAGACACCCTGTATATACAATGACGATAAATTGAAATAAAAATTGTTTAGGTGGCCTTTCACGTGGCTACTCTGATGCCCACAAAACCTAGCGATCCAAAATGTACGTCCAAAAAGCAACACATTGGAAACAATTATGTCACTGTCGTTTACAACGAATCTGGAGAACTATACAACATACAAACTGTGAAAGTATGTGCTCTTGTAATATTATCTAAAAATTTCATAAAACTGCAATGACTTTGTTTTTTTTTTGTTTAGGGACAATTCAATTACGCATGCGTTGTAATTCAACCTTTAGATCATGGTACCAACCAGGTCACAGTTCAAGTCAAAGAAGAATTAGCAAAACATATTCGACATAGTGAACCTAAAATTATTTCTGATCAGAATTTAGCCATTCTGTCTCGGCAACTTGCTCTTCATGCCAATGTAAGTTTCTTTAAAAGTGTTAAAAGTCGAATTGTAACTATCTGTAATTTTATGTTACTGTTTACAGCTTGCTTCAATGGTTTCGTCGTCTTTAGAACAAAATAGTCATAACCCATATGCCTCAAATTGGCTGGAGCGTTTACGCCACATTAAACGATTACGAAACCGGGTTTTACAAGAGTCTATAAACAACAATCCAGATGGAACTACTGACGATTTATCGCCCAGGCCGAACAAACGCGTTTATATGGATGATTTTACCGAATACACAACATGACTTCATCTTAATTAAAAACTTACATAAATGTTGTTACTAATGTAATTCATATTCGTTGTAAACTTATGTACTTTGTTGATGCAATAATTAAGTACCCTTTATGTGAACTTTATTAAGCAATTATTTAGAAAATTAGCAGAACGACTCCCTTCTAGGTGATGGATAGGGGCAGCCGCTGGGATGGGGTCATTAGCCTGTGAGGGCTGGTGGCTGCATTCTCCTTGTATGGCATCCCAGAGATCGGAGCGAAAACTCCCGCGGACCAAACACCGGTATGAATGCATTATGTGTGTGAGTGAGCTGGGGCATATGATATTTACCGCGAGTGAGTCCTACGACCAACGTGGCCCCGCGGCCAGTGGCTTAGTGCCCCATATCTTAGGGCCACGGGCGCTGGTGACCAAACTCCTGCGATTGAGTGGGAATGTGGTGGGAGGAGCATCCCCCACTGGGATGGGCTTGAAAGGCACGGCATGGTGAGGGACTCTGTGATCTCTCACTAGAGTTCCCGGTTCTCCATCAATGCGCCTGAGGATCGTCACTATGGGGTTTTATTCGGGAAGAGTCCGGCACTACCTGCGGGCCTTCCCTTCGGGGGGGCTCGCAGGTGTCCATGAGAATTTCCCCACATACAAAAAGAAAATAGATAAGAATATCGATGTATCAATTAACCATTTTTTATAAGAAATAATTATAATATAATAATAACAAAAAATTCAGAATGACAAATTTTGTGCATATATGATATGGTGGTATTTTAACACTTAGCCAACTCACTTTAAAGTAATTGAAAACAACGAAGACAAACAAGATCGGCGTTCCTCTGTCTGGCTTGATTGTTTTCAATTATAAGATAAGGAAAAACATAAAAACGGATGTCGTTTCAGCGCTCATGTGTCCCCAGCCTAAGTGTTACGGTTGCCAGCTATTGATATATTTACCCTAAAAGAGTCGATTCAGAATGTGTCGTATGGTGACACACGTCTAACAAAAAGGATGACTCAAAACGAATAAAAAAGACGCAAATTCGCCATTTTTCTCAATTTATCGCAGTTGTCTGTAGTGTTATCAGATCGTAAACCGGTACTCAAAAGAAACTGTCCCCTCCACTTGTGCATACTAATGCACAGCTACGTGTACTTACGTGAGCTCCGGCGCTTTAGATAGCTTCGGGCATTCGAGAAAGAAGATGAATATGAACCTTTCTTTCCTCTTGCTCTCGAAACAGCTGAAATTCGACTTGCGTCAACAGCGTACGATTTCGAGTCTCGAATCTCGACACTCTTGACCAGAGATTCCTATTTCACGCGTAGTTAATATGTACGTGCATTTCATAATACATGGATGTACGGGCATTGAGATACACAGATCATAATGTGCGTGTACTCAAGTTCTGAGATTTACGGGTACACATCTGTTCCAGATCTATCGATCGATCTACGATCACTGGTAACACTGGTTACCTACGCGTGTTTATGCATTAGTATGCGTAAGTGGTGGGGGATTTCGACGATGGAACCTATCTACGTTTAGCTTGGCATCGTTGCTCGACGTTTAACATAACCTCTCCCTCACGGTCTTCGACCAATCAATATCAATTTAATAGCCAAATCTCCAATAAGACGTGACTTCTAAAGTTTAATTTTATAGATAGAAATACTTTGTTAGTAAGTTTATATTAAATAATACAATCTACTTGTTATGTACAAAAACCTTGGAATGACATGAATTTTATGCATAATTATATAATTTCCTGCTCCTTTGTCCTAACATTGCTAGTTAAGGGTACATTTATCATAAGCGTGTCTATTGAGAATCTGTGGTTTGTCTGCCAACTCAACTGACAATGACTAACAATGACAAAGATTTTTCGAAAATGGTAAAGAAAGGTACATATTCGCCATCTTTGTCGACTCTCCAAATTGTCCGAGGCGCCACAGTTCACTTACGCGTGCTTTTGCGTTAGTATGCGTGAGTAGTGGGGCAGATCCTTGATGGAACCGGTCTGCCGTCTGGCATCGTTGCTCACGGGTCGATTTTCCGTACATCAACAGATCCTTACCGTGCTCAGCACGGTGTGCTGTCAGATCCATTTTGGTTCTGTCAGCTGGTAAAGAAGAGGAGTGTATAACAATCAAAATGGTAAATGTGTTTTGTGTGCGTGGAATCGGAATTGGTTCGACACGTGCCTACGTTTTCTAACGATCGTAATTTTCTTTCAATTTCCAGTCGGTCGTTGAAAACATATTATCGATTATGCAGAAACCAGGACAGGATCCTGTTGCCAAGGACGACGTACCCTGGTGGATGAAGTACGCTGGCCGAGGACTTGGCACCGTAGGAAGCCTAAGTACGTTTACGCTGAGTATATACGTCACAAAGCATATTTCATCCTCACAGATTTAATCCCTGCTCATTATTTCTCAATTACCAAAAATTTCGCTTTATCTTTGAAATTCGCATACCAATTCTTTTCTAACATAGTTACACAACCTTAAATCTTAATCCATATTTGTTGGTTGTAACATTTCTTTTGTCTTTTTGAAAATCATATTATCATCGGTCTTTGTTTATAATTCTATCGTACTATGCAGTAATTGTTACTGATTTATTGCAGTTGCAATATTTCTTGGAGCTTGGAATTGTGCATCGATACTCTTGGGTTCCATAAATTGCTTGATCAGCGGCATGTGGCAGATGGTGGCTGGTTTCATAGTCATAATGATAGAAGCGCCGTGCTGCTGTCTGTTTATTGATTTTGTACAAAACCTTAGCGACTGGGCAGAGAGCAGACCCTATTGGTACAGGGCAGCTGTGTATTGTTTGTAAGTTCCTTTGATTCAACATTCGAAGCATGACTGTATGTTTCTTTTCATTTCTGAATGAATATTAGACATATGTTTCTTTTTAATCCAGGATAGCGCTTCCATCAGTCTTCCTTTGTATAGGACTGAGCAGCCTGTTCGGCAGTGGTTTGATATTTGCAACGGGTGTAATATACGGATTAATGTCGCTCGGAAGAAAGTAAGTCAGTCATTTTACACTTAAAGTAATTCCTTTACACATAAACTACCTTTCGTACCTATTTCAAATCACAATGATCATTTGTTGTCCCATTACTTTAGTTAATGTGAGTGAAATGTGCGGTAAGTTTCTTTAATGTGTGTACATTGCTTACGGGTGGAGTGGGTATTTATGTTTGAAATTGTTGCTGTGGTTTTTGGGTACATAACTTAATTCATCATTGCGTAAAATATTTATTATTTCATTTATATCATCGTATTATAATTAAGGATCAAGTTCTTGAAACCTAAGTAAACAAGAAACTTTAATTTTTATTTCATTTAAGGAAAGTTCATTTGTTCTTTAAATGTTAATAAAATATTCCTAAAAGTTTTAAAAATTTTGAAAACATCTTGAGGTAAAAAGAATGTTAACATTTTAAATATCTGTGTTAGAAAATTATCTAAATGTTCAGTCTATTTTTTGTAATCGAATATTTTCGTAATTAGCTATAAAAAAGTAATCAATGTGAGATTATGTCTTTAGAATTGAAGAAGACTTGTTTGAAACAGGTTTATCCGAAGTGAATTTATTTAAAACAGTTTTGTTTGAAACAGCTTTGTGTGAAAATTGTTGTCCATTACCAGAAATTATTCAGATTTAAGCACAGGGAATTTGAAGTGTTGAATTTAATAGAACGAAATTACTAATGTTGTTACTAATCCACTAATAATAACAGAGGATCCAGGCCCGACCAAGCAGGAATGACGTCGGGTATGGGTTCCCCACAGGGTACGGTACCCCCTACTATAGATCACCCTCCAACTATCGTGGAGGATCCCGATGTCTGGAGCTCTACATAAATCATCAAACATTCATTGCACCACTTCACTAACCAGGCAATAATATATTAAATTTAATGGTACTCTTATGTTTGTAGTTCTCTTAGAAAACACTATACAGTAATGTCTTGGATATGGGCTGCTGTTTAGGATCGAAACTGATCAAAGTTGAAAAAAGGTAGATCGTCCAGGAAATTCAGTGTGGCTTTTTTCCAGACAATGCAAATGAGATGGAAATGCATAACACGGCACATTGATATTTCACAAAACATAAACATACTGTGCTTCACTGACAAGAAGTCCTCTGACTAATCCAGGCTCGTTTGTTCTAAGAGACTTCTAGTCAGTGGAGCACTGTACTTGATCATTGAGATAAGTGGGAAGCTAGTTTTAAGAATTGGTGCCGATAGCAACTGGTCAATTTTCAAGGCATCACTGTACCTTTATAATTAGTAGATTTTATATTCACAGTAATACAAGTTCCATTATCCTGTGTTAGATTCATTGGTCCTGTTTCGCTAAATTTCTGTGGTAAAGTTTAGTTTGTGATTTATAAGGGAACCTAAAAATTCTTATTCTTTTAGATTTGTAAATGTTTTTGTCCTCTATGCAAATGAAATTAGATTGGGAAAATCTGAAAGCAAAGGAAACAATCGATATTGTATCAATTTTATTTAAAATGTGTATGAAGGAAATATGATTTATATGAAAGCTTGAAAGAAGTGTACATAGAGTAAATAGTTTTTACAGAACATATTATGAACTGTTTTCTTTGTTTTCGAATTTTTGGAAACTAATTTCAGTGAGATAGAATACAAGATCATTTAGACATTTTGAAGAATAAATGTGAAATTTTATTAGAAACATCAGGCGATCTGAACAAAATGAGTTTAAAATTCTGCAAATTGACACCCATACATTAATTACTATCTAATTTTGTAAAATTAAAATGCATGCTTAAGTTTGACAAAATTGTTTCCTAATCTTAAGTAACCATTCATTTACATGCAATCACTTTCATTAATTTGCAAAGTCCATTGCACAGCTTTCGACTTGTTATTTTAAAACAGTATGCATGCTACCATTCTTGTATACTTTCAGAGTTTCAAGTAGAAATGCAAAAAAATCAATTGTACAAACTTAGAAGTTACAATAAAGAATAAAACCACTTTATGCAACATCTGGAAATCATGGTTTTAGTTGGATTAAGGTTTACATTAGAATAATTATAACAAATTTTATTTCAAAACCATTATTTATCGTACTTTTTCAACTCTAATAACTAATTTTCTTCAATTCCTGCCAAAATTCCGAAACATTAAAAAATTTAGGTAGTTGCAACATTTATGCAACTGAAAATCATTTTTTTAGTTGTGTAATATTTTATATGGGAATAATTTTAATAAATTCTAATTAAAAGTTATTATTTATCTTGCTCTTTTAGTTTGTACAACTAATTTTCTTATATTTCTACTCAAAAGTTCAAAACTTGCTTTAGTTACGCACTACAATGGTATAATACTTTTTTGCTTACTCAAAATTATTAATCTTCTATATCCATTCATAATTATGTAATTTTAATGTTTAACATCGATTTAAATCGTATAATAAAACAGGATTAGTGTCGAAACTTATTACAAAAACGTCGAAATGATAAAATGTTGTGTTTTAAAGGTAAATAAATAATGTATATAGATAGTCTTACAATAACAGATTTCACTTTTCCTGTAATAAATTTCTTCTGTTCTGTAAAATGCAATATTCGAAGTTATAAAGATTAGTAGCAATTTTAAGAGAAATTTATTTATTTATACATATAGTAAATATAAATTATTTAAATCCAGTAAAATAATAATATATTTTGAACAGTGACTATTTTCAATATCTCGTATGCAAATAGTCTTTGAATAGTTCTCACAGTTTCATTGAAATATCATTAATATTACGTTTGGCTTCTCATTACAATTAAGCACATCTTCAGAAGGGTGGAAAATTGTTTGGATTTTAATGACTTCTGAATTTTTAGGGCACCTCTGCGAGAAATGAGATCAGCAGCGACGATTGTCGAGGTTCCTTCGTCGAGTACGCAAGCCACTCTGGTTGAAAATGCTGAACCGATGGGGTTTTCAAACAAACCGGATAGTAATGTTTGACTTGTAAAAATTAATTGGCAAAAGATCGTTTGGCGCAAGTGGTGATGCATATTGATCGATCGAAGAATAACCAAGCCCGTGAACATTACTATAATAAGACGCTTGTTTCTATCCAACGATATCTTGGAAATTTTATTCAATATGCAATTGCCGTTTGAATTATTAGTAATGTTTGTGTTGGAGTTTAGATAAAATATTAATTATGTAATGCTTACAACCAATGTTGTTTCGTCATACTTATTATCCAATTTAATTGCAATTATAAGTTTTAGATCAAAATGAAAGACCACTGTAAAAATTGTTTCATGGGCTCGGTCTTCATGCGGTCTTTTTTATCTGACGTGTGTCATAATGAAACTTCTGACGTTGGTTGATTTTGGACGTAATTTCCCATTGAAATTTTACATTTCCACGAGATAAGTTTCCATTTTCGGGTAAATGACACTTCCAAAATGTAAAATACTTCGAGATTTCGAGGAAGACTATATCGGATCATAAAAGTGGTCAAGTACCATATCTTGTTGATTTAATAATTCTTCTCCTTTTTTATGCATTCTTAATGCATTCTTCTCTCTGCCAAATTTATTGTACATATATATATTCGTATATGTATACCTATATAGGTCTGAATTAATATGTAATTATTTTACGCAATATGTAAATTTGTGTTGCATTGTACTTTTCGTAGTTTTTTTTTCTTTCTGAAATGTAGATTTTTAGAAGTTTAATTTGTAATAGTTGGTAATTTCATTTTTGTGGCCAAATATATTTTAAAAGTTTATGAAACTAACTACTATTTTGTGATATAGCAAAGAAAAGGAATAATTATTACGTTAGTGTATTTAAATGTATGAATACATTATGTTCGGGACGATCCTGACATTTGCATTAGTATTCCTTATATTCGCGATTGGTTTTTACTCAATATTAAATACGCAGGTGATTCCGCGCTCATTGTTGTAGTAAAATTTTTTTAATTCTTTTTTTTTCTCAATATAAAGTTATATCATGTACCACTAATCAAATAAGCATTTACTTGCTATTCCGAATTATCAATATGCTCGATTATTTTCTTATCCTACATTCCCATGTTTAGTTAATTTATTTATTAAGAACAAAAGACTATAGACGTTCGGCAACGAATCAGTTTTTCCAATTCCTTTAATATTGCATTTGCCAAATGAATTTAATTTAAAAGCCATTTTTTAGAGGCATGCAGATGATTGTATTGTCATAGTTAGTATTATAAACCTAATTTTTATTGTGATTCACATAATATATATGTATATACATATATATATATATATATCATTGTGATTGTGTATGATTAAGAAGACTTTTATGTTCGTATATAACAAGAAAATTAGTATACTTATGAATCGCATATAAGGTATTAGTTAGTGTCTATAGAAAGATGGAAAAGTATGCATGCAATATAATTATTCATTGCATGTAGTTCATGTACAGCACCCATCTACACACAGGACTCGCACACACATACACACACACACACACACATTGAACATTTCTGGTTTCGATAATGGTATTTCTAAACATCCTTTACGAAATATATTTATTTGAAACGTGTAAAATTTTGTTGGTAAACGTAAGGAAAAAATATGTTATCGATCTCTATGTAATGAACTGTTAATTAACAGTTATCAGTATGAACATTTATATGTAATGCTCAATAATAAAAACGGATTACGTAGTATAGTATATCGTACGAGTCAAATATTATACCGGAAAGTCAGGGGTGTACGGGTAATCGCGCCGCGGGTCTGGACCCGAAAGTTTGTTACGCTCGGGTACCCGAATATTTATAAGACTCGGGTACCCGACTCTCTCATTGGAGCTCGAAAGTTTCTGATAATTGGGTACCCGAAAACTTGTAAATCTCGGGTACTCGAAAGTTTGGTCTATTCGGTAGTTTCTAATGATGAAGTCGTATCGAGTACCCTAGTCTCTTACTGGAATTCGAGAGCTTACAATATTCAGGTACCCGAAATTGATGTCGCCACTAGAATTTTACAAATGTTCGTGTTCCTGATCTTACTTTGATTTCGGGTACCCGAATGCTATAAAATCAATTCTTCCTGGCCGGAAACTCTAAAAACTTACTCGGATTCGAAATGTCGGGAACCCGTCCACCCCAACCGAAAGGAATTATCGAATTGTTTTTATGATTCTATATCATTTCAATAACAAGCTACTTCTATTACATCGTTAAAAAGCTAAGATTCTGACTTATGCGAATGAAACAACAAAATAAAATATTGAGTAGAATTTCTGTAAATGTATTATGTACAATATATACCATAAATTTACATGCGCAATGGTTTATTGATATTGTAAGTAGCAATACAATGAGAATATGATAGCTATATTTTTCTGTCATAAAGAAAAATGTGTTCAAAAATTGAATAATTTATAGTTTTACACATACTCATGACCAATTATCAGAATTAATCATATCTTATAATGGAAGGACATACATAGTTTGCTACAGATTAATGTATTGCGTGTAAATTAAAAAAAGAAAATGTAGATATTTAACTTCTATTATACAACATATCAGTTGGTATATTTATTATTCGTATAATGTTTATTGTACTATAGTGGTTATTGGTCGGCTTCTAATACTCGCGCGAAAAAAAGTAGTATAAAAGTATTTTCAACGAAGACTCGAAAATGTTCAATTACACTAATGGCATTTATTAAACAAAAGCTTGAGACATATTGTTACGTACATATTATATTAGCAGTCAAAGTAACAAATTGATGGGTTTGATTATCTGTTACATATGTGTATAGTGAAATTGTCAATAAATAAGCCAAATTATTAAAATTTTAACAGATTTTTTAATTAATGTCAACTAAAATAAATTCTCAATAAGCAATCATTATTTATTTAATCTACAATTTTATTAACAGTATTGTTAATAGTACCAACCAAATTCCAAAGATTTCGTTTATACTTTTGTTATTAATAAATTTGTGTTGAATATTATAGTATATAATACATAAATAAATAATCAAAAACAATAAAAATATAATTACGTTCGTGAATTATAATTGGAAAATTAAAATATGAATTAAAAACTTACCAACAGAATTCATTGAAAATATACTAAATTCTCCTATAATATGGTTTCCATGTAACATATTTTTAAACATTTCCATATCCCTCGTGTAGCGCGAATTTTTCCATCGCATTTTAGTTGAAAAAAAAAAAACAGAATTCCCCGTTTATACTAAATGAGATAATAAAATAGTTTCTTTATAATTATGTAGAATTTGGGCAACATTTCATTAAATTGTTAAATTTTTGTTTATTTTAATTTCAATGTACTAACTTTTAACTTCTTCCTTTATAGACGTAAATTTATGTTATAGCCTCATATTAACAATCTTTCAGGCATACGTTTATTGTCTGTTTTTGTTCGTTACTTTTAAATAAACCAATCATGTCTGATTCTAATATTTCAATTTTAACAAGAATTGTTACTACTTTATATCGGATTTGTATTATTTCCAAGTATCGATACAACAGGGAATGAATTAACCATGTTATAAGAGGATTGACTGAATTATATTAGGTTATAATTTATTTTTCTCTTTATTATATTCGTTGAAAATTTAATGCTGTAATGTATTTTATACAATAATGCTAACAATAACGAAAGAATGTTTCATAAGAACGAACGGTCGTATTCTTTTCCAGTAGAAAGTAGTAGAATAAAACTGTCAATGTAATAACATTTTTGCAGGCTTCATTACATGTGAAATACTAATTTTCATTGTTTTCTCTTCTTAGTAACATATTTAATTGTTATTTAAAAATTTACATAATACAGATAATTTAATCGATACAATTTAATGTCATAACATTTGTCTACTTACCTTGGTTACTTTTCAATTTTCGGTGAATATATTTTCGTTCAAATACAATACAAATTTAAATAGCGAATTAATAAATATAAGAACATCGAAAATAATAAATTCTAGTAGAATCTATCTAGCAATAAAATGTTACTAGAAAATCAAACTAACTTTTGATTTGAAGGTGTTAATATCGTGACAATGATGTAAATGCTCATTGACGTTGCACACTGAAGATTGAAGATTGAAAAGTAACTAAATAAATATCATGCCGGCAAACAATTCACTGGGAACTGTACGTGAAAACAGCTATATTGGTCTAAATAATTTGGTTACTTTTGAATATCTGGGCTAGATGCACACGAACGGTGCGTTTCTATGTTTTTCCTCGTTTTACAATTAAAACAACAAAGACAGACAAGGCGGTGTTGCTATGTCTGTATTTGTTGTTTTCAATTGCAAGACAAGGGGAAACAGAAATGCAACGGCGATGCACCACTCGTGTGTATTTGGCCTTATTGATCTTCAGTTAGTGAATATCAGGTAACAATAAATATTAAGTAATTGGTAAATTCGTTCACGTTTCTTTATTATATTATTAAATACTGTCAATTTTATATAGGTCTTATTCAACCACTAATATATGTGTCATTTAATTCGATGATCTGCTCTTTTTTGGGTAATTTAAATATTTTATTTACGGTAAAACTTTTCGTTTTATTTATTAATTTTCTGATACTAAATCACAAGTAGGTTTGATTGCAGTTCTAAGATGTTACTAGAACATCAAACCTATTTGCAATTTGGTGTCGTTAGTGTCGTGATATTACCGTTGGCGTTCTGAATTTATTATTTTTATTATTTTCGTACCTATTAATTTATTATTCAAGTTTGTATTACGTTTTAACGAGGGCGTAACAAAAACAAGAAAACTTCTATTATAAAATCTTTATAATGAAATACTACGATATAGTGAAGGAATATATCAACAGCTTAGAGATCACTAAATGTAAATAAGTACATTCAGTGTATCTCTATCTACAGTTCGTTCTATGAGCAAGAATGATAGAAATACTTTAAAACGATTAGCTTACACGATATTACAACTTTTTACCAAATACAGATAAATTTTATCGTCCGAGACAATTTTCTAAGTTATTCAATAAGAAACTTCAAAGATAAATTTAATAAACAAAATATTCAATGACTCGATACTCATCAAAGATTGAAAAGTAACTAAAGCAACATATAAAATTGTAAAAAGTGTAACCAAAGCAACGTTTAACATAGGAAACGTTCGAAATTAGAAAAGGAAATTTTCAAAATAGGAAGAAACAATTGAACGAAGAAACTAGTGGGAATTCGATATTCGAGTATGGCGCCATTGAGTGGGTAGTGGGGATAGAAGCGAAGTGTGGTAAATGGAGTAATCGTCCGACCACGAGAGGAGCTAGTAGCGGTGTCTCGGCAGTACGAGGCGGCGTGGGGCTAGGGACGATGCATGGGCTGCGACTAGGAGGCACTCGGGAGGCAGGGAGGGCATGCGAGCGGAGCACAGTTCAGTAGTCGCCATTGCAAGTCCCCCCGTGCTCTCGTATTCGTGTCACTCGTACGCGTGGAGCCGATTTTCCGCTAACCTAATCTCCCCGCGAGGGCCCTGAGTGTGCCCCCCCGATGCAGAGATATTGCAACGAGCTCACCGAAAGATTGTTGAAATCTCTTGACAAGGAATACAATGTAAGTAGCGGAATGAATCCGCGATGCGCCATCCGTCCGCTCACGCAAACGGCTATCGGGCCACTCTCGATCCCCCGTGCGCCGTGCGCCGTGTGCCTGTACCAGTGGCGTGCGCGAGAGTCTCTGAGAATGTAGTGTAGCGGCGGCTCCGCGTGTGAGTGAGTAACGTGTACCTCTATGTGCACGTAAGCTGCCAGACGGCGGAATATCGCCTATGCACGAATGTGTGCACGTCGAATGTAAACGATTCTCGTCGATCTACCCTGGAGCATAACCTTTAATATTACGACGAATCGTTCGATGTTCAACCAGGAAATTTTGAAACACCTTTTGTTCTCTCATTTCTATGTTCTTCCAAAACTTTGTTACATCTGTAATAACTCGGTCCCTCACGCTTCCATACGAACAGTATTAATTAACATTGTATTTTTTGGATCTTCTTCCTCCTCTCTCTTTCTCTATCTCTCTCCCCCCTCCCCCCCCAGCGGAAATAAGATTGTGTTTTTATTGTATCGAAATTTCGGATTCCTTGGCCCAATTAAACTCCTAAACGGTCGTTGTTCAACGAACATTTTCGGGTGTACTGTTTGTTCCATATTTAAAATGCCCATGGATACGGACACGTGTTGACTATTGTATTTTCCATGGACGAATCGTCGTACATAATCGTCGACAGTTTTGTCTTTTGGTATCGAAGTAATCCGATATCACTGTGGACGGTTGCCGACAGCGTTTTTTAAACGATGTTCTCAGTCTTGCTAATAAATCGATACTATTGAAATAATTGAAACGGAAAACTGGCTTGCCACATAATAGTACATTATATATTATTGCTGGGAAACCGATTTTTCCATCGCGTTGAAAATATTTTAAGCAATCTACGAACTAATTGAATTATCACTGTATACGCGTTAGTTACGAATATGTAAAAAGAATAAGCAAAAGTTTGTCTCGAATAAAAACATCGCCAATTATGTATCTGTTATTTTTAATAACAATCACGAAACGATATACAACGTTTTTTCACAAGTCATTTTGAGAAATATTCGATGTTCAAATGCCATTCTACTGATTGTAGAAAGTATGTCTATTTGGGCAATAAATTGTCAAAATTTCTCAGGTCGTCGATATGGGAGCTGTTGTGGATGTCATTACGGCCCTGGAAAAGACGACGATCACCAAGGAGTTGCTCGAGGTAAATAACACTCTAACAAATACATCAGTTATTACGAGTCTTCTGTGTTATTTGTATGCATTCACGAACAAAATTCTTTTAATGACTTCAGATTACAAGGCTTGGTAAACACATTAATGAACTACGACGAAAGACAAGTAATGATGCCCTGGCTAAGCGTGCAAAGGACTTGGTACGCCGGTGGCGGGACATGGTCCTACCATCTGCTCATTCCACACCGCAACCCACACCGGCAGACACAGCACCGCCTGCTCTCAATGGAGCAAAGCCACACAGCCCTGTGCTAAGATGCTTCAAACCACAAAGTCCAGCGCTGAGAGGCTTAAAACCTCAGAGCCCACTGTTGAGGGACACTGCTGCTCTTAGAGTGAGTTATGCCAATTTGATATTTTGTAAGAATGTGTGCAATTGTTTGTTATACTAAACTTATATCTCATGAAACTCATTTCTACTTTTATACCTCATAAAATCAATGTGTAGAAGAAGGGATGATATGTACATTATAATAAAATTAATAAACCATTGGGACAAACATATATTTTTGCTATGCTAATTTCCGTGTCTAAGGATGTCAACATTTGTTAAAACTATACTGTGAAAAATGGAAATATTCGATAGTTAAATGGAGAATTTTTTACTGTATAGCATTTTTTATGCAACTAACATTACATCGGACTGACCATTGACCAATTAAAATTTTTAATTTGATTATGAATTGAAAATTGAATTAGTTGATTCATGAAAGTAATTGTCAATTGTTGACTGAAAAAGTTAGTTGTTGATTTAATGGAATATAATGGAAATATATTGGTATTAGTATAGTATATTGAAAATATATCTTTTAGTTCATGATAAAATAAAGCCAATAAATGGCATAACAAAAATGCAAGAATATAATTTTTTTATTAGTGGTTATTTTAATAAGATTTTAGGCTCTACTATCCGAATATAATAATTTGGACAAATAAATACAATTATGAACATTCATATAATGATCTAATATCACAGTACTTGATATTTAATCAATTGTTCTTTTGACAATTGAATTCCTACTGTTAATTGTTAATCACAATTAAACGAAGAAATAATTCACAATTGAGAATTACGAAAAATGCATTAAATTTTAATTAGTCAAGCCTACAAGGTTAAATTGAGAATGTTTTGTACTTGATACAATGATTTTGTCCCTTCCAAAACTTTTCTTCTGTCTAGAATAGATTGTGTACACAATCTTAATTGATTCAAGCAGGTTTGCAAATACTTTGGGGAAAAAGTATTGAAAAGAAGAAGAAAACTTTGATATTTAAACATATATACACATACAAAGTATGAAAATTCGCGCAAATGGGAACTACGGAACTGGAATTCCAAGCTTTAATACTATTTTACAGACCAAACAAACAAAATTAATTAATTAAGATTTCATTTGATTTTGCTTCCATCATAGATAGGGAAGAAACTTATCCAACATTTTTATATAAAATTATTTACAAAGAATGGATATAAATATTTAAGAAACAAAGAAATTGCAAGAAATGATCGTTCTTATTGGTAGACCAATATTATTAAAAATCTAATCAGATTTCCAGTGTAAAGGATAGTTAAAAACTTATCTCGAGTCTTCTCAAAGTTATTAAGCCTCTTTCAAACAGAGTGTAATTATTCTTTGTTGTTTTGGTACCTAGAATCTCTTCTTAGAACCTCAAACACTATAGAGACATTAAAAAAAATTGACTAATATTGTTGATGGACCACTATTATTAACAATTCAATCGGATTTTGAATGCAAAGAGAAAGTTAAAAACTGTCTTAACACTGTTTTGTTACTAATTGTATCGTATGAAGTTAAGAAGTATTGCACAAAGTCACACAATATTCTCGTTGCAGGTGCTTAGCCCAGCTTTGTACGTGCACAACGACAATTCTCATTCTCCGAACGCATCGTCGAACAAGCAGCAGTCAATCACTACGACCAGCAATCACAAAACCAGCTCGGATGTGGCGTCGATGCTCGGTACGTCGAGCCAAAATCATGTGACGGAAGCAGTGCCACGAACTCACAGTTCCAACAAACGTCTGCGAAAAGAGGAACCGACGATAGATCACCGTGACTCGGACCCGATCGCCAACAGTGAGCCGTTCATAAAAAAGCAACGTTTGAACGGCGAAAACATAAGTGGTAATTTAAATTTGCAAGTGCCTAGCCCGACGTTGAAGGAACGAGTCAGTGATCGTTTCGCGGATACGTCGAACGATCCGGACGATTCGGGCCCGAAGAAGCGCGGTAGAAAGAAAGGCAGCAAGTCTACGAAGAAGCAACCGATATTAGAGGATCGTGTTAAAGAAAAGCTAGCCAGCATATCGAGGAATCCGAAGCTGAAGACGACTCAAGAGCTGCTAGCCGATCTCCGTGCACGTGGCACCAATTCTAGCATTAATTCGAGTGCTCTACCTAGTCAAAACGTGGAATCGCCGAGCGTCGAAGACATTCTGAGAGGCAGCAACGAGCAAGTATCGAAGTTACTTCGTTGCTCCCAGAACAACTTGTCCCACAGAAGCACGGTTCCGGAAAGCTTGCCGGAAAGTCGGTTGAAAGTTGCGGGGAACTGCAACGATCTACCATCCAAGTATCAAGACGTGTACAAAGAGAAATCGGCGACGAATTTTCAGAAAAGCCAATCGCAATCTCAAGATCTAACGGTCGAGGAGATACTGGCGAAATTACCGCCTCTAGATCCAAGTTCTATAGATTGGGGTGAAAACGAGAATGAGCCGACGGAGGACGAAAAGAATACAGAGTACCCGCCTAGAGAAATTAGAACAGAGGACATAGAAAGGTTACATACGCAGTGTGTAGAAGGACTGAACGGAAACTTCCAACCAAAACTATCGTCGTTAACTTCTACGTTAAAGGAGGAGAGGGAGGGAATGTCAGAGATCAATGGTGTAAACAGTGTGTATAGTCAACAACAACTTGACGAGGAATTTCGTGAATGGCATCAGATGCTCTCGAGGGCCAGTTACGATGGTCAAATCCTTCACATATTGCCTTATGTTATTATTGATTAGTAATTTTATTATCTTATTCTATTATTATTCCCAAACTTGTGAAGAATCCCTGCAAAATATTAAAGAGATCGATCGACGATCACTCTATTAAACCAATTTTGTATTGCAATTTACGATTGCTATTTATTTCTTGTATATGCTCGTGTTTATCTACCACCCTTTATCATCTTTTATGAATTATTCATTATTATTCAAATTGAACGCTCTTTTTGTTATTTATCACCGATAATTGGAAGTGTGTTACACGCGGAACCGATAAACTTATCGTCATTAGTTTTGTTATTATTGTTATTGTTGTTAGGGGTGGACGCGTATTTGAAATTTCAGGACTCGAATGTTTGGGAGTTTCGTAATTGGGACGATGATAAGTCTAGAGACGTTGTAACGATGGGAATTTAAATGGGAAAACTTGATTGAAAAATTACGTTGATACGTCACATTTTTGTCGTTCAAATGTTTCTGGGCTTATTATTATTAGGGATCAGGGGTTTCCAACTGTTTGTAATGCTCGGGTATCCGAATAATTTGTAAGATTCAGGTACTAAAATAATTTGTAAAGTTCTTCTAATTTTGTTATTTTTTCTCTGTAAGATTTCTAAGTGTTTTCGTATTCTATTTGAGTGAAATCAGATTGTGAAAATCCTCAATTATGTTTTCTTCCCACTAATTCCAAATAGAATAGTTTTCACACAATATATTCAACATATCATGAAGATTCGGGTACCCGAAGTTTTTGGTTTACAACCGAATTCATTTATAAGTGTTATTATTTCAGTTATTATTATTATCTTAATTATCACCGAACGATCCGATTTTTAATTTCGGACACTCAATTCAAAAATTGGATCGGGCAGTGATGATAAGCTTAAGAACTTTCTAATTATGGACATTTCGATGGAAAACTTAATAGGAAATCATGTAAAAACATGAAATCTCTGCCGTTATAAAGTTCTTGGACTTATCATTGAGTAAGCAAGTACCCGACATTTTGGATTTGGATCATGTCGGGGTCCGAAGATTTGTAATACTCGGGTACCTGAAAATCGAAGTCGGGTTAAGAATACAAAAATTTGTAAAATTTTTATAAAATTTTACGAGTTATTTGGGTGCCAGAATATTACAAAGCTTTGGAGTACTTGAATCTTACGAATTATTCGAGTACCTGAGTGTCACAAAGTTTCGGGTGCTCGTACACTTATAGCAAAATCCCATTTAAAATAACCCGATTCGTGATATAAGATTCGAATCTTACAAATTATTCGGGTAACCAACTATCCCAAATTTTCGAGATTTCACTCGTGTCTCTGGTGGTATCCTTAAATCCCCCTCTCCTCGTTTCTACCGATCGATCAAAATTTTTGCCTATCGAAAATTTACAATCTTGATTTCTCAATTGGAAATTCTATCGGGTACCTAACCCAGGCTCGTTTACCCGTTCACCCCTAATTATTCTCACACTATTATCGACCATTATCCTTACCATAATTCATCGTTGTGACAACAAAAATGTCTCTCATGGAACAGATCTAAATATGCAAAAACAATATCTGGAAAACTGGAGTAGGTTTATGTTAAAATCCTGGTGGTACTCCCCTAATCACTATTCTTTTGTTGGATATATTGTGTCAGTATCATCTGTCATTGACATTAAAATCATTAACATTATTGCTATATTATGGTTATTAAAAAGAAATCACAAACAGTTGCAAAAATGATTATATACAGAACAAATCAAGTCACAAATAAAAGTTATTCTTTCTTTTGACAATTTTTTTTCACGTACCACAAAACTATGTCATTTTTCTTAAAAACCAAATATGTTGTTTTTATTTTTTAAATACAACATGAATGACAATATAATATGATCGATCGCTTTTTACAAATTATACAAATGATTTCCAATACTTTTGCTAAGAAAAGAAGGCACAGAAAATTAAATCAAATACTCTGCACATTGACTTGTCTATAAAAAAAGAAATTGTATTGAAAATTATTTTCAAAATGACGTGTCGCAATTAAAGAAACTTACAATAAAAATAATAGCAATTTTGCGTGTACGGTTTATCGAGTAATATTATTTTAAGATTTTTCTTGGAGAACGATCCTAGCCAAAAGAAAACATAAATTATGATAATTTCTACTACGAGAAAACAAACATTACAATATTTTAAATGCTTATTGACATACATACTTTGTTTATATAGAGAGAGAAACTTTAAATTGTTTGCAAGGGGAATCTTAATTAAAACTTAAAAGCAAAAACAATTCGTCTTACGGGTTACATTGTTGTAAATTCTCACAACAATTGAAAAATGTTGCACACAATCAAAGAGAAATCAGTTTTACCATCTTGCAAATTTTTGTATTTCATTGAAAAAGAAAAAAAAATTAAAAACATAAGAAAAAAGAATAGTGAAACAGTTATGTTCCAAATACTTTAATACTGTGTAATTTTTCGAGTAAGAAGATTTTGTGAAATTTAATTGAATTCAATTGAACGAAGCTTGATTGAAATTTATAAACAAACACAATTTGTCTCGCAACGTATTTTGTTGCAAATTCTCACAGCAATGGAAAAATGTTACATACAATCGAAGGAAAATTAATTTCATCACTTTGGAAATTTTTGTATCTTGCGGAAACAGTATAGAAAAAAACAAAAAAAATTTCATTTTAAAAAGAATAGTAAAACAGTTATGTGCAATTTTCCAAATATCTGAATAATTTTTCCAATAAGAAGGAAATTTTATGATTTCAAACTGTAAATATTATCGTTCGAACCAAAATGTGTTAACATTCTTTTTTAGTAATAACCAAATAACATTGTTTGATGTAAAAAGGAACAAAGGATATGTAAATATTACGTAACTATAACGTGTATAACTAAAAAGCTTTGTGAAACATGAATTAGAAAAGAAAAATCTCTCATTTTACATGTGTTCGTTTTTTTAATAATAACAATTACCTTTTGTTTCGTTTAATTGTTGTTCGAATTGTTTGAGCTCGGGACTGAGCTTGTATAGTAAATAATTGGATAGTAGTATTGCCATGGTGACAAAAAAACAGTGAAGATATTTCCACGATAACGTAAATAGACATTTTTATTAATTTCCATTGATTGGAGAAAGCTTTATTTCACTAGTACATTTAAGACAATTTGTTTATATAGACGTTTATTTATCTATCTTTATATTTAATATTAAAAAACACAAGTTTATGTAATCGAATACTATATAATACTTAATCTCTAATCATATTTCTTCTTATAGTATTTTAAATATTTTTATTTGTAAATTGTGTTTGGTAGAAGTTCGTCAAATTCCATCTAGTATACGAATTGGAATTTATTTTTTAATGTACATGTAAAAAGCCTTGAAAATAGTTGATAAATATTGTGTGATCTTGCGTTAAACAAACATCGATTCCCATTGAACAAAATTTTTATTTCTAAAACAATGAGTTCAAATATTTTAGAATTCAGTGGTTTCGTAATTTTTTTTTTATAATCTGCGAGAACGAAAGGAAAAATTAATATATTGTTTATGGTTTGATACATGAAAATTTTATTCTTGTAGAAAAAATACACTAAGCAGCGAAGTATGAAGTCATGCGAACGCTGCTAAAGAGAGACTTGTGCCTTTTGAATTTCTGCTATAGTAAATTAATCGTCTAACGACGAATTATGACCAATTAAAAAGACAGTAAACAATAAAACAGAATTTCATTGAGGAAACATGAAATGATTGTTAAATGGGGGAAATATTTATCCATCAACGATGGTGTCCGATAGTTCATTAATAAACCAACTTCCTGCCATCGATATATACTAACAATTAATTCCCATTGTCACTAATAAATTATAATTAATCAGAGCTGGTATTTTGGTTCTGATCGTTTTATTTTGACGCGGGAAAACTTGCATTTTACTATACATATTTTTACAATATGTTTATCAATACAGCGTATTCGAAACGAATTTAATTTTAATAATGACAATCCATCTTGCTATTTTGTGCAAAATTTTTGTTTTGTAACATTTATGACAAATTGAAAGACATCCGCTATAATAAGAGGACAGTAAATAAAAGAATAGAATTTCATCGAAAAGAATAATTGTTAAATGGGAAAAAATATTTATCCGTCAACGATGGTGTTCGAAAGTTCATTAATAAATCAACTTCCAACTATCGATATATACTATCAATTCATTCCCATTGTTATTAATATATTATAGTTAATTGGGACCGGGTGTTCGATTTTGATTTTTTTATTTAAGCGGGAAAAAGTTCACTTTAACACAAATTTTTAGTTACTGTTTTTTACAATAACTCGTATGCTATTTGAAACGAATTGTTTAATTTGAATAATAACAATCGTTATATTATACTACATCGTGTCAATTTTTATTTTCCAAAACTGGTAAACATTAAAGAAATTAAACAAAACGGAAAGGTGAGCATAATTAAATTAAATAATTGTATTCGTTGAAACGTTTGTGAATTCTATTAACTGTAATGAAATATAAGAATCGAACGGTAGTGAACTATTTGTTTATTAATTTCTATAGTAGTTTCGCCCTCTGGAATGAGAATAGTGTTTTCGATTAAAATAATTATTCGTAGAATTATTCTTGTAATAAATAGGAATTTTTTAAAGAACTCGGTTGGATCAATTATGCTAGTAAAGACAAAATAAACATTATTAAATTATAAACTATTCAATTTAAGCTTTTGAGGACGAATTTCTTTCGAAAATTAATTGTGTATGTGTGTATTTAATTGAAATAATTATTCGAAGTATTGCTCTTTCGATTAACATAAATTTGTTAAGAATTTTTTTACTTCAATGAAGCTATACAAAAATAAAATGGGTATTCCCAAATTTTGACTAAACTTAAGCTTTTGAGTATCAATTTCTTAACAAAAAAAAATCATACGCCAAAATGAAATCAGGGTAAATTTAATACCGTGAAGTAATTCTTGGTTACAAACACACGGTAGTCGACGAAGTATGCCTGTAAGGTGAGCATAGGCGGTTATGAGAGGGCGGTATTGTAATAGCGACTGCGCAATCAATCGAAATAGTTTATCCACAGAAGGTGGGGACATCTTTTATAGTAATCTGTCGGGACGGTTCGTTGGTACGGTTTTCCAGCTAGTTAGGCGCGTAAAGGCTCAGGGTAGTCGTCGACGGACCGTGTGAATCGATGTATTATACAACTTGCGTGAAAAACCGCCTACGTGCTTGCATGTGAACGCGCCTGCAATTTTTATGTTGCTGAAAATTCAATCGTATGGTTTTTAATATGCGCCAGAGTTCGGTCCTTTAATATTTATTAATCGCATTGACGGAAAAAACATGTCGAAACCCGGTGACAAACAAACTTATGCGCAGACATACAAGCTCGTTGTCGTGGGTGGGGGTGGCGTTGGAAAATCTGCGATCACGATACAATTCATTCGAGTAAGTACTTTTTATAGCCAATAGGTGTATCCAATGTAGACTTATATGTATATACTCTGCGCTATGTATTATATATATATATATATATACACACACCAATGTAAATGGCCATATGTACATATACACGGGGCACACACGCACCACACATACACGTTTGCTCCAGTATGGGATAAAAGTATGCATTTGGAGGATATTAATGCATAACTTTATAACAAAGAAGACTAAATTCGACAATTTTACGAGGCAAATTAAACCGAAAATATCGAAATACAATCGATCAAATCGATGCTTGCAGCCACTTTGAACTTATCCAAGATTAATACTTCGTCACTTGAGTCAGAATATTTAGAAAAATTCGCTTTTCTTCTCTGATTCTTGGGTTTTAAGCTTTGTTTTGGATTTTCCTAAAGGTGTTTGAACCGATGCATCCATTTTGAATTTTTCCAGAATTAATACTCTGCCATTTCTGTTGGTACTATTTAGAATAGTTAGCTTTTATTTTCTAATTTCTGGGTTCGACGCTTTGTTTCGGATTATCTTGTCGAAACGTCTAATTATTTTGGTATTAAATTACTTTTTCTAATACATATGGTAACATTTGCGTTTCTAAGATGTTTTGCTTAAACTTGTCTATAATTTCATGTATCTGGATACAATGAGCCAATTTTCCACTATTGTGCTAATTAATTATCGTAGTTGATTATGACTTAACTTCATATTACTTTTACAGTTTTATATAATTGTTAATATTTTTCAGAGTTATTTTGTAATCGATTATGATCCAACTATAGAAGATTCCTATACGAAGCAATGCGTTATAGACGATACTCCTGCGAAACTCGACAGTGAGTATGTTACTAAATAAACAACACTATACAGGTCAAGTATTATTCTGACTTCATTTTTTTTTTTAATTAATTGTTTTCATAACCTTCACGATTTTCGTAAGACGAAGGTTTCGTATTATAAAATTATTATTTCTGAATGATTAGAACGAATATTTAATTAGAAGATTTAAATTATCCAATTGCATGCGTTTAAAACAATGTTGTAAATATACAGAATAAATTTATTAATGCCTTTAACATATTTATACAGTTCCAATAACAAAACGTGGATTTCCTATTATAAAATTATAATTTCTAATTTATTAAGACGAATATTTATAAGGGCTGGTTGAAGAATAATGTACATGTATATATCTCGAGAACGATAAGTTTTTTCATTACGTCGCTGAAAAATTTTGGCAATTGGTATTTAATCCAGGACTTTATTGCCTCCTTTACTTCAGTAACTACAGTAAAATAAATGCATTTAAGGTCTCTCTTGAGGTATGGAAAAAGATGGAAATCATATAGTACCAAATCAAGGGACTATGGTGGGTGTAGAATGGGTCCAACTTTCATCTTTCAAAGGACATCGAAAGTTGCATGCAATGTGTGTGGTCTTGTGTTATTGTGCTGTAACACGATTGTTCCTATTGATTTTCTTACATAACACACATGTCTTCTTAAATTTCTCAAGGTCTTGGTAACAATAATAAATATTAATGGCATTGATACTTTCCATTGCTAAAAGTTCCATCACTGCTCTTTGTTTCAATTGCAATGACATAACAATGCTATACATCTTTGTAGTATTACCAATAAATCAGAAATGGTTAATTTAAACAAATTGAAGTTCGACATACTTGTAAAGGATGACTGTAACTACAATTTTGTACATATTCAATCTTTCAGCTTTTATTGTTGTTGAGTTACATGTATAGGCGCGTGCATTACTTTTCTGCCAGTCTTTCTACTTAGAAATTGTAAATTATCCGATTCCAGTACATTTTTTATAAATTGAAAATAGCAATGTTTATACTATTCTTTTTAGTATTGGACACAGCGGGCCAGGAAGAATTCAGTGCGATGCGAGAGCAGTACATGAGAAGTGGCGAAGGTTTCCTTCTTGTGTTTTCAGTAACGGATCATTCGTCTTTCGATGAAATGTTGAAGTTTCATAGGCAGATTCTCAGAGTAAAAGATCGTGACGAATTCCCAATGCTTATGGTTGGCAACAAGGCCGATTTGGATCATCAGAGAATCGTAATTAATCGAAACTTGATATTTGCATTGTAGTGATTTTTCTACATTAATTTTTGAATTGTTTCAGGTATCTGTCGAAGAGGCTCAGAACATGGCTCGTCAGTTAAAAATTCCCTACATCGAATGCAGCGCAAAGTTAAGAATGAATGTTGATCAAGCTTTCCATGAATTAGTGAGAATTGTTAGGAAGTTTCAGTTGTCGGAAAGGCCACTGTTGAAACAAAATTATAAAAAGAACAAAAAGAAATGTTGCATGTTGTAATTGCTAATCGACGAATTAAATCAAACTGGAATTTTAACCACAAAGAAAATTGCTAACAGTTTGATATCTGTTGTAAGATGCAACGAACGTTCGGAATTTTGAGTCGATAAGTTTGTTCGAATATGTATTGTTGATGTAAGGAATATTGTGAGAAGGTATTAATTTTTTATTACGTACTTATACATAAACTAGCATTGGACATTTAACTTTCTACAAAGATGAAGCCAACATTGGTTTATTGGAATTTTTTCCAACGCGTTTTACAGAATTTGATAATATTTTTCTAATGAAATATGGTGCGTATTAAATATAAGATCATTCATTTTACTATTTGTTCGAGATAAGATTGATAAACACTCAAGAAAAATTACTTTGGACTTTTTACAATCGAAGTTCGATATTTTGGATACAATATATATACCTCTTATAGATAGTTACTTGTACCTCTTCGATCATTTATTCCTTAATTTAAGAATATATATATATTTTTTGTAACATAGTCCCGCCTACGTTAATTAATAATACGATGTAAAGATAATTGGCTAATAATCATTTAGTAGCGAATGATAAATAATTCGTTGATTTATATATCGCGTAGAAAGGCAAATTTCAACTTAAATCGCGTTCGTGAAATGACGAAGTATGTTTTATTATCTTTTTCTATGTGGTACACGCCAAATCGATCTAATTTATTGTTAAAATTGTAGTTAAAATTATAGAGTGGCCCCTAGGACAAACCATCTACATAATTTTCTCATTTTTGGCGACAGGAGAAAGAAAGAAAATGTTGTTTCGTTTGAAGAGGGAAATTATCTTCAAGGCAATATATTTTTTATATTTCAAGGTCACATTCTAGATTTCAAGGTCATCAATTTTTTTTTAATGAAAGATGTTTTTACGTTTGGATTTTTTATACTCATAGTCATTTTATTCGTAATATCAAATAACTATAAATATCAAAGAAAAAAGAATGACTTTGAGAAAAATACTTATGATAATATTTTTCTCTATTTCTTCCTACCAACAAAAATAGCGGATATATGTAATGTTTTCGAGTATTGAATCTTTCATACTCAAGGTCACGTTATTCACATTATCGAAAGGCCTTGAAATTATGGAAATTGTGACCTTGACAAAAATTGGTCTAAGATTGATTTAACAACGGTTTTTTATTGCCAAAAATAGGCAAAATTATTCAAATGGACCTAATATATTAGTTTTCGTTTTATTTCTTAACGACATATAACATTTTAGTGTTTGTGAATATAATTAATTAGCCTAATTACCAACAACAAATACATAACATTTAAAATGTCGATATACGTTACGCTTAAGGAACTTGTAATTTATACGAAACGCTGGAATCAAATTTATATTTAGGATAATAGATAATGATAATAATAAAAATGAATAACACACAGTTTTGAATAATTATTGTAAAACTTTGTACTAGAATTTACATGACAAAAATTTTGTTTCGCATCTTATATATACTACTTCCATTTTCATTTGAACAATTACAGGATTAGCGCACATTATTACGAAATGCAATTAACTTTTTATAACATTAACTTTCGCAATACTCGATTCGAGAGTGATAAATAATTCTAGAACGATAATATATTTATTTTATATTTTCTATATCGTTTTAAAGTCAACACCTAATACAAAACGAATACGTTAACAAATTATCAAATATTAATTTATAAAAATCGTTGTCGAGTAATTATCGGATAATGTTTATAAGTTATTCATTATTTCGTACAAGGTTATGAACTAAATAAAGGATTGTTACAGTACTTTTTATAAATATACTAATTTAAAAAAAAAAAGAATGCTTCGGATATGTACAATAAAAATACAAAATATATCGAAACTGGTTATTCGATTACTTAGTCACTACAATTACGTTTGTGAATTGCATAGTATGAAAACTGCGTTTATGAATCGTGTAAGCTGAAATGTAAGAAATAAAAAAACAATATTTTACTAGAATTTATATTTTTAATACAAATACATTTTAATGTATATATTGGATAAAAGTAACTATTTTTCATTAAAATCTAACTTTATCAACGAATATTTATTTTCTTATAAACAAAGTATAAAATTATTCAATTATTTGAACTAATTAAACTAGGGATAATAACAATTGTAACGAAAAACAATTGTAAAAGAAAATTTACAATTGTTTCATTATTTAAAATTGTACGTTCGCCAAGAAAAAATACAAAAGAATCGATAAAAAATCAAACGGAGGCGAATGTCATCGATTTAATGGTTTTTTAATTTTTAAATTGTTATTTGCTTTGTAACACATTTGTATTATAATAAAATGTTGTAATAATATTTTATCAAGGTTTACTGAAGTAATTAGATCAATTTTTCTTATATATACGGTAAAAATGTTGGCTCCGAATTCGTAAAATATTATTTGCATCTAAAATTACTTACAAATATTATATTTAAGAATTTAAGTGATGACAAAAATTTGTATTATTTGGTTGTGCTTTTTACATTTGCATTATTATAGTGTCTATCGATTAAATAATCGGAGATTGTAGTTTTGATAACCAAATAACAAGGATGGACTTTTGTAGATACAACGGAACATTCACCCTAATTTAGTCAGTAAGCAATCTGGCACGCAAGGTGGTCAAACGGGATTCCCATCGTGGCTATTCTTAACCAGACCAAGCTAATATTGAATCCGCTCAATTACTTCCAGCCACGCTGGCACCAGTAATAAGCCTAACTGTTACCATTGATTTACCATTTTTCTTCTTTTTTTTTCCAATGACTTGCATCTTACAATTTTCATTATTTATATTTGAAAAAAGTACGATATATGCTCGAAACATAAGTAAATATATGCAGGGAATTTCAATGCAAAACAATCTAGGGTTTTCTTTTTAGAAAACAACAAAGGAGGCCTAAAAATTGCAAGCCTAGATTCAATAGCCCCTTAAGAAAGTCTTGCAAGAAAGGGACACGGCGAAGGAGAAGAAGCAGTCAGGTTAAAAATAGCTTTTCCAAATAAAAAGCAGTAAGCAGCTCGTAGAAGAACGATTAAAGAGGAAACCGCCAGAGAACGGAAAAGGAAGCGGGATGGGAAATGTGACGGTTCGTGGAAGGAAAGATTTTTCGCATAATTGCCTTATTAATGCTAAACCTACTGAAAAGGGTTCAAGGTAAATTTTCTGTCCAGCAGATCACCATTTAGGAACTTCCATGACGGTAACCGATTATGACTATACGATAATAAAATTTAAATTAAATTTATTAATATCATGTTCGTAATGCTACAACCCACAATATTAAAATTAAAATATCTTTTAAACGAATGCTTTTTCGCCACAAGTGGCTTAGTACTTTTATATAGGAAATGATGAGTTGCACACCGATTTATGTATCAAAAACATATATCATTCCATTTGAGAAAATGAAGTTGACCTTCGCGTGTCTTCTACGCGTCTATTTAGGAAAAACTCACATATCAAGTTATGTATTCCCTGAAACCAACTATTGTCCAAAACATTTTTTGGTATCGTCAACACTTTCAATGATATTCGAGCGTGTAGATTGGAATGGGTCACCGTAGATTGCATATTTTCTATAGTATTATTGTATATAAGGAGAATCAAACTCGTGAATAAAAACATATTATTATTGTATTATAAAAAGCGATAGCAAACTGTGGGAGAAACGCAAGCAAATCTGGCAGGTATTTTGGCCCACTGAATAATCTGTCGACTCGTAATGCCTGCTGGTTCGAGCGTGGCGTCGTGTTGGTTCGCACGAATGTGAGAACCGGTGGCACACGAGCGTCCTGGAAGGAGGAATCTCCCACCCTGAACCTTCTACTGTCCAGTTTCGCATAGTTTATTGGCTGTACCGAGTCCATCCACCACTTAGGCCTTAGGCAGTTAAACTCGCCTAGTGCCTCCTACGATCCTATTGCCGATTTAACCTAAATTTTGTGCACGCCCAAAAGTAATTATTAATCGTCGAATCGTCATATTGAGATCGTGACGGTCAATTCGACAAAAAATGTCAAGTCGAGATGTTAAGGTTTTAAAAAATTTATGTAATCGTTGATCGTCAAGTTAAGACGTTAAGATCGTGCCGGCCATTTAAAAAAAAATTATTTTTCTATTGCCCAAAAATTGTGTGCCACCTTTTGTCGTGTGTTTTTGGTTATCCATTGGCAATCTATCATTAGAAAATGCTGATGAGATGTTTTTAATAACGTATAAATCAGTGTATCGTATTTTCGATGAATGATACCATTTCTTTCACGGTATCAATCAACCTAACCCCAAACGAGTATGCGTCAATCGCCACCATTAATCGTTGATCGAATACATTTTTTACTAAAGACTTATTATATACACGACGTCTTACATAAATTTTCCGTCCGTAAATACAGCTTTTGACTACTGTTTGCACTACTAAATTGATCGTGTTTTGTTATCTATATATTGTTCGTTACGAACGAAACGGTTTTAGGGGTTTTGACTAAGAAATAAGGTACTCTGTCCTTATATGCGAGTTAAATTTTCAGGACAAAAGTAATTGTTAGATTGTACAGTAAATTTTAAAATAAATTTTTGTTTGGTAATGAAATGTCGTTCTAGGAGAATTGGATGGTTAGATAATAAGTTGTACGACATTCGTTGTCACATATTGTGAACAACTGTTTTATCTTGCTTGATAAGTATAGAAAATACATAAATTATAGCAAAAGTACGAATGGCACTACATTTCCGTTGCATTTGACGTAAACAAACGATACCATTCAAATGTTTTAATGTTTATTTCATAGCTGGTATTAATAGTTCGCGAGCATATCCGTCACTGCAGCAAAAACGTGCCTGATTTCTACGATGTATCTACCACCATTTTTACAGAGCCTCCGCAGGCATGCGCTTTTCCCTTCGTTTATGTAAGAGAATATTGCACGAAGAAAACCGAACCAAATATAACAGTTATCCTACAAATTAACGGCGGAAAATATCATCAACAAAAAGTTGATTTTCAATTAAGGGGATATTTCAGCTCAGACATGCAATTTTTGATGCTTTTTTTATTATTTTTTAAAATGAAAACCGTAGATTTATTTGTATTTGGATTCGGCATGTATGTACATTTACCGATGTTTCGAGTATAATACAGTATTCTTTTCAAGAAAAAATAATGAAAATTTCCCGAGACGAATACATTTCTTTGAAACAATTCGAAAGATGTTCATTACAATAATAAAACAAGAATTGTCCAAGATATTTCATTGAAAGAATTGAAATAATGTACAAGAAATAATATCGAAAAATTTATTGGAGTATTGGCGAATACATTTCTTAGAAACAATTCGAAAGATGTTCATTACAATGATAAAACAAAAATTGTCCAAGATATTTCATTGAAAGAATTGAAATAACGTACAAGAAATAATATTGATAAATTTATTGCAGATCGTTATATTTATTGGAGTATTGGCGAACGGTGCTTAGAAGGATTGGCAATAGTGGTCGGAATTAGAAGTGGAAGGATGGCGTCTGGTACCCCGAAGATATCCAGAGGCCCCGGTGGAACCGTAGAGGCGATCCGATTTACGATGGCTCGATATGCTCACCATTTTGGTTTCGTCGGCGCCGAGGGCAACCTTCGAGTGTCCCTCCGCCTCCGGCTCGAGTTGGACTGAAAGAAAAGGAAGAGGGAAAGGAACAAGTTTGTTCGGTGGCCGTGCACAGTCTAGTTCAAGACTCACGATGATAGTGAACGTCCGATGAAGATTCCTCCGTTCGGGCCGCCCTTCTCTGCCTAAACCAGAAACTAGTGTCACCCAGTATCCTGGACACCGACCACCGGGTCGCGGAACCTCCACAGGTCAGTGGACATTTGCGTCTTTCGGACGCCACTATCAATTTTGTTTTACTCCATCGAGCATAATTTTATTCGTTTCTTCTCTTGTCCCTCCATTGGAACAATCTAACAGCGACTTGTACACTCACGAGGATCAAAAAATTTCGCTCCGACGATAGTGACATCGGGATGGATCGTTTTAAAACGGCGGATTGAAAACATAAAAAATCTCGACTCGGGATTACGAAATTATTTTTTTTTTCCACCATAGTGACCAGGATCGTAATTTTTTTAAATTGAAATTCACAAACGTGTACAAATTGGAGCACGGCGAAGGTGATTGCCCAATTAAATCCTGCAATTGATTCTCTTTCAAATATTATCTAGAAAAATTAGGAAGAAAGGAAATTCACGTTTTTAGATAATAAATAGAAACGAATTTTTTTTATCGCACCTTTGTATTTTCTGAACCACACTTTTTAATCATAGAATTTTAATTGTCAGTTTCGATTATTATTTTTCGCTTGTATTGCTTTCAAGAGAATTATTTATGATTATATTATTTTAAAGAATATTAATTTTCTTTGTAACATTTCCAAACGTATTATCTTCATTTCTATTATTTTCAGGGTTATCATTTAAACCATTTTAGAAGATTATTTTCGTGTACCGGTAATTATTATTCTCGAACATGCTTATTTACGATACGGATAAATGCTTTAAAACATAAATATTTTTTTCGTTTCGAGGCTTCGCGAAGCCATGAGATTCGTAATGGTAAAATAGTATACGCTATATTCACAGATAAAATCGCTGTTATGCCGCGTCAAGGTGTAAATTGCCGGGAAGTGTATAACGTTCGACAGCGAAACTAGCATTCAACACAAGATTCAAACTTTTACTCGAGTTGCGTCATTTGAATTTGATTGTTCCCGCTTAATTAATTAATTGAATAATTTATTCATCCGGGTAATTCTACATTGGAACAATGAGGAATGTTAACTAGCATATCGCGTGCAAAAGTTTCAATGAGTTTCGATATAAACTAAGAAAGTCGTGTTATTTTAATAAAAGAGGCTAATCTTCTAGGTAAAAATTACCACGCTTGAATTTAGAAAACCGTCTTTCACAGGTTGAAATCGACACAGTGAACTCGTCAAACACATTGCATATATTTTTTAATATTAATTTCTCTATAAAACTTGTATATCATTATAACATGCGAACGATGTCTGTTGGTGTCCATCTTCGATATTAATCTTCAACAACATTGTCAACTTGAAGCAGCTACTTTTGGTTGTGAATAAGAATCGACAGTAGTTCGTTGCCTTACGCGTAAAGAATTTTAAAAGATTGTTTTAAATATTGTTTTATTATATTTATTACATTATTTATATCGATTATCTTAAAGATTGTTTCAAACGATAAAGTACTGGTCTGTAAACCCGTAATCTTGCAGATTAATTTACAGAAGACGTGTCTCTATTATTAATAATTCTTAGAAAACTGCCATGTAACGATCCAACAGCGAGGAAAGAAATTGTATTTGAATTGAATTTTTCAATTCTGCAACGATCAATTCACTTTCTTGACGATGTTGCTATCCTTGCGTGAAAGTGGCGTTTTTTATTCCTGGAATAATGCTTACGAATGTTGACATGTGCTCGTACCAGCGTAAACAACTTTCAAGGAACATAGTTAACGACTCTGTGATTTGTTGCTGTCTGAAAAACCTTCACAGTATTGTAAATACCACAATGTTGGAGACTAAATTACTTTTTTCTTTTTTTTTTAATGAAACACAACAATTACCCACAAATTATTCTTTGGGGGAAGATAGATTATTTATCTTTTGTTATTAAATTAATTTTATGCAAAATGAAGCGTAACATTTTTGTCGATTTTACAATCGAATTTCCTTTGTTCTTTAAACAATTCAAACAACATGATGAATTAGTTTGTCAAACGATTTTTAATATTTCCTATATTTTTCAATCAATTCAGTTTTATTTAATTATACATAAAGATCGATACAGTTTTAAAAATAATTCATTAATTTAAATCGGTTTGAGCGATTTTTTAGATCGCTGACAACCGTTCGACCGCCAAAACTTTAATATTTCTGTGCCGGTGTGTTTCCAAACAACAAAATTCAAATAATATAATTTTTTATTAATTCGAGGGAGAGAAAACTTTGGATTTTGGGGATTCGAGAATTCCATCTTATGAATTACAAATTAACAGAAATATCAAAAGTCCTAGCAATTAAAAGGATTCGTTGGTGTCTCTCAAATTGTCTCAAGTTACACTTAGAGAGGGAGGTGTTCCAAGAAGCATACTGTAACCTATTTCCAACTATTAGACGACAATTAGAAAGGCAGAGAAAGTGAATTATGTCACGAACGAAAAATAAATCTATATTATGGGTGGCCCAACTTTACCGATATACGAAATTTTACAATTTTTCAAACTCATAGATCCCTAGAATTCCTTACCTAGATCAAAATTCGTTTCTACGAAACAAGGAAAAATGAGCAGGGTGATTAAAAGGAAATTGTTCAGACGATCCTGTAAGAATTCGCTGCTCCAGGTTGTCCGAAGGTCGCGTTGTGACAGATGATTGTATTTGTTTTCACTCCATATTGCAATACTACATATTTTACTTGTTACCGTTGCATTATTTCATTTTCCAATCTCGCACGGTCGAACAGATTGCATATGCAGATTCGTCATTCCCATTTCAAATTCTTGAATATGTTCGACCTTCGAGTTCACAACATCGAAGGAAAGTGTCTTTTTGCAACGTTTAGTTTTTTATAACGAATGATTAGATGGAAGCCTGCAGCCTCTGATTCGATGAAAGACGCGTTCTCGGTATACTCAACAAGCAACACTTTGAACCGACAAAAATGAATATTTTAATACATCGAAATCTTCGAATATGCAAGGTGTTCGGCCACCCATGGGAAAAATTTTAATGGGGGATTCTAGAGGCCAAAATACGACGAAAATCAAGAATACCAATTTTTTGATGGAGGCTTCGTTAAAAAGTTATTAACAATTAAATTAAAAAATTTCAAATCGTTCTGGAAAAATTATTTTCGGTCGCGGGGGTCAATTTCAATTATTTTTGGTCATTATACATACCCCCGAAATCCTAGACATTTTCGAGAAAAAAAATCGGGAAGTTGCAGAAATTTTTCGACAAAAAAAATTTTTCAAATCGTTCTAAAAAAATTATTTTCGTTCGCGGGGGTCAATTGCAATTATTTTTGGTCATTACACATATCCCCGAAATCCTAGGCATTTTCGAGAAAAAAATTCGAGAAGGTGTGAAATCTTTCGACGGGGAAAAAAAATTTCAAATCGTTTTGGAAAAATTATTTTCGTTCGCGGGGGTCAATTGCAATTATTTTTGGTCATTACACATATCCCCGAAATCCTAGGCATTTTCGAGAAAAAAATTCGAGAAGGTGTGAAATCTTTCGACGGGGAAAAAAAATTTCAAATCGTTTTGGAAAAATTATTTTCGGTTGCGGGGGTCGATTGCAATAATTTTTGGTGGATAGACGTACCCCCGAAATCCTGCGCGTTTTCAAGAAAAAAATTTAGAAAGGGCGGAACTTTAAACGTTAATAACTTTTTAACGAAGCCTCCATCAACAAATTGGTATTCTTGATTTTCGTCTTATTTTTGCCTCTAGAATCCCTCATTAAAATTTTTCCCAGGGTTGGCCAAACACCTGTATACAGGGTGACACATTTAAACCAATGTATTGACAGCAAAAAGTTGAACGATTCCAGGGGTCGTATAATCTGATGTCAGTAAGTTTTTCCTAAGTGAGTGGGTAGAGGGTATCCCAAAGGTCAACTTTGTTTTCTTAAATAGAATTATACGGGGTGTTTCGCGCAACTGGGAAGACCATATCTCTAATCTAGTCAGAGGTATAAAAAATGTCGTAAGACAAACTTAGACGGTATCAAACAATGTAAAATTTGAATATAATTTTATGTATTTTTATAAATCGATGCATCTAAAAAGTGCAACTGCATTCTTTTTCTAAATCGTGCTATTTCGATTATACTATTCGATGGAGATTTTCAGTCTGTACAGAAAAGTAGTAAAAGGTACTTACACCCTACACCTAATAGTTCAAGAGTTATACAATTTTAAAAGTTTACCAAACCATGAACATTATCCGTAATATTTGTTTCGACGAAATTCTAAAAATTTTTTGACCCAAATGGAAGAAAATCGGGACACGAGTATATTTGCAAGATCCAAGAATTTCTTTGAAGAAAAATTAAATCAATTTCAAAGCCTTACTTTTAGTCCCTCGGATTCAGTTTTCCTTAGTTTCAATTCTTTTCTCGCGATTAGAAACCGTCCTTGTTTTTACTTTCGTCCGAGGGATCACCCAGCGTACTATTTTAGCACTTTTAGGCTCGTTTAGCGAAACGTAAATTGCTTTACGTTAATTAGAGTCTCGTACTGCCATTCAGAACTCCTCGTTCGTGGAAAAAACGGTTCAAAATGGCCGGATATCATCGCGAACAGTATTGAAATTTATTTGTCTTTGTTCTATAACACAAGAGTTAGCACATTATCAGTATTTTTAGCTCTTCTCCTGAACAAAAAAAGTGAGTAAATATTGTGTAAAAATTAATTTTCCAATATTTTTGAACAGTGCTCGCTATGACGGTCACCGGCGACCAACGATTCAATCCTCAAATGCTTCTTTAAAACGATTACAGGGAACGAATTTTAATAGTTCGCTGTTTCTAATTTTGAAAAATAATTTTTTATTCAATTATTCTTCAGAATTATGTTTATAAACATTAGTTAAATCGGTCCTAAATTCTTTTATTTGGAATTCTAGCCAAATTTTTATTTTGAATTCTAAGCAAACATTTTTGAGGATTATTTATCCTGAGTAGGATTATTTATTTAATTTACCAACGGGGAAATAAAATATTTTTCTATTTCTTTTTGTTCCTTTAATACGAAAAATATTTTATTTCTGGAAAAATTCTTTAAGCCAGCATTCTATTCAAAACGAATGTTTCTGTTTTAGCGTAAAGTATTTTATTTATTTATTTTTGTTTCTGTGAGCTAACAAGGATTGTTCAAGCATTAAAAATGTTTTTCAAACATCAGAGTCTTGTTTCAATGAGAAGCATAATTATGTATTTTCGTAGATTTGAACGCGAAGATTTCTAGGAACATTATAGTTAAAATTAAAATTGTTTTTCTCTTTGTAGTTAGTCGATGATTTATTCATTAGATGAGTTATGCTAATGGAGTTATAGTAAGTAAGACAGAAGTAACCGTTCGAACAATTCTCTGCAAAGCTAGGTAAAACACTATTGTAATTATTAAATATGCACTAAATAAATATTGTATTCAAAATTCTAGAAAACAAAATTCTTACTAAAACACCATTTTAACTATTAAATATGTACTAAATAAATATTGTATTCAAGATTCTAGAAAACAAAATTCTTAATACTGGTATTTAATTTTTAGCAAATGTTAAAATATTTATTTAATTTATTAATTATTATATATTAATTTATTAATAGGAAATCAAATATTTTTATTACGATAAATCGAAGAGTAAAGTACCTTTACTTACCAGTATTTTGCGATTTAAATTGTCGAAATAAAATTTTAATGGGAATATTTTATTACAAAAAATTTTGTTTTTCATTTTAAATATCGTTTAAAATATTTTTCTGAATTTATAATAATAATTCTGGCTGATGTTTCCAGGTCAATCTGAACGATCATCGACGTATTTCCTGTAACAAGATGAACGTCAAAACCGAAAAAACGAAATTGATCCCGCCGGACGGAGGGTGGGGGTGGGTGGTCCTCTCCTCCGCGCTTGTCGTCAACTTCCTAATACCAGGAACAGTGAAATCGTTTGGTGTCCTATTCGTTGAATTCCTCCACGTCTTCAAAGCATCCTCGACTGCTGCCTCCTGGATGACAGCTTTATGTTATTTTCTGTACAACTCTTTAGGTAAATAGTCCAAGAAACCTAATTATCTTGAAAAAAAACCGCCAAAACTTCTATTTCTATTTATAAATTTAATAACATAAGAAGAATGGTACGAGACTTATTAATTTCCCTTAACCAAGTATCAAATTTACATATGAAACATTTGAAATGCAAAATCGTACATAATTGAATTATCAATATTTATGCCAATATTGTTTGGACATTTGCAATTGTTTGAAATATTTCCAATCGCATGATACCAATATTTCGTTACTTTATCTTACGTTTTATCTTCTCAAAACTCGTGACAGAATAAATGAAAATGATTAACGAAGAGATTTTTTGCAGGTCCTTTGTCAAGCATATTGTCCAACAAGTACTCTTACAGAACAGTGACTATAATCGGTGGCGCCTTCGCGGCTTGCGGTATGATGTCGAGTTATTTTGCCAACTCGGTTTCTTACTTGTACGTCAGGTACGGTACAATTAATTCTTGGAATTGTCGAATGGTTCTTAATTATCGTTACAATAGAGTCTCGATAATTGCAGGAAAACGGGCGGGGAAAATTCCTGCAAGTATTGAGATTCGTGCAACGATCAAGGTAACTGACTTAATAAAGCCCCGCTCTGGCCCAGACCCAATAACTACGCCTCCACTGTTTATGGTTATTATTGGAATTGCGCTAGTAATATAATTAGCAACAGTAACAAAGTATTTAAATATTTCGTTTGAGTTTGTTTGTTTCGTTTCTTTTTCTACAAACATCTCCTGTATTTGTACGCAGGGGCCTTCCGGACCTCGGTGGGGCAGATTTCATTCGTGAATAACGAATAAAAATATTAGATTCTTTGGTAAATTAACTTGTGAGAAGAATCAATTAGCAGATCTTTCAAACTGATACCCAAGCAAGCGAAGCTATCATAGCTTTTCGTCTAAATTTTACTTGCTCTCAGGGGAGTTATATCATAGAAAAGTATTGTTAAAGAAGATATTATAATACAACTATTACAGTTTGTTTCGGAAACAATATATTGCAAACTATCGACCGAGAGCGAAGGTTACTGGATCGGTACATTGTATGGGCATTGAATTTGCTCATTATCATTATTTATTAAAAATTAGAAATTTATGATTCTGAAATGAACAGTTTGCGCTGGTCAAAATGGACTTATAGCCCGCTAGGCAAAGATTAATCAGCGAATCTAAATTTTGTATTCGTTGTTCATAAATAAAATTTGCCCAACTCTATCCTCCACTCCCATTTCAAGTTAAGCTAAACTAGTCACCTCCCTGTAACGGATAAAACGAATTTTTACAACTTTTATATTGTCACTTTAAAAAAGAAAATGATTTCTGTAAACTACAAATAGAATAATATGTATTTTGTGAACGTAGCTATGGATTAATGGTTGGCATCGGTGCTGGTCTAACGTTTCCGCCAACGGTGTACATCGTGACCGCGTATTTCGAGAGACTTCGAGGATTCGCCAACGGTTTGTGCATCTCTGGAAGCGCAATTGGGACTATAGTGCTGCCACCATTCTTGCAATACCTCCTTGACTGTTTCGGATACAGGTAATTTATTCTATATTACCTGTAATAGATCTGAAAATTTAAGTACTTCATAAAATCTGGGGTAACAGGTGTCAGGAACAGGGACTTAACTTCATCGATTTTCATTAGATAACATTTTCTTCCTCCCATTAAACAGCTCATAATTGTTTTATTAATTTTTGTTTTCAGAGGCGCGGTGCTGATAATGGGCGGTATCACGCTGAACACTTTGGTCTGCGGGATGCTGTATCATCCAGTGGAACAGCACATGATCACCGTACCGGTGGAGGGAGGGATCGACAACGAGGCGTTGACCATGGACGAGTCGGATTTCGACAAAAAGAAGGGCACAGGTAACTCGACCAAGCTGAACGTAATATTACAAGACGCTAAGGACGTCGGCGACGATACAAAGACCAAGCAGTTAGAAATTCTGACGGAACTTCTGGACAATACAACGTCCACCACAGAAAACGAGACGTTGTCGTACAACGACGCGAGGTCGAAGAAGGAAGAGAACTGCAGCGCCGAGAAGAGCCCCGAAACGACGGACGACCCCAAAACTAACTACTGCGCAGAGAATAGAAACGAGGAGATACTCGATGAGAAAAGAACCGAGGTGGAAAAGGAATGCCCGTTTAATGCGAACGTGCTGCGACACGGCAGCAACGCGTCCGATACCAACGCGACGGTCAACAAGATTAAGTTGCCCGAGTTGACTAAATATCCTCACAGCAACAAGGACGAAAAGGCCCTCGAATGTTCCAAAAGCAGTTTGGGTGAGCTGTCGGAACAATCATTGCCCGACAAATCACACTTCTTCGACCTCAGCGTTCTCAGAGACCCGATCTATCTAGTGATCCTGATCTCGAACTCCACCTCGGCGATCAGCAACACCAACTTCATGATCCTGCTGCCCGCTTACGCTATATCGCAGGGCTTCGACAAGAACTCGTCGGCTCTGCTACTGTCGGTGGTCTCCGCTCTCGACCTGGTCGGAAGGATCAGCGGTGCTTCGTTGTCAGACATCGACTTCGTGCCAAAGTATTATTATTTCGTCGGCGGACTCGGCACCAGCGGCTTGGCGCTGGCTTTGTTGCCAATGGCAAAGAGCTACGCGATGCTTTCCTTCTTCTGCGCGTTGTTCGGTTTATCATCCGGCATGTACATCGGAATTACGACGGTCATTCTCGCGGACATGTTGGGCACGGAAAAGCTAAGCTCGTCGTACGGGATATCTTTGTTCGTCAATGGTGTCCTGCAGCTGGTCGGCCCGCCTGCTTGCGGCGCCATATTCGAATCTGTAGGATCGTACAAACCGATATTTCTAACCTTTGGTATTATTCTTATTCTTGGCACTGCATTGTGGGCGGTGGTGCCACTTATAAATAGAAACCATAAAAAGGATCTGCAATCCGTTTAGCAGTGTGACTCCACCTTAGTGTTCACATAGGGCTTCTAAATCTGATCAAATTACTCAGTGGGCAGCTCTCCGGGACTATTTCGTTAGTACGTATACCACTTCTATTGCTCTACGAACGTCGATCAATGCTGTAGAGACATTTTGTCTTTTGTTATCAGACATCAAATAGAAGTAAAACGAGTAAAATGTCGTTTGATTTATGTTCTTGAGCTACTCAGAAATTCATATTTTGATGTATATTTTCCACACACTTCGTTTAGAAACCTGAATTACCGATCGACAGTGTGCAGATTAGCTATCCACTGTAGATAATAGGTAGAGAAGCACCGATTTAGAGAATCTTAAAGGATCACACTACCTTGAAGACGTTAAATAATAGTGATTGTTTAGGAATTATAATTATTGCAATGAATCTGCATGCTCGAGAAGTTTTAATCAATTTTTATTCGAAATAGCGGCTTCGTCTAAAACGAAATTTTCTCGTTTCTCCTTTCCGGTCTGAATTATTTTTTAAATACCAAAATTATTTAATTTGAAATTCTTTTACACATTTTATCTACGAACGAAGGTTTTCGTTTTCGTATTTTGAAAATTATACAAGGTGAACAGCAATAACTGTCATCGCGATTTTTTCAAGCATTTCCATCGATTCGACAAAAAATGATTTCGAATTAAATTTAATCAGTTAATTGCCTAAGAGTTGCAGTATACAAAATTTCGAAAACAGTAGTTTTTTATGAGAAACTAATGTCACGTTAACTTTTTTTAATGGCACCGTATATTTTTAGCTTCATGAAGTCATTATTAATGAAAAACAACGAGTCAAAGGACCTACTAGTTTATCTCCTAATGACCTTGACCTTAGAAATTTAGATTTGATCGATAGAAATGTTCAAATGGACAATTATTGTATTATTTTAATCGATCGTCACAAAATTTCAAGTTCTAAAACATGATTCACTATAATTAGGTCTTTCATTTTGATCAGTTGGTAGTAATAAGTCCTAAAATCATTCTTCTCGCACTACTGAATTTATAAATAAAAATAGGGACTTTGTTTCTTAAACCAAAAATATTGCAAAAAATCCCATGCTTTTTAGAAATTAATTTAAAAAACGACGCAATATTGCCAGAGTGGATTGTTCGGGTGACTTTTACATACAATTAATTAATAGTATTTGATTCGCATAGAGATTTCTCTAGGACTGATAAATTTTCTCTCTTTAGTTAGTTAAATCTTTTCAGTCTTTGATATTTGCTCAATTTCGTTATTTCCTTTTATGCCCTACTTTATGCTCTTCTTTTCGTGTAAATTGCGGCTCTATAAACGATTGTACATTTATAATGAAATGTCTCGTTACAAATAATAATTTAGCACAAGAACGACACTTTTCAGTGTTTTGGCGGGCAATGTGCCAAATTCGCCATCATTTTAAAAATATTTTATTAATTAAAATAGTGCTTTATTCAGTTTTGACCTTGAAATTCTTCTGAAACCGACCTAACCCAACCATTGGGTTTTCGCACACCTCTAAAATCTAAATTAGAAACCACGATATGAAGAAAGCATAATCGATGGAAGAAATATAGTCGTAAATGACATTTAAAGGAGGCAAATGGAAGCATTTAGCAAAAGAGTACACTCCACGCAACGCGAGTGTTTTTCCTTTTTTGTTACGACAGGTCCAGCATCGATGACTACGACTAAATACAAGAAACAGGGCTGTCTATTATAATATCATTTGAGTTTATCCTGAAAAGATCACTATATAGCTTCCATCGACTATAAACGTAATTTTAAGTTCGATATTACGATATGATACTTCATAAGTAATATAAGCAAGCTTTAAATATACAAAAAAAAACGTCTTCATCATTTTTATTCTCGTTTTAAATTATTTTCCTACTTAAACATCTATTCGAATAAGGAAAAAGTTTCTGACGAATGTCGGATAAAAATAAAAAAATGAACATCTTATTCATCATTAGTGAATAAATATCTACACAAATAAGGATTGTTCGAATAAAGAATTATTCCTGACGAATACAGACAAAAATCAATAATAAACATTTTATTCATCATTATTGAATAAATATCTACTCAAATAAATCGTTTGAATGAAGAATTATTAAATCATTCACAGCTATACGATTATTCTATTTATTTTAATTACACGAACATTTACAATTCGCAAAAACGATTAACCATCGAGATGGTTACATAATTATGATACATACGGGTAGAAGGAATTATTTATAAAACTGAAGATGATTTTATTTCGCCGAGCGTATCGAATTTACACGAGAACGAAGAACTAAAGAGAAACAGTACATTAAGAAAGACAGTTTAGTTATGCGTAAACAATATTTCTATACTTACTTATTTAAAATTGATAGTATTCTTCTTAGAATCGCTGCGTGAACGGAAATACTATTTCGAGATTTGGAATGATTTCCGTAACAGAAAAATTTATATTGCATTGACTATGATGTAGCTGTTTCCCTTCGGCCGCTGAACGACACGATAGAACGAATACCTTTTACAGAGGTCTGAAACGATTCAACAAAATAAATAATTTAATCCATACGCGAATTAATAAACCTTCTAGTTGTTTCAAAGAAAAAAAAACACCTAGTCGCCTCATCGATTTGGATGAATCGTCTCCTTGTGATATGTACACCCCTGGGAAAAATTTTAATGGAGGATTTTAGAGGCAAAAATAAGGCGAAAATCAAGAATACCAATTTGTTGATGAAGGCTTCGTTAAACAGTTATTTGAGTTAAGAAATAGTGTTTAAATTAAGGTCAATTGGACATATTTATATAACAGTATGAAGCATAATGGAAACTATATTTCGTTATAGTTCTTGCGAATATGAAATGTAACATGTATAGGGGAAATTTGCTTAGAATATTGATATCTACAACATACTTCAATATCATCCAAATAGGCGGGGCGGCTATGATTTCGAATAATTAACCAAACGAATTTTTCAGGTACCTGAAATTACTCCGACACTTTATTGTTGCAAAGTTTTGGGTATCCGACCCAAATTTTTTGTGTTAATACATATAAATTATCATGAATTAAAATGTTGGCATCAGAACCATTAAACCAATCAATTTGATTACATTATAATCGTAATCGTGTGGAATATTAAATACTATAATACTAGTGCTTTATAGTACAGACTTTAATACGTCAATATGTAATTTATAAATGGTATATTGACCTTTTTCTTCGAGCCATTGAGAAAGTCCTTGTACATTTCTGAACGTAGATACCTCGAGTAACTATCGCTTTTCATCAGGTGATACACGTGTGCCTAAAATTTAACAACAATATCAGAACGTTTAACTAGAGTCTTCTATAAAGGGTGCACGGGTACCTGAATCTTCTGTCGCGGATCAGATGATTTTCCTAATTGTATTTCACGCTTATTGTTTCAGATTGGTAAATATTTTCATGCTCTGCATAAGTGAAATCGGTTTATGAAAATCGAAGCAAAGAAAACAGTTCATGATATGTACTTTGTCTGTATGCCAAGAATATCATCCGACCCGCGACTTTGCAATGATCGGATACGTAAAATCGGGTTGAGTATCCGCACACCCAAACTAATCATTTCGGTACTTGTTTTTTAACTTCAACGTCTTTGTAATTTTAACAAAAGATTGCTGTTTGGAACTTGTACCGCTGCAACGTCGAAGCACCATCGATCAGCTTTCTGCAAGTTCTTCCTGGTTATTTCAAAAGATTGGGAGTCGACATTGATAGGGCAGCTAGCATCCGGGCCCAAATACTCGTACCAAATTTCATTTATTTTCGTCTGAATATCTTTTTGCGGTAAAGTTTTCAATTCCTGAACGGCTTCCCAAAATCTGCGCGCGTCGACGAAAATTAGATATCCTTAATTTATGTTTATGATTCTCGTCCAAGTATAGCAAAGTTACCCATTTACTTACTTCAAATTCTCACCGCTGAACTCTTTATCCAAAAACCGTATAAATTGTTCTCTACCAACGGGATCTTGTAACAACTCTTGAAGACTAAATGCCCACCTTTTCACTCTTCTCGTTGATATTTCTTTTCTGTTTTTGCAAATTCAAATTTATTATTCGATGAATAAAAATGCTCGTTGATGACAGAATACAAGAAAATCGAGAAATCTACATACGCTAATTTTTCTTGCTCCCACATTTCTGAACTGTCCGATATCCATGGATTCGTGAATTCCGGTTGTACGAAGAAAGGATCATACTCTACGTATTGTTCAAAATATCCGATCAGACTAAAATAATTGAAATATATTTAAGAATGAATTTTAGGGAATTAACATTATTGGACAGAAAGCTGCTACCTTTTAATTAATTGAATATAACTATTTAATAGTATTTAGTATGGGTGTACGGGTATCCGATCATTATAAACTTCCAGGTACCCGAACTGATCCCGAGTAAAATTCTCGATCTGACCACAAAAGCTTTGGTATCCACCCACTCCTGCTTTTTATCATCGATTGAAACGATTTCTTATTTGGGTACTCGAATGTTACGATTTTCGGGTTCTCGACCCCAACTTCAATTTCGAGTACCCGAGTACCACAAACTTTCGAGTTCCTTCTTTAACCGACTTACGCTCGATCTAGCTCTAAATTTCGGGTACCCTCACACCCCTAGTATTTACCTAAATACTGAAAATATTCACTTACGCCTCAGAAACTTTCGATACCTTAGTGTTCGGTCTATCTAATCTAGTATTTAACATTTCAATCTCTTTATGTAATATTTCCAAAGACGATACTATATTCGACTTTGAATGCGAAGGAATTTTACCAGCATTTGCTCCAATTTGTACATTTTTGTTTGCCTCTGGAATTGGCTTGTAATTTCGGCATGCTTTCTTAATATCCAATTCCGTAGTGTTGACACATCCTGGCTATAAAATATATGTATATATATTATATATATATACGTGTGTGTGTGTGTGTGTATATGTTGTTTATATCTTAACAATATTACTCCACACTGAATTTTTTATCGCGAGAAATAATCATTCAACAAATAAAATAATTTCATTTCACACCACACAGATAAAATTAAATATATTAAAACGATTAAAGTTATTACCATCGGCCTATATACATCCCAGAATGCTCTTTCCTGGCTATCCAACACTTTTCTTTCTAATTTGTCTCGTTTTTTATCAACTTTACTTTGCGCTTCCGCTTGCATGAATATAATCTCCCATTTCCGTGAAAACATTTTCTGTAATTTTGCCAAATTCTCCGCTTCATAGTCCGCCAATTCCAAACGAGTTTTGTTCTGCATCGTTCGTTTGCACAAGTAAACCGCTGGAACGTTTAAATCCAACCAAAATCATAAATACCTTGGACAGAAAAGTTATTTTTCTTCCAAGATTTTTAAAATTTTCCTACCGTAATCTGTGTTTTCTGGTTCCCAGCAATTCGATGGCCAAAAATATGGCGTTTGGAACCTGTAGAAGGTGTTATCGTTCCTCACAGTAAGGCAGTGATCATCGATAGGGAAAAAATATCCATGAGATGCCATGAGGTGTGCCACATGGAGAGCCTCTGTGATATTATTATATTATTAGTTTCAATTCCATATACTTTTTCCACACAATCTTATACTGTTTTCTAACATTTTAGTTCTACCTTGATCATCTATGGCCATGGTTTTCATCATCCACGACACCAAATCTGCACCTGAAATTGTAAACTGTTAGTATCGCCTATTATTTGATCGAGATATTTGCTAGTACAATCAGAATACATCCTATACTGTGCATTGAGCAAACGCATTCCACAAACTTGTCAATTACTCTTTTATATCTGATGGTATTCAGTAAATGAGTCTGTAACTTTTCCCTAAGTCAATATAACTTGCAATGAACATGTTAAAAAGTCAATAGAGTGGTTCAGAATATATTCAATACTTTACCTGTGAAAACAGAAGGCGTCTTTGTCATGAAGCTTTTCACAGTTTTCACTGGAACTCCTGTGACTTCATCTAACATTTTCTCTACGATCGCTTCCATCTAAAATATATGGATGTATGAAACAAAAATTGAAATATTATTCTTCTTGGTGATCAAGGCATTGCTTCATTTCAAGGCATTTTCAACAAACTATATGAAATTTGTTAAAATAGTGATATAGGTTGAGGGGAAATTCACAAAAATCAGCGATAGTAAGATACACGCAAGCTAGGGATTCTCAATTTAATTAAAACTACCATGAATGGACTTTCACTTATTTAATACTTAATTTTTAATGAACTTATCTTAAAACTTATCTTATAATTTAGTTTTGTACAAACATCAATGGGGAAAAGTTCCTTAAATCGCTAAGAATAATCTTGGTATTAAAGTATCTTTAATAAATTGTGATTAAAAATACTTGTCATTTTATTTGACAAGTTTAAATAGCCGATGAACAGAAGAAAAAGTTGTGATTTAATTACTTTCTGAAACACTAGATAATTGGGCGTGTCTTCAGCACACGAGGCAGTGATATGATACATGAGGCTATTTTGATACTTTTCGATCGTTTCTCCATTCTGGTCATTGCATTGATTTGTCTGATTATGCCTATTTCTGAGCTGCTCGCCTGTTTCACCATTCTCACTGCTTTCACCCGACTTTCGGCAATATGCCGACTTTTCAGAATTCATAGTTACCATATCCAGCCTACAAAAATGTTTTAATTCGATTCATCTTTGTTGACATGCAAAACATAGCTTATTATTTTTTAAAAAGCCATTCTAATGTATCATAGATTTTAATTGGTTGATGCTAAACTAATAAAGAAATTGATATAATAGCTTGACAGGTGGAAAGAAAAAAACTGTATCTAAAAAATAGTTAGATTTACAGTTTCGAAAGTTTTCAGAGTTTCGTGGATTTTTAATTGGAGTTGTGCATTCCTTAAAATTGGGTTTCGACATCAGTCCTTTTTACAATAGTAATATGAGATAGTGTGAATATTATCGAGCCTCAGAACCGATGATTCTTACAAGATCGTACAGTAAAATATAATCATTTGACATAAACAGACTAAAATTTGTGCAAATTTAATTCACTGCACCACGAATGAAAGAACAGTGTCCCGTTTAGATTACATTTATCAGAATCTGGACCAATAATAGATTGATTCGAATTAAGCTGAATTTGCTACTCGAATATTGATGATCGATATTGTAAAATTGCTTTTCGTGTCAACAGAATTGTCATCCAGAAAAATCTTTGTAACATGAGGCGAATGAAATAAATAGCGAATTACCGTTTCTTGGAATGAGAATTCACATCATGAGAGGAAAATCAATTGTGTATATCCATTTCGACGGATAAATTCACCAGAGAGATTAATGCATCCAGTGTGACGAGATTAGCAGAATGCAATGTATCGGGGCCAACATTAGTAACAATGAATTTACTATAGCTCCTGTGGCGGGAAAGTAATAAATATACTATTGTACCGTCCAAGCAGTCCAGGTATTTTTTCTTTTCGATCTACATACGTACGTACAAGGAAAGTATCATCACAGCCGAGGTATTCGAGCAGACATTACATCCAACGTATTTTTTCGGCCCATTTTTGTGGGGTCTCGAAACCCCATTATCATTTTCGTGTCACTCGCAACATTATCAACAGATTTAGAAATGAATTTCAACCCCTTCTACCACAGACGAGATATATGAATAGACGTTTCACGTAATGTAATTTTTCGGCCGGAGTTTCTGGGGTCCCGGGACCCCATTACCATTTTCGTGTCACTCGCAACGTTATCAACAGATTCAGAAATTAACACAAGAGGAAGTGAGACAGAAAATAAAATTACATAAATTTTATTATTTTTTAACGGAATTAAAGCTGTAGGGTCCATCATTGGACATTAATCGATTAATTTCATTGGAGAAATCAATCGATTAAGAGTATTTAAAAATTTCAAGATTATTAAAATTCATAAGGATGTATTTCATTGATACGTACACCGCAAATTCTCTATTTTTTATTTTAAATTGTAATACATCATTTATTAAAAAAATAACTCGGCAGAAACGTATTTGCGACTCGAAATCAGTTTAATCAGACTGTGCATCGGGGCCCCGGAAACTCCTCATTCCTCGCTTTCGCACACTATGCTCAATTGCGTGTACGTGAGCTCGTTGAGTTTCGGAAGAGCCGAGAAGAACAGGCTGATACTCGCTTTCCTTCTCGCTCTTGCATCGCTGACGTCGTTTACATTTCTCGAAAGCAAGCCTGGCATCGCCAACCGTTCGAATCGTCAGTAAACGACAAAAGCCATCGTGACCGACAGACCTTACATTTCTCGAAATCGGACCTGTGCGCTTTTTGAAGATTCATTGACTTTCCATACGAAGCGACCATGCGTTATATACATATACATGTTATACATGCTAGGAACTATAAATTGTATAACTTTCGTTGTATATCTACTTTCTAATAACATGGGAAAATTTTAAAATATAAAAAAATGTAAGAATACTGTAAAATTTTTGCAATGGAGAATTATTGAAAGAAAATGAGGTAATTATTTAGAAAAGGCCGGGTCTCACCGATTTCGATGATTTTTGAATATGTTGTAGAAATCAACATTTTGAGCAACTTTTTCCTATACATACAGGGTGTTCGGCCACCTCTAGCAAAAATTTTAATGAGCGATAGTAGAGGCCAAAATAAGACGAAAATCAAGAATACTAATTTGTTGGTGGAAGCTTCGTTAAAAAGTTATTAACGTTTAAAGTGCCGCTCTTACTGAATTTTTTTCTCGAAAATGCGCAAGATTTCGGGGGTATGTCTATTCACCAAAAATGACTATAATTGAACCCTACAACCGAAAATAATTTTTCCACAACGATTTGCAATTTTTTAATTTTCTCGAATAATTTCACACCTTCTCTATTTTTTTTCTCGAAAGTGGGCAGGATTTCGTGGGTATTTCTAATGACAAAAACTGATTGTAATTGACCCCCGCAACCGAAAATAATTTTTCCACAACGATTTGCAATTTTTTTTCTCCGTTGAAAAATTTAGGCACCTAATTGGATTTTCAGTAAGGAATTTTTTTCTCGAAAGTGCGTACGATTTCGGAGGTATATGTAATGATAAAAATGATTGTAATTGATCCCCGCAACCGAAAATAATTTTTTTAAAACGATTTGAAAAATTTTTTTTCGCCGAAAAATTTCAGCACCTACTCGATTTTTTTTCTCGAAAGTAGATAGGATTTCGGAGGTATGTGTACTCACCAAAAATGATTGTAGTTGACCCCCGCAACCGAAAATAATTTTTCCAGAACGATTTGAAATTTTTGAATTTAATTGTTAATAACTTTTTAACGAAGCTTCCATCAACAAATTAGTATTCTTGATTTTCGTCTTATTTTGGCCTCTACTATCGTTCATTAAAATTTTTGCTAGAGGTGGCCGAACACCCTGTATAACCGCCGCTCGGCCTTAGTTTCCGAGATTTTTCTTCAAAAATATCGCTACTACTACAATGAATTCTGTCTATATGTACATATCTGTGGCTCTATATTGCATCAGTCCACGATCGTTGCTTTTTTCTCTTGTTTGTATTAGCCGGCATGACAACCGACGACAAATAATGTATAATGTGTCGATTATAATTATAATTTTATTACTTTACATTTTTTAAATTTCTTACAAATAACGTGTATCAAACCTTGAAATGAGAACACAAAACTTAATGTAAAATTACATTGAAATTCATTTGGTTGTTTAGACTCAATCGTATTAATAGTATAAATATATGAACGCACGTCCATAAGCGTAGTAAAAAAATGTCTTTTTTAATAGTTAACCCTTTGCACTCGGCACCTTTTCGGACGTTAGCTATCAGCAACTCGACGCTACTTTCTCGCGAAAACGAAAACCCTTGAGTCGTGATATTATATGGTACAACTTTGGAACCAAGTAAGGCATTGTGTTGAAATTTGGTTTATATGTATTTATGGACATTGAAGAACACATATTTACAATACAAAATAAAAATTTATTTCTCATAATTTTCTATGGTATGGTAAATTCTGAAACAATTCCCAATATACATAGCAGGTTGATTTATACATGTTTCACAATAAAATGTTGTTTGACGTCTTTCTCCTGGTGTTTTCCTGTCGGAACAAATAATGCAGTCCCGGTTTCTTTGGCCTACATTTGGAATATGTAGCTTATTATTCATTCTATTGTCCGACAAAGAACGTTAATTTATTTAGATTATAACGAAGATAGCAATAGGAATGGTTCGACTTTGAATGAAGTTTCGATTTTACGTTTATAGTTTTTTACGTTTACGTTTTATGTTCTTTATGTTAAATAATTTTAGTAAACATTAAATAATATAGTTTATATAGTTACGTTTATTGTCCACGTGTTTGAATCCGACCATACGCCTCTGACCATCATCGACAATCCTTCCACTCCCAACGTAAAAACGGCTGATATATTTCTCATTTTAATAGAATATTTCCCATTTTAATAGGAAAGTACAGGAAAACATGTGTTTCTTAAAAAATTGCGGTGAAATCAGTTCATTCTCCTTAATCACTAATAAACTTTCATGTCCCCTCAGAGGGGACAACCGAGTGCAAAGGGTTAAAATATGTTCATAAAATATTATCTTTTTAAAACGTGTATTTCCGTAAAAACAAATTTTTGTAATTTTTTCTTCATTATGGTATATTGCTTATATGTACATTGTATATGCCTACACAGGTCGGAAAGTCAAAAATGCCTAGGCAGTCGAGAATCTCGGCTCGAGAATATGCGAGATCGAATTTCAGCTGTGTTGAGAGCAAGAAGGATAGACTGACATTCGCCGCCTTTCTCGAATCTACGAAGCTATACGAAACGCCAGAACTCATATACAAGGTGGTTGGCATTAGTGTATGTGAGTGGTGGGGCAGTTCCCTTTGGGCACGGGTCTGCCGTCTGATAATACTCCACTGTCTTTTCCAATCCCTCCCATAATCAACTCACATGTATTTACGTACACACTCAGCTGGCTGCCCATCAATACTAATTCAGTGCCTAGTTTCTCAACTAACCGCCATCCATGAGAAGAGGCCGCTAAAATCAGCTACGAATTTTCAGGTCGGTATGACAGTCAGATTCGGCCGCGAAAGTCCATAAGGTGAAACGTCTATTCATATATCTCGTCTGTGCTTCTACGCACACGTTACAACCGCTGCACATCAATACTAATTCAGTGAATAGTTTCTCAACTGACCGCCATCCACGAGAAGAGGACGCTAAAATCACCTTCGAAATCTGTTGATAACGTTGCGAGTGACACGAAAATGGTAATGGGACTCTAGAGCCCCAGAAAAATGGGCCATAAAAATTGTATATTGGATGTAAGGTCTACTCGTATACCTCGTCTATGATATCAGACAGTAATTTCTTTTTGATTAACTCGACGGTTGGTCTTTAGAAAATAGTTCGTGGAATTTCTTCAATAATACCAACATTCAAGCAGCAGGGATCACGTAATTTGAAATTTATTATCTGAACCCTTTTCTGACATCAGAATAAATATATTATTATATGTTTTATTAAACACAATCGAATAGTTAATTTTATCCAAAGGTTCCTTAGCTAATTATGTGTTATTATTTCTAAATAAAGTATGTATAGTCTTTACTATCTTAAATATTAAACTTAAAATTAATTTTTTTATCATTTTTATATCGCTGACATAGGGTACATGCTCTTTAATTTTCTTTTTTCTATTCAAATAATCATGAGTGAATAATACTAACAGTCTTAATAATGTATCTAGACAATAAATAGACTTTTAAATAGTACGTGTGCATTAGCAAGTATTCATCCCTCCTTGGTCTATAAATAGAGCCTAACGAGGAATTCAACTTCTTCCCAAGTAAGCGAGTTTAGTTACTGATTGTTTCTTCGTGAAAACGGACGTCTACTTCTTTAAACAACCGGCTTTATATCATGTAAATAAACTTTGATAATTCATTAAAAGTATCAAAATTGCCCGTTATTCAATCCATTATTTTGTAACAACATTTAAACGAATTAATCAAAATCAGTGTGGATCTATTTTATGATCGATCTAATGCATACGTATGTTAATTAAATCCCATTTCCGTTAATGTAAAATATCTGAAATTAATTAAATTCGACTACTTCCGACTTTTATTAACTTTACTTGAATTTAATTATTTTTTTGTAATTAAGGCAATTGCTCGAAATTTTGTTAAACTCGCCAAAAGTGTTAAGAAAATTATTTACTTGAATATTTGATTTTTTACTTGTATTGTATTTCGAGAAATAGTGCGTTATAAATATTAATTTCCTACAGAAAATTCGTATTTACATTTCTACATTCTTTGCATATTGTATAAATAATTTTCAATAATTTGTTTTTAATTATTTTTCGATTCTATGGGAACAGAATTTTCGAAAATTTTGTCAATGGAATCTAATGCTGCTTGTGCCATTTGTGGAGAAACTGCGGTCTGCAAATGTAGCGCGTGCGAAAATGTGTATTACTGTAGTAAACAGCATCAGAAAGAAGACTGGAAGAAACACATAGAAATCTGCAAACCGTTCAAGGTCAGAGATTATGTATAACAATCTGCTTTTTAATAATGTATAATATTGCGTTAATATCTTTTATAATTGCTTTGAAAAATATTCTATATTCAGTTCCAAATTTTCTAACTCATTCTTTATAGGAATATTTTTGAAAGAAGTGGAAATCGAATAATAATAAATAACTACAGTATCGTTTACGTTTATAACGTTTCAGACTTTCAACTAGAAACGCAAATGATCGATTCTTGTTCAAGTCTGTTTCGTTAAATGAAAACGAAACATAATTTAATAAAAACATTTATATTTAACATTTAACCCTACATTCTAATTTAATTGTACATATCAATGCTCAATGTGTGTGTAAGTACAGGTCCTAAGAGAAATAAGCCAATCGTGAGCTTCCTACGAAGATTTGCGATTAGCTGATTTTATTCGAGTTTGTTTTATTATTATATTATTACATAATATTATCATACATTTATACTTAACTAATTTAATTTTATTTCCGATATCATGTGTGTAGACACATATCGCGATATTCATATGGTGGGAAAAAGCAGACACATACCACTGCGCAGGCGCTATAGAAGATTCGTCGTTGCGAAATTAACGCGTTCTTCTGATCAGTAAACACTGAACACTTGAACGATATACACGTGTCTCGAAACCATGTGCTACAAACTAGGGTATGTTTCCGCTCGTAACTGCAATACTACATGTTCGTGAATTCGAGTGTTTATTTGGAATAGATCCATTGTCCTAACAAGTAGTGGGCCCAGAACGATTGAAACTTTTCAAATAAACTGTCTCGCGTCTCGTAGAAGCAAAGTGAGGTTATCTTCACGTGTCACGTCGGTTTTTTTGTATCTCCCGATTTTTTGATCACGATCTGCCCTGTGTCCGTTTTCTATAATATTGTGAAACAATGGCTACAGCGGGTGTTGTAAGAATCGACGCATTAACGTGGGAGAATTATGACAGACGGAAGATCCAAATGGAAGCCGCTTATTCAGACGAACGCTTGGAATTTCGTGAATGGTAAGAAAGTAGAGCCGACGCTTGTTGCTGGTGATGTTAATTCACAAGCTACAGGTGATGTGTGGATCTTGGGCGATTCAAAAGTGAAGTTTGATATAATTTTATTAATCAATGCATCGGAACTGAAACAAGCGAAGGGATACGAGACTGCGTGCTGTATGGTTAAAATTAAAACAGCTTAGTTTCTACACGAAATGTGTGTGTTTAGTCGAAATGACCTGTTTACCATGTATAAATCATTTCTTGGACTTTTGAAAACAATTATTTTTAATCATTTTAAATGTCTGACAAGTAACACTACCCAACTGATACTCACCGATTTGAATAAAATTTAACATACTTATTAAACTCCGAAAAATATTAAATACGTGTTTTTTTGTTTCGGCTAAATACGCTTTTTAGGGGTAGAAAGCACCCCTCAACCTCTGGAGATGGAAACGTTTGTGGCTAATTATTTCTTAAAGGATACAGTTTCTGAAACAAGTACTAGATCCAGAGTTGTATAGTTCAGAGTGATGCACTTGATGGTGTCCTTGAAATTGACCTTCAAGTCGATTTTCAAGGTCAATTAAATTTGGAAATAATAAGTCGGACTGACCGGATTTAGCAGTTGCCGGACCTTGAACGTATCCTGTATTTATAATCAGTAATTTTATGCGATGACTCTAATCTGTCTTCAGAATTGATTTGTTGCGTTATTTTCCCAAAAAAGGAACAATCAGACGGTATGGGAAAATAGGCTCAAATTTATAGAAAAAATATGAAGGAGAAAAAAAGTTTTGTAAGTAACTTCGGAATAGAAGTAAAGATAAGAAAACATGAAATGTCACTCTGATTGTAAATTGAACGTTACATTCATGCTATATTAGAAATTTTAATTTTTTTTTAACAGATTTCGAAAAGGGGGAGGTTACTATACAGGGTGTTCGGCTACCTATAGTAAAAATTTTAATGAGCGATAGTAGAGGCCAACATAAGACGAAAATCAAGAATACCAATTTGTTTATGGAGGCTTCGTTAAAAAGTTATTAACGTTTAAAGTTCCGCTCGTACTGAATTTTTTTCTCGAAAATGCGCAAGATTTCGGGGATATGCCCATTCACCAAAAATTATTGTAATTGATCCCCGCAACCGAAAATAATTTTTCCAGAATGAAAATATAATTTGAAAATATAGACAAGGATAATAAAGAAGTAAAAATCCTTACAATTCCTGCGGGAACAACTGGCTTCATTCAACCATTGGATGTCTACGTATTCAGACCGTGGAAAAACTTCCTGAAACAATTATCGGACTTAATTCTCTTATACAATTATAATATTAACCTACATTTGAGGAATAACATCCTCAAAATTCAATCATTAATCCACACTCAATTTTCGTCACCCCGATTCCAAAACATGATTAAATATGCCTGGTGGAAAAGTGGATATATTCAAGAAAAACCAGATAGATGTGAAACGCCTGTCGATTTCTGTTTAAAGAATTGCGGTACAGTCTGCAAAATCTGCAATAACATTGCAGTAATAAAATGTGCGTGGTGTACTAACTCTCTGTGTATGGAGCATTTTTTTGCCATAGAAGATACAGCTATTCCTTATTATTGTCATGAATATAAAGAATAATGCCAATTACCATGGAATTTATATTCATAGACATATGTGAAAAGAAATTATGAAATCGCCTTCACTGGCTGGATCTCGATCACACATCTTACCTTATTTGAATGAATAATCAACTTTTAATTTCTTTATTGATCGAATTATTACTACTCTTGCCTTAATTGGTTGAATCAATAAACAATTTTAAATTACAGAAGCTTGTTTCATTTACAAACCACCAACGCTCTGGCAATGAATGTAAAATTTTACGCTCTATCGATTCTTGGGGTGAAAAGCAAAATACTCCCTTTGATAAACGAAATGATTTTCAAATGACCTTGAAAATCGACCTCAAGGTCGATTTCAAGGACGCCATCAAGTGTATCACTTTAAACTGTACAACTCTGGATCTAGTACTTTTTACAGAAACTGTAACCTTTAAGAAATAATTAGCCACAAACGTTTCCATCTCCAGAGGTTGCGGGGTACTTTCTACCCCTAAAAAGCGTATTTAGCCGAAACAAAAAAACACGTATTTAATATTTTTCGGTGTTTAATAAGTACGTCAAATTTCATTCAAATCAGTGAGTATCAGTTGGGTAGGTTTACTTGTGAGTGGTTCTCACAAATGACAAATTATGAGTTCTGTTGATCAGATATGTTGTTCGAATCATATAAGAAATTTATTAACAAATTTCAATAATTTTATCACGTCGAACAATTGTGTATCTATCTACAATTTATCAAACATTACTAAATACAAATGTCATGTAACTTAACCAAGCCAATAACAAATATGATGGTTAGATAATTGAACGTTCTATCGCTCTAATTGGAAAACCCTATGCCTGCGATTAATTTGAAATCTTTGTTTCAAAGTTGATGAAAAATCCCATTCTGGGTCGTTACTATGTGGCCACAAGAAATATTAAAGCGGGAGAAATTATTCTCAAAGAACATCAGCCTCTGGTTTCCGGGCCTATGCACAATTCCGTCCCGGTATGCCTTAAATGCTATGCAGTATTATATAAAGACATAGCAATTCCGTGTATAAAATGTGGATGGCCACTTTGTGAAAATTGTAAAGATCATGGTTTGGAATGTGACTTTACTTCTTCCCGCAGAGACAATAAGGTGAATATTCTATTGAAAATGAATTAAATTGCTTGTTGCATCAATATTCCATTGATTTTTCAAGCATGCATCAAGATATTTAATTTTCCTGAATCATGTAATGTACTTAATCAGAGTTACCATACAGTGTACAAAAAGTATTCGTATAACCAGTTTTTTTGGAATTACTGTTTTTGAAGAAAAAAGAAAAAGTAATGCTGAAACGAGTTTTATTTGATGAAAATGTTTTTCGTAATTTTATTCCATTATTTGTAAACACCCATCAATCTTTCTGTATTATTCAAGTTTTCAATTATCCAAAGTCTTGGCCCACATTACCTTGCATAATTGAAACTCTAGAGAATTTAATATTTCCAGTTATTTTATTAAGAAACATGGAATATTGCAGGTATCCATAACAGAGTTTGGTTATCCACATCCAAGTTATCAATGTATAAATGTAATAAGAACACTGTCTATGAAAAGTAACGATTTGGAGAATTATAAAAAATTATTGTCGCTCGAGAGTCATTCGAATGTACTAAAAGAAAAGGGAATTTTCAGCTTTGAGAAACCGTCGAGCGTCGCGTCTTTTATTAAAAGATTTTTTAAAGCGGACGACATTTCCGAAGATGAGATTATAAACATCATTGGTATTTTGCAGGTTTGAAATTTAATAAATTATTCATTTAAGTGTGAAAGTTGTATATTGTAAGAGGGGTGTATGTGTTTATTGTCTAATATTTAAATATAGGAAACCTTCATGAACACCCATGGGACCCCCTTCATTCCGATGGGAGGCACTCCTTCCACAATACCATCACTCAATCGCAAGCGAGTAAATACAGTAGTGCCCACATAAGTGACCAAACTCGGGACCAGCGTCGGTCATTTATGCGGGCATGGTTAATTCTCAGAATTCACCGAAGATAAGTTTACACTCGACACGCTTGGCTTCTAAGAATTGGTGAGAATAACTCTGGTCATTTATGTGGGCAAAAATCTGGTCACTTATGTGGGCACTACTGTATCTCGAAAACTGAGGCAGAGTGGCAATTATTGTTCACATAAAAGTTGTTCACAATCTTATCCTCTATAACATACTAAAAAATCATTGGGTTCGCTTCACGGATAATATAGTTTCTTAAAATTTTAAGTCTCTTTTTTGCAAAAGGGTATTACTTTTTCACCTTCCCCCAATCTATATTTCTTTTTAATGTTGAAATATAACTTTTTTTGAAAAAAAAAAACCCCCTAAAAAAATAAAGAAATTTAGGACAAAGCCACTGAAGTAAATATTTACCTTGTATTAACTTTTCAAAATATTTAACTCGTTCGTTTAATAGTTAATAAAGTAGAACATTAATATTATCGTTAAATTATAGGTCAATGGACACGAAGTTCCTCTCACGGAACGACCGTACATTGCAGTTTACGAGTTGGCATCGTTTCTCGAACATTCCTGCAAAGCAAATTCTTCAAAAAGCTTTACGAACGAAGGTGGGCTGATCATTCATGCTGCTGTGCACATCACAAAAGGTAATTCTATTTTACTGAACTAAATTCAACAGTTACAGATTTTGAAACGTCCCAACAAGTTTAATAGGGTTTAAAGATACCAATGAAGTCCAATTTGGCACACAGTTTTCTTGACTTTTTAATAAATCAGTTGATTTATTAAACATCGTCGAGGAATTCCAGGCAATAGCTACCAAACTTTTTCTTCTGAATACATATTTTTAATTTCGAGGTGAATTCTATGGACAAACATCTGGATCAGCAATAAGTTCTGAATTTAAAAATATTTTCAATACAAAAGTCAAATATTCTCTCAATAGTACTTGATTCTTAAAATATTTATATGCTTAAAAATAGTCTGATTCTGAAATATTTTTGTATTTATAACTACAATACTGCCCACTTAAGCGTCCGCGGTTATCCCCGCCAATTCTTGGAAGTCAAGCGGCGTCGAGCTCTATAGTTATTCAATTATTTCAATAGTTACCACTTATTGAAAATATTCGCATCGTAAATATTCTTTGAAATTCTGTGATTAACACAATTTTATGAATATGATTTACTATCTTAGGAGATCATATTTCCATCTGTTATACGGATCCATTATGGGGTACTACGAACAGAAGGCACCATTTGTCTGAAACAAAATTTTTCGATTGCATTTGTGACAGATGCAAAGATCCCACAGAATTTGGAACAATGTTTAATGCCATTAAATGCAGTGGAATGTAAGTTGCCAATATTACAATTAGCAAATATTAAGATTAATTGAAAATTTATGTTTTTATTTGATGTCTAATGTTTATAAACAATTGCACTGCCTATGCCAATTTATAAATAACACACATACACTGCCGGCGGAAAGTTTCCGACCATCTTTACTTTTTTCGATTAATACGGTTTAACACAGCTGTAAGTTATAAAACGAACATTTATTCTTTGCTTATTTGTTCGTATTGAAGTTCTCCTTGTTTTAGTACCTGCTTGTCCCACCTGGGAATCCCCCAAACCTTAGTTAGGATTATTTTATGGAAGAAATTCATTTCAGCTGTAGGAATGAGGATAGAGCAGTAAACTTTATTGAGTGCTCGTACCTGAATTTTCGTACCTTCTAGGGTAGGTAACGTAGGTTGATTGTTACCTTAGCAATATAGACTATATTGTATTCAAAACTTTAGTATAAATATCGAGTAATGGGTGAGGAGGCTCAGTGTAGCAGAGAATCTTCTCAGAGAACAGATCTTGCATATAAAACGTGAGGAAATGGGAAAATCTAAAGAATTGAGTGTTGCAATACGAAGTGCTATATGCACTTTGCATTCTGAAGGAAAATCAGAGCGAACAATAGCGACTCAATTAAAAATATCGAAAACAACGGTACACGATGCCATTGTGCGGTTTCAATCTACGGGGTCACATGTGTCCAGGAAACGATCTGGGAGACCAAGGGTTACCACGGGTGCAGAAGATAAGCGTATTATATTATTAAGCAAGCGGAATCGCAAGAAAACTGCATCACAAATTACGGTAGAAATAAATGGTACACGAGGTAACGCGGTGTCACTTACCACCGTAAAGACACGCTTGAGGGATGCAGGGTTATTTGGCAGAATTGCAGTAAAGAAACCACTACTTCGGCCAATTAACAAAAAGAAGCGACGTCGATGGGCCTCTACTCATGAAACATGGACATCAGAAGACTGGAGTAAAGTTCTCTGGACCGATGAATCAAAATTTGAAATATTCGGCTCAGCACGACGTGTTTACGTTCGCCGTACTACCACGGAAAAAATGTTGCCACCGTGCATAGAACCCACAGTAAAGGTGGTGGGTCGATTCAAGTCTGGGGATGTTTCTCAGCAAATGGAACAGGTGATCTTGTTCTGATAGACGGTACCCTCAAAAAGGAAGGCTACAAAGAAATATTAGAACGCCACGCAATTCCATCAGGACTACGGTTAATTGGGCGCAGATTTGTACTCCAGCAAGACAATGATTCAAAGCACACGGCCAAACTGTGCAAAACATTTCTTCAACAAAAAGAAGAGGAAGGAATATTAAAAAACATGGTTTGGCCACCTCAATCCCCAGACTTGGACCCGATTGAGCTGCTTTGGGATCACCTGGATCGAACGGTTAGAAAGTAGTGCCCAACATCCAAATAACACTTATGGGAATTATTGCAGAGTGCGTGGAAAGATGTTTCGCAAACAATGCGAACGAAATTAATCGATAGAATGCCGAGATTAGCTACCAAAGTAAAAAGATGTAAAGGCTCGTTTTTTGACGAAAAGGCTGTATAACGCGTTTATCATTAGTTTACCAATAAATATGTTATAAACTTAACTTTTTGTACTATACTACATCTACCCATGATTAGACGTTAAGGAGCATGCAATATTGTAGCCCCATTTTCATTAACTCCGGAATCATTCACAAATATCGAGGTGGTCGGAAACTTTCCGCCGGCAGTGTGTACATATGTGAAATTTATAATATTTAACAATATACAACCCTCATTTTAGATTTTAAATGAAAATTCTTAGAGCCGTAACTATTTTTAGCGACTGTTCTGGTTACATGCTGCCTGAAACCTTTCTCCATCAAGAACAAACAGATTATATATGTTCCATATGTGGATTAACAGTACCCTATGGAAAGGTTGAAGATATTCTAGAAAAGATTGGCATGGATCTCTCTACAATGAAGAAAAATGATATTGGCATGTGTAAAACGTTTCTGGATCGTTATAAAACCACGCTGCATCCGAATCATTTTTACAATACCGATATAAATATTGCTCTAGCTCAATTAATCGGTCAACAAAACGGATTAGAAGCAGTCGAAGAGGATCTCCTCGTGAAGAAAATTGAACTATGCAAAAATGTCGACAATTTACTCAGAATTCTTGCGCCCGGTAACGTAACAAATAATGACTTGTTTATGGCAATAATAATGATGTTTGTAATGAATAATAACAGAAAACGTGTAGAACAGAGTGCTGTTAAATATGATCAGCGCGTGTACACTCTATTTTTAATTGTTAAGAAATATTTATTGTTTAATGATAATTGTGTATACTAATGTTAGATAACTAATTCATATTGATTTTCTAGCCGAAAATCGAATACGAGGGTTAATTCTTTTTGAAATGCACGCAGCCATCGCGAATTTCAGCAGGAGACACCCAGAAGAAGATACTTTGATATTATTGCGGGTAAATCTAAATTTTCACTGTTACAAAAACTTAGGGTGAAAAGTAGAATGGCGCTATTAAATTAATACTTTTATAAACTTTCAACAGACTGCAGATTCTTTTTTATAAATATAAAAAAATAACTTTATTGGCTAGATTATTAAGTTTACGTCATTAGCCTACATCGTGGGCGAATTTTTCTCTTATATAGAGAAAACATTGCATAATTCGAAAAGAAGATCGAATTGGGCACGTGTTTGTACGAATATTTCTTTTCATTGGTTCGGTATCCCCCCGTCCACTACAGTAATACGTGCAACGTTATTCTGTTTTAATTAGGACAGATTATTTTATATTTTTATCTCATTATTTATTTATTTATTATTTTTTTTTTTATTAATAGGAATCGAAGAAGTGTTTGGTTGAAGCTTACAATTTATTAAAACTTGAGCCGACGGTCCTTCCAGAAGGGAAAATTGCTCACCAAGCTAAAGAAAACTTGCAAAAAACGACCGACATTTTGAAACATTTAAAAATTCAGCAATCATAAACAAAATTAGATGTGCAAGTCAAGGTAAAAATATTTTTGTGACGTGTTTCGTGCATCATGAAGACTAAAATGTATAAGTGAAAACAGTAAAAATTTGTCAAATTTGACATTTTATTTACCTAATACAAAAACAAATATAAATTATACAACAGATGTTTTCTTTAATTCTCTAGTAATAATTGTTTAGTCTAATTAAAAAGCTATATTATTTGACTGGTCAAAGCTTGTCCAATTTTAATCGCTGGATCCTCATATCCAAATAAAAGACCAGTAAAGAATATTAAATATGATAAAAGCAACTGGAAATACTATTCTACTACGCCTGTCAATCCACTGTGCAATTTCTTGCGGTGTCATAGTTGTGAAGTTGTGCAACTGTGCAAGGGTTGCCCTTCTCGAGAAAGATTTTGGCGGTAGAGTACTATTCACAGAAGTTATACTCTCTACGGAGCATTCCTGGTCTCTGTCCTCGTCAATTTTTACCGAAGGAATATTCAGAGTGCTTGGAAAACTCTGTAATAAGAAAATACGTTTCTCTCAACGTTTTAATTAACCATTAATTAGTTATCATTAGAAAATATTATTATCTATTAACTCACGTGTACAGTCAGATAATTCTGACTCGTGTAATCTTGTCCGATACTGTTTGCATTATCAAGCGAAGACCAAGATCGCGATCGTTCCAAGCCCGTAGTATTTTTTTGAAATTGTTTTCGTGCCAATTTTGGCGTCAGCGTAGACTTTAATATGTATTTGCTATTTACCTTCTTTAAAGGCACATTTTTCCTATAAATACACATATAAGATAAATAATAATGTAATTAAGTATAATAATTGATTTAAAAAATCAATGTATCATACTTTCGTCTGTAGATTGTATTGACGAAAGCAAATTCAACCATTGCTGCGAACAAAAATATTGTGCAACCTAAGAACCATATCTCACTGGCCTTTATATATGAAACTTTTGGTAACGAGTTTTCTACTTTCGATGCAAGGGTCATGAACGTTAAAATAGTGTTCGTTCCTGGAAATTTAAATTGCAGTTAGTCATCTCCATTTGGATAGAAAGTATTTATAAATTGGAAAGAAAGCGTTTCTTGGTCTATGTTTGTTAAAATAGCATTTGTTCCTGGAAATATAGATTGTAGATAATCTTTATAAGTGTTTATGATTTGCTAAGAAAGAATTTGTGGGCCTAAGTTCAGTACGACTCTTTGTTTTTACGATGAAATACATTCCTTAAATTTGATCGTTTTTTTAAACATTCTGTACAATATTGTTAACATTTTTACATTGGACAAATAGTACAGTGTGCCTTAATTTTTTTTCTTCGAGATTACATTAATTTCGATTCTTAATATTGGATAAGTCTTGTCAAAATTGCTCATTTCATTTGTTCTTTAAATTACCTAAAACTATTCGCGGTGGGCTTGCATCCATATGTAACCAGAATGATACCCAAGAAATTACTACAATTAGTATAGATGGTATATAGTAGTCCATCATGAAGAATCCCATCTCTCTCGACAACTTGAAAGTTATGCTAATTGTACTGAAGTTACCAGCTGTAAATAAGAAAATGGTTACTTAAAATAATTTTAAAGGAATGTTTGTCGAGTGCAAATGATGATCTACGTGCCAAAGTGGCCATAATGTTGCTGCGACGTGGCGTAGAAGACTTCCGATGTGTTAACCCACTTGTCGATGAGTTTGTATTCGGTTAAATGCAGTTCATCTGCGAGTATGATTGGTTCTTGGTCCCAATAGAGCATCATATCGTTCACGTTGTGCGTCCCTGTAGGTAAAAATTCCATTCATTTCCTAGACGTACAGTAGAGTAAAATAGCTGACATTGTAGTAGTACAACAATAGTGATCATCGTACAGCTTTCAAAGACAAGCGGGCATTCCTGAACATCAAATGGAAACTTTTCCAAACGAAGGCCACAATTAAGGGTAGCTTGTAATCTACAATAATAAAAGTAGAATTTTTATTGTATTATAAAAAGTTATTTAGTTACGTGTCAATATACAGGATGATCTATACAAGTACACCTACTCAAATATCTTTGAAATTCTGATCATAAAAAAAATATTTTAGGTGAAAATTAATATTGTATAACAAAGTATAATACTGTTAAAATGATTTTTGGACTGCAATTATATATTAAGTAATATTTTATTATACTTTTTAATTATTCGATTTGTTTCTTATATTGTTATTTATGATTTTTATGTGCATAATAAATGTATATGGAGATAATAGTTTAATTAGAAGTGTTTGGGATTCCCCGTAGTTTAGAGAACCTCTAAATTACGGGGAATTCCCAAATTATGGAAAATCTGAAACATTCTCAAGAAAATAATTACTACTTCCAAATTCATTCCAATCTTTCACAAACTAAATTAACTTTACGTCTTCTTTGTTAGAAATTGTGTAAGTAAAATAGTTTCTTAATACATAGAGAAACATTTGAAAGATACTTATAAAAAATGATTAAATTTAAACAGACGCTTTATTATAAAATAGAGAAAATTACAAACCTAGTGTTCCATACGACCATACCCGACGGATCTATGGAAACAAGTAGATCCTTAACGCCGCTTCCCATTATGGTCGAGCTACGTTCGTTGGAAACATAAACGGTAGGCGTCCAAATTAAATTGTACGCAAGCTGTCCGCCATATATTTGGCTCAAATCAGGCGCAATATCAGAGAATTTCAATCTCTCGTCTAGATATCTAAATTGCAACATCATGTGTACGTCAAACTGCTGGAAATAAATATTTTTTCAACCATTAGGCAGCTAAACGATGCAATTTTAAAAATTAACAAATACGTACAGAACTATTGCTTTCACTGTTAGCAAAAAATAATAATATAAATTGTAATATCAAGCTACCAGTGTTTTCGCCATGTTTGATTTAATCGTGTAAATATATGCCCTAGTGTACACTTTAATTGGATCCGTAGCATTCGTTTCTCCTGATGGCCTAATCATTTTATCGTAACGGCAGTCGTTCGTTAATTCTTGCAAAAGCTCTGTTTGTGTCATAGAATGGTTCCTACTCAACATTGGACAACTTTCCAATCTATAAACAATCACAAACAATTTCATTCCCCGACTTATACAGGGTGTTGGGCCACACCTGGGAAAAATTTTAATGGGAGATTCTAGAGGCCAAAATAGGACGAAAGTCAAGAATACTAATTTGTTGATGGAGGCTTTGTTAAAAAGTTATTAAAGCTTAAAGTTCCGCCTTTTCTGAATTTTTTTCTCGAAAATGCGCAGGATTTCGGGGATATGTCTATTCACCAAAAATGATTGTAATTGACCCCCGCAACCGAAAATAATTTTTTTAGAACGATCAGAAATTTTTTAATTTCGCCGAAAAATTTGACCTTCCTGAATTTTTTTCTCGAAAGTGGGTAGGATTTCGGGGGTATGTGTATTCATAAAAAATGATTGTAATTGACCCCCGCAACCAAAAACAATTTTTCCAGAAAGATTTCAAATTGTTTAATTTAATTTTTTAATAACTTTTTAAAGAAGCCTCAGCCAAGAAATTGATATTCTTGATTTTCGTTTTATTTTTACCTCTAGAATCTCCCATTAAAATTTTTCCCAAGGGTGGCCGAACACCCTGTATAGCTTCGAATTAAAATTTTTTTTGAAATATGCAATAACTAGAAACGTTGTTAATTAACATAGTGAATAACTTTTGGAATCTATCAGCAGATGTAAACAATTTCATTAAGTTATTAGTGGGTTTCAATTTTTTTATTTCTAACAAATCGTAATAATAGACGACAATCAATGTTCCAAATTTAATGCAGAATATTAGAGGAAAACGTTGCTTGAAAAGATCCTTGAATTAAAATTCCAGACGCCAGCATCCCATAAAAATGGTTCATTGTTGTTTCCTAACAATACAGCTGACATAATTGCAACGCATGTGACTAGCCATCACTATGAAAAGAAACTTTTTTAACTATTGCCAGCTTGAGAAATATTAAAAAAAAATTGTTTAAAGAATATCTGCGCACTAGATAAATAATATTTCGCCTTCTTTCGGTTATAAAACGTACATTTTCTAATCTAAATCCTAATTAGTTGTAATATTTATGAAATTGTTGCGACTGTTAACATTTTCGAAATTTTTCCAGAATTGTTAATACTCGGTATTATATTAAAATATTAAATATCAACGGTGGATATTGTTCTTTCATTGTTCTTCGATTGTAAAATGCACATTTGCTTTAAACCTCGTTTCAAATCGATATTTACTTAATTAGTGCGATTGTTATTCAATTCTTATGCCAATAAAAAAGTAATATGCTAATAGAAAAAATGAAATTTCAACGCTTTCGAATTTTTCCACAATTTTTAATATTTCATACTACACTAAAATAATTAATTAATCATGTTAATAGTTAATTAACATTGTTAATTAATTAAAGGGCTGAGATTATTTTTCGCCGTTTATCAAAGTCGTGTCTGTTTTTTAAAAAATAGTACGATGCAACAGATCTCATAGATCGTGATTTTTAATTAAAAATTGAAGAACTTTTAGAATGTTTTAGTTCGAAGAATGCAATTTCGTAACAAGTGAACCTGTTCTTATCAGCTTACATAAACAAATTAATTTATGGCACCTGAATGTGCACTCGTTTGTACAACTTATCAACGACTATTTACATTATTCCTACGCTCTGCGCCAAGATTCCAAACATAATTCTTTTCCTTTTTTTTTTATGGTACCATGAATGACTTACATTCGAAAAGGAAACATTGATATAGTCACAAAATGCACTATTTAAAAAAAATCCAAAGAAAACGAAATTTTGTTCATTCCTAGCACTTATTTCCATCATTTAACATTAAATAAATGCAATAGAATGGTTTCGGTAATTCAATAATTCCTATAGTAGACAAAAATATTTATCATGGCGACCATCACAGCTAATTTTTTAATTATCGTTTATTCAAAAATTTATCTAAATTGAAACAAAAAAAATTTCACGGATCTTGTTCTACGACGATTGCTTTTATTGTTGGACATAAATTCGTGTATTTTAAAATCGTTAACGAGTTGCAACTTGTTACTTACATGGCAGACGTACTGAATTGTAACATTTGCAGCAGATAAACGAAAATTACCAATCTACAAACACTTTTTCTCAAAGCCATCTTAAGGTCCATCATTACTGCTTCGCTAATGAACTCAGACTAATTCACTGGTAGTCGGATATCGCCTAATTGCTCCTCCCACCCATTCTTTTACAATGTTGTAATAGAATCCGACGTTCAAGTTGGTAATAAACACAATAAACGTGTAAACCAGCTTGAGATAAATTCGTATACTTTACATACATAAAAGTGCAGTGCATGATTATAATACCACCTAAACTTTCTAACTTTTTCGGTATCTATTAGAACATTTATCAATGTTCATCGTTTTTCCAATTTCCTCAACGCCGTTCCTCGTTAAAAATAAAAAAAAAAAAACAATTACATAAATTTTTATAACAGCCGTGACGAACTGTAGACTTTGATGTTCGAAAACCATGGTGGTTTCAGTCGTTTAAAAAATTTTTCAAACTTTTAGGACCAGATTGAATTTTAAAAAACTTTTACCGTGACACTATCTTCCTTTTCTTATGTTTCTTAGCCATAAACGAATCTTCGAGATAATTTATTCAACTTAGACATTCGAAAGTAGAAGTTTTATTTAGTAAATAGTTTAAAAATAGTATTTACACGCAATAATATTAAAAATAAAAAGGTAACGAGGGTAAGAAGCATAATCGAATTATTCTGTATATTGTATATGATCAATTTATATTCCTTTGGTATCTATGGACACGATATGTGGTTTTATGCAGTTTGACGTATAATTAAATAAATGTAAATTTTGCAATAATTTTGTTAGTCTTGAATAATGTCTTTCAGTATATGGTATCATGGACTCCAGCATAAAGGATGATTTAGTTTGAAATTCTTCGTTATCCAGGTCCATCATTAAAGCGTTTATAACGACCTACCAAACATAAACAATCATAATTGTAATTAAATCTACATTTAATTGTTAACAAACTTAATTTCAACACATACCTGGGCTACTTGACAATTTTTGCTATTAGCATTCCACGCTGTGGCGCATTTAAGTAACTTTTCCTTATAAACAGGCTTCAATTCACTAATTGTTTGCATGAGTGGGCAATTATTAGTCTTTAGAATACCTGTTTTATAAAATAGAAAACTAATTAGAGTAGATTTTAAATGCTACATAAAAACCGCAATAGTTTACTAAATTTTTGTAATTTTATTCCAGATTACTAATGCTTTTCGTTAGGAGAAGAAAACTAATTACGTGATCGATAAAGTTACAGATTTGTAATTGTTATTTCTTAAAACAACACCGTTGAACACATCGTTCGTACGAAACTTACTTTCAACGATTTTAAGAACTTGCATAGGTCGTTCCAGTTTCAAGCTCAAAATCAAAGCTGAACCCAATTTATTTGCTTCGAGTAAGTTTTTCAAGTGTTGTTCTTCCAGTGCAAGTTGCTTCGCTTCTTCTTCGACTTTCCTTTTCCTCTCCTCAGTCACGTCTTTCCAAACAACTATCAATGAATCGCTTCCACCGCTGATTACAGTTTTTTCATCTTTGCTGACTATCAAAATAGTACACAAATAAATATACTAAAATTTGAATCATACGAATGGAAAAGAATGTAGTACCTGCAAGTGTCCATACGCGATCTGCGTGTTTCTCCATAGTGCATAGACACTCTGATGTTTTTATACTCCAGAGTTTCAGTAGACCGTCACCACTGGCTGTTATCAACTGCATGCCATGTGTCAGAAACTCTGCTTTCAGAACTGACGATTCGTGCCCTTCTAGAGTCTATCGACCAATCACAGCTATTAACAATTGGTTCGTATCGTAATTAAGAAATAGAATTAAATTACAACAGCATTCTAGTTACTTTCAAGCAATTGAGCTCGGTCAATGACCAAAGCCTTATCGTACAGTCCGCAGAAGTCGTTAGAAGCACCTGATCTATGGGAGAGAATCTTACGCACCATACTCCTCTCCTGTGCTCGTTAAATACCCCGAGCAATTGCAAATCATCCGCCGACCACAACTACAATGTTCAGCATAAATTTCTAATTAGAAAATAACAGTGCCGCTAATAAATTCTATTAAAGTTTAGTTTTTTTTTTACGCACTTTTGCTGTTTTATCCTGCGACCCAGTTGCAATCAACTTATCATTCGGTGAAATGGTTACACTGTTTATGTCTTTCTGATGAGCCAACACTGTACGAACTACGTTCAGGGTGCATGACTCTGGAATTGGTTCAGCATTTCGAACAGATTAGTATTTAACAACAGAGTTTATAGTTTTTCATTATGGGACAAAATTTTGTTCTATTCAGGTGTCGAAACCAAATATTGGGAAACTAATAGTAATAGAAACTCCTTCGTACAAAGGATCCTGCATTTTTACTAAACATTCATACTTTTAAAAAACCGGAAACGTTAGAAAACATTTTCCGGATGAAAAACTCTAAAAATTGGTACTTTTACTTGTTACACTGTAATTAATAACAATTATTCTATTTACCTCCTAAATCCTCGATATCATTTGCCAAATTCCACAATTTAAGACACGAATCCTGACTAACGGAAGCAAAGAATTTAGTAGACATTTGAGAAATTGCAATGGAGCCAACAGAAGCAGTGTGTCTGGTTGCAGATCCGATACAAGATACTTTCGCCGTTTCTCTGTTCATCAACCATACACGAACACTATTATCCTGCAAATCGCAAATTATCTTTTAAAATCTGACGAACCATTTTATGATAAAATATTACCAATGCTTTTAACCATTCAATTAGTTTAATCTATGTCATAATACGTGCACGTTTCAAATTATATTTAGTGCGTTCTAATAGTTAATTGAAATTTAAATTCTACGCACCTTTGCAGAAGAAATGAGTAGATAAGCGTTAGCAGGAGTGGTCGCAAGAGACAGAACGATATCAGTATGCCCATATAGCAATTCGCAATTCATATTTGATGCTTTATACAATTTTATGTTGCAACTGTTAGTAGCAACTGCTATGTGACTCTGATTCTCGCCAAGGTACACGATATCTAAAATTTCATCACTGTAACCTACTAACTGCAATCAATTTCAAAATGTCAGTTATCATCAAACATTGAAATTGAAATTGAAGAAATTTACCTGTTTCAAACATTCGAAAGTCTCCAACGAATAAACAATTATATTATGATCGACTGTGACTACAGCAAAAGTATTGTTTTGATCATTGTGAAGCAAACGAGTAATCGAAAGGTTTTCTCCTTCTTTTACTGCAGATGACATGCAATTTTTCTGTGCGTACATTTCCCTGCCACTTCTCATTTCCCATATCCTCACAATGCCTATGAAAATTTAAATCTTACAATGTGTTTCTAAATATATATATATATATATATATATACTAAGTAACGTTCAATATATTATATTAGAATAGTTTGATGTCAACAGATTCCTAGAACGAGATAAAATAACATTTTGTTCTTATACTTTACAATTACCAAGTTACTTTTTCTTCAATCACTTTCGAACTTTGATTTGTTGTTTTTTATTATAATTCATGAAAGCTATCGAGCGAAAGTATATAGAACGAGAAAAGGAGAATTTTTCAATTTACAAGGAATTGATTATACCGAAGAGGACACGGTTTTCATTTTCTTGTGTTGAATATTCGTTTTTGTTTATTTCCCTATAATACTTTAAGAAATAAAAATATCCCAGCCAAAATCAAACCTTTTTCTCCCGCAGCAGCCACGCAAATATCCTTCTTATCATTCATGGGTACAGGCAACGATATATTTCTGGATAAAACAAACGTGTCTTCCATTTCCTCGTAAACTGGTAAGACGCGTACAGACAACGCAGTGGAAATATTCCATAAAATTAGCACTCTGTCTCTTCCTGAACTGTATCAAAAGAAGTAACACAAAGATTCAATATGTCTATTAGGGATTAAAATATTTACGAGTTTCGAAACGTTACCTGACCATAAAATTTCCATCTTTGTGGAAAGACAGAGAAGTAACTTTGCTGAAATGACCAGAAAGAACAATTTCTTCTTTGCCGGAGGCGATATTCCACCCATGGATCTTGAAATCGTCTCCAACCGCGAAAACTAGGTTCTTTCCAACGATTGGATGGAAAGCCAGAACACTGAAATTGTATATAAACGAAGAATGATAATTTTCTAAGTTAGGTATAATAGAATATATCTGTAATAGCGGGATGAGATTCAATTGCAGCGACTTTTAAAATGTCCATTATGATTGATAGAAAGTTCATTAACAGTAAAGTTAATAGTAAAACTGTAAAGATAGATACTTTAATATTAGCATAGGAACAGAAGATTTTTAAACGCTCTCAATGTTAAAGAAGTATTTAGTTTATTTAATTTAGATACCTGATGACTCCAGTAACTCCTTTTAAATTATTAATGCAAGCGTGACGATCCAGATCCCACAATTTAACAGTGCCATCACTGCTTCCAGAAATCATTAAATTCCTTTCACTGCAATGCGCAATGCAAACCACAGGACCTTTGTGCATAGACTTCCACAATTTTATCAGTTTATTATCTGCGGGATAAAAGAAGATTCATTTATAATTCAAAATCGTGTATGATTTGAAAGAAAGAAATTAGTTATATTAAGTAGTAAGTTAAATTACAATGTTTCAAGTATATTTATCAGAAATCTATTTTTATCTTTCCTTTACCTTTCCAGGTCCATAATTTGAAAAGACTGCTTTTATGATGTGTAATTATATGTACATCATCATTGCACACAGTAAAAGTATTAATCGTATCTTCTTCATTGTCTTTATTTTCTCCAAGATAAGACGTTACTGCTGTATCTTCGTTCAGAGATACAAAACAAACCATGCCTTGTTTTTGGCAGAATATGTATTGTCCATCCTTACTCCACTGTAACGAAAGATTTTTTTATTGATCATATGAAAAATCCAAGAATGAATAATAATAATAATCAACATACTTGAATGTGACCTCCAGTATAAAAGGGTCCATGCGTTGCATGGACTTCAAATCTGAAATATAAGTTATGAAAATAAAAATTAAATAAATATAATAGAGAATAATAATAGTAGAGTTATAGAAGTTAATAGTTTAACATAGAAATACGAATTAAATTTATTCGAACTTTCACTGAAATAAATGATAACAAAGAAATTGAAACAATTATTTAAACAATTTGGTGTAAAAATTTCTTGCTTATAAAAGTAAGAAAACAAAAACTCCAATGAACCACTAAAAAATTGGGCTCTAGGGTAGAATACCTCCTTAAGGAAATGATGCAAATACATTCGAGGTAATTATACGAAATTACTTACGTTTCTTTTGGAATAATAGGCCTCATTTTCGTTGGAACGTCATAAAAACATCACTAAATTTAAAAAAAACATTTTAAATCCAAAGTTTTTCTTTACGTAGTTCTTAATCTTTTTATATTCACGGACTGTGTTTAGGTTACGATAGCAGTAGACACACGTGTAGGTAAGTACATATGTAAACTATCGTGACAATATAGCAGTTTTTTACTATTTCGGTACAACTGACTGTGTAGAACGTTTAATTACTTTTACATTGTCGTAAAATATGGTAGTTTCGGAATATGTTCGTATCATTTATGATAAGTTAAAGCTTTGTTGCTCAAGAAACAAATTGCAAGTTCAAATAATTCAATCATCGATATTAACCATCGAAGATTGAACTTCGCAGTAGTGTGGCGCCAGTGTGGCCAGATTTCGCGTAATTGAGTGCATCGCGTCGACACTAGAAACGACGAACTTCTTTAATGTTATAGGGATGCGTAGGGATAACGGGAATATCAGTTGTTGCGTACCGAGATCGTGGTTTAGGGAAAAAGGACGGTGGGTTGGTGCACGTGGAGCGCTGAACCGCTCTGCTCGGCGAGGCGCGCAAAAATCAAATTACTCAGTATGTTCGAAAATAGGTTGGTAAAATTTATTCGTCTTCGTCTCGACTTTTAGATACAACTTGGTTGACTTTCAAAATCGATCTGTTCCTCCGCGGAAATCTTCTCGTCGTCCTCGATGTTCATCCCTTCTCCGGAATATTCCTCGATCCTCCCTCTGGATTGTCCTGGTCCAATCGGGGTTTGTGTCCTGCCCCATCCGTCCGGATCGTCTTCGATCGATGATCCACCCCCGAGCCGCGTGGAGGTGGAGGTTACGCGGCCATGTTGGAGCGGGCGCGCGTGAGAGAGAGCGTGGGAGCAGTGTGGCCAGATCGGGCATAATTGAGTGCATCGAAATCGACAACAGTGACGACGAATTTCCTTAGCGTCTAACGGAATGGTGGGGATAGCAGGCATACACTACCGCACGAGCCACGTGTACGTGAGCTCGGCGCTTGCGCACAACTTCGGGAAATCGATAAAGAACGCTAGTGTGAGCCTTTCCTTCTTGCTCTTGTAAAAGACAAAACAACTGAAATACGATCTCGCGATAAGTGGCATACGATTCCAAATCTCGACTGCCCCAGCATTTTTACTTTCCGACCTATATGTAAGGTATAAGGAAATTTATAAAGTATCATAATGAAAAAAATTTTGAAGTTTTTTTTTAGCGGAAATACACGTTTTAGGACCCCCTGATCATATTGTGACTATTGAAAAAAACATTTTTTTTTGTTCCTATGCTATTGACATGATTGCGTCTAAACGGCTGAATGAATTTCAATGAAACTTAACATTTAAGTTTTATGTTCTCGTTTTAAGGTCTCATTATATTTTAAGCGTGATCAGCTCCCATATAATGATGATTATACGTTTTTAGTTTTATAATTATTTCGATACATACACATCATTTGTAACAAATTTTTAAAGCCATTTATATAAATCTTAAGAAGGGTTAAGATCAAATATATTTTTCTCCTATCTTTCCTAGACAGGAAAAATTAAACGAAATCTTATGCCTTGCATACCTACCTAAACCACATAAAAAACGTATTCCACAAATATTTTAGAATAATGTTGTTCAAAGCAGTCTTACTCGTAAAGAGTTAATTAAGGGTTAATTAAAATGAAAAACCACTCTTAGCCAGTACCGTGCACGCTACAGAAATAGATTACTACTGACTTTTCCCACTATGTTTTTTAATAACCGTATCAAATTGTTACACACAATCAAATGTTATATATTTGACTTAACTTTACATAACAAAATAATTGTAACGATAGGTAAAACAATAACGTGCACGCTACCGTTCAATGGAAACCACGGGAAGGTGGTGGTCACTTCCATCAGGAGGGAAATGTAAAAAATTGTTATTTCTTTGTAACATTATCACATGCCGTATATTAAAATGTTTTTATTAATGTAATGAAATTACAATATAATGAAAAACTAACTCGTGAATGCATTAATTTTTATTAATATACACACGAGCCATAAAAATGGAAAAATGATATAATTGTTTACATTTCCAAAGGATGGGATGTCGGGATAGGACGTTTGCGATTAAGCTGGCACGTTATGTCGTGCATTGTTGCTCTTACGGTACCGTGACGTAAGTGTAACAAGGCGCGACATTCTACGTCATAGCCACACTATCTACAGCAAGCAATTTCACTAACTAAAAATATACGGCAAAATATAAGCAAATAAATGAAGAAAAAAAATGATAGTTAGAGCAAGCAGAATAGTATTTACAGCAAACGAAATACGTAAAAAAAGTAACAACGCGAGACAAATTGAACGACTATTTACATATTAGCGATGTCCAAAAAAAAATATTTTGGACATCACTAACAAGACTGCGGTTGCAATGTAAGCGCTTTCGCGTGACGTTATGGCACATACATGCATCACACCTTGTTGCGCCTACGTCACGGTATCGTTGACGTAACAAGACCAGTCTACCGCGACGTCGCATGAAAACGTTTATACTGTCATTGCAGCCTAATAGTACGAATTTACTAAAGAGCTTTTCTCTGGAGAGAAAAATCTCTCTAGAGAAAAGCTCTGTAGTAAATCGGTACCTTAATTTTCGTCATATGACGTAGCGGGAAAATTCTCAAAGTTATTGTCATATGTTGCGTTTAATCTTAAATTACACTTTTGCTTCTTAGCAAATCTATGATATAAATTTTTGGAATACAATAGAGCTAGATGATCGTCATCTACCTCCATGGGTTGAGAGTTTTCCCTCTGCGCGTTTAACGAAGATTTCACAACGCAAATAGAGTTGACGCTGGCCGAAGAAAGTTTATTTCGTTTCTTTGTTTTTATGTCAGGTAACATGGAAAACAATCTTTCTGCATCGGCATTGGAATTTGGAAGTGATCTAATTGTATTTACTAATTTCATCAATTCAGGAAATTTAATTTTATAGTCCAAATTTCGCGTTAATAAAATTGTTTTCCAGAAACCATCGGATTTCATCTCGATAAGCGTCTGTCTACCTTTCGTTGTAAATTCCAAAGGCAATACTGACCATTCTGTTTGCAGTCCTTCTTCGTCGAAACCGCCGAATTTCTTAGCGATTAAGAGAACATTTCTGAAGGAAATGTCTCTATTTGTATCATTTAATATAAAAGTTGGTTCAAAAACATACAACATGCTAAGAAATTCGTCATCGATTGCCAATCGATGACGAATTTCGTTTGCAGCTGTAATATAAAACATTAAACAATTTTTCCTTACGGTTTCTACGATGTCGGACTTGCCTTCTGCATTCAGTTGATGCAGAAAATTAAGACACTCTGTTCCTAAATTTATACTATCAAATGGAAGTTGATTTTCGACTACAGAAAAATTCATCATTCTTACTAAATCCATGTGTTTCAAAAGCTGCGGTTTCAGAAAATTGCGTAATATATCGCATAAAAGTTCTGCCGCAGTCTTTTGAAGCAAATGAATTCTTGTCTCTTGAGTTTGAAAGAAAATGTTAAATTTATAAAAAAACTCAAGAGCGTAATTTAGAAAATAAAGATATGCTTTGGCCTCTGGATTTTGCATCGAGATTAACAGACGTTCCCCGGACTCTGATTTCTCGCTTATTGTCAATTCTTGCAAAAAAAGCAATACAGAGTCCCAATTCTCTAAAAGTGTAACTACGGATGTATAATGCGATAACCATCGCGTAGAACACAATTTTAAAATTTTTCGGTCGGTTATTTGAAAACATTGCTGAAATTCGCGGAATATAGCCGAACGTTTGGGACTACTGTATATGTTACTCTTTTTATAATTCTCAATGTGACACTGAGAATCTGCGTGATTATAAATCGTCGATAATCGACATGAAAATTGATTGTTGCAAACCGAACAGAACCACGAATAAGGGTCGCCGTCGACTTTATGCAACCATGGCTTGAAATAATCATTCTCAAGCCATTGAGGCATAAAAGTCCTTTTAGAAGTACTATTTTTTTTATGACACCCAGATTCTCCGTGTCTATACACGTTTGAGGAACCGCAAGAATAAGACTTATTGCATAAAGTACAATAAAAACGACTTCTATCATGGGGTACTGCACGTATCCATGATTTAAATCTATGATCATTTATCCATGAAGATAAAAAACCGCGCTTACACTTATTCTTCGATTTCACAACCGTTTCCATGATATAAAAGCAGAAAAGCGAAAGAACAGAAAATTACAGAATACCTACGCGAAAGCTTTTTTTCAATTTAAATGTCTCAGAATGACCTACGGCACCTACGAAATAAAGTTCTATTGAATGAATAGCAGTATATAGACGACAATTTAATATATTTCATTTTGCAGAAATGAATTTAGAGGGGAATCAAAAAAAAAGGAAAGAAGAATATAGACGTTCTAATATATGGCATGTGATAATGTTACAAAGAAATAACAATTTTTTACATTTCCCTCCTGATGGAAGTGACCACCACCTTCCCGTGGTTTCCATTGAACGGTAGCGTGCACGTTATTGTTTTACCTATCGTTACAATTATTTTGTTATGTAAAGTTAAGTCAAATATATAACATTTGATTGTGTGTAACAATTTGATACGGTTATTAAAAAACATAGTGGGAAAAGTCAGTAGTAATCTATTTCTGTACCGTGCACGGTACTGGCTAAGAGTGGTTTTTCATTTTAATTAACCCTTAATTAACTCTTTACGAGTAAGACTGCTTTGAACAACATTATTCTAAAATATTTGTGGAATACGTTTTTTATGTGGTTTAGGTAGGTATGCAAGGCATAAGATTTCGTTTAATTTTTCCTGTCTAGGAAAGATAGGAGAAAAATATATTTGATCTTAACCCTTCTTAAGATTTATATAAATGGCTTTAAAAATTTGTTACAAATGATGTGTATGTATCGAAATAATTATAAAACTAAAAACGTATAATCATCATTATATGGGAGCTGATCACGCTTAAAATATAATGAGACCTTAAAACGAGAACATAAAACTTAAATGTTAAGTTTCATTGAAATTCATTCAGCCGTTTAGACGCAATCATGTCAATAGCATAGGAACAAAAAAAAAATATGTTTTTTTGTAGTAGTCACAATATGATGAGGGGGTTCTAAAACGTGTATTTCCGCTAAAAAAAATTTCGAAATATTTTTTTCGTTATTGAAATTCACTTAGTCGTTTAATGCATTCATGTTAATAGCATAGGAACAAAAAAAAATATCGTTTTTTTCAATAGTCACAATATGATCAGGGGGTCCCAAAATGTGTATTTCCGCTAAAAAAAAATTTCGAAATTTTTTTTTCGTTATTGCAATTCACTTATTGTTAGTCGTTGAGGAACAAAAAAATGTCTTTTTTTTCAATAGTCACAATATGATCAGGGGGTCCTAAAACGTGTATTTCCGCTAAATAAAAATTTCAAAATTTTTTTTCATTATGATACTTTATAAATTTCCTTATACCTTACATATAGGTCGGAAAGTAAAAATGCTGGGGCAGTCGAGGCTTGGAATCGTATGCCACTTATTGCGAGGTCGTATTTCAGTTGTTTTGTCTTTTACAAGAGCAAGAAGGAAAGGCTCACACTAGCGTTCTTTATCGATTTCCCGAAGTTGTGCGCAAGCGTCGAGCTCACGTACACGTGGCTCGTGCGGTAGTGTATGCCTGCTATCCCCACCATTCCGTTAGACGCTAAGGAAGTTCGTCGTCACTGTTGTCGATTTCGATGCACTCAATTATGCCCGATCTGGCCACACTGCGTGGGAGTCGAGAGAGAAAACGAGGCTAGCGGCCTAAGCAACCCTTAAGAAGATTTATGACCCTTGTGAAAGTAAACGAAACTCGAAGCGAAGTGTCGCGAGGCCCTGCTGTGTGTCAAGACCATTGAAACTCTTAACGGAAATAGCTAATTCGGCACGGTCCGTAATAACTAAACAATAAACTAAAGGAACGATGGAAACTCGAATTCGACACGGCCTTTAGAAAATAAACGAAGTATCTCTAAGAAATGCCTTCCTTTCTCTCTACCTTCCCCAGCTTGATCGCCCACGTTGAAAAGCGTACGATTTCGTTGTTTATTACAATACGCTGGTCGGTTTGAATTTCGCACTCACATCAAACCTTGATATCCCTATGTCTTAGAACTAACTTCACATAATACACAGATTCATACCAGCGGAGATCGCAACACAGTACGACACGTGTTCCTTGTCTCAGAGCTTTATTCCGACTGTCGTAGCGTGGCGCTCTACACGGCTGCCACGCCAACTCCATCTAGTGACTTTCCCTAGGCGCTAGGGAAATGTCTCTAGTGTCCCCTACAATGTCTAACGGAGTGGTGGGGAATCCTGTGGGCTTCTCCTTCTTGATCTTGAACAGCTGAAGTCCATCCTCACGCGAATGGCATACAATTTCAAATCTCGACTGCTCGCGCGATTTTTACCGCGATGATTTATATAACTGTCGCTTCCAGTAATCGTGTATAAGAAATCAATTACATGAAAAAAAAGTAGAAAAATGTTTTGAGAACTTAATTATATATACTATGGTACTTAAATTACAAATATTTAAAACTTAAACAGTCATATCGCAAGTAAACAGGATGTACAGCGAATACTCGATAAATGTCCTCAAGAGCTGTTCCGTAAGTGATACATTTTTATCCCCACCACTAGGGGGATCCCCCTTGAACCAGTGAGGCGAAGTGTAACCGGAGACGAAGCGGCTTTCTTTAAATATCTTTATTGCCTTCGTCACCTGCGTTTAAATGTTCCTGTCAGTGTGACCACACTACTGTACAGAAGAAAGTTTTTTATTTTTTACTTTTTGTTAATAAAAATTTCACTATCACGTGGGTGAGATTTTTCTGATTAAAATGAGACTAAACACGATATAAATCGGTTCATGTTTATTAGGTCATAAGATTGAATGAAAAATAAGAAATAAGAAACATTGCAATTTCATTCTTACCTTAATATATTTAAGTTTTCCTATGAAGACGAAAGATGTTCTATTTCCGCTGTTAAACAGTTAGCTCTCAATAGATGGTATTTTAAACACAGTAACTTATATTTTATTTGTTCTTTCGGTGATTGTATGTTGTGTTCGTTTTCACTATCATTGTTCTCACTTTCATTGTCACTGTGCTGCTCACTTTCGTTGTCACTGTCTGCGTCACTTTCTGTAACTTTTTCTTCTCCTGCACGGCACGTATTCAGAAAAATAATGGCTTCTTCTTGCGAAATTTGCCCATCACTGATCACAGACAGTACATCTTCCAAACCGTCTTCTTCACTCTCGTTTGAAAAATAGTTCTGTATGTGTGAAGGAGCTGGAATTATTCTATTCCAACTATGCCGTATATTTTCCGGCGTAACTTCTGCCCATGCGTGCACCAAAATATCTATGCAGTCTTTTATGTTATAATGGGCATAAAATTCATTAACCCCACCCTCATATGTTAAAATTGAGCGGCACATTTCTTTCTGAAACATTCGTTTCGTTTTCAAAATCACTCTTTGATCCATTGGTTGCAGGAGGGATGTGGTGTTCGGTGGAAGATATTTTAGCAGAAAGAAGTCTCCATCGTGCTCGGATGATGAGAGTTGATGAGCTGTGCAATTGTCAACCAATAGTATTACTTTCCCAGTGATGTCTTTCCTTAGTTGGAATTCGCGGACGCTGGGCTTAAAATGATTTTCAAACCAGTCTTGGAATAAGGAACGGTCTACCCAAGCATTTTTTTGTGATTTGTAACAGACTGGAAGTCTGTGCAGTGAGTGCTTCAACGCTCTTGGTTTTTTGTATTTATGCACTACGAATGGCTTAATTTTATTAGTTCCAGTGACATTAGCACATAAACCGAAGGTAATTCGGTCTTTCTTGATTTTTAAGCCAGCTACACTTTTTTCTGTAGACAAACTTTTTGTTGGAAGCGCTTTCCAAAACAGCCCACTTTCGTCCATGTTATAAATATTTTCGATGTCGATGTCCTGTTCTTCTATAAACTGCTGAAACTGTTGTTTAAAAATTTCTGCTGCATTTATATCAGCACTGGCTTTTTCACCACACACACTCACTAACCGTATATTATGGCGCCGTTTAAAATTTGTTACCCACGACATGCTCACTTTAAAGTTTGAGGACGTTGCACTATTTTGCTATAATTCTGCAGCTTTCTCTCGTATAAGCATATCGCTTATTCGATCGCTAAGAGCTGTTCTTTCACTGAACCACGTGAACAATTGTTCTTCAAGTTCAGGGTACATTGCTTCCTTTATTCGTTGTCGTTTTTGCTGCTTTTTACCCTTCGCAGCAAATTGTTGAATGCGAATTTCGTTTTTTTTAATTCTCCGAACTGTTTGCGGATGTATTTGATACTTGGCAGCAACAATCCGAACAGGAAAAGTTTTCAAATTCTCCAGCACTTGAAGGCGCTGTTGAATGTTCAACGTCACTTTCTTAGTCGACATTTTGTACTTTTGTAAAACTTTATTCGCGCACAGAACTCAGATGGAACACGTCTCTAGCAAGACTGAGAACCTTTCTTAAAACGTCCCTTCAATATATACACCGCCTTACCCTAATAGGAAAGCGAGAGGAAAAGAGACAGAACAGAAAGACGGAAAAACGAAACTGGAAAATACTTAGCGTAGGAAAAGTTTAGCAGAGTGAAAGTGAGCAATAGTTTTTGATCACTTACGAAACGGTGGAACCGTTCCGTTTGAAAATAGCTACCTCCCGTTCGATAAATGTAGCCAGCACCTCGATGCGTCGTTCTTTGATATTTCCGAACATAGAAAAGGACAGCACAAGAAGGATAAATAAAGAGAGAAAGACTCGCAAGTACAATATTTAATTCAATATTATGCTACCAAATATTGACCGATTTATATCGTGTTTAGCCTCATTTTAATCAGAGAAATCTCCCCAACATGATAGTGAAATTTTTATTAACAAAAAGTAAAAAATAAAAAACTTTCTTCTGTGCAGTAGTGTGGTCACACTGACGCGGATATTTAAACTGGGGCGATAAATCCGAATTTCAGTCCCTCTTTCTTCTTTAGCTACTGACTCTTTCTACGTTCGAAGCGTCGGCAAACTACAATCAAATTCGAAAGACGATTCTCCTATTCCGTAAGTGTTGCTGACCGGACCCGGAGTAGCGACATTTATCGAGTTTTCACTGTATAGGAATATATACGATTGTATTACTGTCTGCTTTAATCAATGAATTATTAATTTTTCTACTTTAACTTACATATTTTTGCTATAGCATGACCAACTTAAGTTAAGTTGGTAACCATGTCCATGCTTAATTCTGGAGGGAAAATGAAATCTTCAAACACTTTATGTAATTGCGATATTGTTTATTATAAAATCAATAATATTCAAATTCATGTAATTATGCGCTCGATTTAAAACAAAATTATATTATTTATGTTAGTAACAAAGAAATGAAAACCAGTCTGTTACACAATGGACCGATTTGAGATATTTAGTGATATTTTGCCAAAAAAAACGAACAACGCGAAATTCGGCAGTCGCACTCAGAAAGATCAACGAGCGATACAAAAGAGAGAGAGAGAGAGAGAGAGTGTGTGTGTGTGATTCTAATTTATTATTATCTTGTATTCCTTTAACTTGTAATAAATTAACATCTAATCTTGTAACAAGCTGAATGATTAAAAACTTGGCAGATAGTAGACAAAATATCTTATTTCAATTTTTGTATGTAATTATTTACAATGGTAAGAAATCTAAAATACATTTAAGGAATATTAGTTACATACCAATCAGCCTGGTACATTGCCAGATGTGTATACTTTCACTTGATGATCCGACAACTTGTAAACATATTTTACTGTCTCCGACCAGTTATATTTCCTTCTGATGCAATCTATCCTCCAGTTCACTGTTATTTTCCCAGACATGTCACTAGAATATCCTGTTTCAAAAGGCTCAACAGCTAGGAATAAGTGCGACATATGCTTCAGACCATCCACAAAAGTATCTGGTACACAACTTTGCGATTCCTGTTCATATGTGTGAACAACGATGCAAAGCTGAGACTCTTTATTGCATTCTATTAACGATCTCAAATATCTCATGCAATACACAACATCTCTCAAATGGAATCCCAGATTATAGAGATGGCTTAAGTCATCAATTACAATAACCGCAGGTGCATCATATTCATTTTTGATTGCAGTCAACAAATGATGGACTATATTGTCGCTGTTATCAGATGTTGATCTAGTAAAGTGTGCATTCAACTTATGCGCAGTTCCTTTGTCCATGTTTTGCAAAGCAGCAGCAACAATTTTCATTGGCTCCACAACTTTAACCTTACCTTCTTTTCTCAACATCGCAAGGTTGCAACCAAATTTTATGCTCACGTTATGGAAGTGATTGAATGTATTGTGAAAGAGCACCAAACAGATATTGTAATTCTTCTTCAAAGCATCCAAAATAATTGAACTCAGCAAAAAGTTTGCATCTGTTTCGTGTCGCTCTTCGATTAAAATTAATTTTCCACCCATGTTTACTTTATCAATACCCAGCATGTTTGACACCAAATCCATCGTGTTCTAAAAGCAAGAAAGTAAATAATACACTTGTGAAGCATGCAATGAATAAACTGCAACTTTTTACTACCAATGCGGAGGTTAATTTCGTTACGACTTTATATTACTGTCGAAATTTAACGATTTTTCGCATACAATGATTTTGAGAAGAACATTGTTTAAAAACACGAAAATAATTAGATTGGTTTTTCGGTTACATACCGTTCCGACATAAATGTAACACGAAATAGTGTTGATTTTTCAAAAATTTTTGTAAAATCGAGTGCATGTGTATACAATGTAAAGTTTGAAACTCATTCTTGAACTCATTTGATTTTTATCAAATTTCCAAATATATACATAGGTATTAATGGTCGCCTTAAATATTAAAAGCAAAACGAATTGTAAACAATATTGAAAAATTTGATAATGTTAATAAATGTGATTATCGAAAGGATTTTTATTTCATTTATAAAATTTAAAAATTACTGGCTTTCACGCAGAGATGCTATACCGAGCCCTCGGTGCACCGGGAAGCCGGGAACCAGAGATACCAGACGAAGCCCCGGGTGCACCGGGAACCCCTTATTCCACTTTCTCACACAAAAATGCCCGCCATCTAGCGTCGCAAACATCCAACTATTTGACGACAAACTTGAGCGTTTTAGCACCAGAGGGTTTGAGGTTGTGGGGTCGAGACTTATGGTCTCGTCCGCACAAGAGTATAGGGGCGCAGTTTCCCGTCAAGTGCGAATCCGCCGTAAGGCTGCGCGCGCAGCGCAGCAGGGCGAAAGCGCGTCCTCCCAAAAATGCAAGGACGCTCAAGTCACTGCTTGGTAAGAACTTCGCGAAGAAGCACCTCAAAAAGATAAAGATTAAAACTCCTGTTGCTAGACAAAGACTTGTACGCCTAGCGTTAATAAAGAATACACGTTATTGTTGTTGTTGTTACATACACGTGTTCAGTTATTTCGAATATTAATATCCGTGGTCGTAGGAGTGGGCCTACGAACGCACGCGCATCATATGTGGAAACGAACCACGTGCATCAAGTAAGCATAAACCCACAAGGTCGAAAATGAGCGCCATCTGTCGTTGAAAATAACGAACTATTTGACGACAAACTTGGGCGTTTTAGCATCAGAGAGATTTTTATGTCGATAACCTTTTGCGATGCTAGTCAAAGGGCATACGGTGCATGTATACACATACATATGAGTAGAGAAGGTGGTACTATAGTTTCCAAATTACTTTGTTCGAAATCCCGCGATGCAACATCACTTCCCAATTAAGCTCCAATAATTTCCCACAAATTAAGTAAGTCAAGAACAGGGTACAAATAAGATAATGAAATTATCGCGGACTATAATCTTACGAAAGGTGGAGTAGATAGTCTTGACCAAAAACGCTGTACTTATACTTTAAATTGATGGTCTCACAGACCGCTAGGGAAAAATAAATCGTTCTCATTAATAACTCATCAGCCAACAATTTCAGTAACTGAACATTATACTATAATTAAAAAGTGCCTACAGTATCAGGCTCGTGAGGCACGCAGGAAGGGAAATGGAGATGATTAAGTAATTAGTAGCGGTCTCACAGACCGACAATAGTAATTAAGAGTTAAACTGATATCAAATGTCAAAAGGAAACAACCATAACACTGACAGAAGTCCTTCAAAACAATTACAACTGTTACTCTATGTGTGACAACCGAAATACTTCCTTGCCAACCCAATAGTAAAGAGGAAGTTGGTCTTCCAACAATTATAACAAATAACTAAATACATACAAGTATGGTAGTACCTTTCAAATCACTTGAATTAATAAAAGTTGGCATATAACTATGATTCAACTAGTTTGTATACCATTTTGCTTTATTTTGTTCGCTTTTCGGACGTTATTGCACACTGTGCGATGCTGTTGCATTGTAGTTCCCCTTTCTCACGCGCATGCGTAGTATACGCAAGGCCCGAAACAAAAAGACGAGGGGAATAGCGCAACATCTATTGATCTATCTATTTCTCACAATTATAATTGAAATTTGTTATAATTTGTATTATCATATTCTGGTAGATCCTAGCTAATTTATTATTAAACAAATACCTAATTTGGATGTATTTGGTTTTTAATGTATTTTGATGTAAGAGTAATTTCAAATTTTTCAAAAATAAGTATGTCAATGAGAGATCAAATGAATTTGAAAATGTTCATTCGCCTAGTTGCTTCATATGCGACGGTCATGTTATTATACGCTGTGCGTGATGTAATAAATTCTTATGCTTTAGACATTTCTTTAACGAGTTTCATCATCATGAAGAATAATTCATATTGTTAATATTCACATTTCCTAAATATTTTTTATTTTTCTATAGTGCTTTATATATTTGGTAGAAAAAAAACATTATAAAAGTTTAACAGTTAAGTTAATATAATTATCCATTTGTCCATTTTTGTCCTCCTATCCACCGATTTCATTTGCCCATTATCAATTAATGTACGAAAAAAATACATGAGATAAGATAATGCTAAAGAATATGATTTATGATATTTCTGTACTCTATGATGCGAACTGTCTACTATGAAATATTGCTTCTTATATCGCTTGTAAGTGATACAACGAGATCTAAGAAGAATTCTGCGATTAACAGCAAATGCAATTCAGCAATACAATCTTTCATATATATTAAAACAAAATATTTTTATTACTTTTGATACAAAAGGAAATTGAATTTTACGCGACAATATAGTGGTTAAAAGATTTAAATACGACCTTGAAATTGAAAACATTATAAGTGACAAAAAGTCTGAAAGCATATGCATATTATTATACACATTTTTTCGAGTTATGTAACATTCAGATTCGTCAGAATTAATATTTATGGCGATACTGTCCAACGTCCAATTTTTGTCTATTTTATGGTCGGTGTTACGAGATGCTTAATCGTAATAACAGAACGCGACATGTAGAATAGTATAAAGCAGTATAAGTACGAATGATTTCAACAACAGAATTATTACTACATATTATTTCATACATATATTCCCAAAATTAATTAGCTACTATTAACTATTGTAAAAAAAAATTATAATTCTTCTATATAGATGCATGTAATGTCATATAAACAGTTTTTGACAGTTTCTTTGAATTAATAATAAAGATAACTTTCCAGAAAGATACTTAATTTAAATCCAATTTTAGTAATTATATTTTTAAATTTAAATTATTATCAAAATTTATGTATTGATTTTGTAATAATTTTATGAACAGAAAACAAAATTAAAACAAAATTTAATTGTATTAAATAATTAGTATGGACAAAAATTCAATATGATTACCTTCGTGAATCTTTATTGAAAAGAAAATTTATACAAGTTTTCATACTCGAAACTTAACCTTAAAAATTGTCAAATAACGGAACTTAGTTAATAAGTGATTCGTATAAGGAAACGTATATGTCCAGTGACTAGTAAATTAGGTTCAAGATTTCTAAATAAAAAAAAAAACCTAATATTGTAATGATTATCTTCTTAACGAGTCCCCTACTCCCTCCTTCACTGAATCGAAAACGCCATGCGTGTAATTGCGACGAAGAAAACGATTTTTTAAAATGGTTTATTGAAACTATTGATCGATGCAATTTTTACTGAACGAAGATGAAGGATTAAACAATATAAATCGAACGAAATATTTCTCTTAGCTTCTGGGATATGGTTAATAATAGTTAATATTCGCATCGATGGCCGAGTATTGGGAATGTTATTTGTTCTGGTCAGTTATTGGTACATTTACCTTACACGTGGCTATCAGCTGATGCGTGCGCGTTCTCGAGCTTCCAGGCTCGTAACATACTCCAGTGATATGATGTGTTCCGTCGGAAGAAGTTTAGACTCGTTACTAACATAATCGCAATGACCTAAAAATTCTGATCGACTGACCGTGAGTTTCCCGATTTCCAAAATATCTATTTATGTCCCGTTTCTATTTAGAATTTTCTACGCTGTTTTAATTGTTAACAATCACGAAACTCTGCTTTTTTAATAACTTAATATTATTCATTTATTTTTATTTTTATTGGATTTTTTTATTATACCAGAAAATTTCACCTAATTGAGAATTTATTATAGTTTGTTCCCATATGTAAAACAAAACAATGTTATTAATATAATTTAATAGTATTTTTCTAGTCAATTAATTGTTTTTCCTTTTCCTATCAAATTTGTCTTATATTAGTGTATTTCCAATTAAAGATAGTTGCTTGTATTCATAATTATTATTTATCGTTAGCTTTAATAAACAATTTGGCACTTATCTGTTAAGATTTTTGTAAAAGAGCTGCAAAATTTAAAATGAAATCAATCTAAAAGTTAATTCTGTTGCTTTCAGCTTAGATTGCTTTCCTTGCACAAACGAAACCCAAACTCGAGATGGAAACCTCTATTTTACAGTAATGAATTGACATTTGAGAAACGAAGGTAAGCCTGTTAAACATTTAATAGACTCTATTCGTTTAATGTATGCTTCTAATTCCCATTATGAAGATATAAAAGATGGCAGACGAAACAAAGAAATTAGCACGCTGGTATTTTGGGGGTCTTTCTTCGGCAGGTGCCGCCTGCATCACTCATCCTCTTGATCTGTTAAAGGTATTCTAGCTTCTAATAATTACAGTTTCAAATATCATCTGAAGTAAATTTCCAGGTTCATTTACAAACGCAACAAGAAGGGAAGATATCTATTCTGAGATTAACAGGCTCTATAGTACAGAAACAAGGAATTTTAGCTTTGTACAATGGACTTAGTGCTTCTTTACTTCGCCAGCTTACCTATTCCACCATGCGATTTGGCGCATATGAAGTATATTCACTTATTACGTAACGAAAACAGTTGTTGCAGTTTTCTATCAGCATTGAATTCCAAGCAGTTTCCTACAATCGTTTACAAAGAATAATAGAACAATACTAGCATAGTTGATACAGTTTTCTATTTTCTACTGTTGTTTACAAAGAATAGAACAATTTTGATAGAGTTGGTGTGGTATTTTGTTAGAATTGAATTTAAAGTAATTCTCGACCGATGTTTACAAAGAACAATGGAACAATATTGGAATTCCAAGCAAGGTCAATATTAAGTTTAAATCATTCAGTTTCTCAATCGATTTCCAAAATAACAAAATATAAAACTGCCTTTTTTCATTGCAACAACTTTTTTCGCTACCTAATAATAAATTGGAAAAAATTGTCTTTTCATCTAACACATACTTTGACTACATCATATGTCTATAGGTAGGTAAACAAACATTTGAGACACCAGGACATTCGTTACTGTTTAGTCAAAAGTTGTTATTGGCTGGTGTCTCTGGGGCAGCTGGTGGTGTCATTGGCACACCTGGGGATGTGATCAATGTACGAATGCAAAACGACATAAAACTCTCGCCAGAACTCAGACGGAAGTAAGAAAATGCTCATTTATTATCGATTTCATTTCCTTTCCGTTGATTTAATTTCAGTTACTTTTTATAGTTACAAGCACGCTCTAGACGGAATAGTGTGCATAGTTCGACAAGAAGGCGTAACTAAATTGTTTAGAGGATGTTCCACCGCAACGTTAAGAGCAGCACTAATGACTATAGGACAGTTGAGTTTCTATGATCAAATTAAAATCATGCTGCTACAAAGCGGTTACTTTAAGGACAATCCAGCGACTCATGTATTGTCCAGCGTAAGCGCTGTAAGCATTATTAAAACTATGACAAAAGTTCCGCCGAATAGGCAAAGATCATTTGTTCGAACAATTTCTATGCTTTTGTTTTTTTTTAGAAAAGTAGCAATACATTTCGTTTATTTTTCGCTTTGTGCGATTTCATAAAGTATTCAATTTTGTCAAATTGCATTATAACACTGAAATTATTTTTTACTTTTAACTATTAGAAGTTATAACTAATGTCAATGAGTAAATTAAAACATGTATAAATGGTATCGATAACTGATACGAAATTATTTTAATATATTTGAAAACAAAATATTTTGTCAAAAACAATAGCGAAATTTGGACAAACGATCTGTACTAAGGAATTCATCAAGGAATTAATGTGTTAATATTTGTTAAACGCAAGGGTGCTATAGCTACAACTCTTACGCAACCGTTGGACGTTTTAAAAACACGAGCAATGAACGCTAAACCTGGAGAATTTAAGGTAATTTCATTGTTATATAAGCTGAAACAGGTCAACCAAATATGTAAATTACTTCGTTACAGTACATAAATTTTCCTCAATATCATCAATAATATTTCATCAATTTCACATTTAAAGAAAATATTGGAAAATCTTTCATGATATTGTAATATTTGTACGAATTGAACAAGATTAATTCGAAAGATATTTTTCTATTGTCTGAAAGTAGGTAAGTTATTTGGATGAGCTGTTTTAAATGCAGTCTGGATAAATATGTTTAAAGATATCAGATTTCACATGGAATTTTTTTCTATAGGGTCTAATGGATCTATTTTTCTACACTGCAAAGCTTGGGCCACTAGCATTCTTTAAAGTAAGTTTAATCATTACATTATTATTATTTTTTTGCTTCTTTATATCGGAAATCATACTTTCGTTAAACGTCTGTGAAACGTTTTAACGAACTGTATTGTAACTGGTCTCTTATTCCAGGGCTATGTACCTGCATTTATCAGATTAGCTCCACATACCATTCTAACATTCGTACTCTTGGAACAACTGAGATCCAACTTTGGATTTTATCCCTCCGGAAATTCAACGTCGTAGACTAATACAGAGTATTCAGAAGCTATTGAAAACTATAACGAACTAAATGCGTAAGTCAAGCTTACAATTTTAAACTATTGTTGTGGGTGCGTAACTGTGTCATATTATAGACAGGCAGGATTATGTTAATGAAGGTCGTTCTGTCAACTAATGCAGTGCAATAGTGAGTTGATGTTAATTATATCAAAAAATTACAAAGAATATGCAGATAGCGTGGATCGTTATCTTAGGTATAATTATCATCAAGGATGGTCTGATGAAATATTGTGCAACGAAAAACTATAATAATTAAACGTTTCAATATTTCTGTGACCACCGTGCAGCTCACGTTTAAAATAAATATATATATATATATTTAGAACTTCTAGTATATTTGTTAACATAATCCTGATGACTCTGTCTAATCATAGATATAATATTTTTGAAATAACTGAATTTCCGTGTTTTCTTTATTATACAATATTTGACTGTTAACGTTGGAACTTAACCACCATCCACTGTTTATACTGTTGCATTACTATTTTCGAAAATTGTACTAGGATATATTGGCACAAATGATAACAGTACACATTTATTTGATTGCACAAATATTGTATGTATAAGAATAATCATTATCTGAAGGAGAGGTGTACAAATGTATATTCTTGAAATTAGTTTATGTGAGAAGAAAGATCTATTTTCTATTATTAAAATAAGGTCTTTTCATGATAGTTGGAGCATATATTCGATCTTCTTCACAAAGAATATGTTTGCACAATATCAATAAACTAATTTCAATCACTGATCGAGCTATAATATGTAAATAAATTATAGTTAATTGCTGCCTGTAATTCCACAAATAATAGTGATTTGCAGGACTAGAAAGAATTATTAGTATATAAGTAGTTAATTAAAACAGTATCGGCGAAATGTAAATGAAAAGCAGAGAAATCTATACATATATTATAATCGTATCATTTTCATTGTGCAAACATATTTTGTTTCACAAAATGCTCGATTACTATGAGAATGCCTAATTTTAATTTTTCTCTCGAGCGATTGAAAATTATTTCAATTACTTGCTAACTTTTGTAAATTGTTTAACAATGAAATATCAAAATGTTTGTATCCTCGCTATTTCATTTCAATTAGATACAAAATAATACATTCCACAGATCTATTTCTATACTTGCGTCTTGATACGACTTTATACGCTTATATTTTATTAAATAACATTCGAACAAATACTGTACTCTTTTTACAAGCTATTAACGAACTTTGATGAAAATATATTTGTATGGAAAGGGTATTTTACACTGATTCTACATGTTATTAAATTATTTTGAAACGGACAGATTGTACTTCGTCAAAATAAATTTAAATTGCAATTATGTATTTCTTAAGTTTTTCTCTGTGTGATAATAATTAAATGTATGTATTTAAAAATATTAATTGATGCTTCAAACATATAATTGTTATTAGAAAAACTAGGAAACTGTTGAATTGGTTCAACAACAAGCACAAATAATTATTGGGATGGATTTGTCATTTATAAGGTGTATGTTATTGCTTTGATATAATAGTTTGCATTTTTAGATCAAAATGGCTGTGTATAGTAAAAAAGATACATTAAACTTGGAATTTATTGATATTCCATACAAAAATTGTTATTATTGAATTTAATTTGTAAAGCCTAATAAAATTACTTGGCATGCTATCCTCATTATATGCAGCTTTATTAACAAACCTTCTAGTAATGTAAAACTATCAGAAATGACCACTAGAAATCTAAAAACAAATCTAAAACCAATGGTATACATGGATCGTTTAAATTTTTACATTTTTTTTTTTTCTTAAATAAAAATTTTGTTTGTTGAATAAATCTATTGGGTTACTTTAGTTACAGGTTTGTTTACATTAAAAATGCGAATACTTACTTTTTACATGGTTTGAAACGATTGTGTTGCTACATTTGGCTGACAATTAATTCTTGGTCATCTGCGTGGTTAGGACTAATATCTACTAATATCCATGATTACATGGAATATTGTTAATATCTGGAATAAAATAATTACCTGTGTTATTTATTTAGTTTAATTTGTTTATCAAATGTTATATTTCTAACTTAGAAGATTAAAACAAATATTTCTATTATACTTCGGCTAGACTTACTGTTAAATGATTATTCCATGATTGGACGTACAATATCTGGTAGTTTTTATATATTGTCACAGGGTCGGCTGTGATATTGTATAAAAAACAATTTATAAAATCTTTCTACGTGATATTTATTTATTATTAAATGCGCCATCAATTGCGTTCTACCAATCGAAAATCCGAACCACAACGTGGCCAGATTTAGCATAATTGAGTTCATCGACGGCGATACTAGTAACGACGAACTTCTTTAGCGTTTAATAGAGTGGTGGGAAAAGCCGACATATCTTACCGCACGAGCCATGTTACGTGAACTCGTACTTCGCCCAACTTCGGGAAATCAAGACAGAAGGTATGAGCCTTTCCTTCTTGATTTTGAACAGCCAAAGTCCGTCCTCGCGCCAATGGTATACAATTTCGAATCTTGACTGTCCAAGCATTTTTACGTTAAAAATAAAACCGTTGAAGTTACACCGAAAATTCTCTAAGTTTTATTTTGGGCGCCTCGTCGAGCAGGCGGTTCAGCGCTTCATGGGTACCAACCCACCTTCTTATCCCCCTAGGCTTCACATTTGCCTTCTCGCTCTTGAACAACTGAAATTCGACCCGGTCAACCAGAGTCGCAGACAGCGAACTATTTGACGACAAACTTGGGCGTTTTAGCACCAGAGGGTTTGAGGTTGTGGGATTATGCTGACTTGATGCATGTGGTTCGTTTCCACGTATGATGCGCGTGCGTTCGTAGGCCCACCCCTACGACCACGGATATTAATATTTGAAATGACTGAACACGTGTATGTAACAACAACAACAATAACAAGTATTCTTTATTCACGCTAGGCGTACAAGTCTTGGTTTAACAACAGGAGTTTTTACTCTGGATCTTTTTGAGATGCTTCTTCGCGCAGTTCTTACAAAGCAGTGATTTGTTTGAGCGTCCTTGCATTTTGGGGAGGACGCGCTTTCGCCCTGCTGCGCTGCGCGCGCAGCCTTACGGCGGATTCGCACTTGACGGGAAACTGCTCCCCTCTACACTTGTGCGGACGAGACCATAAGTCTCGACCCCACAAGGTTATAGCGTCTACGGCTATACACACAATAATGTTCAGGACGAGGTGGATGAATATTTGGTATATATTCCTTTATTTCTCAAAATGTGTTAACAAATGTAACTAAACGTAAATCAACAACGTGTCTCCTCGTACTCTTCCGCGCGCGTTGTCCAAGCTACCTTATTGTAGCTAGAGTGGTCACTCGATTTTGGGAAAACCCCATTAATTCGCTGTCTGTCCACCAGGGGCATCACGGTGATGGCCGAGATGCGCCAACGTTCCGACTGGCGGCCACAAGGTCGGAAAATGAGCGCCATCTGTCGTTGAAAATAAGGAACTATTTGACGATAAACATGGGCGTATTGCCGTAGATGGCTGTGCAAATCATGTACCACCGCAGAGATGCCAGAAAAGCACCGCCGGGTGCACACGCACACATGCCAGATACGCGTACGTGAGCTCGTGGAGTTTCGGAAAGTCGACAAAGGCAAACTGACGCATGGCCTCTTTCTCGATTCTCCGAAGCTGCCCGAAGTAATTTCAGATCGCCTCGTGGGAGTCGAGAGAGAAAGGCTCACATTTGCCTTCTCGCTCTAAACAACTGAAATCCGACCTCCCGTCAACGGCATACGATTTAGATTCTCGAGCCGAGATTCTCGACTGCCCAGGCATTTTTACTTTCCGACCTATGTAGGCGCACATAAGCAAAGTACCCATAATGAAAAAAAAATTTTGTAAAATTTATTTTACGGAAATACACGTTTTAAGACCTCCTGATCATATTTTAATTATTGAAAAAAAAGAAATTTTTTTTATTAGTCCCATGTATGAGCGTGCATATGTTGTTGGATCCCGGGTTGCGGGATTAAGAACAACACTTTACTAGAGAGACTGGTGGTTTTATTCGATCGTTACGGCAAGTTCCGCACGTTAGTACAAACTACAGAGATCTGACTTGAGTCCAAAAATGTGCGTCGTTTATATATTTGAGGGTGACAATGGTGGCGTACGGAATGAGTAACCGGGTACAGGATGAGTAAGCGGGTACAGGAGGCTAGAAAGGCTGGAGTTTGAAACCTATGACTGGGATGTTTGTGTAAGGATGATTCTAGTGCGGTATCTATGTTGGCTTATGAGTTAGTCATACAACAATGTACATATATTATTAATACGATTTTTCAAAATCAAAATACTTTAAGATTGAAAATTAATAAATTAAAATGAGATTCTACTCTTTACCAGTATTGTGCACGCTGTGGTATTTTTCAATAAGAAGAGTTCTTACTTTTATAACATAAACAAAACAGTAGAATTAATAATTGCAGAAATTAATTAATAATGATTTTCCTCGATTGTTTTGAGATAACCGTATCAATTTGTTATGACAAACTAAATAGAACTAACTAGAAACAAAGGAAAAGTGATCCCGTTTGCCAGTTTAATACAAAGTATGGGTTGCATCTTAAATTTTAAAAGGACATAGTCGAATATTTTTAAAGGTACAAAACATAGCGTTTCATTGTAGAACAGTAACATGAGTTAGCAGGTAATGTCATAAAACTGTTTTTCCCAGCTATATCCCTTTTTACCTGAAGTATAAGGTAAAAAGTACGAGCTACAAGGTACGACTATCCGAAAATCGTTCACATTTTATCAATGTAAATGAAGCGGCCTTTCCATCAGAGTTAGATACAAAATTTTGTTATTTCTGTGAAAACAGAACTTTCATTAGATGTAGGTGGTGCTTGAAATTGTTATGTTTTCACTGTTTTTACGAAAAGTACCATCCAGATTCATGTACTTCGTACATTGAAAATAACATATGTTAAATTCAATTTAAAAAAAAAAATATTCGAAGGTCAGACAAAAATATAATGTCACATTTAGTGTACGATTAAAATATGATTGAAAAAATAAAAAAAAAGGATTTGTTTTGGCAGGGTTTGAACCTGCAGAGCAGAAGAAGCTCGGAACTTGCAGGCAAATACCTTGTCATTCACGCCACGCTGGTTGTTGAATGTATTTCTATTTCTGAAGATAAGTATCTGTAATAACTTTATTAATATCTCAAAGTAAAACCTAACCCAAAATCGGGTACCATTCCAACTTTTCCTTGTTAGAACCGAGTTTTCAATTTGTCTTAGCGAAAATCGTAATCACATTTTGCACATTATTCTAAAACATTTGTGGTATTCGTTTTCAATGCGATTTAAGTAAGCATGTAATGTATAAGATTTCATATAATTTTTTCTTTTCTAGAGAAGATAGAGAAAAAGTTTATATAATTTTTTTTATATGTAAGGCGTCGGGAAAAGGCGAGGCCCAAGCCGAGGCGCTGGCAAGGGACCGCGTCTGGCCTTCGTCCGTCAACACTCCCACCCCTACCAATGGGGGAGAAGGCTGACGACAAAGGCGTGGGTCTAGGCCCAGGACGGGCTCATTTGTTTTTCCGACGCTGAAAGAACGGGAATAAAGCATGTATACGAATACCCTACGTATTTCTTAATTCCTAATTCCATTCTACGCGTCTGTATAACATATATAAAATTTAATTCGTCCTAAGATTTATATGAAACATTTAAAAGATTTTTTATACATTATGCCTATACATATATCGGAACAACTATGAAACAAGAGGTATAATCATTATTATCCATGGACTGATTATAGTCAAAGTCTAACCGGACTTTGAAATGAGAACATAAAACTTAAATGTAAAGTTTCATTTAAATTCATTTAGCTATTTATACTCAATCGTAATAATAATATACATATGTGTGCTCATACATGGGAATAAAAAAATTTCTTTTTTTTCAATAATTAAAATATGATCAGGAGGTCTTAAAACGTGTATTTCCGTAAAATAAATTTTACAAAATTTTTTTTTCATTATGGGTACTTTGCTTATGTGCGCCTACATAGGTCGGAAAGTAAAAATGCCTGGGCAGTCGAGAATCTCGGCTCGAGAATCTAAATCGTATGCCGTTGACGGGAGGTCGGATTTCAGTTGTTTAGAGCGAGAAGGCAAATGTGAGCCTTTCTCTCTCGACTCCCACGAGGCGATCTGAAATTACTTCGGGCAGCTTCGGAGAATCGAGAAAGAGGCCATGCGTCAGTTTGCCTTTGTCGACTTTCCGAAACTCCACGAGCTCACGTACGCGTATCTGGCATGTGTGCGTGTGCACCCGGCGGTGCTTTTCTGGCATCTCTGTACCACCGTCACACTTTCTTTAACTTATAGCACAGACGAGGTATACCGAAATTATTTCGGATAGCTTCGGGGAATCGAGAAAGAGAGCATGCGTCAGTTTCCCTTTGGTCAACTTTCCGAAACTCTACGAGCTCACGTACGCGTGATTTGGCATAGGGGAGTAGTGCACCCGGTGCTCAAACTGGCACCTCTGATCAGTACTAGCTGGTAACTTTCCCCTTAGATGGCAAGCATTAATGTCCCGGAGCGTATGACGTATAGAAACCGAACTGTCATGTGGACGTGTCCGTTTCAATCTGTTGATAGTTTTAGAAGAAGTTATTCGAGGTAGACGACGGATTTGAATTGTATTTTTGAGGTCGTAAAACTGTAAATACGTATACAAATTGAGAATGCGATGCCAGCGCGTAGACGACACGTTGGCTCTGAGCTAGATCATGATTTCGTAATCACAACCTCAAACAGCTCCTGGCGGGGCAGTACCATAAGTCAACAGCATAACAATGAAAGTGAAGGGTGCAATTTAACGGAGAACGAGAAAAAGCAAACGGACATCATACCAGCGACAATGACGTCGCGCGACAGGACCAATGAATTCGTTAATGCTATTCGGACAATGCAAAGCAGGACCGTCACGCAGGCGGCAGTCTTGCAGAATCCTCGTCGAGCACGCCAATTACAGAGTTACTCGAATTTTATGATGATAGCTAAGAGTATCGGGAAAAATATAACGAGCACGTATACCAAGCTAGAAAAGCTTGCCCTATGTAAGATTGCCATGAATATTGTCTCACGTCCAATGCTACCTGTTAGTAACGTATTGTTTCGAGAACAAAGAATGAAAATCGCAGAAGAAATATATCATCACGATTAACATATCACTATTGCTTTGGCGATGATAAAATTCAAACTAGACAAATTGTATTAATTAAACGTTTGAACAAAGTTCCATAATTGAGCTCAATTTATAGAATCCTTTTTAACTAAATTCTTTTCCACATTATTATTTTTAACTTGCGACAAAGTATTCATTTATAATAGAAAGAGATATGCGCATACGATGCATTTTTTTAATTATATTTTAAAAGTGACAGGAATGTAAACTGGAATCGACAAACACCAGTTTGAAAAATGCAACATTACAAGTGTGTTTATAAGAGGATGCTATTTATTTATTATGTGAATTGTTTTAGTGGCGAAGAGGAAATCTATATTTAACGACAGACAAATGGAAATTGAAGAGTTAACGAATATCATAAAAACAGATTTAAAGAGTTTAAATTATCAAATAGGAAAGTTACAGGAGCTTGGAAAAAAGCAAAGAGATGGGTACGGCGCATCTCAAAGTCATCACATAGCCTCGCATTCGTCTTCTATTGTTATGGCCTTACAATCAAAACTGGCAAATATGTCGACACATTTTAAAAATGTATTAGAAGTGCGTTCAGAGGTATGCGAATTAAAAAACAAAATGTATTTTAAAAATTATTGTTTAAAAATATGTAAAATCTAACTTCTAAATTCTTTGTTTACGTACAGAATATGAGAGAGGAACAGAGTAGAAGACAGCAGTTCACACAAGGCTCTGTATCTACAATGTTACCGCCAAGCGTTGCTGGGAAACAAGGGTCATTGTTGTTTCAGGAACAAGAATCTGCTTCGTCAGTAACTATAGATCTGGAGCCAGCTATAGGGCAATTATCATTACAGCATGCAATTCACGATGATACTGTGAGCAATATAAAGTTTGTCAGAAAAGACTATGTTCGTATTAAGTATATTTTGACAACAATAAACCAGTTTATTTACATATTAGGAAGCATACGTTCAATCGAGAGCAGAGACAATGCAAAATATAGAATCTACTATCATTGAACTTGGTGGAATTTTTCAACAATTAGCGCACATGGTCAAAGAACAAGAAGAAATGGTGGAGAGGTACGAATAATTATTTTATTTTATATTTTGTAATTATAAGTTTCATAATCGTCTATATTATGGAATAAAAAATGTGCTGTATGTTAAAAACTTTCTCATGCACGTAAATGTTTACAGAATTTAATCAGATTTATGAATTTCAATTAAATTACAGGATAGATAGCAATATAGAAGATACAGAATTGAACGTGGAAGCAGCACATGCAGAAATCTTAAAATATTTCCAATCCGTAACAAACAACAGGTGGTTAATGATAAAAATATTTGCGGTCCTTATATTTTTCTTTATATTTTTTGTAGTGTTTCTGGCATAAAATAATTGTTACATTACTATGCATATTTCTTTACGCAACTTTGTAGTTGACCATCCATATCTATTACTTATAATATAAGATCCAAGTGCAAGACGAATTTTTATAAAATTATGATTCATTAGCTATAGAATAATAATATATTTATTGCATTCCTTGACCTCCGTTGAATTGTGAATACTGTAAGTATTAATTATTAAAAGGTTCACCAATGTAGCCTACAGGGTACATTGTTGTATGTAAAATGTAAAAAGGAAACTGGGTAATAAATGCATAATTTTCAATGCTTGGTAATTCCTGGTAAACACATGTATGGCGGGTGTTCATAGTAAACTGGACTATCAAACATGAAGTAATAATAAATTACGATTTATTTCAATGTTTTAAAACGTTATATAACAATTGCATTTAGTCTAAATTCGTATTACAATTTATTTCCCGTTTGAATGATTTACGAAGACATATACATATTAGTTTTACACTTGAACAAAAAAATTTATATATAACTATATAAAGAAACATTTTTACAATTCGTTTTTCTTTTTCTTTTATGTAACAGTGGTGACATTTGATAGACGTATTTGTATTAGCAAACTAAGTATGCATTTATCACATTTGATAAATACTATCTCAAAATGCACGACTCCTATTTCACCAAAAGATAATTGCTGGTTTTCCTACTAGCATTAATATACTCTGCATCACTGTTAATTATTTATCGATGGTTTTTATAATTGAGAATTTCATTACTACAGTGACAAATTTGATGTATGCACGATGATGGTTTGTAACAAAATAAAAGAATTAATCTTTGTTGGTATGATGTGTCTCGTCCAACGACTCTCCTGAAGAATACAAGGAACCTAAAAACAATGACGAACTGTGAATAATCTATTATACTTTTTATTAATTATTTGTGATTATCGATATGAAAAAAAAAAAAATATGAAGAATGCAAATTACAAATCTTTAAGAAACTAATATTGTTCAGAATGAAATTAAAATAATTAAAATGTAACATTTTAAATAGACACTGTTGTAAAAATATCGTGATCGAGTCGCAAAATCGTATTGTAATTTTTATTTAAAAAATAATATGCTGCTGTATCGTTCAACCTGGTATATTGCATTTATTTGCAATTATTTCCTTCCAAAGTACTCCAAAACTGTCTCACTTTAGAGAATCGCTTGCGTCCTTGCATGCACAACACAGCAAAAAAAAGAATGGAGGAAATAATAATGTCAAAAAGAAGGGGGGCGAAAAAAAAAGAAAAAAAAAGTGAAAACCATTCCTGGCAGTGAAATTTGATCGTTAATGGGGATGCCAATTTCTTGTTGTTGCTTTGGTCATGTTGTACACAAACCTTTGTGATTTCGTACTCGTTCTCGCTGCGGCGGATGAATACCGAAATTGTGTGGAGGCGGCAGTGATTCACCCCTCCATGATGGCGGCAATATCGAGCCAGGAGGTGGAGGAGGTGGACGAATATGAACGCTACTGAACGGAGGTGGAGATGATCTATGATTAAACGGTGGGAATAAGTGTGGAGACATCGGTGGTGGACAACCCGCATTGTCGTACCTACTGGAAGCAGGAGGGTGCAGAGGCATAGGCGGTGGCGAGGATAACCGGCCACCCAATGGCGGTGGTCGTTCGCCAACTTTGTACGGCGGTACACCAGACGCAATGGGTGGCAAAGGTGGTAAATACGGAGGGAAACGTGAATGTAAATAGGAAGGTGGCGGCGGAGGGGGAACACTCGAAGAACCAGAAAACATTATAGAGTTGGATGACTCTGCTCCCATGAATAATGGAGGCGACGTTGCCATTTCCCTGTTCGCTTCCAGGCCTGTTTGAAAATCAGGTTAAGAAAATACAATTTTCCATGTACAGAGCGTATTATGTAATGCCATTTTAACTTTAAAGAATGCGCACCAATCGATGGACGGACCTAAATGACTTTGATAATATTCGTTGTAAATTAAAGTTCAATAACTAAACTGACACGAATCTACATCCACGAGTCTACTAAAGCTACGTCAACAAATATAGGAATGATAATTGTTAGAGGTAGATAGCCATTTCTTCGTTATTAATATGTCGGAGCAAAAATTATGGAAAATTTTTTATTGGATTCTATTCAGATACATGCTTACTGTTATTAAAAAAAAATGGTTCAAGTAAATGTTATTCAGTTTGTTGAGAACTATCGCTTTCCATTTAAGAAAATGTACTCTCTTCCAACAGTTACTTCTCCAAAGATGTGCTGTATCTTCTAGAGTTTAGATCATTTAATTTAAGAAAAAAAGTAGCCAATATCATTATTAGATTCTGAGAGAACAACTTGTAATTTGAAAGTTTTTATGACTTTGATTTCATAAAATACCGTCTAATGAATGTATAGCTATTATCCAGAGATGACTTGTTGGCTAGGCACCAACAAACTAAACGGGGCAAGGGCAAGGAGAGAAGGTCTACGCGCCGCCTTATTCCCACCATAGAGGTCCGCTCTAACGTCACGCTACATAGTAGGGTCTCCATAACCACGAGAGATACACTTTTGTTCTATTCATGGCTAGTATTTTGAGTGTACGGTTATTCCAATGACTCTCAGTCCTGTCCTATCCTACTCTGTCCCTGTACGTTTCGTTCGCGTTCTTTGTCACGCGATGGAATTGTAGTTGTGAGCGACTCAGCCAATAATGGCAATGCGTGTGAGAGAGCAGGCGTCGCTATTACGCTACGGCCAATCGGCGTGCCTAGCCATCAAGTAATCGCTGTATAGCTATTTACCCCTATCAATCATAATTGCATTTATCAAAGAGGAATCGTATTGACCTACATAAAAATAGCAATAATTTACAAAATTTAACTTGGTAATAACGTCTCATAAAATACCTTACAACAACTTTTACAGGTAACAGAAATAGTAAATAAACTGTCTAAATATAAATATTACCACATTTAAATCAGTACTTGCTACTTGAAGGGAAGGGATATTCTTATTTGACGAGTGAAAACAATCGATTATATTTTTTGTCATTTTAAAATGTGTTCATAAAATATTATATAAAAATCCAAAAAGATATCCAAGCATATGTGGTTTATGAACTCGTAAATATATTACAATAGATGTAAACGGAAAAGTTTACAAAACCTTTTCAATCATAATATAGAGACACAGAAATATGTATCTAAAAACAACAATCCAAATTTAAATTCGTTAATTTGGACCTTTGCTTTAAACAATAATTTGATTTTATTCGATTAAAAAAATTCTCAAAGAATACCTTCGTTTTCCACTTGCCAATGAGAATATCCGTTTAAAGAGACCGCGGTATTGGAACAAACTTTAACATATATATGTAGAATAAAATGTACACTGTTGACGTGAATACTTACGTTGTAATTTTGCTTCAGAGTCCGCTTCGTTAATATTCTTTTCTATTAGGGTTAGCCGGTTACGCAATTGTCCCGCTTCAACTTTGGATTCTTCTAAACGACGCTCAACTTGACGCGCTACCACCTGAAAGTAAAATTTATTTGAAAAATTAAGAGAAAAAAACAACTATCAGATCGCAATTAAAGATAGTGTAATGCATTTGAAATTCATACCCATTGTTCGTGTGCTTTGGTTTCAAGAAGAGAAATTTGATTTTTATATTCCCTCTCCTGATCCAATATTTCACGTTTCAACATTTCTATTTGTTGTCTAAAATTAAATTAATAAATATAGATTTAGTAAGAGTTTAATAATGATCTCTCACGATTTCATATCTAACTAAAACGTTAATATTTACTTATAGTTTTGTATTTCATTTTGCATCGTTTGTATTCTTTCTACAGTGGATACAACTTCACCCTGCTGTTGCAACCAAATAGCTTCTTCCCTACAATACAACACCGCATTAAGTAAAAGAAAAATCAATTAAATTTATATGCAACAATTACAATAAACTGATAGCACTTTTGTCTTTGGGCTTCCTTTTCTTGAAAAAAATTTGACAGTACTTCGAGTCGCGTTTCCGCATCTTTTTTCTCCTTTTCTGCCACCTTGCATTGTTCGCTCAAAGTAGCAACCTCTTCTTTGATAACTTTCACATGTTCTATCACGTGAAACGGTTGCATTTAATATCTTTCACACTATGTAATTACTACCATAATTATATAGCAAGCATTAAAAGTACCTTCTAGTAAACTGTGAGCACCCTCGATCTCGGTTAGTTGTATTTGTAATTCATTTCGTTCTTCGAGTAAAGTAATTGCTTCTGCTTTAATGTGAGATACATCATATAACTTATCCAAATCCAAGCTATTAGAATTCAGTCGATTTATAACGTCCAGAAGGTCTTTTGTTTCTACTTCTTTACCTTTCAACTCTTTCTGTAAGGCTACTTTTTCAGTAGAAATCTGCAAGTATAAAGCAAAGATAGTATTTTTCTTATATGCTACTAATTACACATTTATTGCACACTTACTTCTTTGATTTGCATTTCTAATTGCTGTACCTTATCAGACAACGTTTGCTCTATACTATTTTTACTCTTAATTTCAAGCGACAGATTTTCCGTTACTCGAACAAGCTCAACTTCAAGTTCTTCGTATTTTTTCTTAAAAGATGCAAGTTCTGTTGATAAAGATTCGTTCTGCAAAATATTCACCATTAAACAGCATTTACATACATACCATAAAATGTACTACACAAAATATACGCTACAATACATTATAACGATATTAAACAACTATGAAATAGTCATGATTACAAACCTCAAGTTTATCAAATTCAAGCTGCGATAAATTTATATAACACAAAACAAAATTAAAAATGTCTTTGTTAAAACAAACAAAAAATATATCTGTAGTATTGAGTAGTAAATAGAATAAATATAGCGAGATACTCGAGGCACTGAAAAGCTGTCTGTTGATTATAGGATCGTATATAATAGATATGAATTTTGATCGTTTTTAGTTTTCACATGGAACTTTGTTTTATATACTTTTAGGAAAAATCCTATTATATATTTTATTACTAAGAAATAATAATTATTTATGTTATGAAATAATATTATTATTTACTTAAAATGCTAATTTTCATTATAGTTGGAAACCAGATCATAGTAGGCTCTATAGATAGCAGATAATATCGAGATGTCTACAATAAATTCTATTGTATCCTATATTCAACGATATTACAGTCTTTTTTTTCTAACTGCAATTCTTATAATTTCGCTATAATTGTTCCACTTGCCACGATTTAAATCTATACGCATACCTCTTGAGTTTTAAGATTTAGGGCATTCGTTAAGGATTCATTTGCAGCTTGTTGAGCATTCAATCTTGTTTGTAGATTTTCCACTGACTGAGCTAATGGGTTAACTTCATTATCTGATGAAAGAACTTCTCGCAGCATTCGTTCTAATTCTAATCCTGCCTCAGTAGCACTTTCTAAATCTTTTTCTACCATAGCAACATGTTCTTCTAGTTCTGCTTTCGAATTCTACAAGAAATTATTATTCCAAAAAGAGAAACCTTTCTGTTATACCTCGATTAAGCATTAACGAATAAATAAATAAAATATTTTTAGTCACCGTTAGTCGTACTTTATTACTACCAAATTTCTTTATCCACATTTTAGTTTAAATTTTGGTTTATATAGACATTTATATAAATAAATTTAGATACTATACCCGCATAGCTTCTAAGTCAGCCTTTAATGAAGATACCATTTCATTGGATCCAAATGATTCATCTTCAATGGAAATCAACTGAAATATATTTCACAATAACAAATCAATGATGTAAACGTACAATATATTAACATTATTACCTTATCTTTTGTTGTCTTTAAATTTTCATTCAACATCGTGCATTCCTTTAATGAAATTAGTAGATCTTTTTCAAGTTTATTAATTTTAGCTATCAGTTGTCGATCTCTCCTCATATTCTACAAAAATATAGAAATGGAAGGACTATGCATGTTTATTTGTATATTAGCAAATAGATAAAAAAAAGCTATTATACCTCGATGTAATAGTACCCCAAAGAAAATATAAGTGTTGCTGTCACGGTAACACTTAAATACATCAACGTCAACCAGTAACTGTTTTCGACTTTTATTCCTTCCGTTATAACATTTTCATGATTTTGAGAAGTTCCATCCTGAAATTATTAATTAATCGAAGGTTCGCTATTTATTTTTTACATGGACAACATTTAAAAAATGGCTAATGCTTACGGAATTACTAAAATAGTTTTGTGTACTATCATCAGTGGAACATCCAGCATTATCAATTGCACAAACGTCAGGGGGAGAAGCTTCTAAAACAATAATAAAGATTGGCAAAAAATATCTTCTATATTTAATAATAAAGCACAATGTGAATAAAGTATAACAATAATATTATGTAATTTCTATACTGTACCTTGTGCTTCGTGTAAAACATTTTCCAACGTAGTTTCTTTTGTAATGGCAAAATCCTCGGTATCAGACTTTTCAGAAAAATCGTTATTCTGGTCATTTGTCTCATCACTATGTTCAAATAAAGCTTCATCCTTGAGATCTTCAACTTCATTTTGCACCACATTGTCTATTTGACATAAATATAAATTAAGATTGCATGTAAGATGTAGTTTACATATCCTAATGAATAAAATTTCTGTTGAGCATTAGATACTTACCATTTTCGATTTGTTCGTTCAAGTCTGCATCCAATAAATTTCTGTTATCAAACTCATTAATTACACTTTCTTCATTAGCTAATTGTAATCCTGGTGGATTTTTATTAGACTCTTCACCTTGAGGGGGATGGAGCTCATTTAATGCAGAAGGTACTTCAATGGAATGGGAGCCATTGTTATCATTTGCAATGCGTACATTTATATCATTTTGTAAAATATTATTTTCTTCAGCAAGTTCATATTGCATATCTTGCACTATATCCTGTTGCAACTTTTTATCACGATTTCCTTCACTGGTAACAATATTGACATTACTATTTTCTTTAAGATTCATATTTGTATCCTGAGAAGTAGCTAAAACTGATACTGTATTAGTAGAGATTTTACCTTCATCTTCACTATTAATGATACTGTTACTACCATTTTCTTTAAGATTCGCATCTATGATCTGAGAAGCAGTTGAAGCTGTTGGTGTATCAGAAGGTATTTTATCTTTGTCTTTATAGGTATCTTCATTAGTATTGACGTCATTATTTTCTTTAAGATTCATACTTGTGTCCTGAGAAGTAGGCGAAGTTGTTGCTGTATCAGAAGAAATTTTACTTTCATCTTCACTGTTAATAATACTGTTACTACCATTTTCTTTAAGATTCGCATCTATGATCTGAGAAGCAGTTGAAGCTGTTGGTGTTTCGGAAGGTATTTTATCTTTGTCTTTATAGGTATCTTCATTAGTATTGACGTCATTATTTTCTTTAAGATTCATACTTGTGTCCTGAGAAGTAGGCGAAGTTGTTGCTGTATCAGAAGAAATTTTACTTTCATCTTCACTGTTAATAATACTGTTACTACCATTTTCTTTAAGATTCGCATCTATGATCTGAGAAGCAGTTGAAGCTGTTGGTGTATCAGAAGGTATTTTATCTTTGTCTTTATAGGTATCTTCATTAGTATTGACGTCATTATTTTCTTTAAGATTCATACTTGTGTCCTGAGAAGTAGGCGAAGTTGTTGCTGTATCAGAAGAAATTTTACTTTCATCTTCACTGTTAATAATACTGTTACTACCATTTTCTTTAAGATTCGCATCTATGATCTGTGAAGTAGTTGAAGCTGTTGGTGTATCAGGAGATATACTTCGAACTTTAAAACCATCATTGTTACTGGTAACAATATTACTATTTTCTTCAGGATTCGTATTTAAATTTTGTTGAACTTCAGTAACATTAGAATAGTCTGTTAAATTTGATGCGTCAAGTGTAGTTTGTGGAATGTTGTCAAGTATTTGTTTATCTGTAACTTCATCAATATTATTAGAAAATAATGTTCCTTCTGTTTTGTCTTGCATATTCGATTGCAACAAAGATGAATTGTGTTTATCTGTATCAGGTTTACTTAACCTTTTTTCAGAAGTTTCAGTGGTCTTTTCCAATTTAATATGTTCTGTTTCTACTAAATTAGGATTTTCCAAAGAATGGACATCTTTTATTTTAGTGGCATCATTTATCGTAACTGTATTTTGTGTAATTTTTGCAGTTACTTTAGTATCCTTACTTACAACTTTTTCATTTGAATCATTATTATTATTTTTGTTTGATTCAACTGCTTTAGCATCATTGTTACCGTCTGAAACATCTTTGTTAATTACTTCTTCACCATTATTAAGTGTAGGTACTTCTGGGTTATTATTCTCATTAAGATCCTTTGGAGATTGTACATTTTTCACTTCTATTGTGTTATTCTCTGTGGTTTGTTGAATATTATTACTGTTTATATTTGCGTTTGTTTCCATTGATTTTAGTGGAGTTCCTAATCCAATTATTTGTGGTAAATTTAATATTTTCTCAGAGCTTGTCACAAAATCTTTAACATTAGCTTCCTGAGAAATAATCTTTTCATCATTCAGAATTTCTTTTGGTAATTTATTATCGTCTGTAAAAATAGTTTTATCAACTTCTTTGTTACTAGAACTTGCTACCGAAGTATCAACTACATTGTTTACATTTGGCACATCCACTGTTTGATCAACTTCTGTTCCAAAATTTTCTTGCGTAAGGGATTCATTATCATCTAAATGCAATGTAGTTTCATTTATAATTTCATATGGAACAGTTATATTATTCGACAGTTCTTTCGTAGACTCTACATTCAAATTATCGGTCTGAGCATGCGAAGCCTTGGTATCATCATTGATAGACTTTAACTTAACATTATCCTCCTTAGGCTGAATTATTTTATCAGAGTTATCATTATTAATAGATAATTGTTTAATAGGCACTTTGAATGACAAATCTTTTTTTAAAATTTTATATTCTCTCAAAAAATTTTTTGGCGCATATCCACGTTTACCATTTATCTGAAATTAACAAAATTTGTGAAGCTACATTTGTATTTGTAATATTGTTATTAAAAATAATGAGTGATGCACATAGTATATTATAACTTTCCATACCACCTATGGTTTTACATCATTCATAATTTAAGGTGCAAATTAAAAATAGTTGCTATTGTCAGATATATTCACATACAAATCAAAGTAGTAATAATTGATAAATAGAAATTAAATATTAAGAAATAATCAAATATACCTCTACACCCCATAAGTCAGTTCTGTTGCCTGCATCTTTACTATAAACTGTGACTTCTGCATTAATGTCAAATGATAACAACTCTGCTTCTTTTGCATGATATTGGATCGTCGTTCTGGCCAGCGAAATAGGCACTAGATAAAACATATCATTAAATGACTTAAGTGAATTTATAAACGTAATGTGCCATAAATTAGATACATATTGAAAGTATGGCTTCAATTACCGGAACATTCTTGGTCATAACATAATCGTTCGTTCGACAAAGTAGACAAACATGGTGATATTGCACTAAATATTATTACAATAAGTAGAAATACTACATTAATAAACAAATTTCTTTTCGTCATATTTCCACTATTGCAAAGCTCCACATCACTACTAACATAAAAGCCTTAGACGCACATTTTAATCGTGAAGTAGTTCATAATGAGATGGTTAATCGGATGGGTTTAATCCGTGCTCGAAGCACAGACGAGGTATACGAATAGAAGCTACACCTTATAGGCTTTCGTGGCCCAATCTGACTGCCATACCGACCTAAAAATTCAAAGGTGATTTCAGCGCCCTCCTCTCACGGATGGCGGTCAGTTGAGGAACTTACTGAATTAGTGTGATAGGCAAACAAGCTAGTGTGTGTAAATGCATATGAGTTGAGAAGTACGAATTATTCGCGATTCTTTGACTAGTTAAAGTTGTAAATAATTTTCATAATGTTAATAAATTCAAGAATCTTGCCATCTGCTACTATAAATCGACAAAAGTGCGAGTTATATTTAATTTGTACATTATATCGCCATCCATCAATATGATTCTAAAGTCAAGATATGAGTAGAAGTGGAAAGTTCAATCTTGTACAAAACATGGGAATTCCCAACATGCACCTCTTTTCGCGCTAAAGATACATCTATGGTAGCGGACGACAGGTAGCTGTGACGTCAACTTACGCATGCGCAGAAAGGAATCCAACGAGGGAAAATTCCCACGAATGTCCATCACTGTTCTTGGGGCCCACGGTGTGTGGTCTGATAACGCTGATTTCGAGTTGCAAATACGTTTTTGCCGAGTTATTTTTTAAATAAATGATGTATTACAATTTAAAATAAGAAATATAGGATTTGCGGTGTACGTATCAATGAGATAGATTCTTAGGTATTTTAATAACCTTGAAATCTTTAAATAATGCAAGTAAAATAAAACAACATGGCTGCCGTTGTACCAGTACTCAGCAATATTTAAATTAAAATATCTCCTAAAGTAAAGGTTTTTTGGTACAACTACCTTTATACTTTGTTATAGAGAATGGCGAGCTTAATCGTTTAGCGTATCAATAAATATATGATCTAAAAAAATAAACTTGACCTTCAAATATCATCTGTACACAAAAATACTAATTACATCGAATAATGCCTTGAAACAGTTCAAATTTTATCCGAAGCCTTTTTCAATAGAACCAGCAGCCTTTTTTTTTTGCAATAAATTATAATAACGAAGAAAAATGATCGCCTGAACGAAAAGGAAAGACTCCGGGAAAGGAACCGACAACGGCTCGTTACATTTATATTAATTTATTCGTCTCACGATACAAGACAGATCGTACATACGTTCTGGTGATTGTAAAAGGTTGAAAAAGCAAATAGAGTTCGATTGGATTCGATGCACGAGATATATCGAGGATCGGACAGACGACTTTTCGAGAGATCATCGTTTCTTCTCTTTTTTCTCGTATTTCTTTTTTTTGTAGGATTTTTTTTCTCTTTTGTATTATTTTCGTGTGTGATTTTTGTCGAAGACGTGTGAGATACAAAGGTGTGTTGTCGATGTCCGTACAATGTTTCGTACGTATACGTAGACGCGCGTGATACCGTGCAATAGAAAAATTGACGAGTGTGCGTTTTTTGTCGTTTCCGCGATCCGGTCCGTTTTCCGTTCTGATTCGTTCCTTTAATTTCGTTATTTTAATAGTTAGGTACGGTTTGGTCGCCAATTTCGATCGTTAACGATCCGTTTTGTTTCCTCTCTGTCGCACGGTTTGACGACAGACTTCCTCCGTTGCTTTCATACTCCGCTATTTTTTTTAAACAGTTTCCTCGAAGTCCCTTCGTCTGGCACTCGTCCAATTTCGTCGAATCGATTAGCACGATTTACCGATGAAACTTCCGAACGAAGAAGCCGTCATCGTCGTGCCGAGAGATCGGAAAGGCTCTAGAAAGATTCAGATTGTACGAGCAAATCAAGCACGAATCTCCGCAGCAGAGACACAAGGGAACACCTTTTCACTTGGAATTATAGGTTATAACTTGTTTTTTTTTTTTTTTTTTCGTTTTTCTTTTTTTGTCGTTTTCTTTAACACTATTCCTACCGACAATTCACGTAAACCTATTCCTACCGCTACCGGTCGAATGACCGGTTTTCAGCACAACTTATATTTGTTAATATAGAATGAAGATAGCCAATTTAACGGTATAAAAATATTGTTTTTTTTTATTCAAATAAAATGAGAATAGAATAACGATGGAATAAAAATATAAAATAATAAATGACTGCCGAATATGCTCCAGGCAACTTTCACGTTTTGATGCTCTCCACTCGAATTACAAGACTTTGCTGACTTGAATTCGTGAGAAGTCGTCTAGGCATCCCCTTCGCTTATGATTTTATTTATTTTACAGTTATAATAATTCTAAACACTTGGAAGTGCCTAAAGCAGTCTCTGGAAGGCATTTTTCAGCTAAAATCATGCCACAACTGCATTAACTTCGAGATAATACTGTTACAAAAAGATATAAATCGTTCAACCGGTACAATGACCGGTCGTGGTAGGTAAAACAGACTAAAAATTTTTCTTAGAAAATAAACAATAAAAAAAGAAGCGAATATTGATATAAGTATTATAGGTATATTTTAGGAAAAGTCGTGAAGTTTAAAGGTGATGCAATTACGTTGTACATAGGAAATTCTAAACGAAATTTAAAAAACGGTCGTTTGACCGGTCGTGGTAGGAATAGTGTTAACTCGTTATCTTAGAGTATTCTTACGTATACATGCAACGGGCACAAATCATTATTCATCTATGTACTCTTATATTTTTTACTTTGGGTGTGTGTGTGTGTGTGTGTGTGTGTGTTTTTTTTTTATTTTTCGTCGGTTTTGCGTCGATCGAAATCCGTCGTGCAGATTGCGATAGGGTCGCGGTGCGCGCGATGAGAAGAACAATCGTTGGAATCGGAAAAGTGAGAAACGGCGGTGGAAAGATAGAAAGAGACATTAGCCAATGACGAGTAAGAAAAATATCGTATGTATATCGACTCTCTGGAAATTGATCTGTATCCGTCGAAGCGATGCGAATCGGCGACGAGTAGCTTCGCGTTTTTGCTTCGATTTTCGAATCGATTTGGACGTGTCGAGCTTCGATGATCCATGTATTCAGGAGAGTGAAAGATCAGCCCCGGGAGGGATCCGCGTATCGTTGCAAAAAGGAATTGCAAAATTTTTTGATTGATTCGCGAATCAACATTTGTTTATTTTGCAAATCGACGCTCGAAACGCGAAAGCTGATTCGCGAATAAATTTGAAATTCTTGTTCGTTAGTTACGAATAAAATTTGCTCGGATATGTTTGAATATTATCGTTAGTATGTTACGCGAATTACAGAAATCGATGATCTGGTATCTGGAGACTAACGTAGAAACGATATCTGAGACAATTAAATCGTAGAATAAATGAAAATTAACTGTGTACCTTAGCCCTCTTAATTATCTATTTATCCAATAAAATGTTCCCATCGCCGTTTATAATAAGCATTCCTAACGATTATATGTGATTTTATGTTTTTCTTGCTTTTATCGTTTTTATTTTGATTCGTTGCCCTGTATGAGACCCTTTAGAGTTACAATAAAATTATAATATTTACCTTGAAGAATAAAACACGCATATGTGATCAGAGGCGCGAAGAATACAAAAGAAAAAAGAAATAATAGAAAACATGTAAAAAATTATGGTTAGCGTGCGTTTGTATCTCCTTTGATTGGAAAATAAACGTTAAATAAACTAAAAATTTACTATAATATTAAATCTCAGTTGATTCTATAGTAACGTTGAGCAGTATAATCTTCAGGCAACAAATTTAAAATACATAATTAACTAATAGTAGACGTAGCTCAATTTTTTTTTTTGTCAATTCGAGAAATTTGATGTATTTGAGGATGTTAAAAAAGTGCCACCTATCTCGCCAGGCATCTATTTTGAGGAATACTTGCATCCTAATACATCATCTTAACCTGATGCTGCGTTTTCTTCTTACTAACCAACAATCTGGGCAACATTTCCTTGCATATTATATAAATATTGACTTTTCATTACAAAATAGCATCGGAATTATTACGTTTCATGCATTCATTTCGAAATTATAGTTATTTGAAGTCAGAAAGTTATGATTCGTCTTTCGTAGCATCGTCAACTTCAACCCTATTTTTCACGACTTTCCCATCACATTTGCTATAAACAATTGTGCACAATTCGAAGTGCAGAATCTGTAGAATGATGCCTTATAATTATTTTAGGTGCCTGGCGGGGTAAAAATTTGGCACTTTTTTAACATCCTCCTTTAAAAACAACGAATACGAATCGTCCGGGTGAGTTATTTTGAATGAAATTGTTTCCTCGAATTATTCCCTCCGTAAACATTTACTCGAAATTATTCTAATAATATGTAATACTTCACTAGCTACATCGTTGTCTTGTATCGATAGTACTATAATTGTCAATAATCGCTTCTAATGCCAATGACAACTGATTTCGAATGTCGTTGGATTGGTCCCATCACGACACGTGACCAAGCAAAAATCCACGTCTCCCTTATCCCGGGACTGATCTTTCTTTCCCCTCACGATACTCTTTCGTTTCTCTCCCGCTGCTCATTTATTTATTTTTATTTTGTTTTGTTGGAAAAAGTATTCCGACGTCACGGCCGTTTAGCATCGCTTCGAATCTCGACGGTCTCGACGATAGCTTTTTTAAACGAGATACTTGAGGCTTTCACGGCCTGGTTTCTTACAATTGATACCGCTCGCGGCTTCGTGGCACGAACAACGTCCTTTTTCGAAAGAACGCGTCCCGACGTGTCGAATGTTAAACGACACGCTGATGAAGCTATCTGCGAACCCCGAGCGGTATCAGCTTCTTAAAACATTTATCTTTAGACACGCTGACAGATTAAAACTTCCTTCCTCCTTTTCTCTCTGTACTTTGCTCAGCTCCCTTCGACTCGCTTTCCCCCTCGACACAAAAATAGTTCTGCATATATGTACGCTTTCTTTCTGTTTTTTCCCTCTGCTTTTTTTTTTCTTTTTTTTTTTCTTTTACTTTCCCGTTACCCTAGCTGATCCGCTTTAATATTTATTCTCTTATTAGTTTTCTTTAATTACCAACACCGATTATATTCAAACACGATTTACACTGAGAAAGATCTGGCGAATATCGGGGGAAACGGGGCAAGAGAGTCGACCAGCTATCCGCGGGGGGATGGATTTCGTTTGTCTGCTTCTTTATTCCCTTTGTTTCTCCCCGTTAAAGACGAGAATTCAACGACTCGCGACCGAAGCTTTCGATTATCGGCGTTCTTCGTTCTACGTCGAGGCGAATCGTTGCTTTTGCTTCTTCACGAAATCGATGGCCACTTTGTCGCCGACCCTTGTCTCCAGGATTTGAAGAATCGGGTGACCTGGGAACAAAGACGAGATTAATCTCACATCGAACTCATTCAATGTCGGTTTATAATTTATGGTTTGGTTGGGCAACTTAATGAGGACCTTAAGGGGGTTTTCTACTGTAAACCGTTAAAAAATTCGATTTTTTTACACATTTCTTTCATAAATTCATTTATAAATTAAGATCCATCGACGAATCATTTAAACTGTGGCATATGGCCGCACGATGGCGCTTTGCAGTAGAGTACGGGTCGTCCGTAGGGGAACCCCATATTAAACCAAATCAGTTTTATCATTTTCATTGTATGTTTTATTGTCATGAATAAATTATATATCATATTATTAACGGACCACATAAACCAATATTCATACGAGCAAAGCCATGGGGAAAAGTTATAGTTTTATTCGTTGTTCGAGAATAAAATTTGCCTGATTCAGACCGTACACGTTCTCCTTACTTCGATTCTTTTGTTGCATAAGAGGAAGCTCCGCATCCTTGAGGCCGTGGAAATTGTCGATGGTGGCGTTCGTGTCAGCCACGCCTGGTATCGTGCTGAGCCCCAAGAATGCTTCCCCAGCGAAGTCATTCGCCGTGAGGACATCGTGGTCCATCACCGTGAATACCACCATAGCGTCTGGACTTCGACACTGTTCCACGCTCACGGAGCTGCGAACAGAAGCAAATGATCGAACTTTCACGACTGTTACGAAATAAACATTAGGGTTTATTATGGTAAAAATTGGAAAAACTAAAATTATAAAATTATAAAATTATAAATGTTTTGTTTCTATTAAATTCACTGCGTCGAGATCCGTACCATAAAACCGTTCTAGCGAAAAGGTTGATCGTAAAAATGTAAAAGATTAAGAGATCTCTAGCAGGAGTAAGTTTACGAAGCCATTGAAACATTTTTCGCCTTTCGATTCACTCTCCAAGCTTCATAACGTTGTTACCTGCTAAGACCCAGTGTTAAGGATTCTTAAGGAACCTTCACATCGCGGGGTTTATGATACGGACGTGGCTTCTCCGCTATTTTTGAGGATCAGGCCTTCGAGACATTTTTACGGGTCATTCAGGAAACTCCAAACTCCACACGGGACTTGGAATCCTCGATCCACTCGTTTAAAACGGTGCAAAATCGATATTTCAGAGTTCTTTGATGACTCACAATTCGAAGCACTCGTCGAATGTGGGATTCAGAGTCTTCTTTTTGACGTTGGTATGCTGTTCGGGGCAATGATCGAACATCCTTCGTGGCAGCAGTTCGATTATGACGAAGGGGTCACTGAAACCGTTGGGATCCAACGGTATCACGTTTCTGGCATTTTTAACTTCGACGCAGAGGGAGTCGTGATTCAAGTATGCCATCACTGTCAGAGTTCCATATTCCGTGGAGACTGTATTCAGTTGGTCCTGAAACAAATTGCCAACCAAACGTTTCTTTCATTTCTGAAAACTGATATATTATATACAACGTGTTCAGTGACAGTTAGAAACTTTTATAGGCGTTTCTATACGCCAAGATAAGACGAAAATCAAGATGCTTTGTATCAGAGTTATTAATTAGTTAAAGTACGCGAAAGAACTAGATTCCAAATACTTGGTTAAGGCTTTAGAGCATTGGAGAACTAAATCCCATTACGTGAAACTAATATAGAAATTAAATTTTATAGGAACCTGAAGTCGTTGTCGATAGTATCGATCGATCAAGAACGAAGTGTCCATTTTATGGTACTGTAAGCGTTCCTCCACGTTCATGAAACTTTGCGTATGGAGTGCTTCGTACGTCAGACCCTTTTCGTCCGCGTGGAAGAATTTCGTCAGTAAGTCCAGGGCTTCGTGAAGTCGTTCGTAAAACATCGCAGGCTTGTCCTGAAAGAAAATATTTTAGTCTAAAGTAAACTGCTCCATGGTTCGAAATCTATCTTAATTTTAAAATTCCTCTCGCTAGAAGATCAAAACATTAAATTGGTATATGTCAATTTCTTGACAATTTGAAACAATACAAGATTTCAAAAGTTTAACCATATGTACCTCTGTTTTATGGTAAAATTACGTAGATACACAGACGAGGTGTATGAGTAGACGTTGCATCCAAAGTATTCTTTCAGCCCATTTTTAATAAATTTGTTTGATGCTTGACGGAAATGTTGTTTAATACTTTTCTGTAGGTATTCATAAGATCTACTTCGTAAATAAATTTCAATGAAATACGTTCCCTATTGTCGAAGTTATGGTCGTTTGAAAATTGGACCATTTTTATGGGATTCTTCTCACTTTACGAGGATAAAGAACAACTTTTCGAACATTTTTAGAGTTTCTAAATATTCTTCACCAAAATAAGACGAAAATCAAGAATATCAATTTTTCGTTTGAGACTTCGTTAAAAAGTTATTAACAATTAAATTAAAAAATTTCAAATCGTTCCGGAAAAATTATTTTCGGTTGCGGGAGTCAATTACAATCATTTTTGGTGAATAGACATACCCCCGAAATCCTACCCATTTTCTAGAAAAAAATTCGAGAAGGTGTGAAATTTTTCGACGGAAAAAAAAAATTTCAAATCGTTTTGGAAAAATTATTTTCGGTTGCGGGGGTCAATTACAATCATTTTTGGTCATTACAATTACCCCCGAAATCGTACGCACTTTCCAGAAAAAAATTCTTTCCGAAAATCTAATTAGGTGCCTTTTATCGACGAAAAAAAAAAATTTCAAATCGTTTTGGAAAAATTATTTTCGGTTGCGGGGGTCAATTACAATCATTTTTGGTAATTACAATTACCCCCGAAATCCTACGCACTTTCCAGAAAAAAATTCTTTCCGAAAATCTAATTAGGTGCCTTTTATCGACGAAAAAAAAAAATTTCAAATCGTTTTGGAAAAATTATTTTCGTTTACGGGGGTCAATTATAATCATTTTTGGCGAACAGCCATATCACCGAATTCCGTGCACGTATGCTATAAGAAAAGTCATGAGATTAAATGGCGCTAAAATAATATTGTGTGTTAGAAATTCTAAACGAAATATTAAAAGTGGTCATTTGACCGGTCGTGGTAGGTTTAGTGTTAACTGACTGTCATCAGATTAGGCCACAAAAGTCCATACGGTGTAAAGTTTACTCGTATACCTCATCTGTGGTTTTACATTTTACTATTTATTTATCATCTGTTTCAGGGAAAAGACCCTTGCCTAATACGAAGCGACTAATTAAGACTCATCTGATGTATAGTCCGGGCCACGATATAGCGAGGTCGTAAACTCGAGTAGGTGTTTATATAATATATAATATATTAAATATAAATATATTAATATATTAAAATATTAAATATATTTAAAGTTTACACGTTTCAGCTCCCGAAACAAGTGAATTGACAGAAATACGAGCAGCTAAGGGCCTTGGACCATAGTCAGGGCCGTACGAAGAAATGTTTTATCATATGTAAAGATCTTACTCAAGTCTTTAATATCCTAATTTACCTGCTTATAATATATGTATGTAGAAAATGAAAAAAAGTAATGCAGTTACGGACACAAAAAGACATTCAGAAAGGCGCCCTCAAGCAAGATGTCATGAACGGTCCTAAGTGTCGCAGCAGTAGTCGGTCCCAACCCTCGAGAGTTTAATTTACGACCTCGCTATATCGTGGCCCGGACTATACATACATTGGAATGAAAATCAACCATCTGAGTAAATTTCATCAGTTGTTCCTTTGTTACACGGAGAATTCAATAAAGACAATTGTCTACTCACGCCTGCGTTTCCGTCCATTTGATTGCTCAGCTCGCCCAAAACGACCTCCCAGATGTCCTGCAGGACTCGATTGAAGTTCACCGCAAGTAAAGCCGCATTAAGCGCCACCAAATGAACGTCCAGATATTCTAGTAACGGCGAAATGGCTTCTGAAGTGGGCACTCTGTCGGGCGACCAAGCCAAATGAAACATCGTCTTCTTCAGGGATGGTTTCATCTGACGTATCAAACAAAGTTTAAAATTTCTTGCTCCCGCACCGGTTAAAATTGTTCTAAACATTTAGACCAGACATAAAATTGTTCTTGCAAGAGAACAAAAAAAAAAAACGAGGGAAAAATCTGGCAATAGAAAAAGTTTTTTTGTTTTATATGAAACTTTTCGTTTTCAATGCTTTACTGGCGAGATATTATATCTTTAAGCTTATGATTTGTTTCGAATTATAGTATTTCTTTATTTGGAGTTTGTATTTTATTAATATTTTAATTTCCTGAAATATCGACGAATATAAGAGCATGCAATTATTATTTTGGAATTTTGATGAAGATACGAACCTTCGTGCCGATCCTTGAAACTATCTGGTTTATGAAGAGCAACATTTGTCCCGGTGTCTGTTCCAGAGGGGACGTCAAAGCGTTCCTGCACTGTAGACGAGCAGGTTCGACAGCCTGACACTCCAAAGCCGTCAGAAGTTTCTCGACATGGAGCTCCTCCCCTAAATCCAGAAGCCACCTTCGAACGTACTCGAGACCGTTGATAGCCACGCACATCTGTACAATGGTATTATAATATCACGATTCGAACGAAACGATGTCATGGAGCTTGAACTTGGCGTGTACTCAGGGAACGATTTCAACGAACTGCTTTCGAAAGATGATTCAATTACAGTTACTATTTTTCATCCAGTTTTAATTTGGCGGATGAAATTCGCAATCAAGAAAATTGTTTTAAACTATTACTACCTTTTTCGTCAGTTATAATGTTGAAAATTACATATCTATAAAATACAAAAATAATCAATGCATAATAAAAATATTAAATTATTCTATTATGTCGTTTCATTTATTATTATAATATTATTAAAATGCACTTAGTTTGATATCAAGTGTGAAAGAAATCGATTTAATCTTATATATTTTAACGTTGCATTGTTTCTTTTCATGCTACATAATATATGAAAGGGGAATGGAAACGAGTTTATAAATATTAATAAAATCTGTATAACAATAAATATTATAATACCGAGAGGAATGAAATAAAAGCGTTTAATTATTTATCGATTGTTTTATAAAAAAATGTGTTCATTCATTATATTCATTATACGCGTAAACTCTGCATACAAATCTAAACTCATTTTCGATTATATGAACAATCTATAATCCAGTGTTTATTGTAATAATGGATTGTATAATGAAACTTCTTTGTGTAGATAGTGTCCAAGTAGATTTGAAAATAAATATAGAAGACAGTATAAATAATAATAGTTAGTATATTCATCAGATCGAAGATGAAGAGCCTTTTAAAAAGAATTTCGTTTCGAGTCGATAGCTTAGTTAGTTCCGGAGATATAGGCTTCCAAGGAATTCATTGGATTTCATTCATAAGTACGAGATGGTCGACGAAGTTCCAAGAAATACTACGACCCTCTTTAATTCTCGAAGACGCGTACGCATACTCGTGGGCGATTGTAAATAGTATGCGCCGCTGGCTACTGCGCAGATCACGTGATTAGATCAGCGCGACGCGAGCAAGACGAAGACGGAGATATTGAAATCTTAAGAATTACGCTTCTCTTTACACGACGATATCTCCAAAACGAATGAACGGATCGACATAAAGTGGAAACCATTTTAAGGAGAAAGCTCCCTTCTAATGGTGGCTCAATTATGGAGAAAACACGAGCAACTTCGGAACTGCACGCGTGTAAAGTTTCAGTACTTTCGATACGTGTTACTAGACTTCGTTACTCCTATATTAAAGTTATTGTTTTCAATCGAGTACACCAATAAGCAAAGTACAAAAAGTATGAAAGAAAACTAGAAATAAGAAGTAATGAATTCATTAGAAGGTTTGAGTTAAGATTGTAGAGTGGACACAATTATAAAAAATCCCTAAAAAGATCAAAAAGAATGAAACTCTAGATTAGAATACCCTCTTAAGCATTTCAGTGTTTTCTTTGAATAAATGCTGCATTCACTATATTCATCGAGAGTCCAAAATCCTTGTAAGAAACGTTTATACAAATACATGGCCTGAACTACGTTTGCAGCTGGTGTAATTAGTTCAAATTGAATATAGAAAGCAGCTGTACGCATGTCCTGTGGAATGCCATGTCGTGTATCGTAATTTAATATTTTAAATAATTCATTTGTGTATTTTTAAGCGACTTTCATACTCGAGTCGAAACGAAAATTGAATAAACGCTTCTTATCGAGACAGCGCGCTGATCTTTCTGTTTGTTATACATGCAAGATCGTTCAATATTCTGATGCGTATTTGGTTGCAGCTACGTTCTACAGTTTGCCAGCTCGCAGTGCATCGTTCAAGCGCATTTGAGAAGAAACGTAATTCATTCGCGCGGTGAAATGTTTCCGGGTGCCCCTAGAGCTAGTTTGCGAAGCAGTGTCGTGTCATACAAATTGCAAAGCGGTCTCTACCTGAGCGATTACCTCGTCTGTAGTCTTATAAGGCGTTTGATCTTCGTAATAGCCACCGTCGGCCAGTTTCTGGTGTGTGAGCTCCGCGTAATACGCTGCTGAACTGCATATCGCCTGCAACACAAACGCCAAACTTTGAGCATTAAATGGGTCGGGGAGATACATGATCTGTGAAGAGAACACGAGTCGATTGATTCCAAATAAAACTTTATTCCCACAAAAAATAATTAACCAAATAAATGGTTTTAGAGTTTAGAATAAAATTGCTTTCTTCCCGCGGGAGACAAATTATTATTGACTTGGAAAAACATTTTTCTGGTTATGCGGTGAAAGTTTATAATAAAATATCAAATATATAAGTACATTAAAAATATAAACACTAATAAAAATATAGAATATAAGTTTATAATAATATGAAATAGATTTATTGCACAACCCAATGTAATAAATTATTACAGTTCCTATAACGAGTGGATACGTCTAAATAATAATCTAGTTTGATGGAAAACGGGCAAGCATGGCTTAACAATATTCAAACAAGTATCCATGTACTAGTAGTTCGATGCGTACCTATGCCCCAATAGAGTTTGCTTAGGTACATATGATCCATTGCTAGTCAAACTAGTGAATTATGGTCCTAATGGCCACATAGATATACACAATCCAATAATGTTTGGATTTGGTTCTGGTCGTAAACCATTGGAATGATCAATTAAACATTGATCCTATAAAGACCAAGGGTTGGGGATTTTCTACATTTTTACACAAGTGTTTTAAAAATAATAATTAATATTCTTGCTAAACCAAAATTGATATTTAAATATCAATCTCAAAACACATAAATAATACATTATGTTTTGATAACATTTTACAGTGGATTTTTTTTTTAATAATAACTGATTTGTGAGCTGAACAAAAGCCTCTCTCCCTTGATCTTTTTAAGGCAAAACAACGAGGAAATCAAAGTAGGAAAAAGTGAAATCGATAGTTCTTCTCGTTACTCACGTCGACAACTTTCAGGACCAAGTTGTACGATCCAGGAAGATCCGGCCACGCCAACTTTTTCCAGAATTCTTTGATCTACGAACACACGTTACAGTTTCGAAGCCGTGGAATGCTTAGAAATTGATTTTAGCGTAGTTTCGAACATCTCTAGCATTGTACCTGATATAAGCACGCCGTAACATCGATGGCGGACGTGCAGTGCTTCACTATGTATTCACCGGTGCAGATTCGATCGAGATCGGCCGATTTCCTCACGCGCTGGATCGCTTTCAATTTGGCCAGATCCAACCATTTGTCGACAGCTGGTCGGAACCACTCGTAATACTTGCAAATCCCCAAGGTCTTATGGTCGGATGGCGGCAGATTCTCCTTCATGCTGAAAGTAACGTTTCTCAGTCGTAACAATTACTAAGCTTTAATGATCTATTTAATTTCAAACGTCTTGAAGTCACGAAGCATTTAATTAGTTCTATTTTCATGAACGTGCATGGTACTTTGTTCTTGATATTTTTTTTTTTAAAAAGGCCCTATTTTACTGATATTATTTTTGAAAAATATGAAAGTCTGCGATCTCTATCTTTATTTGAGGCTTAATATTTGCAAACTAATTTTCATTGTTATTTACAGATTTCATGGCAGTACTGTTTTTATACCTCTTATATTTTCTTGTTGTTATATTTCCAATATAGTCTTAAGTTTTAGTGCGTAAATGTATAATAATAAAATAGAAAATATATATAAATATAGAATAATAATGTTTGTTATAACATATTCCAAAAAGACCCCTCAAAACTGATTAGTTTCAGTTTAGATTTTAAACTTGAGAAAATCAGGAAATAAAATAATCTCATTAAAATAGAAATCAATTTTAAATAATCGATGAAAGGACTAATAAAATTGAACTTGTGTTTATCTGATTACAAATAATTGAAGTTTCTTTTATTTCTTCAATCTACTTTCTTACTAAATTACCTAGAGTTAAAATAAAACAGAAGGCAAATTGAACTCATTATTAATACAGTAAATAATATTTGTTGGTATTAGTTATGATCTAATTCTTAACTCTTGTGACAATATTACTGGTAATTACGTTACAAAATCCTGGAGAGCCAGATACAGCTCGAACATCGGTGTTCCTATTTCCGCCCCTGGTGGAAGAACATACTCCTCATCCCCATTTTGTCCGTGAAGCTGAAGACACGCGGTGGTGACCCTTGCACCGAGTTCCGGTTGCATCTATCGAACGCGTTTATTCAGGTTAAATAGTCGGACACGGCTGATCGTGTTTCAGTTCTACTAATGCTTTCAAGGTTTTTACATTTCCACCACTTTTTCACTTTCCGCAAGTTCTACTACTACAGGAATACGAAAAATCCGGACTCTCGTCATTTGTAACTGTTGCAAATACTGATATGGATTAAAATCAAATTTCTCACGTATGAAATACATTTATCGATAAGATTTAAATACATAAAATGTTATTGCTATATGTAGAGACTCGGTAAAATTAGGGTCGATGGTTAAAATTATTCCTCCGACGCTATTTTTTTTAATTATTGGTACATGGATACAATCACTGAAATAGGAAATAAATTTTATAGATCAATGTTACCTTTGAACTTTTACTCATTTACAACAGAATAATTAATTACTGAAGATATTGAACAAATTCTGTATAATTTTTTTGGAAAACTATTACCTACATGGTTCGTTTATTTTATTTAAAATAACAATATGGTTTGTTTGGTATACAAATCAGCGGGCAAAAGATTATTAAGAAAGAGATCGATACGTGATTATATTTCTTTTCATAATTCGTAATACAAATGTATCTTTTATTTCAGTTCGTTTCGTTTGATCGTATTTCTTTGTGTTCTTCTTTTGAAGAGAATTTAAAAGAAAATTCATTGTCAATTTTCTCGATTTAAACTATTACGATAAATAAATATAAATCATTTCGTTGTGAATGAATTTATTAAAAAGTCAAACGATCACTTTTATAAACTGTATTTTCAACCGAAGTTTTGCAAAATTTAAATTTAGTAATCGAACAGTTAATTTTGCATTTTTTTAACTCATTTTGGGAAATCATCTGTCTTCGTTAAAACAACGTCGTTTAGATTTTCTTAAAAGTCGATGCAACGCACTTGAATGAGTCAATTTTTATTTCATAGTAAAAATTTAAATATTAATTTTGAAATAAAAGAATAACCAATATTGAGATATTTACATTTGTTAATTTATCATTGTAATAGTTAAACCGAAGGAATAGTTAATAACGTACTATATAGAAATATTAGAGTAACAACATCGATTAGATTATCTTAAAAGTCGATGCAACGCACTTGAATGAGTCAATTTTTATTTCATAGTAACTTTGAATATTAATTTTGAAATAAAAGGATAACCATCATCGAGATATTTACATTTGTTAATCTATCATTGCAATAGTTAAACCAAAGGAATAGTCGAGCAGTTCGTGTAAAAACAACGACCTACTATATAGAAGTATTAGAGTTATAATTTCTCGAGTGTTTTTCTATGGGTAGTTCTCGCAAGAAGTAGATAATTGCACGCTTTCGCCTTGGAAACTCTTTCAAGGAACAATATTGCAACTTGAGTATTCTATAAAATCACGAAACTTTCGCGAAACTTGCGCGAAAGTGGTGGATACCGAATATAAAAAAATTAATCCGGGGTCCGAGAGAAACGTTCAAGCGGTGGTGGGAGGTATTGCGTTACCATAAAGATTCTTACAGATTTCTTGTAAAACTAGGACGCCATATTTATCGAGAAAAAAGTTCATCGTTGATCAAAGACTTTAATACTTTCAATATTGCTTATATTTTTTCTCATCTTTCTTCTAAGAACACAATTCCTAAATCGTAGAGATCAAATATTAGAAATTTTTCTTTTCCACAGAAAATTCGACCATTTTATAGGAACTGTAAAAAGATATACAGGCTGATCCAGGTGTACGCTAAAATAAGTCGAAAATGCAAAATGAAAATTCTTTCCTACGAGGTTTCACTTTTCGAGAACGATTTGACTCGTGCGTCTGACCAACACTCGTTATTTCTACTTTATTTCATCACCATGAAGATTCTTACAGATTTCTTGTAAAACTAGGACGCCATATTTATCGAGAAAAAAGTTCATCGTTGATCAAAGACTTTAATACTTTCAATATTGCTTATATTTTTTCTCATCTTTCTTCTAAGAACACAATTCCTAAATCGTAGAGATCAAATATTAGAAATTTTTCTTTTCCACAGAAAATTCGACCATTTTATAGGAACTGTAAAAAGATATACAGGCTGATCCAGGTGTACGCTAAAATAAGTCGAAAATGCAAAATGAAAATTCTTTCCTACGAGGTTTCACTTTTCGAGAACGATTAGACTCGTGCGTCTGACCAACACTCGTTATTTCTACTTTATTTCATCACCATGAAGATTCTTACAGATTTCTTGTAAAACTAGGACGCCATATTTATCGAGAAAAAAGTTCATCGTTGATCAAAGACTTTAATACTTTCAATATTGCTTATATTTTTTCTCATCTTTCTTCTAAGGACACAATTCCTAAATCGTAGAGATCAAATATTAGAAATTTTTCTTTTCCACAGAAAATTCGACCATTTTATAGGAACTGTAAAAAGATATACAGGCTGATCCAGGTGTACGCTAAAATAAGTCGAAAATGCAAAATGAAAATTCTTTCCTACGAGGTTTCACTTTTCGAGAACGATTAGACTCGTGCGTCTGACCAACACTCGTTATTTCTACTTTATTTCATCACCATGAAGATTCTTACAGATTTCTTGTAAAACTAGGACGCCATATTTATCGAGAAAAAAGTTCATCGTTGATCAAAGACTTTAATACTTTCAATATTGCTTATATTTTTTCTCATCTTTCTTCTAAGGACACAATTCCTAAATCGTAGAGATCAAATATTAGAAATTTTTCTTTTCCACAGAAAATTCGACCATTTTATAGGAACTGTAAAAAGATATACAGGCTGATCCAGGTGTACGCTAAAATAAGTCGAAAATGCAAAATGAAAATTCTTTCCTACGAGGTTTCACTTTTCGAGAACGATTTGACTCGTGCGTCTGACCAACACTCGTTATTTCTACTTTATTTCATCACCATGAAGATTCTTACAGATTTCTTGTAAAACTAGGACGCCATATTTATCGAGAAAAAAGTTCATCGTTGATCAAAGACTTTAATACTTTCAATATTGCTTATATTTTTTCTCATCTTTCTTCTAAGGACACAATTTCTAAATCGTAGAGATCAAATATTAGAAATTTTTCTTTTCCATAGAAAATTCGACCATTTCATAAGAACTGTAAAAAGATATACAGGCTGATCCAGGTGTACGCTAAAATAAGTCGAAAATGCAAAATGAAAATTCTTTCCTACGAGGTTTCACTTTTCGAGAACGATTAGACTCGTGCGTCTGACCAACACTCGTTATTTCTACTTTATTTCATCACCATGAAGATTCTTACAGATTTCTTGTAAAACTAGGACGCCATATTTATCGAGAAAAAAGTTCATCGTTGATCAAAGACTTTAATACTTTCAATATTGCTTATATTTTTTCTCATCTTTCTTCTAAGGACACAATTCCTAAATCGTAGAGATCAAATATTAGAAATTTTTCTTTTCCACAGAAAATTCGACCATTTTATAGGAACTGTAAAAAGATATACAGGCTGATCCAGGTATACGCCAAAATAAGTCGAAAATGCAAATTGAAAATTTTTTCGTACGAGGTTTCACTTTTCGAGAACGATTTGACTCGTGCGTCTGACCAACACTCGTTATTTCTACTTGCGCAGATATTCAAATCGTACTTTATTTCACTCGTGTCTGATAAACGTTCAAAATCGATTTTATCGAAAACGTCTTGCATGCAAACACTTTATTCTAGATTTTTGTCTCAGTTTCGACATTCTGTGTATTTTTTTATGGCAACATTAATAAGAGAAAAACGAGGACTCGTATTAAAACATTTTTTAACTTATTTGTATGTAAGGAGCCACTCTGTAATATTAAAAATAAAAATCTTGAGGAATCCTCGTGGCAACGCAATGCGTGGGAGTGCGGAGGAAAAATTAATCGACTCCTTTGATATCCTGTGTCGATACTGCATGGCTCGTCTCAGTAAACATAGAAAATTGCTTCTCCAATTTCCATCTCCTAACACGGTACAATTGTGATATCGTACAGACCAGACCAATTTTACAGGAGATCAATCGTGGAGGGGGAATTGTTTTCTAGTATTGCTGTGTCTGTGGGTAGTCTAACAATCTTTTCTAGGAAGAGTACACAACGACTGGTGCGTCATTTGCCAAACAGCCGAGCGCATGCACAGGTTCAATGTATTCTCGATTCAGTATTTGCCAAATTACGTGCAAGACTCGTGCAAAACGTGTTACGTGTTCAGTTTTGTAACCAGCTAGAAACAACTGGCCCCTTAAGGGAGTACAAATCTTTACGAGGTTCAAAAAATTTGTTATATTTTATTTAGAAAGAGCTTTAGAAATTTTCAAAAGTTGACAAAGTTACAGTAAAAATTACGAGAGTGTTCGTATTCTCGAAACTTACTTTTTCGGATGTTAGGGTGGCTGCACTGTAATTTTGTCAATTTTTCATATTCTTTGAAAAAAATTTTCAAGCCACATTTTTGACTCTTCAATCTTACAGGCTTTTTAAATTTACGAATCAGTCTTCGACAGGTCACAATTAGTACGATAAAAAATAAAATTCTATTTTTATTAAAATTCTTCTAATAAAAGTGTCTTTCGAATAATTTCTTGACACGTTATTATTTTTTAATGTGACAAAGTTATGTACCCCCTTAACGTTTCTCAGCGACTCGTAAAAGACTCGATGAAAAATTACAGGTGCATTTCAAATGAGAAAATTTGCCAACGAAAACATTCTCTATCTGTCAAGTATATAGATAAGATTAAAAGTTTGATCGATGAAAGATTTTCATCCTCTTTTCGTTTAAATTTACTCATTAAATATAAACAGTAAACGATATGGACGAGTGTTTAATTTTCTTTACCATATTGTCGTTAACTTCGTATTAAATTGTATAAAAACGTAAACTTTAAATTTTAAAAATAATTTAAAAATTTTTCATCGTATCTTGCGCGAGCGTTTCTCTGCGTGCAACGAAATTACATAGAGTAACATGCAAGTGCCTACTTACACTTCCGTCGAATTCGTTACAACGTATCATAGCTCTAATCAGAATGGGCAAAGCTTACATTGCAATCCCCTAAAATTCAAGCACCGTCAACTAAATTGGATCAAGCGATTGTGTGCTGTCGAGATAAGTTTCCTCGGGATTACTCTTTTGATATCTCTATAACTCTGGGTCGTCCTAATTGAATCAGAACTCGAGTGGAACCGGTATTTACAAAGTAGTCGTTGGGTGTAGAACAGTTTGAAGCTACCAGCTAATTAACAGCCCTCCATTTTATTTGCGTGTTCGCGAAAATACGTGAAAACGAATGTTCCACGTAAAAAAATGTCTCTTTGATATTGCTCCGTTTCAACGTACGCAAATAAAAGCAAGGGGCGTCTCGATACGTCGATCAGTCGTTACATATACAAGGAAATCGAAGAAGAAAGAAGATAGAGAGAAAAAAAGGGGTCTTAAAATTTCGTGGTGGCGATGAAAAAGTACCTCGGAAGTGTTCTCCATGTGTTTCGCCACGTGTTCCGCCAGCTATGGACAAACATCTCGTGTACAGTAAGATCGCCATGACCTGACGGACATTTCAAACTCGTTCTCCGATCCTCATTCGACGTGGCCTTCAGGTCACTGCGATTCGTTTATTTATAGGGTGTCATATCTTGAAACACTAGGATCGTTGTCATAAAAAAATTTTCATCGAACAAAAGTCCAAAGGAGGATGTTAAAAAAGTGTCGCAATTTGTACCCCGCTTTACTTTGAAAAGTACGCAATTGTTCATAGCAAATATGATTGGAAAGTCGTGACAAATGTGGTTGAGGTTAACGATGCTACGAAAGATGAATCATAACTTTGTTTACTTCAAATGATTATAACTTTGAAATGAGTTCATAGTACGTAACAATTCTGACGCCATTTTGTAAAGAAAAGCCACTATTTATATAATATGCAAGGAAATGTTGCCCAGGTTGTTGGTTAGTAACAATAAAACGCAAGAGATTAAGATGATGTATTAGGATATAAATATTCCTCAAAATATGTTTAATGGTATACTGTAACTGTTTCCTAGAATGGAATTAAATGCATTAAATATGAAAAACTGTTATTATATTTCATCCCCTTCTTCTTTGGATCATAATTTTTTGATGAATTTAACATTAACATTAACATTAATATACTTCAGATGGTTTTGTTGGTTCGTTACATTCATGTAGAGGTGTTTATCTTTTATTAGGAGAAGATAACACCACTATGGCTCTCCACGATACTTTTTCTTTCGTCTGGAATTGGACCACAGTCTAATATGAGATGCTATGCTTGTGTAGTGTACTATGTAGTCTAGTGTGATTTGTGTAATGTACTTTGTTGCCTAATGTAATTCTTGTAGTGTAAAATGGAGAGAAACTGTATTATTTGTAGCAAGTCACTTACAAAGTTAGCTCGAAACAAATACTGAATGTGCAATGACAATTAGTATTGTGTGAGATGCAATTGAAGCAGAAATGTCAATAGCACGGGTGACAGCACTTTTTCAGAAGTAGATTTGCTTTGTGAAGCAGTACCCAGAGTTCAAAAGTATTTCTGTATATTGACAGAAGTCATTTGCCAAGAAAAGGGGGCATCTTTGGTTGTAGTTTACAGGGTTCGTTAAAAGTAAGGTTGGACTTGCTGCAATTGTTGGACATACTTCTGAGTGTAAAATAGGCCAAAGTGTAGTGGGATGTTGTTCACATATTGCAACAGTATTATTGTACTTGGGACTTGCACGACATCAAACATCCATACATTCATCTGCCAACTTCTTCAATAGATACTTAATCAAAGAAATATCATCTGAAGAAGAAGAGGATGAAATATAAAATAGTTCTTCATATTGAATGCATTCCATCCTGTTTTAGAACTGACAAGGAACCATCGCGAACGGTCCGGCTTCGATTTTGATGAAATTTTGTACACTTATAAAGCAGCCAAAAATAATCGACACGTATTTTTTTTTAGCTGCGGTAACTCGAGTTTAAGGGGTGAAACCACCCCTTGAAGTTTTGGCTCGAAACGGCTATCTCGAAAACGGAAAGACATACAAAAAAATTGTTAATGGGCGAGGTTGATGGTTTCTTATGTACAATAACATGGTGTTAAAAAATTTAAAAAAATACAATTTGTTTATAACAAAAAAAAATTTATTAACTTAATTTTTCATTTTATTGAAATTTTCATAATGACAAAAAATGACGAGCATTTTATTCCAAATCCATTGGTATGCGATTTTTTAAAATAGCCTCTTACAGTTTTGATGATTTACATCTTGCGCGCACATCCATTATGGTAGTAGCCGTTCTAACTTTGATTTTAATGAAGCACTGTACGCTTGCACTACTTCTAGAGGACAAAATCGGGAAAAATACAAGAATACCAATTTGTTGATGGAGGCTTCGTTAAGAAATTATTAACGTTTAAAGTTCCGCCCGTACTGAATTTTTTTCTCCGAAATGCCCAAGATTTCGGGGGAATGTGTAATGACAAAAAATGATTGTAATCGACCCCTGCAACCGAAAATAATTTTTTCAGAAAGGTTTGAAATTTTTTAATTTTGTTGAAAAATTTCACGCATTCTCGAATTTTTTTCTCAAAAGTGCGTAGGATTTCGGGGGTATATATATTGACCAAAAATGATTGAAATTGACTCCCGCAACTGAAAATAATTTTTTTAGAACGATTTGAAATTTTTTTTTTTCGCTGAAAAATTTAGGCAGCTACGCCCTGTCGATTTTTCTTAAAAATTCGTTTTTCATTTTTAATAATTTTGTTTGACGCCCTACAAAAAAGTTGGCCAATATTTTTTTGTAGGTACCTATGAGCTCTACTTCAGAAAAAAGTTTCATTGAAATATATTCACTATTGTAGGAATTATGGCTGTTTGAAGATTGGAGCATTTTAATGGGGTTTTTCTCATTTTGCGGGGTCAAGGATCAACTTTTTGCATATTTTTGCGATTTCTACGTATTCTTGATTAAAATACGCGTCGTTTGCATTTTTGAAAATTAAAATCCTTCAATCCGTTCAGAAGTTATGACATTTTAAAGATCCGCATGAAATTTTCGGACAACATTTCTGGCCATAAATTACATTTTCGATTAGGAATTTTTTTCTCGAAAGTGCGTAGGATTTCGTGGGTATATGTATTGACCAAAAATGATTGTAATTGGCCCCTGCAACCGAAAATAATTTTTTCCTGGAGGATTTGAAATTTTTTAATTTAATTTTTTAATAGCTTTTTAACGAAGCCTCCATCAACAAATTGGTATTCTTGCATTTTTCCCGATTTTGTCCTCTAGAAGTAGTGCAAGCCTACAGTGCTTCATTAAAATCAAAGTTAGAACAGCTACTACCATAATGGATGTGCGCGCAAGATGTAAATCATCAAAATCTGCAAAACTGTAGGAGGCAATTTTAAAAAATCGCATACCAATGGATTTGGAATAAAATGCTCGTCATTTTTTGTCATTATGAAAATTTCAATGAAATGAAAAATTAAGTTAATAAATTTTTTTTTGTTATAAACAAATTGTATTTTTTTAAATTTTTTAACACCATGTTATTGTACATAAGAAACCATCAACCTCGCCCATTAACAATTTTTTTGTATGTCTTTCCGTTTTCGAGATAGCCGTTTCGAGCCAAAACTTCAAGGGGTGGTTTCACCCCTTAAACTCGAGTTACCGCAGCTAAAAAAAAATACGTGTCGATTATTTTTGGCTGCTTTATAAGTGTACAAAATTTCATCAAAATCGAAGCCGGACCGTTCGCGATGGTTCCTTGTGAGTTATAGTATACACTTAAACATATTTTGAGGAATATTTGCATCCTAATACATCATCTTAATCTGTTGTCACTTTGAAATTATAGTTATTTGAAGACAGAAAGTTATGATTCGTCTTTCGTAGCATCGTCAACTTCAACCCTATTTTTCACAACTTTCCCATCACATTTGCTATAAAAAATTGTGCACAATTCGAAGTGCAGACTCTGTAGAATGATGCCTTATAATTATTTTAGGTGCCTGGTGGGGTAAAAATTTGGCACTTTTTCAACATCCTCCTTTCAAGTACCTTCCAAACGACAGTAACAGGAAAATATTGTTCCATAAAAGTGTACAGAAATGGAACACCCTATACATAAAGAGTAACATGTCTTGTAGTTATTTCGATGCAAGGACGTCGACCGAATTCGCAGACGACGAGAGAAATTAATCACGCGTTAACACGTATGTGTGAAATAACCGCACGAATTTTAACGCGTTTAAAAAATTTTTGTATACATAATTCGATGGACGAAAGACAACGTCGACTGTTTACCAGAATTCGAAACGAATCTTTTTTGTACCATTTGTTTTTTTTTTTCCAATTGTTTGAAAAACACGATCGACGTCTTGATTAAAGCATATAAGCCAAACATAGCACATACAGCTTCACGAAACAGTGAATAAAATATAGTCGTGTGTCATATGATTGTGTGCTTTGATTCTGCATCATCACGAACTATAAAGTGAATATCATTATATCTCTCGTTTATCTTTCGCTTGTCGGAAGGATTACTGTTCCGTGTGGATTGCTTACCAGCTTGTCCAGCTGTTTGTACACCGCCGAGAAATATGGCACGCCATTCGCACTGGAACACAATATTTCATCTATCGTTTGTAAACTATTATCACAAACGCAATCAGCTATCGTTATGAAATCGTGTTTCCAAAATAAATCCCAATGTTTAGACAAGTTTTCTTGAACATTTATAATTATATTCGAGTTCTTTGCTACAACTAAAAGTGAACTTATTATCATGATATTGTACACATGTTGGCAACGAAAATGTTGGATTTTAAAGTATGTACAATACAGTGTATTCGAGTTACAGTAAATAAGCTGTAATTAAATCCAATAAAAATTCATTCTTTCGTTCATATTTTTGTTATAATTTCTTAAAAAAGCATTTATGGATTTTTGTTATATAACATTGTAGTATTAGTTTTACAGAACACCCAGTATATTCTCGTGCAAATATTTACAAGAGTTCTAAACGTGAAAAATTCTTCGACAATTCTCCCAGTCTATTGAATTCACGTCCGCGGATCATAATTTTCAAGTAAATAATAAAATTATGAAAATGTGATCACTTTATAATCCAATTATAGATTAAATGTCAAAGTTTAAGTCGCAGACTCTACATCACTCACCTTTCAAAGAGACTGTTGTAGTATGTTAGTCCTTGTTCCAAGTCTACCAATAATGCAGTTACCAAGTTTGTGAAGTCCTGAAGAACTTTATCTACATCTTGATCAGGCTCCTTGTCGTAACACATTGTTTGCTGCCTCGTGTTTTCGTACCTGCAACAAACAAAAAGTCGTTAGTTTTGTGTCTTCACGAAGAAACATAATATTTGAAGCAACATTATTAGGGTAAAAAAAATCGATTTTTCAGTTATATCATACTATCTTCGAAGAGTGCTTCTTCCTATTTGTATATAAAAATAATATTAACGAAGTTACAGCTCAATAAATTTCCCCGATTTTCTCAAAACTTTTTTTCAAAAATCGGTATCGGAAATATATCAGAGATCGATGAACCGATTTGCATGAAATTTTGGTCGCTTACTCTCGATACCATAACCTAGCGTTTGCCATAGAACTTTTTTATTTTGATGATTACTTTTTTTTATAAATAAAAGAAAGCGATAGTTTTTGCTATAAACGCCTGTAACTTTTGAAATAATTAATATTTTTAAAAACATCATTTAAAAAAATCACATCTACGAACATTTTCTTCCGAAATTTTCTACAAATATTGTTAAAACCATATTGTACAAGCAGCAGCTTTTATTTTTTTTGAGAACTTAATTTTAACCGAAATTTTTTAATTTCGACCTATTCTTAAGTCCTTTAATGATACCCCTTAAATCTAATATTATACTTCACTAACCATTCAAGGGTTCCCTTTCTCAAGGCAGTTATAATCTCTCCACGAATCTCCTTGTTGAATGGACAACACGTTCGGTACGCTGTCATGTTTGACAGTAGACCCAAGCATCTGCAAAAGACAAAAAGGAACTGGCTAATAAAATCAGTAACATGGGCACGCTTATTTCGAGGCGCCAGATTTATTATAAGAATATCTATGAAAATACAGATTAATCATTAATGGCTCGAGTCATCGTCGTAAAAAATTCATTTCCTTTGCCACGTTTTACTAATCGTGATCATCGATCTAACTAATAACTGTTCTCCACGCTGACAGCTTCCTCTGACCTTTTCCTGGAAGAACCACTCACCCGAGAAGGTAATCCAGCTTAGAGATCGATGGTCGATGCAACGGTGGAAAGAGCACTCGATGTTGTTGGACTTTCTTCAACGAGACTTCGAGAAATTCGTTGAAAGACTCGGCCAGACACAGCTCCTCGTGACGGGACAGCGTATCGGTGTGCCATAATTTGTCCAGTTCCTGCAACCGCGAACGAACGTTTCGATAAAACAGCGGGAAATGGATGAAAACGAGCATCGAACGATTTAATGGATACCTGAAGAAGACGATGAAGAATTCTTGGATCGCAGGTTGGCTGTCGTGACGTCGCTACCCATCTGACTAATGCTTGCTGCAATTCAGTGACATCACCTTGGACGGCGTGCTGATGAAGAATCGTTAGTGCCGTTTGTAGCAATTCTCCCGTGAAGTCTGCCTGAACAGTGCAAATTGAATCGTGTATGCGGGAACGAAGTGCACAAGGCACGAATAAACACGTTCTCTGCTCTGTCGGTAACATAGGTTCCAGCGTGTGTCGGTAAGTAATTGTGCACGATGGAAAACAACTTAAAAATATTTGAAAATTACTAATTCGATTGGACCTACAATTAGAAGTACTGTTATAGTAAATAATAACAGCAGCTGTGCAAGGAATATTTTTGGACGTGGATCAGTAATTTCTGGAACATCTTGTATTATGGTTTTGTTGATAAATTCCATTCTATGCATTTGATAAGGTGTACGCCTTGTTTGTTCGTCACATAGTTGAGAAACACTGCGAATTGGATCATATAGGCGAAACAAAGTACACAAAGTACGAATAAACACGTTCTCTGCTCTGTCGGTAACATACGTTTCAGCGTATGTCGGTAAATAATTGTGCACGATGGAAAACAATTTCTTTAATAGTTTTACTAGATTATCCCCTCTTAAAAATATTTGAAATTTATGACTAATTCGATTGGACCTACAATTAGAAGTACTGTTATAGTAAATAATAATAGCAGCTGTGCAAGGAATATTTCCTTCGATATTAAACTGATCTATGGATCTGTACTTCGTAACACGAAAAGACATTAATTTCTGGTATATCTTGTATTATGGTTTTGTTGATAAATTGCATTCTATGCATTTGATAATACGTACCCCTTGTTTGCTCATCTCATGATTGAGAAACACTGTGTAGAGTCGTTCCTGTTGCCTGAACTCTCCCCAGTTGTCTTCTTCGGACGTTCCTCTGTCTTCTCTCGTCGATAGCCACAGCCTTAACCTAATTCTACCCTGAATAGTACTTCGTTGCGTTCTGGCCTTCAGTTCGTACCATTTATCCAGCCCGGTGCTCGGAATCTCCTGTTAACAGAATGATCTCGGTTGTCTGGTACCAAGTAATGGTACAAAATTTTTTAATTAAAATATTGTACGAACCAATGCCCGCGATAATAACATTTTTTAAATCGTTAGTCGATTTTAACGTTGTTGACCCTTTCGATCAACTCAATTTTAAGTACTTAAGACGCCTAACAAACTTTTTTTATACTGAAAATGACTCGAAGAAACAGAGTCTAAAACCTGACGTTTTTTAAATTAACGTTAAATTATGGAAATCGTCGTAATCATTTCGTGTAAGCATGTGTTTTTGAATTTTTATGATAAATTATAAACTATACAGAAAACTGAACAAAGACAATAGTTGAACGCCAAAAGATATTTCACCATTTTGTTTATTTTGCGTCTGTCATTTTTAGTCTATCGAAATAATAATCCGATAACAAATTGTTCGTATGGCATAAATTCAACGATGGAAAGTATTTAGTTTAAAATATAAATCAGTTTAAACATAAATATATTTCATTACTACTCTTATGAATAATTCAAAACTTAAAATCAATGATTTATGGGAGCATTATAATTCATCGAAAGCACGGCGACGCCATCAGAATTTTCATTCCGCGCACAATCGTGTTTCCGAAAAAATTATAATAATAATACGTTCCAGGTTTGCTTAAACCCCTCGACGAGGTGTCGTTTAATTTTTGAAACAATTCGATTCAAACTTCCAGACGCAGAGCTCATTATTATTAAAATTAATCAAGGACACGTTGGCGCTTTCGAAATTCATATTACGGAAGTGTAATCGTGTTTTCGATGAATTGTAATGCTCCCATTAACCGTTGATTTTAATTCGAAATTATATAAAAAGAAAAGAGAAAAGGGAAACAGAACGAGGAAGTAACTTTGTTGAAATTTGAAGAATCTGCGCGTTAATAAAAATGTAAACGAAAACAAAAGTCAATTCAAATGTATAACAATATTAACTAAAGGTTTTATCTTTTTATTTAAAGAATTTTCATTTACTTTTTTCCTAATATGTAAATTGCATAATTAGATAAGTAGTAGTTACTATACTTACCCTGGATGAAATTTTAATGGGAGATTCTAGAGGCCAAAATAAGACGAAAATCAAGAATACCATTTTGTTGATCGAGGTTTCGTTAAAAAGTTATTAATGTTTAAAGTTCTGCCAGTACAGAATTTTTTTCTCGAAAATGTGCTGGATTTCGGGGGTATGTTTATTCACGAAAAATGATTGTAATCGACCCCCGCAACCGAAAATAATTTTTTCAGAACGATTCGAAATTTTTTTTTTCGCCCGAATTTGGGCACTGCTAATTTTTTTTAAAACATCGTTTTTGTTTTTTAATAAATTTTTTTGACAATCTATGGAAAAGGTGTCTAATACTTTTTTGAAGGTATCCACGAGCTCTACTACAATAAAAAGTTTCATTGAAATATATTCACTATTGTAGCAGTCATAGCTGTTTGAAAACTGGGCCATTTTTATGGAGTTTTTCTCACTTTACGGGGTTAAGGAGCAACTTTTCAAATATTTTTGGAATTTCTACATATTCTACACCAAAATACGCGTTGTTTGCCGTTTGAAACATTAAAATCCTCCAATCCGTTCAGGAGTTATGATTTTTCGAAGATTTGCATGAAATTTCGGGGAACCATTTCAGGCCTTAAATCATATTTTCGGTAAGGAATTTTTTTCTCGAAAGTGCGTAGGATTTTGAGGGTATGTCTATTCACCAAAAATGTTTGTAATCGACTCCTGCAACTAAAAATATTTTTTCCAGAATGGTTTGAAACTTTTCAATTTTCTCTAAAAATTTCTCCACCTACTGAATTTTTTTCTCCGCTTCCATCGTTGATAATGCGGTCGTATGTTGTTCTCGCACAAGTGTCAAAAGAAGTCGTGTACATAAAAAGACTATTGAGTCATATGTGTTGTGAGACTATTATAGAAAATCCCGTGTGCGTATTCTGTGATAACCAAAGCGCGATAGAACTAGCGAGAAATGCGGTATTCCACAAAAGGAGTAAGCATATCGACATGAAATACCACTATACGCGACAATTAGTGGAGAAAGGTGAAATTAAAATTGTTTACGTAAGAACCGAATCAATGCTTGCGGACGTATTCACTAAAGCGCTACCAAAGATAAAACACGATAGAGCGGTAAAAATGTTAAGATTAGAATAAAGGTATGCGAGAAATTTACCGCGTAAACCAAGCCTGTATCGATAGAGAGGGTGTTAGAGAATGTATCGATGACGGCGTGGTTAAGACAACGATATAACGCGACGGGTTGAGTGTCGCTTGTCTTGCGTGGCGTCTGTGGAGTCTCGTCCATGCGAAATCGCGTCCACGCGGTGGCATTACGTACTTGTAATATTATTCGTTTATAAATAAAGCCAATCTTATTCTGTAAGTGTTAGTGATTGTGTAATGGATTGATATCCCGAGCTACGAGCAATCTGACAGGTTATGGGCCCAGGTTGCGCATAAACGAAACACGGGGAAAGTTACGGGATATAACCTAAAAAAAGAAAAACGTGGTTTTCGATTAAGGAAACATGGCAGCACTACACGGCGCGCAGAATATCGATAAATTAAACGATGAAAATTATGAATCGTGGAAACTGCAGATGAGGAGTGTACTCATCTGTAATGAGCTATGGTCGTTCGCAAACGGCGACGAAAGCAAGACGGAAGAAAACCGAGTCGTATGGGATAGAAAAGATCAAAAAGCATTGGCCATGATAATACTAAGTATGACACGCGGTCAACTAAATCATATAAAGAAAGCCGAAACATCGCACGAGGCTTGGACGGAACTAGAGAGGATGTACGAATCCAAAGGACCGGTTCGGAAAGCGACACTATACAAACAGTTGTATAGGATGAAAAAAAGATTCCGGGACAACGATGGCTGTTTATTTGAACGAGTTTACAGCAAAAGCCGAGCAATTGGCAGAAGCGGGTATAAAGATTCCGGAAGATTTGCTATCAATTATGATGCTGGGGTCATTGCCAGAAGAATACGAGAATTTTACAGTGGCAATCGAGGCACGCGATGAAATTCCAAGTGTGAATAACCTCAAAACAAAATTGATCGAAGAAGAAGCGCGACAAAAGGAACGAGATGGTAGATCGGACAAAGAAAGGAGAAGCGATGTTAACAGCGAAGCGCTGTACACGAAAACTACGAGGTACGAAAAATCGAAAACAAATAGTTTCAAGAATACCGTGCAAAAACCGCAATCATATGCAAGTTTCAGTGGAAAGTGCTACGAGTGCGGAAAAATCGGGCATCGCGGAAAGGATTGTTACATACGGAAAAAACGCGAAAACGAGAAATCGAACGATGCGATGACAGCTGTTGCGTGTAAAGTAGAGTTAGAAAGATCCAATATTTGGTGTTTAGATAGTGCAGCTACGTGTCATATGACAAATGAAAGACGAAAGTTTCGTACGATAAATGAAACCGAACAATCGAACGTTTTTACAGCCTCCGATCAAGGTATAAAATCACATGGTGTCGGCGAAGTTGAATTAAACGTAAAACTAAGTGACCGAAACACAAATCATATAAAACTAATGAACGCGATATTTGTGCCGGAACTCAGATATAATTTAATATCGGTCGCGCAGATCACGAAAAACGGGTTTAAAGTGTATTTTGACAAAAATCGTGCAATAGTGAAACGTCGAAACGGATCTGCAGCGATGATAGCGGAGAAAAGAGGTGACTTGTACATAGTAGACGTTGTAGAAAATCGTGCTTTTCAAACGAATGTAAACAATAATGGAAATGGCGTCGGTGGAGTCTCGTCCATGCGAAATCGCGTCCACGCGGTGGCATTACGTACTTGTAATATTATTCGTTTATAAATAAAGCCAATCTTATTCTGTAAGTGTTAGTGATTGTGTAATGGATTGATATCCCGAGCTACGAGCAATCTGACACTTGTATAATTTGTTAATGCATTGTAAACATTTTATCCAAACAAATTAATCTAACAGACCAACAGTGAACGTTTTGTATATTCAAATTGTTACGACGGCAGGAGACAAACAAATTCATCGAAACGCCTGTTATTTAATATTGAAGTTTACGTTCGGTTGTTATGGCGAATATCGAAGTTCGTTAGAACTTCCATCAGTTTGGCTCAACCGTATTACATCCTAATCATCGCCGCTAGAACATCCAATTAGAACCAACAGTTATGGCATCGTATTCCGATCACGGTTTCGCGCCGCGTTAGTCACGATATCGAAGTTCACAGCCGCGTTTCGTGTAATTAGCAGAGGAAGAATCTTCAATGGCGTAATTACGCGGGTCAAACTGGCCGAATAATCGTGGTTAGACGCGGGATTTACCTGCAGCGGAATATTCACGCAGCCCAGAAAGTCGTCTTGGCCGCCCGATCTTGCACTCTGCGCGATCTGCTTGAAGAATCGTCCAAGTCCCTTCACGCCCCGTACCTCGTTCAGCTTGCTAACAGCGTCGAATACCGAGGACTCGTCGTCGTGGTCCCTAAAACTATGTCTGTCAGGACAACGGAAACACTTCCGAGCAGAAGATACACGTTCGTGGGCGCGAAATAATAATCATCGCACGGCGTCACACGCAAGAGAAAAACCGCGAACTGTAGCTAAAATTATTCGAATTCTTTTCTCTCGTACCTAGATAAATCTAATCGCAGCGAATAACGTTCCTCAGATTTTCACGTGGAATATATTTGGACGATCGTTACAGAAAATAAAATTTCAAAGGGGTGATACGTTGAAATAAAACGGAGGTCGAAACTGACGAAATTGCGTTTAAGATCTCCTTTTCGAACTGTAAAGAAGGCGATGAAACAAAGGGTTAAGGGTTCGCGATACTTTCTGGAGACGAAACCACGCTGAAAACGTTATTTAAATGGTTTAATGGTTTGGATTTCTTTTTCAATGGTAGGCTGTCTTCCACTGAGATTTTATAGGGGCATTTATTCATGTTATGAGCATTAATAAAGAAAATATTAAAAATTGTGGGAGTTGTGACAAACACCTCTTTATTGTTGGAACTAGAGATTTAGAAAAATATTAAGTTTTAGTATTTTTTTTTTAATATACTGAAGACAGAAGAAATGTTAAAAAATAGAAATTCGAAACTTGAAGTGCTGCTATTCCTTGACTTCTCCCTAGTTCCTGCTATAATTACACTCTTCTTAATGAAGATGCTTTTTCCCCCACTGTTTCAGACCAGCGAATCAATTAGAATCGTGGAAGCCAGTGGAGCACCTTTCCCAGAAGAGCCATCAAACAGGACGCTATAACTCCCACAATTTTCAATATTTTTGGATGAAAAAAATCCTGTACATGCTCATAGGATGAGTAAATATATCTGAAAAATCTCAGTACTGTCCTCCGCTCACTTGAAGTCCCGCGGAAGGAATGCGGGAGAAGTAGAAGGGGCACACGTATTCCCACGCACACATTGGTCTCTAGCTCGCTATTCGTCGCGGCAGTTACACACACATGTGGACTGCCTGAGAGCAAGTGAGCAAGACAGATAAATGGGCGGTCCGACTCCCCTTGCCCCTGTGCCGTCTCGCGGGACTTCAAGTGAGCGGAGGACAGTACATAACAGCTTACCTGCCATTAAAAAAAAAATCACAAAGAAGGTCTAGACAGCAATACTTTCTTAAACGACGTAATGGATTTGGATAACGATAGAGCATTTTATTTTATTCTTGTAAACGTTAGAGAACGATAATTTGAACGAATGTCAGAATCGAATCTCGCGTTTAAGAATGACAGAAATGATTTTTCTTATTTCGTAGCTGATGAGAATAATCGTCTGTCGACGACGCTACTCACCATATGTCCAGGTGCAGGATGTCCGTGTTGATGTCGTCGATGTCGCTGGAAATGAGAACACGGAAACGGTTAGCTGTCGTCGTCAGTTCGACTTAATTCCACGTAACGCGACATAATGCGTTTCCGATTGCACATCAATTAGAAGGGAGACAAGTCACCCGGAACACTTGGTGCTGCTTACAAACGAAACTTCTCGTTCCAGTGGGGGCTGAGCGTGTGAGGCTTCACCGTGGTCGCGCGTATAAACTTTGCCGGAACCGCGCCGCTTAAGGACTCCCGGTGCTCGCGTCTGCTCGTGTGCTCCTTGCGCTTGAACGACAGCCTGAAACTGATTTCGAACAGCTATAATAACTTCCCAGAGCCCGTTCCGCTCCGGTCCCCGTTGCGTATCTCCGTTCCCACGAATTCCTGCCGCTCGCAATATCGATAAACGAGTGGCGGTCTCCTCTATTATTCCGCCATATTGGAGCATCACGTTCGAGCGATACTTTGGTCGTCTTATCTTTACGGAATGCGCAGGACGGAACGATCGAGCACGAAAAATAAACGATTCGACGTGTGGAATAGGGTGGTCCTTATTTCTCGACTCTCGATTGACTTTTTCACGCAACCTCCCAGATTCTGACACTCGGTGAAGGAAAGTTGAGTGAAAAATTTCAGCGATATTGGAGAACAGGAACACGTGCCGCCATTACATTAGAATTTTGATATTTTTATGATTTTATGAATCTTATGACAAAGTTGTCGACTCATATTTTTTAGTGAAATTGTAATTTCTTACGGCTAAAACAATAACGTGAGTGTGATTCTCATTGAAAAGTATGGTACATGTTAGGGTGGCCCTTATTTTTCAACTTGCGATTTTGTTCGGTCTTACCCTTCTAAAATTATGATATTTTGAGAGAAAATAACATGTGCTAAATTTGAGAGTGATTGGAAAACGGAAGCCTGTGGTATATTTGGGTTAAAATTTTTAAATTATAGGTGATTCCACGTCGATTCAAGATATAATTGTATTGTGTTATTTTAGAAGTATTAATGAATGTTTTTGAATAGAAGTACAATTTCTCGGATATACAGAGATTCTGGAGACCAAAATAAGACAAAAATCAAGGATACTGATTTGTTGATTGAGGCTTCGTTAAAAAGTTATAGAAACATTTCCGGTCACGCAGTATATTTTCAAAAATGATTGTAATTGACCCTTGCAACCAAAAATAATTTTTCCAGAACGATTTGAAATTTTTGAATTTCGTCGACAAAGTTCACCTGCTCGAATTTTTTTCTAGAAAGTGGGTAGGATTTCGGGGGTATGTCTATTAACTAAAAATGATTGTAATTGACTCTCGGAACAGAAAATAATTTTTCCAAAACGATTTGAGATTTTTTAATTTTGTTGAAAAATTTCACAACTTCTCCAATTTTTTTCTAGGAAGTGGGTAGGATACCGGGGGTATGTGTAATGACCAAAAATGATTGTAATTGACTCCAGCAACCAAAAATATTTTTTTTAGAACGAATGGAAATTGCTTTTCTTCGTCGAAAAATTTGTCCACCTTCTTGAATTTTTTTCTCGAAAGTGGATAGAATTTTGGGAGTATGTTTATTCATGAAAAATGATTGCAATTGCCCCCTGTAACTAAAAATAATTTTTCCAGAAGGTTTTGAAAGTTTTTAATTTCATTGAAAAATTTGTCCTCCTTTTTGAATTTTTTTCTCGAAAGTGGATAGAATTACGAGGGTATGTCTATTCACCAAAAATGATTGGAATTTACCCCCGCAACCGAAAATAATTTTTTCAGAACGATTCCAAATCTTTTTTTTTCGCCGAATTTGGGCACCTTGCAAATTTTTCTTAAAAATTCGTTTTTCATTTTTAATAAATATGTTTGACGTCCTACGGAAATTTTGTTTAGTACTTTTTTGTAGGTATCCTTGAGCTCTACTTCCCTACTAAATTTCATTGAGATACGTTCGTTATTGTAGGAGTTATGGCCGTTTGAATATTGGGCCATTTTTACGGGGTTTTTCTCACTTTACGGGGTTAAGGAGCAACTTTTCCAATATTTTTGGAACTTCTACATATTCTATACTAAAATACGCGTTGTTTGCCGTTTGAAACATTAAAATCCTCCAATCCGTTCACGAGTTATGATTTTTCGAAGATTTGCATGAAATTTCGGGAAACCATTTCAGGCCTTAAATCATATTTTCGGTAAGGAATTTTTTTCTCGAAAGTGCGTAGGATTTCGAGTGTATATGTATTGACCAAAAATGATTGTAATTGACCCCTCCAATAAAAAATAATGTTTTTAGAACGGTTTGAAAGTTTTTTTTTTTGAAGTAGAATATTCCTGGCCAGACATTATATTTTCAGTAATGAATTTTTTTCTCGAAAATGCGCAGGATTCTGGGGGTATGTCTATCCACCAAAAATGATTCTAATTGATTCCTGCAACCAAAAATAATTTTTATCAGAATAATTTGAAATTTTATAATTTTATTTTTTAATAAGTAATTAGTTTATTTCAATTTTCGAAGAACTCGTTGAAAAGCGAAATAAAGCGGTTATTAATTTACGATTCAAATATAGTGAGAAACAAGACGAGATCGTTAACGAGTTGTTCGTAAAGATGGAAATTGAACGTGTCGTTGAATCTACCTGAGTTTTCAAAATGTCACACAGTGTTCGAAAACGGCGTTTTAGACGCGAAAAATTCCACTTCTTGACCATCTCCAATCAACATCTCCAAGAAACATTACTTATCCTTAGAAATTGCTCAAATATGTTAATTTTTACTCAGAAACTCGACGTTTCTATTCTTCCTGGAAATCTGTTTTTGCAATTCATGTTTCTTGTTCTAGGTAATAATGACATTACAATGGTTTCATTTTGCACAGGAAGGTACATACTTTATTTTAGAATAGAAACAATCCATCAAAAATGTATTTTTTAAAAAGAACCAATTTTAGTATTGAGTTATCGTAAGTATTTCTAATAGAAGTTATCAGATCGGTAAGTATCGATCAATATTCCACCACTGGCTTCTAGTTTACGTTCGTTTCTTCGATTTCTCTGAAAATCGGCTGCTACTTTTTTAATAATACAGCTTCAAAGTTAGCGAGTCTTATTCTTATCATTCCTATTTTCTATTATTCTCTTCATTATTTACCATACATTATATAATTAAAAATGTTATGCAGCGGTGAAACATTTATAATAAATACAAGATTCAATTTTCATTCAACGTAAAATAATATAAAAATTATTAAACAAAATCAATGTTAACAGCGTTAATAATCGTTCGTGGACTCGTTTTTAAATATTTATGCACTTTTAGGATGAAATGTAATTTTTCGCGTTCAAATCGCCGTTTTCGAGGACCGCGCGCCATCGCGAAATCAGTTCTTACAGCGCTTCCAGTTGCCTCATGGCCAGCTTCTCCACGTTCGGCATGATCGCTGTCTAGAACTTGGACCGGAAACGACGAAAATGTGACACCGATCGCACGTGGCCGAACGTGGCTCCGGTACCGCGAGTTGACGCGCAGCGACTGAATTAATCGCTTCACTGGCCCCGATGCCTAGGTAAAGACAATGGCCGCGAAACGCGCGATTCTGAATGCACGACGGCCTTATTCTGCCGCAAACCGTCGCGGACAGAACTTGCAGCATCCGGCAACTCCTCGCTGTTATCGCGCCTCATTGTGAAAATGTCTGTCGCGGTACCGTCTAGAGAACGCGCCTTTCTCCTGCCCCACGAATCGCCCAACATCTCCGAACGATCGATCAACCACCCTCCTAATAGGATTAATCGATCGCGAACGAGACTCTTCTTCGATCGCAATTAGCGAAAATCGACGGAACACAGCAGCGAAACTGGCTAGCTCCAGTACAGCTATAATGAAATACGGGCAGGCAACTCATCAAGACCTCCGAAAGTATTGCACTGAGGCGATAACGGAAGTGTGGAGTGAAGAATGGCGAAATAGCGGACCAACTAAGCTACACAAAGTTCGAAACAATATACAGGGTGGTCCACGCGATTGTTACAAGTCATAACTCCGTTATTATTGCATTTACGAAAAAATGCCAAAGGGGAAAGATATATGGTTCGAAGAGCACTACATCTGTAGGCCTTTTAAGTTTTTTTAGATGCAGCAGTGCATGTGCAATTAACAATTGCATCATTTCTTTAAATAGAAATGCATATTTTTTTTTACACAGATCGATTCTTCTGTTCATTCTATGTATAAAATGGTTAGGGTACCATGGCAAAAAAATTATTAGATCTCGAGATATTTTCAAAAAATGTCTTTATCGAAGAAGATGCTCAAACGCTTCTCCATTACATTCTAAACATTTCTGATAACGTTTTTTTTATTGTTTCCATAACTGCGTTTAAATTATCTGCCGTTATTGCTGCACATTCCAGTATGATTCTTTCTCTCAGATTCTCTACAGAATCTATGGGATTTGAATAAATTCTATCTTTTCAAATAATCCCACAGAAAAAAGTCAAGGGGAATTAAATCAGGTGAACGGGCTGGCCAACGTATTGATGTATTTGTTGCGATAACGTTATTGCAAAACTTATTTTTTAGAAAGTTTCTGTTATGATAACAATATCGAAAGGGTGTTTACCTTTACAACATAGTCACGAAGTGTTTGAGTATCTTCTTCGATAAAGACATTTTTTTAAAATATCTCGAGATCTAGAATTTTATGCGGAAATGTCCAACAAATTTTTTAGTTTCTTTCAGCCACGTGTTTGGAGCCATTATTTTGTTGTAAAACGAATTCCCTGTCAAGACACATTTTGGCCTCCTTTAAATTTTCGTTTATAATATATATTTAATTTTATTCGTTCGTTAAAGATTTCTAATACTAACAAGAAAAATATGAGCCTTTTAAAATTTCACAGGAATACAGGTTTTTATTCAATTATCGTCAGTACAACTAACAGGATCGTAGAAACACAGGGTTAAGTTTTCATTCGAGTAAGTTGAACTTTCGTTCGAATACCGCTCTAGTTAATCGTTACTATTTCTCTAGGGGCTCCATCAATGGTTCTCACTTTACTATATAATTTAAATATTCGAAAATGTGATAGTTTTAAAAGAAATTGTTCAAATAATCCAACATAAGCTGTACGAGTTACATTTACTAAACTTCTATACCATTCGTGGTTTTCTAATCCTATTTCAGTTATTAAAAGTTTCTACATCTACATCACTCGAATTTACTGCAAATCGTATCTGAAATTCTATATTTTCCACGACTTTCTAATTCTACTTCAATTATACTAAAAGCTTATATGTATATTCTCAATCAAATTTTCGCTGACAGAGAATACTTCTTTAATTCAATTTAATTTAGAATTAGATAGGGTGTGTTCGACCTCCCCTGGGAAAAATTTTAATGAGAGATGCTAGAGGCCAAAATAAGACGAAAATCAAGAATATCAATTTCTTGATTGAGGCTTAAAAAGTTTAAAAAGTTATTAAAAATTTAAACTACAAAATTTTTAATCATTCTGAAAAAATTATTTCCGGTTGCAGGAGTCAGTTACAATCACTTTTGGTGAATAGACATACCCCCCAAAAACTGCGCACTTTCGAGAAAAAAATTCATTACTGAAAATATTATATGTATAATGTCTGGCCAGGAATATTCTACTTTCAAAAAAGAAATTTCAAATCGTTTTAAAAAAATATTTTCGGTTGCGAGGGTCAATTACTATCATTTTTGGTCAATACATATATCTTCGAAATCCTATTCAGTTTCGAGAAAAAAATTCATTACTGAAAATATAACCTCTGACCAGGAATATTCTACTTCCAAAAAAAAAAATTTCAAATCGTTCTAAAAAAATATCTTTGGTTCCGGGGGTCAATTACTATCATTTTTGGTCAATACATATATCTTTGAAATCCTACGCACTTTCGAGAAAAAAATTCATTACTGAAAATATAATGTCTGCCCAGGAATATTCTACTTCCGAAAAAGAAATTTCAAATCGTTCTAAAAAAATATTTTCGGTTCCGGGGGTCAATTACTATCATTTTTGGTCAATACATATATCTTTGAAATCCTACGCACTTTCGAGAAAAAAATTAATTACTGAAAATATAATGTCTGCTCAGGAATATTCTACTTCCGAAAAAAAAATTTCAAATCGTTCTAAAAAAATATTTTCGGTTACGGGGGTCAATTACAATCATTTTTGCCCAATAGACACACCCCCGAAATCCTATTCATTTTCGAGAAAAAAATTCATTACTGAAAATATTGTATAATGTCCGACTATAACTGTCTGTTCCCCTGAAAATTAAAAAGTTTCAAATCATTCTGGAAAAAATTATGTTCGGTAGCGGGGGGAAATTTTAATCATTTTTGGAGAATAGAAGTACCTTTGAAATTCTACGCACTTCCGAGAAAAAAATTGGAGTAGATGCTGAAATTTTTCGACAAAAAAAAATTTTTCAAATCGTTCTAAAAAAATTATTTTCGGTTGCGGGGGTCAATTACAATCATTTTTGGTGAATAGACATACCCCCGAAATCCTGCGCAATTTCGAGAAAAAAATTCGATACTGACGAAATGTTAAATATTAATAACTTTTTAACGAAGCCTCCATCAACAAATTGGTATTCTTGATTTTCGTCTTATTTTAGCCTCCAGAATCACCCATTGAAATTTTTCCCAGAGTTATCCGAACACCCTGTATATTATCCAAAAATTTCCACTTCCACTTCGGTTATTGAAATTTTAATTTTTTAATGGAACGTCAAGCCGTCAATTAAGGCTCTCGAATTTCGAAGGGAACACCATGAGAAAGTTAAAGCGTTAAACCGTCGAACTTTGACGGTTTCAAAGGCTTATTTTCATATTCGGGGTTGTTTTAAATTTTATAAGTCGAAGTTTCGAGATACGAAATATTTGATCCGGCGCATGCGATCGATCGCCGGTCCGTTTAAACGGACACTTTATTCCAACGACTTACCTATGGTGCTTCCGCAGCTTCTCGTGATGCGAATTTTCAGTTTCACCGCCATCGGAAAGTGCTCGTATCGCTTGCCTCGGCGACGCCGGTGGTGTATGGGGCGAGTGCGCTGTTAAATTCGTCTGTGGACTCAATGGCGCACCTGTACTACCCGGTTGGATTCCCAGCATGCAATAAGGGTCGCTGAATCCTGAACAAAATGTAGCTAACTTCATTCGAGATAATCCTCTTTCCTACAAATCGGTAAATAATTAGAGGGCGAAGTTTTCGATTACGTCTCTCTCCTCTTCCACGATTATCAAATATACTATAAAGGGTGAAATTTTCCACATCTTTTTAACAAATATATCTTCAGTAGAAAGGGTATAGTTATAGCAGGAATCAGGGAGAAATCAAAATATTGATAAATGAAGGAATGGTGGCACTTCAAGTTCCGAATCTTTTTTCCTAACTTTTCTCTTCTGTCTTTAGCATATTTAAAAAGATACTAAATCTCGATATTTTTTAAAAATCTTTAGTTTCAGTGATGAATATTCTCTCTAAATTTGAAGTAAATCGGTCTGCCAGATCTTGAAATAACGAAAAAGTTTTTTTTAAACTGGCTTCCATGATATTTCGAGATCCAGCAGACCAATCGACTCCAAATTTGGTGAGAATATACAACAGATACGCCTTTATCGTTGAAACTGCAAATTTTTAAAAATATTGAGTTTCACCGTTTTTTTTTTTAAATATTATTTTTCCATCTCGCTATAATAAACAACAAATTTCTTCTTGTAATGGAATATGAAGGATTTTCTGGAATTCGTAGAACGCGATGTGTTGTTGTTTACCATCGAGAAAGATTAAACAGAAATTGGTTGTCGTGTTTATTCGACTCGTCGGCGCGCGATTTGCAAAATGGCTGATATATTGGAAAGGGGATCAACGATGAAAGCTGCGTCATTTTCCATCGCGTACGCGTCACAGTTTATGACATCGGTGACTTCTGGCGGGCTTACGTTTGTAATTCAATAGAAAATTCATTCGTGCTTCTGTCGACTCGATAAACGTATAAACTGAATTCTCACCGTTTGCGTCTTTGGCTTCCAGTCCTTCGGCTTGAACGACGACCACGCTTAGGACAACAATGGGAGGCTGAAAAATGTACGAAGGACGTACTGAATAAGCCGTCATAATCGTTTCTGTAGAGGGATCGAGGATAACAGCTATCCAAGGTACGAAAGGATCGACGAAAGGTTATTTTTACTTAAAAATACAAAATTCTCCAAAAACAACACGAGTACAAAATATCAATTCCTAAACCTTTTAATTTTAATTTATATTAAATTTTATTATTTTTTATTTTATTATTGCCAATACTACAACTGTTGATTTTAATACCTGATATAATACTGATAAAATTGATGCCAATAATGTAAAACGAACTATAATAGGGAAAACTGAACTAAAATAAAAAACATTATTGTAATTGTTATAAGTGATTGAAATAAATTTTTCTTGACGATTATTGTCAATGGAATTAAATTTCAGTTACTTATAAACGTTCCTTGTAAGTAGAAATGTTCTATTTAGTAAAAACATAATTACTATCATATAACCTTTCTTTATTTTGGTTGGAACAGTTAGAACCCCTAAATCTAGATATACAGGGTGTTCGGCCATCTCTAGCAAAAATTTTAATGAGCGATAGTAGAGGCCAAAATAAGACGAAAATCAAGAATACTAATTTGTTGATGGAAGCTTCGTTAAAAAGTTATTAACGTTTAAAGTGCCGCTCTTACTGAATTTTTTTCTCGAAAATGCGCAAGATTTCGGGGGTATGTCTATTCACCAAAAATATCTGTAATTGAACCCTACAACCGAAAATAATTTTTCCACAACGATTTGCAATTTTTTAATTTTCTCGAATAATTTCACACCTTCTCTATTTTTTTTCTCGAAAGTGGGCAGGATTTCGTGGGTATGTCTAATGACAAAAACTGATTGTAATTGACCCCCGCAACCGAAAATAATTTTTCCACAACGATTTGCAATTTTTTTTCTCCGTTGAAAAATTTAGGCACCTAATTGGATTTTCAGTAAGGAATTTTTTTCTCGAAAGTGCGTACGATTTCGGAGGTATGTGTAATGATAAAAAATGATTGTAATTGATCCCCGCAACCGAAAATAATTTTTTTAGAACGATTTGAAAAATTTTTTTTCGCCGAAAAATTTCAGCACCTACTCGATTTTTTTTCTCGAAAGTAGATAGGATTTCGGAGGTATGTGTACTCACCAAAAATGATCGTAGTTGACCCCCGCAACCGAAAATAATTTTTCCAGAACGATTTGAAATTTTTGAATTTAATTGTTAATAACTTTTTAACGAAGCTTCCATCAACAAATTAGTATTCTTGATTTTCGTCTTATTTTGGCCTCTACTATCGCTCATTAAAATTTTTGCTAGAGGTGGCCGAACACCCTGTATAATAAAAAATTTATGTGCTGTGAAACCTATTAAATTTGGAGCCTGTTTGAGCTTTTATTTTTCACTTTGTCACTTCCATGCTACTAAAAAATTGTTAGATGAAAAAGTTTCATCACTTGTTATATATGGAATACAATTTTTAAGATACACAATAAATTTCGAACAACGAAGTTGAACATAATATTTTTTACCAATATTTTAGGGATATAAATTCGTTTATATTATAAAAAACTTTTATGTACTGGTGCAGTGAAAAATGTAGGTTTCCATTTAAAAAAAAGGTGCAGTTGCATTTCTCTGATGCACCAGTGCACAAAAGTGCATAAAATTAATTTCATATTACGCATCGTCTGGTACCATTTAACTTTAACTTCTAAAATATTTTTCTATTCCCAACCGTTTAGAAGGTATAGCCAGTTCCAGTTGCGTGGGACACCCTGTATATCGGAACAGGGTTGAAGGACAATTAGAGTTCCAGAACTTTAACACTTTACCCAACTTGCAGTGTGCACCAGATCCTCTTTGTGTCTTCAATTACCAACCTCCCGCGACCTCGAACAGTATCGCTTTATAATGTTGAAAATCGCCTTGATTAACCCTTCCGCGCGATATAAATAAACCTGCGTGTATCGTTTCAATAAAAAATGAGTTCCCCTTCGTAATTCGAAATTTATTGGAACCAATAAGAATGTCAAAATGAATCTTTTTCCTCTTACACCCTTTCTACGATCCATCCATTCGTAAGATAGATGCTCTGCAAACAACGAAGACATTCTATACACGGTGTCTCTCGGTAACTCTGTTAAAAATCGACATATTTGTCACTTAAATGATACGAGATGATAGATGAACAAATTGTTTGGCGTTATGATGCAAAACAGTTTTTCTTAGGGTTGGGAGAACAATGGATAAATACCTTTTCTTCCGACACGATATTCAGATATCGACGATGCTGGTCTTGCGGAACTCGGAAAGCCTCTTGCGCGTATCTATAAAGATCCTCTTTGTAATGCGCGTATTGTCCGGTGCTGGTGCCCACCGTGTTGGCGATCGTGTATAGAACTTCTATGTATAATTGCTCCAGCTGAAACCATCATTTTGAAAGCGGATTTTAGTAGAAAATTGCGTCGATCGATATAAATTTACTATAAGGTTGATGCATAATTATCCGGCGTTTATATCGGCTCGTTTTTCATGAGTGAAAAGTAGCGTTTTGTTTATTATTTTTCTATGAAAATAATCTTCTGTATTGTTTTAGAAAAATGCGTGTCGAAAACCATATTCATATTCGCCATATTATGCCCTACCACTTCGAGAAATGATGGAAAGCAGCACAGTTGTTTCGCAATCTCAACGAACTTTTTGGCGAAGGAACAATCAGCGAAAGTCAGTGTAGCGAGTGGTTTGCCCGTTTCAAATCAGGTGATACCACCGACCGAAGCACCTACGGACTATCACGTCAACCGCTCTTTGAAAAACTGGCAAATGAATAAGATTTACGACGATTTGGATGACTTGGTGGCCGATGTCAAAGCGTGGATCGTCTCTAAGAATCGTGTCTTCGTCGCTCGTGGAATCGACCGTTTGCCAAACAAATGGGAAGCAGTAATTGAAGTAGACGGTGACTACGCTCCCGAATAATCGTTTAAACAAGTTTTTGTTAAATATTGTTATTAATTTTATTAAATAAAATTTGTTGAGAAAACGCCGGATAATTATGCATCAACCCTATATACATATACGGTGTTATAAATCTTCTTTCGAAGATTAAAAATTGTGAGTAAAATGAACAAAAATGTATTTATTTGAACGACGACACTATACAAAAGATACGAACAATTAAAACCCGCTGATAAAAACGAGAACGATTTTTTCTCTTTCTCCTCTCAGTGAGACACGTCTTCCAACTCACATTTGATTTAATACTCTCTCTCTCGATCCTTGATTCGTACTACCTGTTAGACACAACGTTCGGCCGCTCACTCTCTCAACCATGAAACTCATATTCTCTAGATACATCGCCATGCTCACTTACAAAAATAAACACTAGGCCACGACATACAAATAAAGTTCACTTTCTTATCTATGATAACCATATTATCACAAAAATAACCATTTTTAACAAATGTTTCCGATTATTTTATCCCTTCACCTCTTATCGTAATCCTTCAATCGACTATGGCGAATAGAATAGAAAGTAACGAGATGAAACCATGAAGTATTGAAAAACAAAATTTTGTAATATAAAATTTAATATGTAACAGTTTTGTTTGAACTATGATGAATGGAATCGAAAGTAACGAAATGAAACCATGAAATATTTAAAAACGAAATTTTGTAATATGAAATTTAAAATGTAACAGTTTTATTTCAACTATGACGAATGGAATAGAAAGTAACGAGATGAAATTTAAAATGTGGGTAACAGTGTGCCCACCGTGTTGGCGATCATGTATAGAACTTCTATGTATAGGGTTATCCAAATTGAGTGTCACATCTTTCAACAAATGGGACTACTAAACGGTTTTATTGTTCTTTGTTATTTTTCACACACGCCATCACTAAGCATAAACAAATCATGATGGAACGCTACACTGTGCAACAACGTCTACAAATTGTTGAAAATTATTAGAAACGTTCAATTTCTGTTCGAGTTTGTTTTCGTGCGCTTCGCGAAATTCTTGGTCCAAGTAATCGACCTTCTGACAGAACAATTCGTCGAATTGTGGATAAATTCAAAGAGACTGGATCAGTTTGTAATGTAACACGTGGTACGTATCAACGTAGAGTTAAAAAACAATATTATAGCCGCCATTAATGAAATAGAACAGAAAATTGGGCAAAATGAGTCGAGCTCATGAAAAAAAGCCTAGTCGGCCATTTGAATGATATTGTGTTCCACAATTAATTTTTCGAATTGGACTTTATATCAAAATAAAGAAACCTGAAATATCTCAAACAGTTTGTGTTTTATTTCAATTTAAAGATGCGACACTCAATTTGGATAACCCTATATAATTGCTCCAGCTGAAACGATCATTTGAAAGTGGATTTTATTAGAAATTGCGTCGATCGATATAAATTTACTAAATACGGTGTTACAAATGTTCTTCCAAAGATTAAAAATAACCATTTTTAAAAAATGTTCCCGATTATTTTATTCTTTCACCCACCCTCTTATAGTAATCCTTCAACCGACCACCAAACCCAAATATATCATTCAAATGTAACACGATTCGCCCTCGTGCCTTTTGATAAAGATTTTTAACCGAAATCTCTCTCTTAAATGTCGTCAGAAACGAGGTAATTTTGTAATTTTTAAAACGTTCGCATCCAGCGAAGTTATTACTTTCATTTTTTAATTGCACCGCTTCCGCGACTCTCTGTTTGCCTTTCAGATTTTATGTTTGGACGAGCGAGACCGCGTTGTAATTTATTCTTTAAAAAGTGCAGGGCGAAACGGATACGTTAATGGTGAAATTTAATTATTTTAAACCCGTGTACTGAAAACTTAATGTTCGAATGTAAATTCGCTCTTCTGTCCCTGCGTTGATGTACGTTCGTTAAAAATGTTTCATTACGGTCGAACGGCGAAGCTCGTCGGTGTAAATCGCTGGCGCGCGCCAGTTTTATTCCTTCTCATTCGGATATTTTTTTTTATTTATTGCACTATTTATTTCGTCTGGCTTTGGGCGGGAAAAAAATTATGACGGGAAGATAGAAGCGAAGGGAAAGGTGAACAGTTATGGCCAAGGGACAATAAAGCCATAAAAATATATGAACCTCGGCCACAGTTTCTACGTGGGTGATCAGACTGTCTGACCATACACGAGAATTTCTACTGAAATCTCATATTCGATGAATTTCACTTTCGAGATAACAATATTTTGTAATGTTGATCCGCAAAAACGAGATTACGAACATTGTTATTTTTAACCGTAACAGAATCTCAATATTATACAATAAATTGTTTATCCACTTTACTGACAGAAAAGTCGAAAAAAATGATATTTTGTTTAAGATACATACTTAAATTTTATAAAGACATATATATTGAACGAAGTTCATTATAATTATTCAGTACATAGTTCATAAAATCTTTTCTATAAAATTTTGTATACATCATAAAAGTGTATGTAATATATGAAATATAAAACGTACCATAGGATTTTATTATTTCATAGAAAAACATGATTTTATTGACATTAAACGACATACTGGATTACACCTAAAATAAATATATGATTTAACGTATAAAAAATTAGAATGAAAATTTTTTCATAATTCTACAGATTGTTTTGGTTAAAAAGTGCAATAGTTTTTAGGAAAGTTAAAATTCTGCGATCACGAATGATGTAACGCGTCGTAAAAATAACATTGTTTTATGGAACAAGTTTCTATGCCCATAACGATTTAAAAAACAATTTGTTTAATTTTGAGAGTGATGTGACGTGAAGATATAGACATTAAATGATTATTAAATCGTCAATGGACCTATAATATAGTGAGAGTTCTCGGGGGTGCAAATATATGGAGCGAAAGTCAAACACGTCCAGACATTAATGGAATCAGCTGCTTGACCAGTCTAATCACAGTCTGTCAGGGCAAATGTTTACACTATGGACACCTACGCTTCAATCATGCTTCGCATTTCTCATAGCAAACGTTCGCCTATCAACTGCCCGACAACGAAATCAATAACTGTGGTGGCTTTGGTAATTGTTTGTTAAGTAAAATTGAACAAGCATGTCCAAAACAACAACCCACCGTTTCCACATATTTTAAAACAATTTTGATAATTCGTGATTTCCAACGGTATTAACAAACGCTTAAACGTTTGCAATTTCGGAATTCAAAATAGATTATTTTTTTGATATGTAAATAGAGAAAATAGATATCTGGGTAAAGTTGTATGCAAAAATTCTTTCTTGGCTTCTCAATTTACAAATTTTCTTTTCCCGAATGGAGCGTTTATTTATAATGAAATTAAAAATCTGTGCGTTTGTGATTTTTCCCGATCTGGGTGAAATTTTGTTCTGTTGCTCCTTGTGCAACAACGAAAAGTAAAGGTTGCTTAATTTGCAAGAATATTAAACATAAAGCAGGTTAATTTGCAAGAATATTAAATATAAAGCAGGTTATAATATTTTGAAACAATAAATTTGTGTCTTCTTGCATTTTCTTGAAGAATATAATTAGAAAAATGTCTGAAAAATCTTATGTCTGAACTCCTAAAATCAACGAAGTTATGGCTGTTTAAAGACCGTCATTGTTATAGGGTTGCAAAACTTTGAAATCTTTTTTCTTGAAACTATGTTTACCAGAATGATGCCCATGATATCTCAAGATCTGCTTCACCAACTGGCTTAAAATTTTAAATACACATTCAGTAAATATACGACTATAGCATGACCTAGAATTAACCCAAAATTTTTACTTTTTATCATTCTGTAGGCCCTCAAAGTTAAAAAAAAAAAAACATGAAAAAGTCAATAATTAAACTTAAGAATGTCGCCATTTTTTTAATTATCGATTTTTTTCTTCTAGTACCTGTTACAGATAGCCTCATACTAATCAAGAATCTTTCAGGTTGTTTCATTTCAAAGAAACAAAATGGCCGGAATCATGGACACCGTGGAAACGAGTTTTTTTTTAAAAGCGACTATTGTTCGACTATGTTTGAGAGTATGCAGTGCCATCAATTTTAACTTTCTTTCGCCCCAAAAAATTTCAAAATGTCACTGCAACGTATATAAATAAACCCTGTAAATTTGACTGTAGAAAGTATTGTAGTTTATTTGAAAAAAATTCCCCAGGGGAAAACCCACTTCGTACTAGAATACCCCTTCGATGTAATATGAAATTTAAAATGTAACTGTTTTGTTTGAATTATGACGAATGGAATAGAAAGTAACAAAATGAAACCATGAAATTTTAAAAAATGAAATTTTCTAATATAAAATTTAATATGTAACAGTTTTGTTTCAACTATGACGAATGGAATAGAAAGTAACGAAATGGAAATATGAAATTTTGTAATATGAAATTTAAAATGTAACAGTTTTGTTTGAACTATGATGGATG